TGGGTGGTAAGGTAGAGACACTGAGGGGGATGTTCATAGCCGTCTAGCATGTGCGAGACATGGAACCAACCGGACTTTTGAACCAAACTATTGGGATCCGAATTTGTAAAGCCCGCGTGTAACTTGCATTAAGTATTAGGTAGTTGTTGTAGGCTTAAAGATCTATTAGAATATCATATGCGTAAGGCACTCATTTTGGAAATCCTCAAATACTCGGTTCGATGATAAATCAATAGACCTTTGAGATGCTTTGTGGATCTTCCCGGGGCACGGAAACCCAGGTGGATGATCAATCTTACCGTTTAGGTAAGTTTTCTAATGGCGATACAAAGGTATTGTGAACTCAGCGCGAGGTCTGCATCGTATCCTCGCGTGCTTCCGTACAACACTGGAAATGCACTCGCGCAGTTCCGTGGAGGAAGTGTTAACCGGTAGAATGGCTACTGCGGCAATGGGAATCTGGTTTCCTTGCGTTGATGATGTACGGCCGTACCGAGGATCTAAGTAAAGTGTGACGATCAAGTCTTGACGTGACTAGGATTGATTAACCCTGGAAACTAGTGCGAGGGTACCGCTAGGTTGTCTGAACAGAACAGCCAAGATATCTATCTAGGTACGCATGAGCTTATCTAGTTGGCGTTAGATACTCAACGTGTGGGACGAGTCCAATTTTCTAGGTGATTTGTATCTAAGGGCATCATGACATTTACTATATTTATTGCCTAGGAAGGTATTTCGGTCGAGGGATTTTAACTAGCGTGACGAAAGAAGAGGAGGAGAACAAGAAAAAGCAAAATTGAATGATTTCTTACTGCTTAGGTACCGGTACTTACTTGGGTGTTGAGGATTCAACCGAACAAGGCTCTTATTAGATAATAGTGACTTGTAACTACCAAGTTGCAGTAACACGTGAATGTGTAGCTGGTCATACATACTGCGTAATACATAATTTACATACGGAGAAGCTATATTCGCCCTAAACCTCTGCGATAGATAGATAGAAATCGTAGTATAGAAGTGATACGGTAAGACTACATCGTACGGAGTACATCACTGTAGATGCGCCGCAGCATCATTTAAACCCCCTGCGACAGGGTCTCCCCCACCGCCAAGGGCGATCATCATCATACTGGAGTACCTAGGTACGGCCTACGAGTTTCATTCTTCATATGTGTGTTTAGGTAGCGTATGCGTAGTAAGAGGGCGTGTAAATCATATCCTATCTTGCGAATACATAGGATATTGAGTAAGAACATAACCGGGAGCTCTACTTACGAATACAGCAATTCTTATATGTTCCATCATGTAGCTTCTTAGGTAAATATCCATTAGCCGAACTTCTGACGATATCCGATCGGAACGAATTAATGAATAAGTGTACGATGCACGGGCTTGGAGGCTGGGGGATCCTCGACGTTCAACACCGTCGTCCTTAAAAGGAAACGATTGAAAAGATCGATCTGGATACGATTCTTTACCCTATGTTCCATCAAATTAGGCATTCAGCCTTGTCAATATTTAATTACCTGAGTAGTTAAATGGTCAAGCCAGGGCGATGCCTCCCACATCGTAATACATCCGCAATCTGGTGTTGACGAATGACATTGATTTTAGATACATGACTCTCGTCAATTGTCAATGAACGTCGTACCAAAAAACCCGAGCATAGTTACTCTCTTAAATACCTAGTTAAGGTAGGTATTTACGTTGCATATTTCATTCTATTGGTATCGCCTTGATGTTACATTAGATCTAGATAGTCTATGTGTGCATATACAACATACTGCACTTTCTCAGGTATATACCAAAGCTTCATTCAAACCCGAGATCAATATAACAGCTTTTCAAGTTGTAAATATTTTCTCGGAACTCTTGAGCAATCCAAACTGATCTGCAGATGATACGCGAAAGCCGATTTTCGTAGTGGCGAAGTGTCACTGCTAAGTGACTTGTTTTTTCAGCAACCCCTTTCCATGATCCGCCGGTCTAAAAAAAAAATCGTAATTTGCCAGCCACTTCATAACGCGTCTTATTTACTGTGCTTTGGTAAGTTGCTTTTTACTCTCCTCAATGTTTTTTTTTCTCATCGCGGGCCATGTAAGTCAGTGGATAATTGTCGCCAACATTCCAAACTGTGAGGGGAAAGGACCGAATATCTTCGAAGAGCTTTAATAAGTATCAATTTTCATAACCACCTATGCGGCAAATTATCTCCTTCTCTCATCAATACATCGCGATTGGCATAAATGGCTTGACACCAAGGCGGGTGGGTGGAAGAAGCAAAATTCAAGCTATTGCCGTGATGAGTGAGGGAGCGCTTGTCATGCTTGTCATCATTGAAGTATCCTTGTATATTTGTATATGGCAACCTAGTCCCCCAATGTCCAATGTCCCAATGTAAGGGTTGGTGTTCCACTAGGTGCGGCTGATGCCGTCTTCCATTCTATCCCTCCCTCCCTCCTATTTTAGAACTTGCTACTATGAAATGATCAAATCTCGCCGAGTGGCACAGTGGCACACACATCATTTGAACGTATCGAGAACCACTACGGAGTATCAGTTCACGAGGATATGGAGCAGCAAGCAACCCTCCGCGAACTCCCCCAGGTCATCCCACCCAAGTCCACCCAGTCCACCTAGTCCACTGAATGCACCCACCCAAACCAGCCTAGGTCTCCTCTACATGGCTGCCCACATCCTCTATTGGTCTGCGGAGATCGTCCAATAGCTGCATACGCTAGTGGATGAGATGGTCATCCAATTATATTCCTGGTTCATCACCCTTTTCCGGTAATTCCTACCACCCTACCCTGTTCGATCTACACATAGCTAACACACGCGTCCCCATCTTCAAAAAACCCCAGACGACAAGACGTCTTTTGTTAGATCGACTTATCCAAGAGGGGATGTATAAAAAGAAAAAAGTAAAAAAACGGAATGGAGTTAATGCTTTCATATTATCATCCAATTACTACATCCATATACTGTTACATTACTACATTATGCGCCTAGTATTGCTTGTGAGCGCGATACGGGCCGCTTTGTTTTTTTTTTTTTTCTTGTCCAAGTTCGGTTGCTTTTGAAGCTGACTTACAATTCCAGTCAGAAGCATCCCCAGAATTATCATGTACGAGAATTACATGCAGGTGGTCATTACATTACCCATATATATCAATACACCTACTTTCACGTACCTTATACACCCTATATTCCGTATACCATGTACCTACACCTACCCAAGGTACATAATTATATATGTAATCTTTGACCTGCCACTTTGGCTACCTTACAGTCACTTACAGTCACTTGACTACCGATACTTTGGAAACTTGCTTACCTATCTGGCTAGTTAATTCTATTGACATGTTAAGTCCTAATTTATACGACGTAGTGCAGTCTATCTTGCATATTTTCCTACCTATCTGCTAACTAGTAGGTAGCCTACGGCCTGAGAATTGCGCCATCTTTCACTTACACCCCCCCTTTTCTTCTAAGTTGTGTATGTCTACCCATCCTGCCATCCTTGTCTTGTCATTCCCATCCGTTCATTGCTCTTTTCGTCCGTTTCCTCCACTTGCTCTGTGCTTTTTATTTCATTTTATGTTTCCCCCTCCCCATCGTCCCCATAATCGTCCTGTCAGGACTTAGCATAGCTACCATCTATCCCTTCCCGACTTATGTGGGGGGCTCATATCCACACCTCTCTACCAAGTCTTCACTCTGGGGCACAACCCCCGTAGTGTCTTTTACTTGCCTCCTGCCCAATCACAGACCCTTGCATGATTTGCAGGCCCTCTAAGACATCAGAGAATCGCATTTTTTCAACGGCCAGCATCCCTGTCTGTTAGTCATTACCTCCTCCACCCTCGCTATACCATCACCAGGGTCGGCATCATCATTGCTTGCATACAGAAGCAACTGCCCGACTCAGCATCACCTGCACTTAGTTTATAAAGTAGAAGGGGACTTGTATTATTTAGGGAGGGTATGAAGACGGTACTAGCAATCTTCGGCCGTCTATCCGACCCATTTTGAGGAGAAAAAATAATGAAAATAATAAACCGAGCAAGAAAAGAAAAAGAAAAGAATAAATACCAATAAAAGTAAAGCAGGGGAGGCTTGAGATGAGCAACCGAGGAAAAAAAGGTACATTCGATAGTATATGTCTGTGTAATGCAATGGGTCTCGACCTGCCACACAACGCAGGAATCTTAACAACAGCCCCAATTACTTCACAACGGCGATCCGAGAAATGTTGTCTCGTATCTTATTCTTTTCGTCTCTTTATCAGTTCTAATCCCCTTCGAAGAACTTCTCCCCAACTTGACCCAGTTTGAGGAACAACGTCTCACACACACATACTTTCAGAGACCTTTTTTTTTTCTCTTGTATCCTGCCCGTTTGCTGACAGGTTCCCCGACTACTTACAGTTCTTTAGTTCGTTTACCTGTTCGTTGTTGGAAGCAACTTGTGTCTTTTCGGTCTAAACTACGACACGAACCACGCGGGACACGCGAACCTCTCGGATACTTGCCTACTTCTGATTACAGCTATTGCAGCTCGTCCAACTCATCTTCATGCGAACACGTTCGGGCAGGCTGCATACGAACAAACCCAGGTCTCCACACTCATTAGATTTGAGTGTAGATCGTACGTTATAACCCTTTGTCGTCTAATCTTGTTAGCTCCAACCGTCACATTTTTTTCCTACTCCGAAGCTATATCTAGTATGGGATCGGGAGCTTGTACGGTGACGGGGTTTCTTAGCCGGTTCGCGAGTTAAAGATTTCCGATTTCTCAGGCTAACAGCATACAAGATAATTTGAGTAACTGATAGGCAGCCGGGCCAACAAGAGTTCCCAAGAAGTTGAGTATCCTCTTTTTGGGAGGCGGGGAAAAAAGTTTTGGATACTTCTACTTTCCGAGACTCGACTCAGAATCAGTTTGCCAACAACCACTTTTAACCAATGAGCAGTCCTGGGCTTCTGTCTACTCCTGCGAACTAAATTGTCAAAGGCTCTCAGACCTGCTCGGAAGGAAGAAAGAAGGGGTTCTCATATTAATCCCCCCTCTACGAATAAGTTACCGGGGCATCCTGCGGTTCTACTCCGTTCAGATTCAAAGTAGGCAGCTGTCAGAGTGGTCTGTTTCTGCAAATTCAGCAACCATAGCTCCTCCTTCTTCCCTCCAAACCTCTCTCTTGGATGTTTGTTTCACTAGAATTGCCAACGGAAGGGCAGTGATCAAATCTTTCCATAGATTTTGCATCACATAAGACAGGCGGAGCGCGAACAAACTAATCGACACCATCCCCATCAGCAACCAGAGACTCTTCCTCGCAGGGAGGATCTATTGGGAGAACAGAATTAGAGAGTCTCGACACACAGGGACCCTCAACTTTCTGCAACACTGCTCCCGAAACAAACGTTTGTCCGTTCTATCCGGAACAAATCCATTTCCACCATTCCCTAGACTTGCTCGAAACAGGCAGCTTGATGTCTGCCGTCAAGTTTGAATACCCAACCTATAAACTATTCGAGGTGAGTCAACAAACAAGTGAAAGTTGTGCTAAATAGCTTAACAACTTGGTCTCGGGTTGTATGCTAACTATACATTACAGCCTCAATATCATCCTCAGAGGCCAATCATCGTCGACGCCGACGCTCTCGAGTCTCCTGAGACGGTTATCCTTAGGTACGAGGAAGAGGCAGCTGCTCGAGCGAACGGAGGAGACCTTCGTGGGGATTCCCCGCCTGGTCTCCTGTCTATGTCTGCTTATTCAAAACCTCAACCGGCCCAGATGCATGGTAAGTGATCTTTTGTTAACAGGATTCCCTGGGGATGCTCTAGAGATGGTGAAGCAAACACTATTTGTAATATCTTTGGTGGATGGAAAAGATTAAAAGGAAGAAACAACCTGGAGCATTTACTAACTTGATCGAAATATCCAGCGTTTGACTCGCCGAGATCATATCAAGATCCTCAATATCAATACTCGGCTCAGCAATTTGCGGCTCAACAGTCTGAAAATGCGGCTGCGCAACTTAATCAGATGGCCTTCGCGGCGAACGGTTCCGCGGCACAATATAATATGCCACCGATCGTGGCCACATTAACCTCGTATCAACCGACGGCCGGAATGTTTGGAACCAAGGTTTTAATTAAAATATCGGCTCCGTACGATTTGATTGCAATCACGAGTCATTTCTACCTGGCGTTCGGTTCCCACAAGAGCCCAGCACACGCTATTCAAAACACGAGTGATGCGAATGGGTTTGGTTATGCTGTCAGCGGTGATGCGCCGCAGTTTGAAGACACGAGGAGCCCCAGCCCCAACGTGCCTTTATCAGTTTTGATTGAGAGTGCAGCCGGCCAAACTTTGGCAACAGTTGACGTCGGCACGTTCACATATCATGACACTCCGGCTGGAACTACGGAGGGCCCGCCTGACACGCGGGTCAAGGGGGGTTCCAGGTCACCTGAGCAGAGGGAGAGCCCTACAAAACAACAAGAACCAGACCAGCTGGCTACTGATACTGCTACAAATACATATGCCTACGCTCCTACCGCTCAACAAGCTGTCGCATCTAATTATGACACCGGTTATACCAATAACGACAGTATGCTCGGAACTTATCATCGCTCATCCTACGGGATGGATTATCCCCGTCCACCACCACCACCACCGCTCAAAACTCCGTCTTGGAGTCCCTACGGACATTCCCTCTCTACTGCTAGAAGTCCAGCGACTACCGTAAGCCATACGACGATTAGTCGACCTAGTAGTATCACCACTTTACCAATACCAACATCCAGTGCGCCGCAGTTGATCCGGACGAGTACTCTGCAGGGATCTGGGCCATCTGGAGGCGCACAGCTTAACCCTTACGCGCTTTACTCGACTAAAGCAGTGCTAAAGATAAATGGAGATCTTGAGTCGATGGCGTCGGGATGGTCACAGGAAGAATGGGAGAACCGGAGGCGAATCGTTATGTTTAGCAAGAAGCAGCAAGGCTCAACCCTGTCAACATCATTCAAGCCGGTAACCGTTAACGAAAGGCCGCCGAATAGCATCTGCATTAGCTGTATCTATTGGGCCGAGAAGGATGAATGCTACGTAACGAGTGTCGACACCATTTCTCTACTAGAGCAGCTCGTTGCCGCGCCGGGAAGATTCACGGTGGAAGAGAAGAATCGCATCCGTCGGAATCTCGAAGGATTTCGTCCTTTGACTGTTAGCAAGGCCAAGGCGGACAGTGAGGAGTTTTTCAAGGTCATAATGGGGTTCCCAGCTCCGAAGCCGCGTAACATCGAGAAGGATGTAAAGGTATTTCCTTGGAAGATTCTGGGCTCTGCACTCAAGAAGATCATCTCCAAATATGTGAGTTCAGGCTATTAAACCCTTTTTACCTTCGTGATACCCGATTTGCCCCCTTTTGACGCTTTTAATTCGTCTCCGAGTTAAAATTTCTATCTGTCTTCTTACCGCTCCCCTGAAGTCTCTGGACCCTCGCAACAAATCGGAGATCCGCGCATTTGCTAACTATGCAATCTAGTCCGCATCTCCTTCATCAACAGTTCCTCCGGGACCTGGCCCGACCTTGCTTACCCCCGTTAGCAGCACAAGCCCGGGTCTCTACGGACCACCGCACACACCAACGGTATCTGATAGCGGTTACTCCCACCACGATTCGCATTCGATGCCATCTCCACGATCTCTCACAGGAGCACCGTCCACATGGGCTACATATTCCACACGTACGATATCGCCCGGAATGAAATCACATTCCCCCCAGATCCACATCCCTAGCCTGCCGCCTTCGTACAGACACGCGGATACGAGACCACAGCAACACTTACCGGCGCCGCCGAGCTACGGTATGGCACAGCGCTGGGATACAACTACCGTATCTAGTGGCTACGGCGACGCTTCTACGGCTGCTCCCGCCTACACCCCCAGTCATCCGCATCACCCTAGTCATGTGTACGGCACTGGCGCATACGGTGATGTCAGCCATCGGGAATAGCGACATGGCTACTCTTATTTTGGGGTGGAACCGGCGGGACATCCTGGAGAAAGTGTGTGCGTTGAAAGATGGTATGGTGAGAAGAAGGGGGGTGAGGGTGCATGATGCGCCACCCACTGTGAATAACAACAAGAGAAGATAAACAAGCAGTGGTGAAGCAAGAAAGCAAAGCCAGAAAAAAAAGAAACAGACGCGGAATTGAGCTTAAGCATCCGTACCATACATCTTCACACCCACCTATAAGTTGCCTCGCCCACCATCTATCTTATTGTTATGGGTTCCTATCGCGCTAGCAAGGTGTGGAGCGGGAGATGGATTCCGCATCTGAGCGTCCATGCTTTTAAGTGTGGTTCATGATGGGGGAAATGAGGACAATCCATAAAGATGGCATATGCCAAGTTGTTGAAATACTAACTAACGGATGGGAGAGGAAGCTTTACGAGATGGTGTATACGTATATGTATAAGTGTGTGTGGGGGGAGGGAGGGAAAAAAAGGGGGGTGAGCTTCGACTTGTGGTCAGCTGTTGATGGCTTCAACCAATCATCGTCTTACCCGGCACTCCAACAGCTTGATCGCACGACACAATCGACATCCCCTTGGGCTATTATGTTCCGACATTCCTACCTACCTGCCCTTTTACCTATCCTCTCTGCTTGTTTACTTACTAAACTCATTCAGCCATGGGAACCGCCACACCCTTGATAAAGTTTCCAACTTATACCTATCTATCGCTCCACCGGCTATTTCTTGTCATCGCCAGTCAGATCATACAAGACTAAAAATCCTTGCGACTATCAATCGTGTCCCATTTCTTTTCTTTTCCTGGTTCGGGTAGGCCAGCCTTGGGGGTCATGATCGACTGTGCATGGTTAGCTACTGGTGACTGATTGGTCACGAGCTCATCGACTTGCAGAGGCATCCATGTGGGCAGCATGGGTGGTGCGTATGTTTGGATGTATGTATATCGGGTGCGCGCCGCAGCCGCTGCATGATGCATACCATCTGCGTCACGCCGTCCCCCCTTACCCTTTTTCGCTCCCAAGTACTTTGCCTTAGGTACCTGTTTGCTTTGGAGGGGGATCAATCATCATCTTATCTCTCCTCGCCTCAGAATTCGAGATTCGGACTCACGACACCATACATCTCCCCAACCACCCTTTACACGACACCACCAGCACAAAGAAACTTGATGGTTTCACCCACCCAAACCCGCCCACTCCTCCTAACGTACCCCATCGTCTTGGCTGCGCAGATGATCCACACACAATACATATTCATATAACCCATCAGCAGACTCCATTGACATCCATCTCCCCCTATATGATATATCAACTGGAAAGGGAACAGGACAGACAACTTGCTTCTTGCCCATACACGACCCCAGTCCTCACCGAACCTGCGCGCGTCCGGTGATATACGCCTGCTTATGGGGGCGAATCCATGGTCGATCATGGGAAACCCAGTCGTCGCGCCCATACTTTTTTCTTTCCCACCAAACATCAATTATGACTGCTTACTCCTAGGCGACAAGCCATGTTTCTCCGCGTCTAGCGATTTGGTTGTTACTGGGGGAGGTTGGAGAACTCGACGCGAAAGACTCTATCCAACCACATCATGCCCTTTCCACCACCGCGACTTTCCTTATGGGTTGAATTCCAGGCGTTCTTGATTTTTCGTGTTTTTTTTTTTTTTTTCTTATTTCTTGGCGTTTGACTTTCTCTACTGCACTGCACTGCATGCGAAACGCATCTTCACAACTTCTTCGCTTATTCAGATTCGGACTTGGATGCCCTTGGGTATCTAATCACATGCATTACCACTCGCTACTATTTCCCTTTTCTGACTCTTATTGTAATAATCATTTGTTTGAAATCAAGTCATACTGACGACACACTATCTTGGATTGGATGGGCATAGGCAATTTACATTGACGGAGTGGTCTGGTACGGACAGGGACATACGGAAGAGGGAGTACAGGCATTGGGGAACAGGACAGGGAGATTAGACAACACGGCATGGCATGATATGGTATGGTATGGCTAATTCGTGAAGAACGATTAGTCTACCTAGGTTTCCTTTCTTTCTAGAGCGTTTTATACCCTGTTTCTACCACACAAATTATTGTAATCTTAGCTCGTTCTTCTTCTCATTTGCTATTTTTACCTACCTTGCTTGTCTTGCTAGACCCAACATCGAAAGCAGATTTTACATTTTTAAATTGGCCTTGTTATTTTCCTATGGATTGTCATTACTGGAAGGATAGGTTTGGTATGGAAATCTAGATGCGAGGCGCGGCATAGGAAATTATTGGACTATTGGGAATCATATCTGAGGCGCAAACATGGAAAAGGATTAGGGATGAAAGGTGATCGGAATAGGTATGGGCAACAGGTGGGAATATGAGGATCTCGAAGCTTAGACGGAGAGAGAAGCGTTTTCTAGAGATGGCTTAGTTATCTACGTTTTAACTTACTATTGTTCTCTATCCTGTGTTGAAACTCGCTGTCTTCGTAGATCCAATTGCTCAAGTGTAATCATCATACGGTATGCAGCTGCCCTGGGAACTTCGTGTTTAGCGACACAATGACTACCCAGGTACTAAGCACGTTTTTCAAACGACCGCTTGTTGGGAAAAAATCATTAGCATTGGTGGGCACGAACATCGACAACCCCTCTACGACTTCAAGTCTTCCATCATATCCGTTAACGTCTGCCATCTCTTATCTCCTCCCCAGGATTCCTTAGCTTTCCCCATGACACTCCTTACCGCACTCCTCGCTTTACCCTTCCATTTACCACCAATACTATCTATTCGTGACCCGTAATTCTCATATGCCGCGACTAGCTCTGATGTTCTCTGGACCACTGCATCCCATGAATCCACATCCGTCAACCAACTTCCCTGTTGGCTTTGGGTGCCACTAGATGCGGACAGTGCACTTCCAACCCCGCCCACTGCCGTTCTCCATGCTTTCTCAGCTGCATCCAAAGCTCCCGCCCAATCTTTCCTCCAAGCGCGCAGACGAGACACCAAGGCCCAAAATGACGAATTTGTCGTGATGAGGGGTACAATGTCGTTCTCAAAGAGCGAGATGATCTTGCTTTCGATGGTGCCCCTTGCAGGCTCATAGATTTCTACCCCACCCTCGCCGTTAGTAGGAACAGGCGTTTTTGTTGCTTCTCTGACTAAGAGCGTCAAGACGTCGAGATCTAATGCATCTTCGGTCTTGCGAATCCGAATAATATTTCTCATACCCAAAACCACGTCGTTGAGATCAGGATTCGGCGATAGGCTCGCAGCAAGGGTAATTACATTATCCCAGATTCTCCAATTCGAGTCAGCAAGTGTAGCACCACGTTTAAAAGCTGCCAAGGAGTCCCTCAACAACTTATGAGCGGATTTCCCAAGATCAGCTGCTCGCTTCGTAGCCACCATTTCGTCAATGATATCGGACTCGTCATTCTTGAGCTTCTCTTGATTGGCTTTGGTCTCTGAAATGATCTGACGATACCAACTGAGAAGCGAGGTTCCAAGATTACTCCAAGTTCGCGCGTCCTCGCCTCCGGAAATGCTATTCGCAGTTGAAATGGCTCTCTGGAAGGCTTCAGCAGCATTGGGGAAATTTCCGAGACGCAATTCAATATCACCGAGCCTATTCCACATTTCCGGGCTTAGACGATTGACACTAACAGCAAGCTGATATGCATCTCGAGCTTCTTTCCATTCCTTCTTTCGAAGGTGAAGCTCACCAAGCGACCTTTGTGCCCTCGCATAACGTCGGTTGGAAATTTCCCACGCGCGCTCATAATGTTGAGGGTTATCCTCGATATCCCCTAATATGCAAAATAGCCGCGGGGCATTTGGAGGCGCTGGTGACCTTTCCAGACCATAGAAGTTAGATGCTTTTAATGAGGTAATATCAATCTCAGCATCATCTAAATTATCGACGTCGTCTTTTGAAGTGAGATCATCGCCGACATCAGAGGTGCGACGGAATAGTCTCCATCGTATAATAGCTCGTGCTTTTTCTTCACCTCCGCTTCCGCGACCATCTTCATCTTCTGTCGCCGCGCTACTAGCTAAACATAGTGCAACTTCTGCCCAAAGACGTAATCTTTTGAAAATTTCGAGAGCCGAAACAAGAGATCCGACCGTTGTCCAAGCATAGGCGAGCTCAGATTCTAAATGCCAACGTGGAGGAGAAGATAAAGCATTGACATATTGTAGCCTTTCCCGTGGAGATGCAGATTCAGAGGGCTTAGGAGCTGGGAGGAATGACGTTGGTTTTTGGGTATTATTAGAGTGGTCAGACTGGTTGTCGGAAGTTATTTGAATGGTAGGAATAGTAGATTCAGTGCCCGGTTTATTTTGGACCCCATTGATCTCTGCGGCTGAGTTGATATGTTCTTGTGTATCGACGATAACCTGGTCTACAACAGCTTGCATCTGCAAAACAGCACGCTCGACAGTTCGACTTCGATTCAGCTCAATTCGTGATCTCACCAATAAAGCTTGAGTGTATATTTGCCAATTGCTTGGTTTATCATCAATTACCCTTGAAGCATAAGGCAGAACTTCTTGGGATGTCAATGAGTCAGCAGGTGAAAATGTATCCCTTATTGTGGCTTCTGTCAAGAGTATGATATGATCTTCTGGCCGGAGCTGCGGCTGATCCTCTGGTTTAATGCCATGTAACGCGGCTGGGAGTTCCGACGTTGGTTTGTCGGAATGATCATCGCTAAACTTGATATTCTCTAACAGGGTATCGTTATTTAGCGGGAGTGCAACAGGTGTCACGTCGGAATTGTGCAGGGAATTGGTTTCCGTGGAAGTTAATGCTAGACTCTTGGCGAGTACTACAAGCTGGCTGATGCTTTTCTCCTGGAACTTGGTACGTTTTCCCAGTGCACCCGAAAGAGCATAAGAAAAGCCACTGGTTTCAGTGGCTGATTGTAGGGCACGTCGAGCTTTTGTGTCGTTCCCAAGAAGTATATGACAAGCCGCCTCTTCTAGTCGAAATTGAATACGCGATTCCCGGGACCATTGGGATTGATTCGAGTCTTGATCTAATTCGACTTGTCCAATAACAGAAGTCTCGGCTTCTAGAAGGGTTTTCTCAATGTTTTCCTGAAGAGTAGGTACATCGGTCCAACGGCCACTTTTGGTGAATAAGGATCCAGGCCCTAGTGATGGTTGGGAAATAAGTTTATAATGCCAGAGGTGAATTCTTAGGCGAGTCCAGGAAAGAGTTAGAGAAATAGATTGCTCTGAATCTGACCAAATTCCAGGCAGCTCGGTCGGTAAAATAGTACCAGATGTGAATATATATCGCGATAAACAGAATAGTTCGATATGAGGTATATAGGGGTATGGAGAAACACCATCAACATCGAGCCATCTCAAGCAAAGTCTCCTAAATGAGACTATGTTTGCCTGTTCGTCATCGACCACCTTGGCGAAAGATGAGAGGAAAAGTATTTCAACCGCATCATAGTTCTCAAGTACTGGACCTGTGACATTTGTTTGCAAGAAAGCACCCAGAGAAGCTAGGCCTAGCCGGACAGTTTCTTGAACATCGTAGGATGATGTATCCTCAGTCTGCGCCTCAAGACGTTGGTCCGTCTCTGTTATGTGTCGGACAAATTGGGATATTATGCGCTGCGACAACTCATTTTTAAATGACTCGAGAAAAGGGGAATCTTCAAAAGATTTCTCAATTGAAATAAGATCGGTAGGAGATAACTTGTTGCTGGCCATATTGAACTTGATATATCCAAGTGCTTGGGCGTGTTGATCTTTTCGGGCGCTGGGTGAGCTTGTTATATCTAATGCGCGCGCACAATCTGACGACGTAGAATTTAGTTCGTATTGTAAATTTAAAAAGATGGCTCCATCGAAATCAACCCATCTTAAATACCATAATTAGAGATAACAGTTCGCGAAAAAAAAAAAAACGAAGGTGTTGAATAGGTTTACTTGTAAGAGGCATCGATTATTTTGGTAGCTGCGGAATTTCATCATGGCGGGGGAGGGGCAATCTTTTTTTTTTTTTCTCCTTCCGTCACAACTCCCCTTTAAAAGAAGGACCCCGACATGCATCTAAAAATGACATTATGTAAGCCCCATTATAAGCATAACTTATTCCTCCTCCTACTCTTCGATGCCATGATCTTTTATTCTAGAGCAGAATTAATACGGCTACAAAAACAATTACTCTTCTTTTAGGTACGGACTCCATTGCAGATATAGAAATGATTTCTTGTCATCAAATTTCATGTTGATTATCAGATACACTGTCTAATGGTTGATGATTGTGAGTGTACATGAACGATGCCTCAAATCAACATGCTTCGTAAAAATCTCATCACTACTCGCGTTCCTCCTTTTCACTAATACTCATACATCTATCATATCCTCATCGACCCTCGTAGATTCCCTTCATTTCTTTCCCTTCTTACGTCCAGGCACTACCTTGAAGCCAGCACCTTGAATCGAACCGGCATCGTTGGTGTTTTCCTTGTGATTGCTCTTCTTAGCTACCTCGTTCCATCCGCCCGCCATGCTAGATTGTGTATCCGCTGATGGGCTCTTCGCAGGTTGCTTCTCTACTACGCCTCGATCTGCAAGCTTCTTGCGACGAATAAACTCCTCAGCAAAGTGACGTCCGTCCATCGTCTTCGAATTGGCGTAAATAGCATCCGAGATGATCTCACCTACTAGTGGGAATCCGATGAGCGTGTTGGCAAAGGCGTCGACTATTATCATTGTCAGCCGTGTTTCTAATAACCTGAGTTAAACAATTATAATATAACTTACTGTCAGTAACACCCGTGATTCCTTTAGCCAACTGGCCATGGAGCCACTTTGTGAATTCTTCCATCGCTTCGTTGTGGCCGGCGCCGACAGTCGAACTTGCCGGCTTAACCGTAGGCCTTGTAGGAGGAGCTGCAACGGCGGGCGCTGGTTTGGTAGCACTTGCAGGTCGCGTTTGAGCAGATGGACCTGTGGGCGCTTTGACCTTGCCGCCGGCACCAACGGTAGCCCATCCCGAAGTACTGACGCTCGGTGTTTGGCTAGGTATAGGAACAGCATTAGGTTTGCTGGCAAGATCGGCATATCGCTTTCCGGTGCTGGATGGAACTCCAACTTGGGCCTGGTCCTTCGCTTTCTGCTTACGAGCTTCTTCCTCACGCTGAATATCGGCTAGTGTCTTTTTCTTGTCGGAAGATGGAGTTTGAGTGGAAGGCCCAGAAACTGGCACTTTTCCTACGGGTGGCTTAGCCCAGGGGCTACTGGTCGATGTAGGATTCACAGGGGAAGCAGTGCCCCACGTGCTACTTGTAGGCAGTCCTGGAGCGGCAGCAGCGGCCTTCTCACGTTCTCGGGCTGCTTCTTGTTCAAGTGCAGCACGTCGGGCGAGTGCCGCAGCTTCCTCTGCCTTAGCTGCTTTCAGAGCCTCTGCTTGTTGGATCTCCTTGAGACTAGGTCCTTTGTGGGACTCCATCCCACCGTCTTTAGCCCATGGGGCGAGCGGGGGTGGCTGAGCAGCGGCAGATGAAGGCGCGATATCAGGTGTACCAGATCGAGAGCTCGTCGCGTATTGTTCAGGTAGGTTAGACTTGACTCGTTGAGGAGCGGGAGCAGGTAATGGCGTAGCGGAAGGTGGTGGAGGGAAAGGCATCGGGAGCCCGCTAATCTTTGCCGTAGCTGCCTGCGCTTGAGCTTGAGCTTGTTGATACTGCTTGTTCAAGGAGGCTGATTGGTCTTCTTCAACGTGATGGTGGGCGGGCTCTACGTCAGGAGATTCTTTCGGGCTAGAGTCAAGTTCAGTAGTCTGTGCGGCTGGGCTCAGCTTTGGGGCTTGCTCGTTCACCATCTCATGAAGAGGGGATGTCTGTCGTTCCATCATTTCAGCATCGTGTTGCGCCCTGAGTTTCTCAAATTCCTGTAGACGCCCTCGGAAGCCTTCTGCGTCTTCGGCAAGTTCACTAGAACCCGGAAGCTGACTGCGTACGCCCGCCTCCGAAGTTTGCGCACCAATAGGTTGTGGCGGAAGGTTGCCGCCTATCGGCCCTGAACCGTGAAGGCCAGCCAACATCTGGCGTTCTGGACCGGATAAACGAGCAAGCTCGTCTTCTCGGAACATATCTAATCCCTGTCCAGAACTACCTGGTACGGCGGCTTGATGTGTAGCTGGCCCGTCGAAAAAAGAGCTCGTAGAGCCGATAGCCCCAATGGGAGCCTGAGGAGGCATCGTGATGGGCGAAGTAATGCTCCCAAAGCTTGGTTGGCTTTGGAGGCTATGTACACTCGAATGGTGATGTAAACCTGGAACACCAGGAATAGGAACTCTACCCATAGGTTGCTGACTAGCGTAAAGTTCGCGGTGACGAGCCATGAGATATTGTTCTTCTTGCTTACGCCTCTCCAGATTATTTTGCTCTTCTGCTGTTAAGGTCCTACCAAAACTAGGAAAAGCATTCACCAGAGGTGGCTGAATCACACCGCCGGAGTTGGAGAATGGTCCGGTCTGAGAGGGCGGACCATGAGGTATGCCAATTTGTGGAACTAGGAAGGGTTCGCGGGAGTTACCAATTCGTCTTATTAATTGGCCCAACGGCTCGAATTCTGAGTCTTCGAGCTTTTTAACCCGTAGATCCGGCGTGAAAAAATTGGCTTTAAACCAGTCATTCATCTCCAAACCAGTAAAGGGACCTTGCTGATGACCTTGTGGATCAAGGTATAACCATCTCATTCTATCGGGCATAACCATAGTACGAGACTGGACTGAGGGGGGTTCGGGCGTCTGGCTCGCCGGGTAGGATGGCGCGGCACTAGTCGCAGTAAAGGGTTGACTATGAGGGGCGGCTGAGATGCTGCCGTGTAAAGGTTCCGAACTGACTGGGGTTCGAGTAGACTCAGGCTGAGCGAACATATCGGCGAAGATACCCCTACCTGCTCGCATGGGACTGTCTGTATCACGGGCGTGATCTCCTGGAGCGGTACGGCCGATAGCACCTAATGGGTTAGGTTGTCGAAGGTCCGGAACCGAGTCGCTCAAGTTTTCATTGTCTTGAGATCCCATTTGCGCTTGCATCGCTGGAGGGAATAGTGAACCAAGCTTACTCGCTCGACCAAATGATCCAGAACCACCGAAGCCCGAGGCGCTTGCCGGACCAAACACACCACCGAGATTGCCAAGGCCAGGAGACTGAAGATCGCCAACGGGGCCAAATAATGAGCCACCAAAGCCTGAGAAAGGAGCGCGCTCCCTATCCGGGGTACTCGATGAGGGCCAGCCGGTTAGATTACTTAATGGAGGATAGGCTTTTGCACCTACGCTGGAAGTCTGGCTACGATCGCTACCGTCGAATGCTGCGTGAGGAAAAGTACGTGGCAAGCCTCCACCGTAACCCGAAACATGATCAGACGCACCAGCAGAGCCGTGTTGTCTTTCCCCAATATCTTCATGTTCGCCACGTTCACCGGGAGGGCTTCGATAAGGATTTGTTTCCGATGGACTTAAAGGCGTATGATCATGTTCCAGATGGCCCCCCAGATTTAGACTTGACATCCCGAAATCTCCAGTAGAGCCTTTTATAGGAGTATCATATGTTGTAGAGTGAAGAGGGGGGTGGGACATCGGAGGAGGGCTCGTATCTTGAGCGCCTCCTAGTACAGCACTACCCGAGCCAATATCTTCACCGAAAGGGTCAGTATCAGTGCGCTGTCGCGGGCGCCAAGGACGGTTGGGATCTGTCGCGCCACTCTCGCTTGACTTGGCTGCGATGCTATCGGAGCTCTCTTTGGGGATCAAATGTGCCAAGCGGCTCTCGCCACGTACATTTCCAGGCCTCTTTTCCCCAATTGTAGCACTCGAAAGCGAAAAGTGTCCAAAACCACCAATACTAGGCAAAGCGCCCGGTGCTGAGGTTTGCCAAGGGGAGTTTCCTCCAAAACCTGCGCTGCTCGGGGTTGTGTTGTTACGCATCAAACCACCGAACGGTAGAGACTTGGCAGAGGCTTCGCGCGCACCTGGATCTTCCTCGGGCTCTTCAAAAGTCGAATCCTTCGTATCAATATTTTTCCCGCCAAACCAACGCGACGAGTCGTCTCGAGGCGGTCGAGTTGCGGATGTTGGAGAGGTCAAACCCGAGTATGGATTCGTATCGGTAGTTTCACGTCGTCTCGTCCCAGGCCTCGATGATGCGGAAGGTGAAACGAGTCCGAAATTGGTGGATGTCGCATGGGAAAGAGAAGTCTTTCGGCCATTCATACCTCCTCCTGGATGATTCCCATCTTTATTCTGGACCGGCGGTTTCATGGCGGAATTTACATCAGATGTGAAGAGCTAATTGAAAATGGTTAGTTCTCGAAGGAAAGTAGATGTTCTAACAGCTAAGACTTGACCAAAAAAAAAAAAAAAAAACTCGCACGTGTGTGTTGCTTACCTCCTTTTCTTCAACATTCATCTCTTGTAAACCGACAGCTCTGGTTGTACCCGGCGTATCCCAGCAAATGTCGGGCTCTTGAGGAACAACATGGGAATCCCCAGTCTTCCCCCAGCCTCTAGAAGCAGTACCATTAGTATGCCCAGGATTCCACCCAGGGAGGAATAAGGCGGAAACGTCAGGTAATTGAGGATTCGAATCGTGGGACGCATTGAAAATGGAAAGAAGTTGGTCTCTCGAATATCTAAGTGTGCCTGAACTTTCGACGTTGATTGAGCCAACTGGCATTGCAGAGATAACGGCAGGGTCAGCTGAAGCAGGATGAACGGCTTCGGAGGTTTGTAGCTGATTTAGCGATTGGCTCGAAGGAGTTGTAGATGTCCGACGGAAAGTGAGAGTTCCACCATTAGTAGATCGACCCGGACGAGACCTAAAGAACGAAAGTATCAGCATACCCACGACAACCAAAATGCATTCAAGGCATATAAAAGTATATAGGAATGAAAAATGGCAGCATACCATTCTCCACTAGTATTTCCTCGACTATCATTCCTAGCACCTGATCTCGTATCACGACTTGAATTCTGTCCAGCAGCGGCTGAGGCGAAACTCGAAGGTAAGTTTGATGGCATTGTCGCGAATATGAGAGGCTGTAATCTTATACAATTACGACCGAGAAGAATAGGAGGGAGGGAGGGCGATCGTGGCGTCTAGGATTTCGGGAGAAAATCGAGACACTTAAGGAAGAGGTGGAGGTAGAAGGGAGTTGAGGCTATTCTCGCCTAGAATATTAGAGTCAGTGTCGCTACAAGTGGTGGATACGTAAAAGAAATTTTCGTTTTTGCATACAAGAATGTGAATAGGAGCACTCGAGGTCGAAGAGGTGTAATAGTAGTAGTTGTTTTAAGTCGTAATTAAACAAACCGTACTTTACATGGAATTCTTTTTTTCGGATCGCGTAATGAATAATTGTCTGTGATTCGTAAGAATAATCGGGAATACGAATAATTAGATTATTCGCTTTTTTTGTTGTTATTGTTGTAAAAAATGCGAAATGCGGTGGGCTTCAAGGGTTGTTGTTTCGTAGAGGCCTCTTAGGTCTCTTCTCACTCTGGTGACGACTTGCAAATTCCTATTTTTTATTCTGCTGGGTTGAAATTTCAGGGTTAGACGCTAGGTAAACTTTCCTTCGGTAGCAGGGTAGGCAACTTTAGACAGCTGGGGGCAAAACGGCACGAGCCTCCGACCAGCCGCCAGACAATAGAGAAAGCCACATGTAGCCCCTCCATTTTTAAGACCAGCCACACACATTACAGGGATTTTATTGACTAAGGTGGGTGGTACAGTGGGTACATTTTACTTACATAAGGCGCTGTGGATAAATAAACACAGAACGCCAGTCAAAATGATGCCCTATCAAGACGCATGTACCTTCCTAGCTACATGGGGCAACAGGGCTTTTCAGCTGTGAAAGTTTTACTTGATGCTCCAAAATATCCTACCTAGGTACTTTGATGCCCACTTGATTTTATTGCAGACTACATAATGTACAATTGCCTATCTCATTCAATATTATTTACATGTATGACTCAGACTCGTAACGGATACCTGTCAACCTTCCAACTTCGTTATGATTCAAATTCAGCAAGCCTCGTAACATAATAAACTATCCCTCAAATCAAATAACGGATACTGCTGCAATTGGCTGTTTGAAGAATACAATTGCTCAAAGTTGAACATACCTAGGTAGGTAGGCACCTAGTTCCCAGTACAGCCGTACAGTCAACTTGGTAACTCCGAAACTCCTGTTTGTAATACAAGACGACAAACACGTCGTCAATTACCTATAACCGCCACGAATTTAGCTTACCCAATAGAGGGGCAAGAGAGCGTGTCACAATGAGGGGAGACACTTCGCTTCGAATAACAAAGAGCCATTATTAATACGAGTAGCTTATAAAGCTTCGCTTGCTCGGCATCATATAATACTAACACTTACACTATCCCGAGGAAATAAATAGTACACTTCCTCCCGAGACCTATACTTCAAGGGATGAGACATTTTGCATCTAGATATCAGAAATCAATTCACCAATTCATTGACATTCTTGCATCTTACAATCGTCAATATGATTATTCATCGTGTTACACTATTTAACATCCCAAAAGAGGAAGACATTGATTTCCTTGTTAGTCAGTATCAAGTATTAAAGCAAGAAGCCGTGAAGGTTAGTCTACTCGTATCCTTACCTACCTTGGCACTCAGTTCTATATAACTACCGATAAACCATGACCATGGCTAACAACTCGTGTTCGTGTCGCTAGGATGGCCAGCCTTATATCCAATCAGTAATAGCTGGACGTGCACTACCCGATGAGCGATCCCGGGGTTATACCCTCGTCGGTAAAACCATATTTCGTAACCTGGATGATATGAAATACTACGACAAAGAATGTGAAGCTCATAAGCGGTTTAAGGCACATGCCGCTCCAAGGAGGGTTGGTGATGTCTTGACAGTATATTTTGAGGAATCAGGAACTACGTGATGATCTTAGTTGATACCGGGTAACGAATATGGAACGCTATAACCTGGGTAACACTAGGAAATGCGGGGGGCACTCTCATAGTGAGAATCATGGCTTGGTCATAACCTCGGTAGTGAAGTAGGTTTCATGAAATGGAATTCATACTCGCTTTTAGCCCCCCGACGGAAATTTGCGTCTAAAATGTGCTTTTTGCGAAAATCCGAATTGGCTATGGAGAAAGATTCAAAAGTATGCCGGCGCCAATAGATGTCTACCTTCTACATGCTATGTTACTATCACGGGGCGATGTAACAATTCATTAAATTAGCAACTATCAATTTACCTGAGTATCAATTTAGTACCTAGGTAGTCTACTATCTAGGTATTCTCTACTACCTCCCACGCACAAATCGTAAGCGATTGCTTGTAGATACATTCCCATATTAATCACCTACTCCTACACAAAGCCGAAAGAGCAGCATTAGAATCGGGGCATTCCCAATGCCTCCCTTCTTCCCGTGCTTGCTGGGTCGAGATAAGGCACCTCGCCAATACCCGATGCTCGTACACCAGTTCTGATTCCATCCACGAGATGCGTGTCGGGCTATTTTCGATAACATTAGCGCTAGATTTCATCCAGAGAATAGCATAATTGAGAACAAGATGAATCGCATATATATACAGGAAAAAAGGTACTCACAGTAGCGGCGTGCAAGGTGCACAAGTTGCTCCAGATGGCACAAGCTCCTCTCGTCCAATGCACTATAAAAGTCAGCCGCCATAAAACACGAAGTGGGGGTTTTGAGGTATGTCCAAGTAGGAAGGCTTATTTTCAAAACAGGCCATAAAGGGGGAAAGGAACATACTTCGAGCCACGCAGTCATGGTTACGTGTAATAAGACGCAGCACGTATTCACGGATCAGATTATCCTCATAGGAAGTAACATCGTTAATACGACTAACATGAAGTCCCACGCCAGCGAATAGGGACTTCCAACCAGTCACAGGTTCCGTGCGAATAACGGGGTGCGATGGTGAGAAGTTGTAATCAACGTTAAGCGGTGATCCGCGTGGTGACATAACATCGTACCCACCAGCTTCACAAGCTGACTGGAAAACGGGCTGAGCGCAGGTTGCCGTCAAAGTTTCGAGGAACTTCTGGAATGGAGTTGAGAGCCGATCATATAGCTCGTATCCTGATACCCAAAGAGTGTCTCCTCCCGAGGGTGGAGTAGACTGCATGCGTAGGAAAGAGAAATCAGATGGGCAAGTCTCGAATAAGCCTTAAAAAGGAGTCTGATTAGTCACCATGCATCGTCTAGGGGAGTTCAATGTTCTACATACTGTCGCTGTGCCATTCGCGACCTAGATCTCGAGGTTCGCTGGCTGCGCCGGGTCGGTTTTTCATTGTTGCATATAACTTCTTAGCTGCCTCGGAGTTGATTACATAGCTATACCATATTAGTACTTACTATGCATAGTTCGGTCAATACCCAGAGACTTAGGCAGGTAACATACATGTTTTTATCGGTAGTTCCATCCTCCATAGGCAAATTGTTTGGGTCGTTATATAGCGGGTGTACATGTAGGCCATTCTCCGGGGGTCGCCCGGTTAACTTGCCTAGCATATCGGTGATGTACTTTTGTTCCTCGACGGACAGATCATCTTGAGGTTCTCGAAAAAAGACGACACCACGTTCACAAATGGTTATCGCGAGGTCGCGCAATTGCTCATCTGCATTAGGAGCGTCAAGAATATCCTTGAGTTTTGCGTTGGGATATTCCCGGCCAATGATTGGTGTAACATCGATATACTCAAGGTGGTCTATAGACTTTCCCTTCTTCAGGGGCTCACGGATGAACTTGCTAGTATGAAGAGAACCCATGTCGTATGCAAATTGTATATTAGTTCACTCAAGGGCTACCAAAAAAGTAGGTAATAAGTTTGGGGACTCTTGAGATTCGGTTAGGAATAGAGTGCCCAACCACTTATATCAACAAGACATTACCATCCGGGGACCCCAGAAACCATCAATTATGCCGATCAATGTCTCCAATTGTAACCCAACGCATTGCCGTCCCAGGAAGCGGGGACGACTAGCGGTTATTTTGGGAACGGCAATGAAGAATCTGGAGAAGTTGGGGCCAAGGAGCGGGGATTCCACGATTCTTCAGCTCTTCTACTCCAAATGACTTTGTCAGCTGCTCATTTCGACTACGGCATAGGTATTTAGGGGAGGGATGTTTGATCTTCTAGGATGAATTCTTTTCCTTGATAATCCCCCGGGTTCTTGAAGTGAACATCGGCTGAGAGTCCCGAAAAGAATCTCCAGCCCATCTAGTAATCTTCCAACGAAAGCATACGAATACTAGAATAAAAATGGTTGGCGCCGTCGTATCAGCCAATCCACTACAACTAGATGTTCGTAGTCACATAAAGTGTCTTGCCATCTGTTGTGTGATAACCATCTCAAGCTTTCAATATGGCCTCGATTATGCCCTCGTTGGTGGCTTCATGGCCATGCCCGGATTTTTGCAAGTTTTCGGTTACTATAACGAATCGACCAAGGCATGGGCCATTGACCCGACTGTTCAACAATTGATCTCATCTTTGATGACAATTGGGACTTTCGTGGGTTCGCTCTCAGTTGGAGCATTCAGTTCTAAATTTGGACGTAGACACGGCTTGTGGTCTGCGGCTATTCTGAACTTCATTTCGACGGCGGTTATGATTGGCACGACCAATCTCGGGGCGCTCTACTTCGCACGCTTTGTTCTTGGTAAGTCACGAAAAGATGTTGTAAACATCAAAAGCTGATATAAATGTACAGGAATTTCCGTCGGATGGTTTCTCACATTTGCTCAGGTCTATATTAGCGAAGCAGCACCAGCTCATCTTCGAGGTGTCGTGTTTGCCGTTTACCAATGTCAACTCTCTATTGGCTCTATCGTCGGAGCTTCAATAGATTATGGGACGCACCTTATGCTTAGCAAACAAGCATACCAGATTCCACTTGCGATGTTCTTCGTTGCTCCCGGTATCCAGACGATTGCACTTTTCTTCTTTCCGGAAAGTCCGCGGTGGCTTATGACCCAAGGAAACGAGGCAGCGGCGGAATCATCGTTGCGGAGACTACGCAACATGAACATTGACGAGGCAGAATTTCAAGCCGAGTTCAACGAAATTAAAACTTCGACTGCGCAACAAATTGATTATCATCGCGGGAAGCACCTATGGATTGAGATGTGGAAGGGTGTAAATCTTCGCCGATCTCTCCTCTCAATATCTGTTATCTGCTTCCATTGCGCTAACGGTCAGTATTCTTGTGGCTCTTAAAAGAGAGGCAATGAATATTATGCTAACCTTTGCGATTAGGTTCCTCTTGGGTCAATATTTATGGAGTATATTTCCTCACGGTAGCAGGAGTTAAAGAGGCCTTTGCCTTTTCCACCATGATAACATGCATGGGACTCCTTGGTGTCTTAGCCAGCTCTTTTGTCGTTCGTCACATTGATCGTCGTGTTATATTGCTTGTTGGTGTAGGCGCATGCGGTTTATGTCAGCTTGCGTTCGCTGTTGCTTGGACAGCAGCTCCGGGGACTGCAGTCGCTGGAAAGGTGGTTGTTGCTTTTATCTCACTTTTTACCTTCTTCTACACAGCTTATGGTAAGTTACCAATATACCCTCTTTCGCCAATGCTTCGAGTTTGGGAGATGATGGCTAATATTAGTAGCACCTTACGCCTGGCTTTTGGGAGGCGAATTGCCCGATAACCATCTTCGAGCTCACACTTATGGTCTGGGAACCGCTCTTAACTTCCTTGGAAACTGGTTGGGTGTCTTTACTGCACCATATTTTATAAATCCGGCGAGTCTGGGGTGGAGCGCTAAATATGGGTAAGTGATAAAACCTCCATTGACGATACCTTGCTAACAGTTGGATAATAATAAAGGTATATCTGGTTCGGATCTAATATGGTGGTGTTTATTTTCACTTGGATATTCGTACCCGAGACACGAGATCGAACGTTAGAGGAGATTAACGAAATGTTTTTGCCGGAAAAAGATATTGAATCAGAAAAGGAAAAGAATTAGGATCAACCGGAATGATATGCCTTGAGCTATAAATCTTTTGTCGAACTGCTTACCAAGGCGGGGTGATGCGCTATATTTGTAGAGGATTGCTAGTAATTGAAAAGCAGTCTTGAATTTGATTCTCGTATGATTTCTCACCAATGCACGAAGTGATGGCACTCCAAGTGTTCCAGAATGGGGGAGACATCGTGGATATGATGTTGTATCGGGAAGAGTTCTCACTTCACTGTAGCAGTTTGTAGATGGAACAAAATACCCCTCACAGTGCAAAGTTTACTGTATTTGGCTCAGCTATGGGATTCTGAGCGGCGGGGTTGTGCCTATCCCGGTACCTAATTCGGAGTCCCGCGGGGACAGAACTACGCTGAGTGCAATCATAAAAGCCTTACGGGATACAGTGTTTTGGTTACTGTGGCGATTATTAAGGGCCATCTTCTTCGCTTTTAATTCTTACATTATCTTTTAACATCTACAACTTCAATTTTACTCAATTTCAAAAACTACTTATTAATAAAATCCATCGTTCAATACAGACGCCTATTGCAGCCCCTAAACCAATCCTAGTCTCTAAGTCGGTCCGCCTTAAAAACCCCATTGCTTACACCAATGCTTCATAATCTCCGGTGTAACGGCCTTGACGGATCTCATAGTTGCGCTGCGCTCTGTAGTACGCTCCATTTCGAAAACAATAGGTTGTTGGCCTGCCTCTGACATTCTTCGGTACGAATCAATGAGTTTGACACCGGGATTCTTGTCAATATTTTGGGTATCATCGACCTGACTTTGTTCCAATCGAGCAATCCAGTCCTTGAAACTAATCAATTCTCGGATGCGTTCCTTTCCATAGAATTCTTGCACAGCTGGTGCGAGCTCGGCCCATGTCGTAGCGGACGGGTTAACGCCATGATAATAACCAGTAATATCCTCAGCAGCGAGTTTCTGAGATATACCGCCGACTTCGAGGACCAAATTCGCAATACCTTCAGCCGGTGTCCAATCGACCTGTTGCATGATTCCGAGATCCGCTGGAAGAGCACCAATATGCAAACTGCTTGCGATAATAGAAGGGAGCCATTCTTGTTTGTTCCAATAACCGGCCTCTGCTTCAGGACCAGCGATTTGGCCGACACGGATTATGGCAGCTGGAAAGTCGCCCACTTTAGAAACATCTTCCAAAATGAGATTTCCGACCATCTTGCTACGTCCGTAACCACCACCAGCGAGCTTTAGATCTTCGAGTCTTCCCTCAGGCACCTTTCCATTAGCGCTGTTCCAATGATCGACAGTGCCAATCGAAGATACTATTTAAAGAATTTGTGATTAGTTATTCCCGCTCGGTGTTCGTTTCTCAGCAACTTGAGAGTTGCGAATTAAATGAAACGAAATTCAACTTACTGAATACGACAGCTACGCGCTTCAAAGAATTGGTAGCAAAGTCGGCCACATTTCGGACACTTCGGATATGCGGATCAAATGATTCAACAGGCATATTGAAGTTAACCGGCCAAGCATTATGAATAATACGATCAACTTCGTTCAACAGTTGATTATACACATCAGCAGGTAGACCAAAGTCGGAGCGCGACATATCTGCACGTAGAAATTCGGTCTTCGATTCGAAATCAGGACTGAGACCTCGGTCTTTAGCAACTTGTACTTGGCGTTTTGCGCCACCATCCTCGCCTCTATTCAAGCAAATCACTTTCTTCACTGCGGGGTTTTTCACCATGAAGTCCAACATGTAAGATCCTAACATGCCAGTAGATCCGGTGAGAATAATGGTTTGCGCATCGTCTAGAGGGTCAGACCTCCCTTCTTTTTTCGTAGGGAGATGGTCGGTGTATTTTTCCCGGAGCGACTTCATGGATTGGAGCTCGTGCACCTCATTGTTCTCAGTCCTGGGATGAGTTTCGCCTTTGATGATCGAGTGTATATATTGTGCAAGTCTTCGTGGAGTTGGGTTTCCATAGATAACACGGGCAGCTAACATAGCAGCATCGACATGGAATCCAGAAGCCTTCAATCCAGAGCGAAGGAGTCGTGATGCATTAATGACCTGCAAGGAATCGACACCCGCAGAGAAAAAATCGGTATCTCGTTCGAGTTCTCCCTTAGATCGCACTCCATCTCGGAACAGCTCCACAATGGAATCCGCCAATGTGTCTTCAGAACTTACGTCGATATGTGTTATAAGTGTATCGAATTCTTTGCTCGTACCCTCGTACAGCTTCTCAATCTCGTCTTTGTACAACTTCAGCGTACTTGCTCGTTGAATAGTACCTTTCCCAGCGCGCTCAAATGGCTTATTTGGATCAGAGAGCCTTATGAACTCACGACCTATCTGCCCATGCGCAACGGTCTCCTTGTTTGCCTTGACAATATACGTCCAAACACTATCGAGAAACTCTTCAGCTTCTTGTTTGTTCCTGGGTGTCGTTGCGGGCTCAACAAGAAGGCCAGGTTGGAAGTGGTTGGAACCCACCACAAGCACACCTTTAACTCCAGGGTGGTCGGTAATGATCTGTTCGATAGTTACTGGGTTCAACTTTTCTCCGGTGGAAAATACAATGATGTCATCAGATCGCCCGTAATAAATCCAATGATCCGGAAGAGTTGGATGTGGCCTATACAGGTCACAGGTATCGTACTCGTCAATATCCGGGAAGGTATAGAAAATTCCCTGGGTACCTGGGTGCTTGTCCTTTCGTACCATCACAAATCGATACACATCCTCGGTGCCTTCAACCTTTCGCCACTGCGCTCCTACTAAATCTGAATTGAATATGAACCATTGCCAGAGTTCAGGCTTAGGTTGGTAGTACAGAGGAATAGCATACCTAAAGCGAGTTAGCAAGTCCGCGTATCAGAATATTCACGCACAACAAGAGACAAGGACAGAGGAGCTCTCACTCTGTAGCTCCTATCGCGTTGGAAAGCTTGATACCATAGCTAGTCAGTCTATCACCAGCTTCTTTGTTGAGATTCCCTAGGCGAAATCAGTCTGACATAGCCAAGGCATACATCCAATATGTTGTTGATTACTTACCTCCGGCAAATGCAACAGATTTGAGCTTCGCCAGAATTTGAATGTACTCCTCACTATGACTAATTTCTTCCAAAATCGATGGAGGGAAAAATGCACCATCTACATTAGCATTCTCCAGACACTCCAAGGCTAGTTCTGTGGATAGAGGACGATCACCGATTCCTAAAGCGATCGAGGTTCCGTAGAAAATCGTACTAAAGACGAAGAAGAAAATTCCTGCGGCGTGAAACAGGGGCACTTGGGTCACATTAGCAGAGTTAAGTATATATCCTGAATGGGTAGACCCAGCTTACTCGGTGCAAAGAACCTCTTAAGAGACCCCACAAGACCTCGTAACCAAGTTACAGTGCCCCGAAACTCGGGCGAATTTCGCATAGCATCATTCACAGCCATCAAACCATGCTTGAGGACAACTGGCTTTGGAATTCCGGTACTTCCACTGGTGTGTAGGACAGCGAAGGGTTCCCATTCGGCTTCTTCAAAGGTTTTGTTGTAGGGGAAATGTTCCGCCTCTTCTTCCGGAAACCATGTTTCGAGAGGGCCGACTTCAACGGTTTTCATTTCTCGTTCTTGTAGCCAAGGCTGAATCACTGCGCGGAACGGCTTTGCAAAGGCTAAGATGTTGCAGTCTGTTTTTTCGAATAGGCTCATTTGGCCCTCCTGAGTGTTCCGAGGAGAAATAAATAGGGCCTGCATTTCTGTTAGCGTACTTAGGTGCGTGTTCCGTCTTCTAGGGAATACAATACCTTGTAGCCAGCCTTTATAGCAGCAATCAGGATTACGATGTAGCGGGCATCGTTTGGACCGATATACGCTATGGTGGGGAAAGAACCTGGAGAAGGAGTACCACACGCCTCGACGATCTTGTGTGCCGAGTGGTTGATCGCATTTGCGTACTCCTTGAACGTAATGGACCTCCAGCCGTCCTTGGGGTCCGAAGAGCGAGGTATAGTGAATGCCTCTCGTCCAGGGTCTGTCTTTGCAAACCCATCAATGATATGAGGGGCTAGCCGACGTCCATACTCCGGCTTGTTGCTGCCATTAGTATGTGCTCCTGCCGTCTCGGCCATCATTAGACTTGTTGGAAATTATCGGTTGCTCGTTTCTCCGCGTACTTCTTTAGGTAAGATATGTGTTATAAATGAAACTCGATATTTAGCTACTGAGATGTTTTGTTAGTTCGTCAAGAGAGTATGATCATAGTCCTTTATATACCCAACAGATGTTCGAAATACTTACGTTGTTGTACAAATTCGACCGCGTCTTCGGCTTAATCTATCGCTTCTTCGGTCAACCCACCGCGGCTCCGGTTTAGTTAAGGAGAGCAATTTACTGTATTATTACCAGAGTTGAATTGTAATATGTAACGCAAAGAATGGCCGAGACCAAAACTCGGTGGTAACAGTTCAGAGGGGATGCGTACATTAAAGAAGCGTCACCATGATGAACGCGGCCGAATCCCGGAGTTCTTGTGGCGTATGTATATGTAGGAAGGGTTGATTAGATGACATAGTCACATGGAACGGGTTTGGTACCAATGGAACGGCCGATTTTTTTCTGGGTATCATCTTGATGCTGGATAGAAAATGGAAATGTTGAACCGGGATAGCTATCTAAGTAGAAGCATTACCTCTCTCGGACAGATTTTTACTAAAACGTTTAGGGTCGGCCCCGAATCATTGGACCAGCTACTACGAGAAGTCCTTGGTATAAAGTTCTTACTTACGAGCCAGCAAACCGCATCGTACCAAGCAGGTAGTTTAGGTAATTGTATAGAAACTTACGTGAGCACGGAATGAGCAATGAGCGGTTGGTGTCTCATGATGTTGCATAGGACTCTGCATAAAGAGCCGGGGGAATAGGGTACAACCAACTTAATAGGTGTATATTAAATTATGTCCGATTCCCTACCTGCTAACTCGGGAATAACGTCGTCATGGTAATCTACATCGGCAAATAGACTTGGGTATGTATTTCTTTACCTATTAAAGCTACCATGCAACCCGGGTTAAGCTATTCTGCAAGTCACCCGCATATCCTATATCTCGTCGTATACTAATAACTGAATTTCCAATTGTGTCAAGTATAAGTGCGGTTTATTTCCGATGGTACTTTTCAGTCCCACTACGCTGAAGCCACCCAGCCCCCAACATCTCCGAGGATCGCCAACACACCGCCCTAACTGTGCCGTGTTCTCTAAAAGCAAGAGTTGCCAGGGGTTGTAAAGTCAAGTATATGATGGGGGAAAATACAAGTATACATCCAAGCCGTTCCTACTATAAACCCCCGACCCTTATCCCCGAATGCTCCTGTTGCAACGCCCGATCCATGTAGGTCATAGAGACGGGGGAGTGGGGTGGCTATTTTATTCCGCTATTCTACCTCGGTACCAATTCCGCGATCCATTTATTATTCCGCTCTTGTTTTTCAGCTCTACTAAAGCGGCAAGATTGAAAGGGTATAGGCTATTCTCCGTTACATATTGTGAATGGTAGTAGGCTGTAAGACGGACGATTCGATTTCACCATTGAGAGATAACCAATTAAGACTAAGTTAGGAACAAGTTATACTACTGGTGGACCAATTAGAATAAATTATTTTGAAGAGATATAGTCTTGTGCTCTGACTAAGATTATAATAACTTCTACATTTCCTCGGCTTGGCACCTACTTATTTTTATCTGATTATTCGCCTCGGCAGATGCCTAAAGCTACCAGGACAAGCTGGTTCATTTTATGATTAAGCCAGTAAATACACAACCTGAAGTTTGCCTAGCTATGTGATGGAAACTGGAAGGCGGCCTCTTTTCTCAATGACCACCTTGTTGACCAATACCAGCTCGCATCATCTCGAAACGGAATAGCCGACACGAGGCCATGTTGATAAGAAGGGATTAATATGGTAATACGGCTTCAACATTGTCCGCGGCTCCGAGTCATAAGACTGGTGTATTATGACAAGTTCTTGGGAGGTAGACACTTATATTCGCCCATTGGTCCTTGAATCCATATTGGTATTCTAAGCCGAAGGTGAATCATAATGATTAATGCTTAACACGCCACTTTATCTACCCGAGTACTTTGTCATAAATGAATTTTTTAATGCGACTGTTCGGTAGCAACGATTGAGAATGCCTGTAAGGTATCTTCCGTAGATGAGACGAGTATCTCAAAAGTGGATGGGTAGCATTATCGTCATCCCATTTCGCCACCTTAGAAATGGAATGAATGTCGGACCTGATGAAGCTTCAAATATTAGCAACAATTTTATACAGCAATATAGACAATGGGTATTCCACGCATAAACACATCGAACTTTCTCCGCTGAAATCAAACACCCAACGCGGTGGTTATGGTGGCAACCCTATGCTGACAGATTTTGTGTCCCCAGCTCCAGCGAAATACCTGTTGTAGGCCCTAGTTCCATTTACCTGTCATTGGACACAAAGTCCGCCGCCTTGGGAACTGGAGTTCCGGTGCTGCGTCTGGCCTACCGGTGCCGGGCGCGCAATCGGTACTACTTAACGGATGTCCGAGCGGCGGCGAGCTACCTCCAAGATTTATATGGGTTAAATTGTTTCGTATTAATCGGATGATAATTCGGAGGTTCGCCGGTATTTACAGTCCGCGGAAGTGATGAGCGTGTTATCGGGCGCGTCACCGTGGTGAGCCAGACGGCCGAGATGGATGGGATTCGCCACATCGCCCCGCGATTTGTTCTCCTGTTACATGGTACCGGTGTTACTACATTAAGTTCCTCGTGTTCCGAGAGGTTGTACAATATGTAGGGCGATAAGGGAAACAGGCGGGCTCAATTATTCGAGGGCGACAATCATGCGCTTAGCGGGAATACGCGGGTCGCTGAGGTTATGTTGCTTGAGTCCATTTCTAGTTGCGCTAGATTGAAGATGAACCAGAGAATGAGGTTGCCGAGCGCGAATTGGTGGAGAAGGTGAGAGAACCGAACTCATAAAGAGTAGGCGATTTGAGACCACTAGAAAACCCGTAGTGATACTTGGATCATCATATTTAAATATCGGAACTCCGTAGAAATGCGTTTTTGATGCATTGAGACTGAGAAGCCTTGTTACCTGTTTCGTGGAGGCCATCTGAAGCTTAGTAAGAGTAAACAGGAGAAATGAGACCATGCCAGTTTCAATTATGGTGGGGTGAAATGTTCAGAGGTACATGTATGTTTGGATTGTTTATGTTCACGGGACAGGAGGTAGGTATATTAGATACATATCGGCTAGAAGTGACTATGAGTAGAGAACCCGTTGGAATTATCGTCGCCCTTCCATAGTTTCACTAGCGGAAGACTTATTAACGAGGGGAAATATACTTGCAAGAAAAGTGCATCTATGATTGCCTCTTCTTTCCCTTGTAGAGGTACCTGGAAATAGTCAGCTTTTCCAAACTCGCGATATAATCCTCCGGAATCTGGGAAACACTCACCTTCCAAGGAATCCTTCTATAATACCAACACCGGCCACGATACCAGCACCAATACCAACGCTCTTCCAGCCTAATCGTCCGTGCTCATACTGACCCCAAGCCTTGTAACCCAAATATGAACTAAGTCCTACAATAGCGGCCAAGTTGGAGATAGCTAAGGTCGTCGTCGTGCCGTCGCTTAGGTCACTGAACCACTTAGTAAGGATAGTATCAGCTTTGCGTGCTCTTCCAGCGCCCCTCTTCTTCGCAAGATGAGCTTCTGCACGAGCACGTTCCGCGGCATCTTCTAGTTCTTGGCGGGTAGCTTGGGTTTCGGTCTTGACGTCTTGTTCCATAAAGTCGGAGGGTACGGTGCGCACGGAAGGTGTGTCGACATCTACAAGAGAAGCGGTGCTTGCAGATTCGGATGATATGACCTCAGGAGGTTGGGGGGCAGCAGCCTATAATAACAAAATGTTAGCCAGTTTTTCTCGCGGTGCTTTTCAGAGTGAGAGCAAGAATGGGGGAGGGGCTGCCACTTTACATACCTCTGCGGGCGTTTGCTTCGGACCAGATGCGGCAGCAGCAGCGTAAGACACTAGAACGAAGAAGATGTTAGCAAGATATTCTATCCCTTTTCCTTCTAAATTTCTATAATATTCCAATCAGATAATTTGTAGAACAAAGCCCTTACTCTTGATTAGTGCTGTTGAAAATTATCAGCAGGCAAAAGTGTATGGATTATGAACAGCTTGTATAGAGTATAGACGGATTGTGATTTGATGTCAAGAGGTTAATGTTTCAAAACGGTTTTATGATCGAGTCAGGTGGTGATAAATTAAAGAGAAGAAAAAAGAAACAATTGCGACTTGTGGGAAGAAACCGGAAGATGTTGATGAACGAATGATCGTGACGCCTTGGTAGCTACCCGGTGGTGCTAGACCCCCCCACCCCTGTCGCATATGGTCGAATGACGTATTCGCGGGTTCAATTCATGTGCGTGATGTCAAGTACCCAAGTACCATATTCATATATCAGGGAAAGATAAACTGTTAAATAAATATGCAATGTTAAAGCTATTGGATAAATAAATAACCTCTTAAATCGGTAGATCTCGTCATCTTGCTTTCCAAGATTGATTAGATCTCCCTCTCTCTTTCTGTCTCCCTTCCTATAAATACTAAATCTATTCACATATGAAAATCACCTTCTATTATCTTTCTCAATAGTATCAACCAAGGAACCGAATCCAATATGTCGTCAGAAATTAACGTACACGCGACCTTCCCAGGGTTTCAGAGTCGGTAGTCCGACATCCTTGTCAAGCGACATGCCAACATCTCCGCCCTCCCCGTATTGCGTACTGACTAGAAGCCTTGCTCTACCTTCACCCAGCACTTTCTCGATGTCAGGGCAGTCTTGATCATCAATAGAAAAGTTCAGCACAACCACTGCAATTCTCTTCGTTCTCGTTTGGCTATGATTAGCTGTGCCATTTGTCTGGGGTTGTGCATCTGCGACAGATGGAGGGCTCTCCTTCACATACGCGAAGATGGCCTCGTCTTGAGGATCTAACAACCGAAATGTCCCAAAAACAAACACATCCTTATACTGCTTGCGCAACTTCAGAATCATCTTATAAAAATTCAGAATAGAATCATTGTCCGCGATTTGCTTTGCCGCATTAATATCCCGATATTCATCATGAACACGCATCCACGTTTTGACACCCTTCTCCGCAAACCCAGCATTGGGAGAATCGTCCCACTGAAAAGGAATCCTCGAATGATCACGAGCAAGGATGTGTAGGCCATGTATTGTATCTGCGATCCTTTTCTCGTCTTTTGAGGCTAGTGCTTCGGCATAGAAGTTCAACCCTTCTACGTCTTTATATTCATCTATATCCCATCCTGCCGGCATGTTCGCCATACCAATTTCCTGGCCCTGGTATATGAACAAGGTCCCTGTCATTGTGGCCTGCCACAGCGCTAAGGTTTTGGCGCTCGCCTGCCATAGTTGTGGTGTCGAGCAGTTACCAAATCGGCTCACAGCACGTCCATTGTCATGGTTTTCGCAGAAGACAGTTGTCCATCCATCGGTACCTTCGATGAAAGTTTGCCATTTTGCTACAACGGCTTTCAGTTGTGATAAGGTGAATGGCGAATATATGTACTTCGATCCAAACATGCCCCCGATACCAAGTCGGATCATGGAAAATTCGAAGACCATGTCAAGTTCTCGCGCCGCTGCTGATATGTACGGTAGGACTTGATCCGGATGCGGCGTATTAGACAGCTCTCCAACAGATATAGCTCCATATGGTTCAAGCACCTTAGACCGCATCTCGCGGATGAATTCGTGTATCCTTGGTCCATTACACCACATCTCTGGAGCGGCTTGAGACGGTGAGTTTGGGTCTGTAATTGGCGCATCGATGTATTCAGTGCGTTTACTATATTTATTCACAGTATCGATCCTGAACCCATCAACTCCGCGCTCGAGCCAGAAACGCATAGTATTGTCGTAAATAGCTTTACGGCAAGCTTCAGATTCCCAATTGAGATCCGGTTGTTCGGGCGCATAAAGATGAAGGTAGTATTCTTGGGTATATTCGTCCCATGTCCAAGTAGGTCCGGCAAAATAACCTCGCCAATTCGTCGGTGGGACTCGTTCTCCCCGAGAATTATACCGCGGTGGCTTCCAGATATACCAATCGCGCTTAGGGTTTATCTTCGATGAACGAGACTCTTTGAACCATTCATGCTCAATGGATGTGTGATTTACTACCAGGTCGAGGATTAACTTCATATTCCTCTGATGGCAAGCTTTAATAAGCGCGTCGACGTCCTCTACTGTACCATATGGCGCATATATCTTTTGGTAATCCGACACATCATAGCCCATATCAGCTTGCGGACTTTCAAAAACCGGCGAAAGCCATACAACATCGATGCCGAGTTCATAAAGATAGTCGATCTTGGAGATCAACCCCGGAATATCTCCCCAGCCATCCCCGTTAGAGTCTTTGAAACTAGCAGGATACACTTGATAGAATGTCGCATCTTTCCACCATGGCTCTTTGCCAAACCATCCGTTCTTGCGACACAAGCCATTCATATTGATTAGAAGTTTGCAGATTTGCTACTCTATTGGCAAGGCCGGCCGCCAAGAGAGGGGATCACAGTAAAGATAATTGGCCTATTTGAAAAATGAAGCCTCATGCACATCCGGTGCGCTAGAGTGATTCACGGCGGAAGACAGTTCTCGTGTCGGGACTGACTCCGTATTGTAGGTCCGGTCCGATCAAAATGAGGTTCAAATGAGAGTTCACCGCATTGCGCCTCGGCTAATCCTACGGCAATGAATTCCAACTCTGGTATGAAGCTGTTCGCCAAGATATTCAAGAGTCGCTTGTTGACTCCGACAAGCCTGTTCAACTCCACTCAACTCCCACTTCCTTCATATTCCGTGATAGTTATCCAATCATGATACATGAACTCCGACGTATTTTATTAGGCACAACTTATCTCTCGTTTACAGCTTGATGTTGCAATTATTAGGGCTTTACATATATTCGTATCAGAGAGAAACAATTCCCCGGAATTATCCCCAGCTTTCCCGGCTACACCCCGCATACCTAGGTGAACATGGCTCGTGTCTCCACACGAAGCTAGATTCAATAGATCTTTCACAGGCAAAATACCTTGATTTTAGGTCCGATGCCATTTAGACCGATTCTACTAGAAAGAAAAGTATAAATAGGCTGTCATGATGGCGTCGCAGTTCACGGATTCTGGACTCATCCAGTCGAGCAAGTCTCAAGCATCTATATCAGGACTATTCGAGCATAGGGAACATCTACACATCCTTACGAGCTTTAGCTGGTTTGTCGCCTTGCAAAATGACCAACATTACACCTCAAAGGAGAGATGCGTACGACACGGAAACGAGTCATGAACATGTCAACGATATAGACGTGATACGTGACCCGACGCTTGTCGCAGAGGCCAAGCAAGCTACAAATACCGAACAGCAGATGACGCTTCTCAAGGCCGTAAATCTATACCCAAAAGCCATATTTTGGTCTCTATTGCTGTCATCGACGCTCATCATGGAAGGCTACGACCTAGCGCTACTTAGCAGCCTATACGCATCACCCGTATTCAACAAGAAATTCGGCACTTATAATGCTGCTAGTGGTAAATGGGCGGTCTCGGCGGCATGGCAGTCTGGACTTTCCAACGGCGCACGAGCCGGCGAGATTCTCGGCCTCATTTTCGCCGGTTGGCTCTCGGATCGCTATGGGTACAAGATGACGACAATCGGATCATTAATTCTGATCATGTCATTTGTGTTTGTTCTGTTCTTCGCGCCAAACGTACAAGTCCTTGTCGTTGGTGAAGTACTTTGCGGTGAATATACACCTATGGATCATGATTAACTAACTCCTTGGTTTTTCTCAAATCTGACGATGGCCAGGTATTCCTTGGGGTGCTTTTCAGTCTGTTACCCCGGCGTATGCCTCCGAGGTTGCCCCCGTGGTTCTTCGGCCCTATTTGACTACGTCTATCAATATGTGTTGGGTCATTGGTCAATTTTTTGCCGCCGCTGTGAACAAGGCTTCTGTTGGCCGACCTGATGAATGGGCCTATAGAATTCCATTTGGAGTACAATGGGTATGGCCGATACCGATACTCGCTGCATTGGTGTTCGCACCCGAGTAAGTGAGAATGGTTAGGCCTGTTGTGGGGGAGTTAAGGGCTTATTATTGAATAGATCACCTTGGTGGCATGTCCGACACGGTAATCGAGAAGCAGCTAGGGCCTCGCTCCTAAGACTCACATCCCAAAACGACTCAACCTTCAACGTGGATGAGACGATAGCTATGATTGAACATACCAACCAACTTGAGAAGCGGATGAAAGCTAGCTTTACCTATCGAGATTGCTTCAAAGGGGTTGACCTTCGGCGTACGGAGATTGTTGTGGGAATTTGGCTTGTTCAAACATTAGGGGGCCAAAACTTGATGGGCTACTTTGCTTACTTCCTGTAAGATCTCGGCCTTCACTGCGATAGAATCTCGTTGAGGCAAATCGGAACCAATACTGACATACGCAGGACACAAGCCGGGATGGATGCATCTAATTCTTTTTCCCTATCCATGGGGCAATACGCACTAGGAATGGTCGGCACAGCTGGATCCTGGATCCTTATGTCCCACGTCGGCCGACGAACCATCCACTTCAGCGGCCTCTGCTGCCAGTTTATTATCCTCATTATCGTCGGATCTCTCTCATTTTCCAACGAAAATGGTTCCGTATGGGCTATAGGCGCAATGTTAATCGCTTTTACCTTCGTGTACGACTTCACCATTGGGCCAGTAACATACTCGTTAATCTCAGAGCTGTCATCGACGCGACTTAAGGCCAAAACCATCGTTCTCGCCCGCGCGGGATATAATGCGAGTAATATTTTCGTAAATGTCATGACGAACTATCAGCTCTCGTCCACGGCTTGGAACTGGGGTGCAAGAACTGCGTATTTCTGGGCTGGTACTTGTTTCTTATCTTTAATTTGGGTCTTCTTCCGATTGCCTGAACCAAAAGGTATGTTTTCATTTCATGTCATGTTGCGATATTTGAAATGCGATTATCTGCAATTAAACAGAGATTGACTTCACTACTTTTATTCTATAGGAAGAACATATGCCGAGTTAGATTTACTGTTCGAAAATCATGTTCCCGCTCGTAGTTTCGCGAAAACTAGGATTGATCCGTTTTCTCAGCGAATAGGTGGTGATGTACAGAGGATTCTAGTCGAGGAAAAGTCGGAAAGAAGACATGAGTGAGCTTAAAACAGGCATGGCAAGATAATAGACAAAATTTTATATAATTAAATGGTTAAGGGCTTACATTCCTATGAACTTCAGCCCATTTAGCTTCAACCTCTTATTCCAAGATTCCTTTTCATAGAGTCGTGTCTGTTCATTAGAGTAAATTCAATCCACATGAATTCCTTGCTTAATATTACACTCCTAGCCTAATCACCATTGTCGGAAGTGTCTGTTGTACATGCTTCAAAAATAGTGCATCGTAAACCGTCGTGCCACCTGGTAATTTCAGAATCAGGTGTCTTAAATACTTCAAGTTATCCTCTGCCGCCGTCTGATTTACCTGCACGGGCACACGTGCGAGGACATTAACAACAGCACAGGATACATCAAATAACTTCTCCGTTATTCCCACGCCGTGCAATTGAATGCTTTGTATAGGTAACTCGCGAGTCGCCGATACTAGCTCTGTAGCCACCTCCAGTGGATAGTGATAAGTACGGCTACTTTCTTCGACGTGCTCCGAGAGGTGGCCTAGACGTAAACGTAATTGCCAGATAACAATGCGAAGCCAAATTTGCGTCACTTTGAGGTTGGCCTTTTGCGTGGGGAGGAGATCAGATGGACACGAGTGGCTTAAAGCTGTGTCGATAGCTTCTTCGACATCATCTAGAGAATCCCGCGGTAATATCCGAGACGCCGTTTCTTGATTGAGTAGAGCGATGAAGCTGCTATCTAATGCTTTGAATAGAGCAGCCAAGCATCGAAATCCGGCGAGGGAAGATTCGGTACTGTTGAAAAATGATGATCCGACGCCGTTGGTGGTGACTTGGAGCGTGATGGGGCGGCGATAACGGATTGCGTGGGACCGCTCTGAAATCAATAAGACCCAGAAAAGTCGGCCTGCTAGTGATCTCGAAAGATCATCCATAGTCTCGGGTTTGATTAAGAGGAAAAGCGTCGCTGCTTCTCTAAGGAAGAAAAACGCTTGAGAGTGGTGGAATAGACTTGCGTGACACGCATATATAAAAAATACAAGGAGGACCGAGTCGAGGGAAGGGTTCGATGAACGTGCGAGATGACGATGAGCTGCTAGAGCTTCCTCGAGTAATAGCCAACCATAGGCAGCGTTATTCTCGGCCGTGACGAATTGTCCGAAGAATTTGCCTCGAGGATCTTCGACTTGTAGTGCCACCATGGCAGAGAGACCGAGGAGAACGCAGTATGCCTCACTTTCCAAGGCGGCGCGTTCCTTGAGATTTGTGATATACTCGGGAGTCAAAATTGGGATTGTTGGAGCTAGGCGTTCAAAGAAACGCGCGGAACAGTAGTCGATAACGCGAGGTGGTAACAAGTCGACCTTCCTCTCGAAAGATTCCCTTGAGAAGCTAACGAATCCATGGGGACTTGTAGGTAGGTCGATATTGGCGAGTGATGGTGCTCTCGTATAACCGATTGGCTTTGTAACTCCGTAGACTGGAATCTCGGCGATACTCTGTATTTGAGGAGGACGGTTCTGAGGTAGAACTCTAGCTTGAATAGATAAAGCACCGCACTCATCCGCGAGTCCGGCTTTGCTACATCTTTTACATGGTCGTGAATCGCTACAGGCTTTTTGGAGCCTCCTGCATCGTTGACAAGCTCGGGCGACTTGTGTTCGTTTGACTCGTGTTGGAGCTATATTGTTTATAACACCCGCTTCAGTCGTAGATGGGGAAGTCGTACGAATGGAATTATTAGCTTGAGCATGTGTGCCGTTATGTCGGTGAGATTTTGCCATATCCAGCGTACGATATGCCAAGAAAGGTCTACATGTCTTAAGCGAAGGAAATGGATAAACTCGTACTTCTCATGAGGTACAACGAGGTCATAGTTCCTACTAAAATATCACGAATTTTTCGCCGAGGAATAGAAATTCTAACTCAAGATGGAGTAGACGAGTCGACATGGAGTCGACATGGAGTTGGAGAGTTACACTAGTAAGAAACTCCTCCGCAGTCCCTCCGCAGTCCCTCCAGGTCGTATAGACTGTGGGGTAGACCAATAACAGTACGATTCTTCATCGAACGTAGTAGTCCAGCCCCTTGACCCCCTGACTAGTGCGTGAAATTTAGAAGGGACTTGCCGAAGTTCCCCAATCGTAGGCTTGTCATTCTTAGAGGCTCAGTTAGTCGTTGTCGTTATAATAAACGTATTAACTCAAGGATTAAGGAGTAGGGCCGAGTAGAATAGCTGTCTTACCACAACGATCAAAAGTACGAAAGGTAGCTTGAAGAGTTGATCAGTATCTATTTCGCCGTGTCTCATGCGCATAATAATATACATCTAATACACATTCGGAAAGTCTCCGTTTTTCGTGCGAAATCGCAAATGGTATTCTTTTCGTTGTACACTTGCACGGGTTTAGATGGGCTGGGTCGAGGCATCTTCCTCAATAGACGATGGTATTTGTAATACGTCATGTCCTAATTGTCCCAATTTTTAAGACCTCTCGCTTAAGGCTGTGCCGGAGGGACGTTTTGTTTTTCTGTTTCCTTTACTACTTCCTTAGTTTCCTCGTCTACCTTCTTAACTTCTTCGGCCGGGGTTGTCGCCTCATTTGGTTTCGATGTGACATCGGCTTCCGAAGTAATCGTCTTAGCTGACGTTGCCTCTGTCACCGATTCCGGGGTACCCTCTGCAGAAGCTTCGTCCTCGTCTAATTCTTCTCCATATACCTCGGGGTGTTGTCTAAAGCAATCTTGCATGTGCCTACATTATTTGTTAGCTTATACCAAGGGTCATATTAACAGAAATACGACGTACTGGAATTTATCTATGCAATCCATTCCTTTTGGTTCCTCTTTGGAATAGACGAAGCAGCTAAATGCAGCCTTAAACTCCTCACCACAAGGTCCGTGTGCCATCCCTCCTAAGCATGGACAATCCCAATTGATTTCTCCTGTCTCCGGGTTAAATGCTCCTTGTTGATCAGCCTCCTCTTCTAATGCTTCGGGGCTTCCCTCGGCGGGAGGAGAATGAACATGTGTTTCAACATCCTTAGCAGGTGCCGACGAGGATGTTCCGGAGGATAGCGCGGCTGTAGCTGGCTCAGGAGTGGATAGGGATTGTTGGGATTTTTGTAATCGTGCTTCGGCTTCTCGACGTTTTTGCGCAACAACGGCTTCGACTGTAGGAAGATCTTCATCTGAAAATTGAGGAGGCGGAGGTATCGTTTTCGCTATTCAGTATGTGTACATGTCAGCTAAGACTGTATATACTGTATAACGTACAGGGAAACAAAATGCGAATGGAGCCACATACGTAAGGGTTCTTCGGCAAAGGCCGAACTTGTGCTATACCAATATACCGCACCAATAGCTAAACTCCATCTTACAGCTGAGCTCTTCCAACTTCGTTTTCCTTCCGTTGCAGATGTTGATGCGAACCGTCGGCCACCGGTAGAGAGTGTGGTTTGTCGAAGAGTATTTGCGACTCGCGGCGAGGACCGCAAAGCGGATCTATACATATTGTCGGTAGATTTATCGGTATCCTATTAAAGAATGACTAGAGGTGAAAAATAAAATATGAAGGAAAAAGGTATTACGGCGTAAACCCGAACGTCGCGGAGTAAATTACTGAGGAAATGAGAAGAAACTGAATAATAGAAATTGAGGTTTGTAAGCGACTCGGAAAATTGTTGCTCTAAAAATTTAGCATCCAAACATGTAGGCTTAGGATGTCATCGATGCCAAATTGGGTGTAGTAAATGGTACTTATCTATGTACCTAGGTACACGTATCTACTAATAAAATAGGTGCAGTATCCGAGGGGTTGGAACGTTGATTAGTGGTCAGTGCACCTAACTTTAAGTGACGTGATGAGCATTTTATATCTGACTGATAGGGAAGGTACCTTATACCTAGGTAGGCATACCTAAGAATCTAGAATAGCAATTACGACTTCGTTTTACCTTGCATGAAGGAAAGTGCATCTCATTGCTGTTACTATTGAAGCCTCACCCACGTGGGCATATTAAGTTCCTTTTAATCTTATCAATCTTCCTTTCACTTCTTGAGGTACATTCTTCCTTCATGGACACAATGCCGACCCGGTAACCTCCACCATTACCTGAACGCTAGGTACCTTTCCGATTCGATAGTAGATTTACTACGGAAAGCTGTGTATCCACCGGATCTGCACCGAAGGCCATCAAGCCAGCACCCTCATTTTCTCTTCTCATCATGGAACCGGCTCGGGAGAGTAGCACCACGTACACTGAATGGCATCCCGTTAGACAACTTCTACGCTGTCAAGGATACAAGTTCGCTTTAATAATCCTAAACCAACCCATTAAGGACGAAGGTTTATTCAGAGATCTCTGGAATATAGGTATGTTTCTCAGTATTAAGCCAATGGGTCCTACCCGCAAGAATACTGATTTAAATAGCCGACACTCGTGTTGCTGCTGATGGTGGCGCCAACCGGATTTACGATCTGATCCAGAAATCTTCGTCGACGAAGCAATCTCCTTCTACGAGTAATTATGTGAGAAAATCCTTTATATGCTTAGTATGCCCAAATACATGACCAACTAACTCTTTAGGTCAATCTGAATACGATCATTGGCGACTTAGATTCTCTTTCCGATGAAGCTAGAACATTCTTCACCACTAAATCGGCGGATTGTACCATCATCCACGACCCAGACCAGTACTCCACCGATTTCACCAAGGCTGTGAGATTCGTTCGCAGAGAATTTCCCCTTAGAGATATTGTGTGCATGGGTGGGCTAGGGGGACGTGTGGACCAAGGATTGAGCCAGATCCATCACTTATACCTATTCCAAGCGTCACCAACGTATGCCTATGGAAAGATGTTCTTCCTCTCTGGTGAAAGCCTATCCTTCCTTCTCAAGGCCGGAAAACATCATATTCACGTACGTGAGCCCAATGCCGCCACCAACAACAATTTCGCTCGCATAAACGGCGAACCGTTTGCCAAGTACGTTGGTATTATACCAATCAAGGAACCAAGTGTCATCACAACCAAGGGTCTCGAGTGGGATGTTCAAGATTGGCCAACCGAATTTGGTGGTCAGATGAGCACGAGTAATCACGTTTTACCACAGACGAAGGTGGTCGAAATCGAAACTACGAAGGATGTGCTTTTCACTATTGCACTCAGGCAGGAGTCAGGAGGGAGCTAGTTACCCCTTTTATGATTCGTCGAAGCGCATAGTTGACCAGAAGGAAGCGATTTATCGGCATTTACAATGGGAAGTCACGACATTCGCATCTAGCTTCCCTAGGTCGAAATTAGCTCATACTGTTGATTGTGGACATTAGACAATCATCTCTTCTAGACTTGGTGTGGGACAACTAGAACGGCAGAGCGATCCGGAATATTTTAAAAGCGATGAATAGATTATACCAAAGTAACCCCAAACGCCTCGCTAAAAGTGACTATGCCATGCAATCTCATGACTTGACCTTCGCGATACTTTCCATTTGTCCGTCTCCTAACCGTAGCAACCCCTGAATATCCTCACTACGTGCAAGCTGTCCTACCGTAGAAAATGTAGACACAGCCAACAAAAGCCAAAGAATACTACCACCCCACCCCAAAATATCCATTTATCTTGTTTTGCCCTCCTCTCAATCATACGTATCGTATCCCCACTAACACCAAGCGTATTAGCCACGCTATACAACCTCTTCTGCGTATTCTTCAACATCTCCCTCTGCGAACCCAAGTCCCCAAGCACAGCCTGGCCCCTTGCGATGTACTCATCCAGCGCTGTGTTCGTGCTCGCGAAGAAATTCTGCTCCCGCAGAGCATGCGTCTCCCGCGTATAATCATTGCTACCCATGCTCAACTGCCCTCCACTACCATATCGATTCGGAACCGAGGGAGAAGAAGACTGTGGTGTGGCATTCGCATACGGGTTTTCAGGCGTAGCGGTAGTAAATGGCCGGCGGCCTAGAAGCTCTGTTCGGTTTTGCGCGTGTAGCGCATCTTCGCGTTGTGTCTTAAGCTCATCGAGTTGTGTTCGAAACGACGAGAGCTCGGAGCGGAAATTTCGGATCCGTTCGTAGGCTTTTTCTTGCTTTGCTGGGTTTAATTCTTGTTTCGCTAGGGCGTTGTATTCGTCTAGGGTTCGCGAGAAGGCGGTTAGAGAGGCGGAGAGAGAGCCTAGCGCTGCGGGTGTGGGAGGGGCGCTGTCGGAGGATGTGAGGCTGGTTAGGTCGCGTTTTATAGAGGTGGACTGCTTGAGCGCAGAGTTGAATTGGGTGTTCTAGGAAGAGGTTAGGTGGACTTCGTGGCGAAATGGTGGAATGGTAGCTTACCATTTTGGTGGTTTTAATGATCTATTCGGATATTTAGATGTGAGAGCTAACTATTAGCTAGAAGCAATTCGGATTCGGATTCGTGTGGATATATAGTACAGAGAAACCCTTTCGCTACGTTCAACTCGATACTATTTTTTGTCGATCGAGTACATGTAGATATCAAAGTTGAAAGGCGTTGTAGTAGTGAAGAAAGTTAGAGTTGGTTAAAGTTGCTAAGGCTAAGCTACCTAACACGTAGCTAAATGAAGCATTTCTTCCAATTGTAACTTGCTTTTACTTGCATTTATGTGGAGAGTTATAAGCTCAGAAGTACATATGTACCTAATCAATGCATGTGGCTCAAAACGTTTCATGCAGCCGGGTACCTAGGTCCCCATCTGCGGGGATGTCCCATTATGTACCGTTAGAATCTCTGAATGGGTTCATCTTCCGCAACTGCATTGCAGAGAGTTTACAATAGTAAAGCAACTTAAATGGTTCAAGAACGATTGAACTGTTAGTTGCACGAATAGTTTTACGAATAGTACATACATATGTAGTTAAACAGTTAAAAGTTAGTACTTAGGTACTTAGGTTAAAAAAAGTCCGGAAATTTATGGAAATGATGGATAATGTAAATTGTAACTGTAGCTTATCGCTTCTTCCGTAGATTTCCTGATACAAATATGTATACATAGTATGTATGTATGCCGCAAGACTATACCTCTATGTATGTGTGTATGCGTGTATGTTTGTATGCTTGTATACCTAGGTATTCATACAAATATCAATGCCCGAATTGTCGAACCATCTTTTCTTTGAGTCCGAACGGTGGAGTGCGGCGAAGTATGGGGCATGATTGGTTCGAGGGAGCATCGTGAATAAGGTGTGATTGAGTGTCTTCAAAGCCCCCCCTCTCCATTTATTAACTTCCGAGGATTGCACTTATTAACGCTACCAAGCCTAGCGGCGTGTCGTCCGTTAAATTAGGATTAGCGAAAAGTAAGGATATTAAGTAAGCGAACACCGTGAAGATAATAGGACCATATATTGTAAAGCTGTCCAGTATATTGTCGGAAATCTGGGCTACTGTGATGGAGAAGTGGATGGCGGCTAAAATAACGGTGAAAATATACCTAGAAAGTTATCAGCTAATAGGCAGGTCCGTATTTGGAACCGCACTGACAGGTTTTTGCGGTCACCGCGCCCGCCTGGGAGAAGTCTTAGCTGTAGCAATATATATATTAAGAAACAAATCAACCACACAGCATAGGTTCTTAAAAGATTATATTAGTAAGTCGTGTAGGACGTATGGGACACATTGTACCTACACGATCCATGCTGTGCTTGAGACCCCTTCTAGTGTGCGGAGAGGCACGACAGCGATAGCACTCGCCGATGAGCCCACTCCACTTGCAATCCTCAAGGTACTAGGGACTACTAGCGATGCAGCAGGGATAGCATGCAATAGGAAGCATCCAAGCAGCATGAGAATTCGTAAAGGTTGAACATGTAGGCTACTCCTATTTATACGTTGGTGTCTTAGACGTAGGCTTTCGATAAAGCCAGCGTCTAGGCTTGGGTCCATGCCGGTTACCTTGTCGTTCGGAATGGACTTGCCAGGGACGTTTGTAGAGAGAAGCCGCGTGGGATCGATGTTCTGATAAATGAGGTGATCGTCTATACAGGTGACTCCTAGAATAGTTCGAATCGAACGCCTCTTGTGTGATCTCCGGACGGGCAAGGAGCATAAGCTCAAGGAGAGGAGAATGATGAGAGAGAAGAAAAATATCATGATGACTAGTATGTATGTATCCGTTCACTTTCGGTAGGCTTTCAAATGCTCTGAAGGTCTGTTATCTGGGGAGTTTTTTTGGTTCGTAGATGTGCCGGGGGATGCAATGATAAAGAGTTCTAAGAAGAGAAATCGAGTGGAAGAAATCAAACAGGAGGGGAATTCGCTTCTTCCCAATAGGGGCGGTGGGTGAATACCCCCAGAAGACCAAGTTGAACATCGTACGATTTTTTCTGTTGATGATGACGTGCCTAAAAAATTGGTGTTAAGGCTCAATGTCTATAAGAAAGTAACCTCCCCCCGATGTATGCGCCTAGGTTCTCTTCATGGGTAATAAAGCAGAAATCGCTGTTAATTGGTTAGTATAGCAATACCGTCTTAAAGTGGTATACTATTGCTTTGACGGTAACACAGTCCAAGTTGGAATTCCCAGCGACGGAGATGAGCTTGACGTAAGTTTCCCATGTTTGAAAGATAGCAGACTGCTGACGGTACTCCGAATTCGAGTTTGTAGATTCGAGAAGTAACTCAACGCTTCCTAAGCAATACCAACCAAACAATGCTCAGCCGCGAATCCCATACCGAGCGGGGAGATAAACTCGAGCAACATTACTGGAGTCCTGATGTGAGTGGACGGAGTCGTGACACCAACCACGAATACGCCGAGCATAGAGATATAGGTAGAAACTGCTTATACTCAGCCACTGCCACGTCACCAATAAGCGTAGCAGTCGTGGCTCTCGTCTCCGTTCTCGAGATGAATCTTTTTGACCGCCACCACAGCCGGTCAAGTTTAGATCAGGCTTCCATAGATCCCATAGTGAGTAACTCCCGCAGCGTCCCTCAACAAGCATGTTAATTCCTCGTGCATAGTTTTTTTTCGAGAATTCAAATTCCGTATTCGCTCACTTTGCGAACCCATCTATCACTACCTTTATTGCATCAATAGTTGTTTATTGCGTGGCTATTGGTTTATATTACTACCGCGGGGCTGGTTCGAGACATCGAGACACATTTCTTGTCGGCGGCGCAAGTATCGGGACTCTGATCGGGGCTATAAGTGGCCTGGATATGCAAGGCATTATTTTTCGTGTCCTTCCTGGCTTCATCTTAGCCACCACTCTGATACATTCCGTTATTACGACATCGGGCTTTCTGAATTGAGTCGCGATTGGAAGGCCCCTCTGGATGACATCATGTCTCAGATTGATTACTTGGCAAAGAAGTATGTAACAGCCGCTGAGAATGGAAGTTCTGCCTGGTTTTATACACGACAAAGTATTGTGAGGTACTTATATACGTTAGGTACACCAGCATACATGTATGTAATAGCGCCTAGACCACATCGGAACATTATATACAAGGTTCCTCTACAATCCTTACTACCTGCTACCCATGCACAGAGAATGTACTCGAGTATATGTTTAAATGCGAGATGATCTCGTCGATTTAGATTTGGATATTTTTCCTTAACATTTATTTCAATGAATGATTTTAGATAAAAATGTTCCCAAGGAGCCTAGGGCCATGCCCATGAGCTACCCTGAGAACGCCAATATAGTCTTTTCTTCACTATTTGCAATTAGTTACAATGGTAATAAGCTAGCGTTAGCTTTCGTTAACACCATAACTTGTATACCTATTTCTTAAACCCCCCAATTCTAAAACTTATCATCAAAGTCAATACAGATTTATACCATTTCTTCACCTTGTACAATATATCATATAGCTATCCTAAAGAAAAGCGTCTGAGTCTGAGCTCAATTGCCAGCTCTATCTACAATGGCAAGAATCAGGGTCTACAAGCTACCCATCTTCATCCCCGGGATAGCTATTTCATTCTGGCCGGGGGGTTAATATTAGTGTCATTGCGCCGTACGAAAGAGGCGTAGCGAACCGTTGCTATCTACTATTGGCTAGCCCCCTAATATCACGACCAGTTCGGTTCCAATACAGTAATAAAAGTTGCTCCTCCGGGAATCCCACCTCGATTATTCTTCCCCCCGTCATTCCTACTCCTCTATTATCATAATACCTTCTAGGCGAGCCTTTTTTGTGCTGCCGTCCGATCATTTCAATTGTTTGAATTGCTTCCAATTCGCTTCACTCGTTACCATAACCTCTCGCTCTCTCTACGCCTCTACCCGAGTACTTAGATAATTAATATAATGCTTGCCTCCCGGCGATGATCGAATCCGAGCTTCAACAATCTCTATGGCGCCGACCGATCAACCGGGTACCACCATCCTAGGCCGGCCAAAGCCCGCACAACAAAGACCACCACCACGAGCCGCTTCACCACCGATCGGGGGAATAGGAGCATCACCCCCACGACCGACGGGAGTAACTACGACAAGCATCGCAGCAGGAATCATACCAAGACGAACTTCACCACAATTCGAATTCCGTGGTTTCGACTTCTTCGCTAACCGCGATTTTAATGAGCTTAAAAATGCGTCGCGCGCGTACTTTGCGCCCGCTACGGCGGGTGAAAAACATCAACGATTGCCTTCGACGTGGTTAGGCGATGCGACGCCGCCTACTAGTCCGCGACCATCTACTACTTTTGACCCGCCTCCCGTACGGGAGAATAGGTTTCTAGGAGGGCCAATTGGTGGGGGACAAGTTCCTTCGAATGAGAGGAAGATATTTGGGTTAAGGAGGAGACAGTTTTGGTGGTTGTTAGCGTTAGTTGCGCTGTTGCTTGTTGTCGCGATTGGTGTTGGTGTTGGAGTTGGTGTGGGTAGATCGGCTTCGAATAGCTCTAAGCAAGTTGCTGGTGGAGCTGTTACGTCGAGGTTTGTGATTCTTTGATTTTTTTTCTGCTACTGCATAGAATTGTTGTTTAAAACTTGTACTTGGTTACTAACGTCTCCTCAGTCCATCATCGTCATCTTCAGGCACAGTGTCGAGCTCAGATTCACCAGCTGCAACTGGCACTGTGACAACTACATCTAACCCTTCAAAAACCACCACATCATCAACTTCAACCCCGACAGGCGACACCGAGGGTAAAATTGACTGCCCCGCTGCCAACGGCACTACATACCAAGTTCCAGGCTCAGATAAACGATTCCTACGGATCTGTGGTATAGATTATAGTAGCGACCAGGCGGTAGACATACGCCAGGTACCTACAGAGAGCATTCTCGATTGTATGAAGAATTGTGCTGGAACAGCCGGATGCACGGGATGTGGCTGGGGTTATCTTCAAGGTGATACAGGTACCCAGCACAAATGTTGGCTGAAGGGAAATCTGAAGAAATCTCACGAGGCCGATATTAACTGGGCTTTTGCTGTACTTTTATGAGGGGACGAGGTGATATCATTGTATGAGGATGTATATTGAGAATACTGTCGTGACGAATGTAACGACATGAGTGGATAGCTTTCTGCTGTATAAAATTAATACAATATTGATACCCCGAGCTTGTATAAGGGATATGCCAGTCAATAGTAGGCATCTATATGAGATAATGGAATTAGGAACATGACTTCGAGTATTGAGATATACCTAGTGCACCGGATCACCACATGTGGACAACGCGAATTTTATCATATATACAATGGTTCATTCCAATTCAACATGTTCTCTAATTCAGATTACATTCGCTGACATGGATACATTCAGCATCATAACCGCTCATCAAAAAACTTAACATCATTGCTCGTTCACGAACAAGCCAGCCATCCCCATACCAGTACCAATACACATACTCGTGAGTAATATCTTTTTCTTCGTCCTCCTAAGTTCACTTAGACCTGTGACGATCTGTCGCGCACCTGTTGTACCCAAGGGATGACCAAGGGCAATGGCACCACCTCTGGGGTTCAACTTGTTCCAGTCTAATTTCAGGAAATCCCTGCAGTAAACGGCCATAGTACCGAATGCTTCGTTGATCTCGATAACATCAATATCGTCTAAAGTGATATTGTGTTGCTTCAGTAGCTTAGGGATCGCCACAGTGGGACCAATACCCATAATCCGAGGAGGCAAACCCGCAACAGTCGAACCGACATACTTAGCTAGAATCGGCACCCCTAATTCAGTAGCCTTAGAACGCTTCATAAGCACCACAGCCGCAGCGCCGTCAGAAACCTGACTAGCATTACCTCCAGTGGTAATCGGACCCCATTGCGGGAATGCAGAGCGGATCTTTCCTAGGCCAGTAGCAGTTGTTCCCGGTCGAATACCCTCGTCTTTTGTTAGAGTGACGGTCTTTACTTCGCCATTAGGTCCCTTCACCTTGGTGGTGACAGGAATAATCTCATCATCGAAGTAACCGGCTTTTTGCGCTGCCTCGGCCCGTCTAAAACTTTCGGCCGCGAACTCATCGACAGCCTCACGCGTCAATCCAAAATCCCTTGCGACATTCTCACTTGTCCAACCCATAGCTTCCATACAATCAACAGCTTCTTGGCTGTGTTTGGTTACTTCTTGGTCGAAGGGTTGTTCGAGAGCATCGCCACCAATACTCATAGACTCGGTACCAGCAGCAATGCCTATTTCTATTGAGCCTGTAGCAATTTGATGGGCAATATCCGCAGTCGCCTTAAGACCTGAGGAGCAGAATCGATTTACGGATGAAGCGCTTGTTGTGTTGGGGAATCCGGCGGAGAGTGCGGCGGCGCGTGCTTTGTAAGCTGCTTTACCGTCTGATACCTACAAATGAAACAGTGCGTTAGTTAGCTGTCGTTTGAGAGGCAATGAGTGATTCACATACATTACCCATGCAAATATCCTCTACAAGGTCTGGTGAAAAGCCTAGCCGTTCGCGCGCAGCCTTAAGAATAGAATACATAAGGTATTCCACGCTAGTATCCTTGAAACCACCCTTCTTACCCTTGCAGAGGGGTGTTCGAATCGCGAGAGTAATTACTATGTCATCGGGGTTCTTCGATGTGCTAGAAAAAGAGACATGTTAGCTTTCCGTGATCTATACTTCATATTCAAGCAATTTCAAAGAACACCCAATTGTGACTGAGTTAAATGTACAAGGACTTACATAGTAGCTAGAGGAGAACCCGGTGACAGGTGCTTCAAGATGGAATTTACACGCTGGGTGGCCATCTTGACGGATTCTCGTAGGAGTGAGTGAGAATCTGGTAGTGTAGGTAGTGTAGGAGGTGTATGAGGTGTATGAAATAGAGAATTAAAGATGTCCCTATTAAAAAGAAGCACCACTAATAAAACCAACAAAAAGAGACAAGGACCGAATTAAAGTTAGAGACAACAGATCAAGTTGATAAAGAATAATGGAATGTGCCTCCCTCGGGACGAGACTTCCAATAGGTAATCAATCGAGGTAATACAGGGATACGCTCGTTTGTTGCATTTTGCCGAGGCCTGTTTCGGCGTACTTCGGTCATCGGCAGATCTATCGGTGGGGATTTCCAGCGAGTACTAGATACACTACCTAGGTACGCTACGGCAAGTTCATTCTTCGCTATAATCTAAGTACATGGTACCTATCACCGTCCCGTTTGTTCCCACTTGTTTCCGTTTGTAGGGGACTTATGTACCTCTAAACTCAGTGCTGTAAGTAGATGATCGCCTAAACTTTTCCCGTGGTTAGTGAGAGTCCGGGGTAAGATCTCCTTCTAAGCTCACTAAAACTCCTATTCGACAACCATTGATCAACACTTTAATGAAAACATGCCATTATTTTTGTCAGACTACCTACAGTACATATTCCTATCCTGAACTCCATGTATAACCCCAAGCCATTTCCTACTGTATGCGCTTAAAGTGACCTAGGACTTATTTTATCCACCTAGAAATCGAACTATGTCGTCTCGGTTCTATATATCCGCAGCCGAGCCGTTGACTTTCTCGGTCATCTCACCCAAGTCCCCAAACCTCAATCCAAGTAATGGCATCGCTTTACAGCATGAAGAGGATGCTCACAGCCAATGCAGAGCTGATGATACTCGTCATTGGCCTATATTTTGTCGCTTTCGATTGAGGATCAACACCCTTGGTGCCGATTCCCAAGTACCATGAACCAATATCCGTAAGCTGTCCATTATTATTCAACATGACCGCATTGGCACCGACGTTACTAACTTTGGACCGAAAGGCCCCAAAGTAGCTATAACGTTCAACCGAGTCCATGCGATCAAGGTACTCAGTAGATGTGTTAAAGAAGCTCTGGGTTGTGGCGAGATCTTGATCGTTGTAGTTATACTCGGTGATCCATTGGGAGACATTAGGGAACGCCGCCGAGTATAAGCCCATATGACTCGCCAGTCCCTCGAAATCCCCATACCAATGAATGGTGACAAAATCGTAGGTGCAGTTCTTTCTCTCGGTGTCGGTACTGATTAAATTCGAACAATTACCGAGGAATTGCTGAAGCCATTGTATTCCATTGTAGTTTCCGGTACAGGCTGGTAGGCCCAACTTGACTCCCTTATCGGCGAGAGGTGCAACGTTCTTCACCCATACGTCCGCAGCCCTTGATGGCTGAATGTTGCTACCACCATTGTATTGGGAATCTGGTTCGTTGAATCCCAGTACATGTGTGATCTTCCGACCGCCGTCAATCTGTCCTTGAACTGAGTCAAGAAAGGAAGTATCATCGATAGCGCCCCATATCATAGGGACGAATTCGAATTGGTCTTGTGGTAAGTTATTAAAGGCGTACGATGGTGTTGATTGGTAATTGTAATACCACGTCAGATCGGAATTGCGTTGAACCCATATTTTATCGTCCTGTAGGGTGGTGGAATTTGGCACAAATACCAAGCCACGTTTCGGAGAGCGAGTTTGCGCGACAGCGATAGAAGCAATCAACGCAGATATTACTGCGTACAAGAGACGCATAGTGACGGATTAGGAGCGATCTAATAAAATGCAGTAAAGTACTTGGGAACTGGAAGCTGAACTAAACACAGCCGAATATTCTCTGTCACCCAATCGTTGCGTGAACCGAGAATCCCCTCGAAGTATTTGATGACAATTAATGCTCCAACATGGGCTACACATGCTCACATATAAAGCAACGAAAAACAATCACAAATCAAGGCATGGTTCGCTAGAAAAAGTTTGACGAGAGCATGAGGAGCGCACAGAGCTATTCTATAAAAGCTACAAGTCAGATATTGAACTTTCAGCTGAGCAGAGATAGTATATGGTATCGAATCGCTGATGGCGTTCCTTTAGTTCTTTCGACTCAGCCCACGGGAAGTAACAATTTAGCTGTAAGGGGTAGATACGAAAGACGAAAGGAAATGTAGGTGTGTTACAGCCAACAGTGCGCAGTAAGGCTTGGCTTCTACAAGATAGGACAATGCGAAGACGCCATCCAATAGTTTTAACTTACCTGCTTAAATCTGCTGTGGCCGGATGGTTATCTTTGCGCTGTAAGACACCCATAGGCCCGCCTAGGCTTGATGATTTCAATAGTAAGAAGGAAATGTTGTAGCGTGGATAGCTCACTTATGCGATCGCACGAATGGGGATAGAAGTTTGATAAATCACCGACAGTATTTTATGTAGTCGGTAGAGTACGTGCTCTGCAAATTATATTCTTATGATCTCTAAACTTTTTCATAGCTTGGATTATTATTAGAGGTTAATATTACTTGTCATACCGTTATCTCGAAGATCTAGGACTTGATTCCAATGACATGCATGAACCCAAGGCGCTCGGTCACCGGCTTGCTAACCGAAATATTATGTGGCACCTATAGGATACTCGACGTATCAGCAATCAGTGATACGGCACACTGCAGCGCCTGTAGAAGTGTATACCGAATCGATCGAGCGTCAAGGGATATGTCGACTGCTGAGTACGAGTATCAAATTTAGGTCCGGGTAGACATATCAAGTAGGATATCAGCGATTAGCCAACCATCCTTATTGTGTAGTGTAGTACATAAAACTTCTTGCTCGATGTGACGATAACCTGGGTAAATTAGTCGACATGGTGATAAAACTGTGGCGACCCCTTACGCTATGAATACCGCATCGGTGTGCGACAATCTGAAGTAGAGCCCGCCTATCTGGTATGATTTTGTAACGGCAATTGGATATTAAAGATATTAAAAGTAATTCAGTTCAAGTTATTTGAGGGGGGATGATAGAGTAATCATTTACATGATTTGAATACATCTCATCTAATGGATTCATCTATTCGCGGGTACTTGAGCATGTCTATATTAAGAAGTACATTTCACTATATCCTACAGGTGGAGATAGACATTCTATGCTAACGGGAATTGAATGGATAAATGATACATCCATGGGTGTATTAATTTGATAAAAAGATACTGCAGGTATGTTACCTAAATACATGTATCTTTAAACAATAAGAAGTGACAGGAGTAGAGTCTCAATATGGTATTATTTTTCTACTTGTGGTGTTATACTAGGACTACGGATTATGAAGTTCTAAGTTAAGAAACAAGCCTCAGATCTTCGTAAAATATGTCTCTATTACGCCATGTTATCCTTGTTCTATAAGCCTCCACTATTGTCGGTCTTTTGGTTCTGGACTGGATGAATTTTGGTTCTCTACTATGCTGATCTTTCCACGTGGGGACAAGAAATAATAGATATGGTTGATTTACAAGGGCTATCAGGTACATCTCTTAGTGATCTTAAGGATGCTACGGGCTGTACGGATACTAATAATTTTAGTAAAGTACCTAAAAACAAGCTTGATCCTAGCATCCGATCCTCTATCCTAGGCAAGGATATTCACTCCCTTGCGACTTTGTAAGGCCTGTTAAGCCTGTAAGCCTCTTGAATTGCCGAGTCGAGATGAAAGGTACGTCGTACTTTGGTCCCTCTGTTCCCTGTCAACGGACCCGACGGCATGCAATCAATGCAATCATACCCTTCTTGTACTCCTTACACTCTTTACTCTCCGCTGAATTCATACCAATTGCGGCTGTCGTATCTTTTTGCCGCATTCATGCCCTTGACTGTGCCTAATTCCCACCAAGATCGCGTAACACAAAGCGATAACCATCCTATTAAAAATGTGCTGCCCCCTTTGTCGCCCTCCGACCAGTTTGCAGTGATGATTGAGACACTGTTCCGCCTTCAAGACGGTACGCATTCTTTCCCCTTACCCGCCGAGGGCGGTGTTGTTTAATCATCGTCAAAATGTCCACTCGTTTAACAATGTTTGCCAATAAGTCTTTGTTTTCATGCAGCCAGTTAGGCGACTCCTCTATGGCGTTGCTTCTGCGTCGCCTTCGCTGGCTGCTTCTAGCGATCGTCTTTATAGTAACCGCATTTTCATTCCTCGGCGACGTAAAATCTCCGTTTGAAAAATCCGTTCCACAGCAGCAATCCTTCGGAGAACATACCGAAGAATCAATATACGCCGCACCGTCGCAACCCGATACCCCTCCACAGACGAATGAAGAAGAACCTTGGGAATTCGATACGAATAGAGATGGCCTCAATTTTGGTCTTTCCGAAGATCGATGCGAGGTAGGTAGAAAAATATGCTATTGCAAATAAGCTAGGATTATGGACCCTTCGGAAAGGGACTCATCGCTCATTATATTATATCTATTAGAGTGCATTTCCCGATTTATACCAAGAACTCGACCGTGCTCGCGATTTTCTCCTAGACCAGAACCGCCGAATTAAAGAGGAAGATGTTCAACTAGATACAAAAGATGACTATACAGGGCTTTCGCATGGTGAATTTCATGTCATGATTTCGAATGGCGAACTATACGTAATAAAGGAAAAGAAGGGCGAGCCGGATCGTTCCCGTGGCTTGGCGGCTCTTGCGAATATGTACCGCGCTATAACCGCTATACCGAATCCGCGATCGCTTCCGAATGTCGAGTTCATTATTGATATCGAAGACCGAGCTGTTAGAGGCGAAAGGAATCCAAAACGTATTAGATGGGCTTGGGCACGTCAAGATAGTAATCCATGGCTATGGGTCATGCCTGATTTTGATGGATGGAGTTATCCCGACGACGGTGTGGGATCATACGTACAGTTTCGCGAAGATGTAGAAGAGTTGGAAACTGAATATGCGAACGGATGGGATGATAAAGAGGACAAGCTATGCTGGCGAGGGAGTTTAGCTGTGAATCGCAAATTACGAACTGCCTTAATCAAGGCTGCGGAAGGACATGAGTGGAACGACGTCGAAGCTATTGATTGGCATAATCGCACCAACATTCTGGATATGCGAGACTTCTGTCGCTACAAATATGTCGCACATACCGAGGGAAACTCGTGGTCTGGACGGCTACGATATTTGCATAATTGTAACAGCGTTCCGATTATACACAAGCTGGATTACGTATTTCACTACCAACCACTCCTGAAGGATAGTGGTCCTCGCCAGGTATGTCTTCTTAGACCCTTCTAGTCCAGAGGCTTCATGACGTTCAAGTCAACTAACTATATGCACCAAGAATTATGTCAAAGTAAATCGTGATTGGTCAGACCTGAAAGCGCATATGGATGGCCTCATCGCGGATCCCGATCGAGCACGACGGATCGCCGAAGAGTCAACAAGAGTATTCCGGGATCGATATCTAACCCCGGCTGCGGAGGCTTGTTACTGGCGACGAATGATTTATAACTGGCGTGCGGTAATGGATTTTGAACCACGACGATATGAAGTTCAAAAAGATGGTAGTAGGGTTAGGCGAGGTGTGAGTTGGGAACGATTTGCTTTCCGACAGAAGAAGAGTTTTGAGCATGGGTTCTGGGAACCTGATAGCACTATTGAAGACGAAAGCGAGCCAACGGGTAGGTTAAGCCCATGAGTTATATCGACTTAAACGAAATCGATTACGACACACCACGCGACGAAGCTAGATTCAACGTACTCCGAGCGTTTCCTCCATTCGCGATAGAAGGATATCAGAGGATTATCACCGATACATTTAGTACTAGTCGGTAAGCTCTGGCTATAAACCGACTTTATATCGATGGCAACGCTGGCGATCGACTTAGTCCACCGCGACATAGGATAGATATCTCGTATACCTTCTGTGCAGCATGGGTTGAGAGGGTTCGGACAATATGCGCCATATTGGGCATGCATCATCACGTATGATAAAAAACAGCACGTCCGGGGCAGGAAACAAGACCGGACGTTTAACAAAGACCGAATTATACCATTAACAGGCAACAATTTGCCTCCATTGTCGTGGAATTATAGGGCTCTGGAATTAGAATAGTAGCATGGCGCCGGGACGCAATGGCCTTCTCGAATGATGCTAAATTCAGCCCACGCAATTTTGCGTCTAATATAATCATTCCCAAATTCCTTCCCTCTTTTTTTGGCTCTCAAGTCATTATTCTGTGAGGTTATATATCTTCTGAATGCTGTGTAACATAGCTTCATGGTCCACCTTCAAATCTTTCAGCAGCCCATCCTCAAATCCAAAGACCCATCCATGAACAATTGGGAATTGATTCTTTTCGTACGATTGCTGAACAGCTGCTGTTTTGATAACATTGCGACATTGTTCAACGACGCTAAGTTCCACCAGTCGGTTATACCGTGCTGTCTCATCCTTGATCTCATCCAACTCGGCCTCGTGTAGGCGATAAACGTCTCTAATGTTCCTCAGCCACGGATTAAGCAATCCCAAATCCTTGGGCGTCATGGCCGCTTTGACACCACCACAGCCGTAATGACCGCATACGACGATGTGTTTGACCTGTAGGTGACGAACCGCATAATTAATGACGCTCATGACGTTTAGATCCGTATTGACTACTAGGTTCGCGATGTTGCGATGGATGAAAGCTTCGCCCGGCCCTAAACCCGTGATCTGCTCGGCGGGAATTCGCGAGTCGCTACATCCGATCCAGAGATATTCTGGGGTTTGTCCTGCGGAGAGCTTGGTGAAGAATTCGGGATCCCGCTTTCGCTGTTCTTCGGCCCATGCGCGGTTGTGCTCGAAGACGCGGTCGTGCGTCTGCTTGAGATACCGTGACATTTCGGATTGTGACATTGTGCTCCAACCGGTGGTATTTGTGGTATTTGTGGTTGTGCTTGAGCTTGAACTACAGTGTCGTAGAAAATTGAGGGCGTACTTTGGGGTGTTAGAGCTGAAGACTCGTTTGGTCGAAGACAGAAGACAATGGCTTATACGTGCTTTATGAAGCATTAGACCTGTCATTTGTCGTATACGAGTAAGTACGAAAAGTATGAACTAGAAATAGAAGCATCTAGTAAAGAAGTTGCAAATTCCCCCATGTAAGATTTGTTGAGAAGCGCCTAGACTAACAAGACGCCAGAGACGTCAGCGGTGGGGGATCTACGGAGTTGTCCCGGTCAACCTTTTGTGCTACATAAAGAAGTATTTGTTTTCACACTGTATTTTATTATTTCATTCCTTACTCCCTAGGTACCTGGGTATGTTCATCTACCATTAATTATATACCCCTATCTGATTCTTTCTAGCGATTTCAACGCTTCATCCATTCTTTATAGTGCATTCAACCCTCAATTGAAGACGATGCATTGACAGCTCCAAAAATGCATGTTAGAATTCATGCTTCGACCTGAGTAATTAAAGGTAGATGATGAGAGTCATGGAATGATTTCGTCATATTTAAGACTTTCTAATAGTCTTTCTAGGTACATATTTAGTTCATCTGCCGCCCAACTAGGTGCTATTAGCTTGCTTTAGTGGTATTCTAGCGGCGATGAAGGTAGATCTACGGCAAGTTTAACGAGAAGCTAATTCCCTATCTAGATCTACCTAGGTAGGTACTGCTTAGCATATATGGCTTGCTATTATTTGCACTGTCTACAACATTATTGCCCTTATCTCGACTCTTGGTGGCGTAGTCGTATATACCTAGATGGGCAAGTCTCTCCAATATTATGCACGACTACAATCAACAGATGCTTACCAGCCACTCGAAATACCACAGATACTTAAGTATGTTTCGCGCAAATAAAGGACCTAGCTTCATTCTATAGATTAATCGAGGCCTCCCCCGACGTGTCCAGAGCAGATACCCCCGTGTCCAGATCGCGGTATGAGTTTAAGCAGACTTATGGAGGCACGTACCTAGGCGTAAGAGGATTATTGTGGCTGCTTACATGCTCAAACAACTTATACTTCATTTGACTGGGAGTACCTGGCTGCCTGGGCAGCTAGATAAATTAGCGATCCAACAGGAATTCTCAAACCATTTCTGACCATAGGGAGAACTGTTGTAAGTTCTTAATTCATGTATATACTAATGTACTAGGTACTGAATAGATGCAAGAATCGTAACAAAGTCTTTTTAAATTCCCCAATTTACACTGCTTCGAGCGTACCATTCAACCGAATATCGCGGCTACTCGAACCGACGAAGAAGGTAAAGGTTCCCTTTGGAACAGTCCAGGCTTGCGACGCCGTATCCCAAACACTGATATCACGTCGTTTGATATTAAAGGCCACAATATCCGAAGCATCTGCATCTAAGACCAATTTTTCAAATCCACGGAGTTGTTTTGGTGGTGTAGATGCGGACTCGGGGTAACCCACGTATAGTTGTGCTACCTCGGCACCCTTGACTCCACCCGTGTTTTTAATGGTGGCGGTGACAGTTATAATGGTTTCCCAAAGATCAGCAGGGCCTCCAGAAATGATTTCTCCTGTAGCAGGGCCAGATACAGGTCTTCCATCAACGAAGATATCAGAGTAGGTAAAGTTGGTATATGCTATATGAAGTCAGCTAAGATAATACCTACAGGTGTACTCGATCGGAGAGAGGAATACTCACATAAACCATAACCGAATTCATAACGAGGCTCAATACCATCGTGGTCAAATTTTCGGTAATCAACATATAGACCTTCCTTGAAGTTGTCGTCGGTTTTGGAAGGGCTAGTTCCGTAGTCATTGGCGGACTTGGCAATGGTGTAAGGAAGTTTTCCGTTGGGGTTGGTGTCACCGTAAAGGACATCAACGAGAGCATTCCCATTCTCTTGGGATGGAAGACCAGCCCATACAATTGCTTTGACGTTGGGTTGGGCAAGAATCGTCTCGAGGATAACAGGACCCACGGAGTGTACAACCACAATAACGTTATCGCTCGCCGCAGCAACAGCCTTGACGAGATCGTTGCCGTTGTGCCAGGGATCCAAGTTGTTGCGATCACCCACGTTGTTCTCTACCGTGATATAACCTTCACCACTGTCGGAAGTGACGAATACAATCGCAGCATCGGCGCCGCTGACAGCCGAACTTACGGAACTGGTGCTGTCGGATGCGGATAAACTAATCTGGGTTCCATCTGTCTGAGCTCGAGTCTTGATAGCGTCGGCGGGAGCGCTGAAATACGGATAAGAAGCAGTGCCGGAACCCCAACCCATTCCAAGAGCACCAGTATTGCATCCTTGGTCAGTACAAGAGTTCATGCCTTGGGGATTGACAACTGCAGCAGATCCGACTAATCCAAGCTTGGTGGGCTTTTTCAAGGGAAGAATGTTCCCTTCATTCTTCAGGAGAACGATACCATCTCTCGCCGTAGCGCGGACGTTGGTCTTGTGGTTTCCCTGCACATTCGCCTTGAGGTTGATCGCGGGGTACTCGCCGTCCTGACCAAGTAGATACCACGCGGCTAAGATTCGTCGAACCATATCGTCGAGACGATCCTTTACTAGTTGTCCCGCATTCAAAGCAGCGGTCAACTTGGAACCCCAGTAAATAGAACCGCCGTCAAAGTCAGAGCCAGGCATAGTCATATCCAGTCCAGAAACCGCAGATGCTACGGTGGAGTGCTGTGCATTCCAATCCGTCATGACATATCCTTGGAAGCCTAATTCTTTTTTCAGAAGCTTGTTTAAGGCGTTGTCGCTGCGATAATGAATTAGCAGCTTATTTCCCGGCAAGATAAACCATACAGAATGTTAAGTCTTTTACGGCCTGAGGTGAGCGCAATAGAAAGATATCAACTCACTTTTCGCACACCCAGGTGCTGTTGATCTTATTATAGGAGCACATAACAGACGCGACATTGGCATGGACCGAATCTGCGAAAGGCCAAAGATACAATTCATGCATCGTTCGGTCATCCACATTCGAGCTTATCGTCTCACGGTTAAGCTCTTGTTCGTTAAGGATATAATGTTTCGCATTCGCCTGGACACCGGTACTTTGAATACCCTCGATGGTTTCTGCCATTGCAATTCCCTGCAGGTAGGGATCAGGACCAAATCCTTCCCAGTTTCGCCCGCCATGAGGGACTTTACCGAAAGGACCAGAGACCGGCCCAAGCAATACGTGAATACCAAGTCCCTTGAATTCCTCGCCCATGAATTGACCTCGTTGTCTTAACAAGGCTCGATCCCAAGTCGCGGCAACCTGAATACCCGGGACGAAGGCATTGACGCTTGTTGCATATCGAGCACCAAGTGGTCCGTCTTGTAAGCACAATTGAGGATATTTGATGGAGCTAACTGCTGCTGTGTTGCCGACACATGGTCCCTTGTTCCAACCTACACCAGTGACGATAGCGACCTTTTCATCCTGTGTTAGGGTCGACAATGCAGAATGAGCTTTTCCGTAAGCGACCCCCCAGTCGAGCGTGTTGTCCGCTGCCGCGGATGACGCTGCGACTATCGCAGAAAGAATCCAAGACCGCATTGTTGATAGTTGGACTTGAAATATATCAAGTAGCCGCAAGGGTCCTTCGTGCACACATAAAGTATTGGGCGCTTCTTGCAAGTCTTATATGATCCGTCTGACAAGCATGTCATCTCCGGCGAAGACATCCGGGCCCACAATGCCCTCTGCTACGTTAAACATCTCAGTACCATGGTGTCATGTAGCCGCCGGATCTACTAGATCTGGTAATAAACGGAGGGGTATGGGAAAGAAGACGGATGGCATTTTCTTGCCGTATTCCATGCTTGTAATAGATTGATACTCTTGTCCCATCTTGGCTCGCGGCAGCTTCTCGGCTCGTGGGTCTAAATGAGTCGAAGATCTACTTTCTAAACGTGGACACGCATGGATTTCTCCCGAATCGCGATGGATTCTAAGTGGTAGATGGGAAAAAGTGAGCTTTGATTCCGGACCGCATTAGCCAGATATTAATTAACACGCCGTTGCTGTCAGGGGTTTCGACTAACTGAAGTTTCAATGTAACCACGCCCGCTTGAATTCCTAGATCCGGGATCATAGCCAAGCTCCGCTAATGGTTAGCTTGTCGTTGATTCTTCTCCATACATGTACCTTTACACTGTACCTAGGTATATAAGTAAACTTGCTCAGCTTGGGAAATCATACACCGCATTGCGTGGGATGTAAATGCGACCCCATTGCTTGCCCAGGTTGAAATGATCTGTATAAGGCTAATGAACGATAACATCTGTAACGTCTATATAAGCATGTACCTGAATGTAATATTGCCGGTAGCGGAATCAATTCTCGATGATGCCTTATTGGATTCTGAACGCTTGGGCATTCAGGGGAAATGTCTCTTGATAACCCAAGACCCAGATACTATAAAGTGATTTCGAGGCATAAATCTAAATATAGTCACTTCATAGTAAACGGGTAACCAATTGCGAATATTAATAATCTAAGCAAGACGGACTACGGAGGTAAGAAGTACGAATACTTTCACGAAGGTGTTGTTGCATATACCTTTACGCATCTAGAGATCTAGAGGGGCAGCTGTTTGTCTTGGCGGTTTACTCACATACAAACGCACTCAATTTTTCTCTAAACATCCTAGGATCATTAAACCAACATGTTTTTAATGATATCATTTCGCGGGAACGTAGCAACGCTAGAACTATAGAGCCCAAGCGCGACGGGGGACAGTTAGAATGTTTAAGTAGTCGTAGACCCTTAATTATATACCAACTTTCCGGAGAATTATTCAGTCACCAGGAAAATTACAACATGGCCCAGCGGAGAGTTGTAAGTCCGGCGGGTCCGGTGTGGTTACACGGTACATGCAATACCCCACGGAAGAATAGCCAATGGAAATGATCGTAGACGCCACCGTCGGTAAGTCTGACCGCATTGATCTCTTCGCATCGTACTACCGTACGCCTTCAGCACAGATAACCGAAATGAGTATAGACACTCATCCGATCGATACCGACTCAGCTTTCCCATCGCCGCCACCATCGTCATGGATACCGCCTCCGCCAGACGTAACCATCTCTCCTCCACCATCATTTGAACCAACCTCTCTCCAATCCCTAATATCTTTTTTCTCGGGCGTAATACAACGATTGGAGCCTACCTTCCTCCTCCGAGAAATACCGTGGCTCAGGCGTGTGTTACCGCGACTACTCCACCCAGAGTTTACATGGCAACACTTCGTATTAGGTGAAAGGACACTCTCAACTCAGATACCAAGTTACAACCGACCAATAGGGCCATTTACGCGCAGATTAATTGGTTATCTACATTATGGCCTTAGGGAATTTTCTCAGTATTATTGCGCCTGGTATGGAATTCGACATAGATGGGTCCTCGCCCCTCTCCCTTTCGGGCTCGTCTTAAAATGGTCTGATGGCACGAGCCTTGATGAAGTCAGCTCCATGTGCGCTATACGCAGAGCTGGGATTCCCGCTCCACTGGTTATTAGCTATGGCGAACACGCAAGTACTCCCTGGGCTCCGATATCTATCCTAATGACACGCATCCCCGGACCAGAGCTCGCTGATGTTTACAAATTCCTCGATCCAGATAAGCGTCAACAGATTGTTTCAGAGATTCATGCCATGTTAAAGACGATACGATCATGGCCAAATCCATGGGAGAAGAGGATCTACAGCCTTTCCGGCGGCCCTATACGCAGTATTCGGGTTCCTAACCATTCCCTTGGGCCCTTTGAATCGGAATCTGAGCTTAATGATTACCTCATCAGCACTGCCTCACTCCACGGCTTTAAATCTACTGAAGATTTTGAAAATGCACTAGCTGTGGCGAAGAAAATGCAAGCTCTATCCCACCCAATAGTTTTCACTCACGGCGATTTCGCTCTACACAATATCCTGGTGTACGACGGCCACGTATCGGGATTCATTGACTGGGAAACTGCGGGTTGGTACCCGGACTATTGGGAATTCACCACACCTCTGCGATGGACGGCGACTAACCATGAATGGGGGAGTCTTCTACTAGAGTTGGGAGGTTCGAGATATAAGGCCGAGCTAGAGTGCGAACTAGCCATCAGGGCACTGACGGTCGACTCGTGGATTTTTTGAAACATGAGGGGCTTGGTAACTGGCAACGTCCGGAGCTAGGAAAGGTCCCAACCGGCTCGGTGCTCTTACGCAATGATATGTGACGTGGACCAAAACCGCGTAGAATAATACTAGGTACTAGGTCTCACTAACGAGCCTGTCTGGTCTAAATCTTTAAGAGTACTCATGTTAGCTGGAAACAGGATCCCTCTTCATAAACCAACCATGCATCGGACAACCAAGCTTTTCTCTCATCGCGCTAAACTCCTCGCTAGGATTATCCATATGCGCATCGATATCGAGGTCGTGAATGACGTTGAATCCATGTCTCTCGTAGGCTTTGCGAGCTATGTCGGTAGATTCAACGAAAGCTTCTAGCCTAAGTTCATCCGCTTTATCGGTCCCCCATTTCAACATTAGACTTGCTGCTCCTCGACCCCTATGCGAAGAATGTACGAAACAATACGTGATTACTAGCTTTAATAAGAAGGTGTGAAGATGGGATATGGTGAGGTCTTACATAGATGTGGTTTACTCATAAAATTAGGACGATGTTCTCTCGCGGACCGATAGAGTTGTTCCCCTATTTGCTTCATAGGACCTTATAGACAATTTGCCCTTAGAAACTGTTTTCTTCTTCTTCGGTATATTATTTCGAACGTACCTTCTGGTAACCAATAAATCGTCGGTGCTGGCATCGGAGTTGCGTACGGATTGGTTTCGAAGATTTTCCATAGAGTCCCACCAATCACTTCACCAGTAGCCTCATCTGTCACAAATACCCAATGGCTGCTCGGATCATTTTTATGCCATGATAATAAACGAGTATAGCATTCTTCCCTCGAGGAACCTGTCGTAATTTGCCAAACACCATTATATGGATTGCCGTATGCTTCATGTCCTACCTCGAGCACAGATATGAGGTCTTCATCATTCGTGAGCTCGTGCAATTTCAGTGCCATTATAAGCCGAAGGCGTGGGGTATTGAGTTAGGAGTGTTGGTGCTTACATATATGGGAATTAATAGATGTTGGAAGATGGGCGACATATTCTATTATATACATGGGTGTGTTACTCCGATATAGGAGTCTGTTGGTAAGATTCGTGGCGAATTATAAAACTTACAATATCTTATATAAGACCTGATATGTTAAACTTGATATATAGGTACTCATCGCGATGCTTGAGTCGTATTATATTGATTTTTGAGCCCGACTACCTGCCTAGGGAGGTATCAATATGAGTACCCTGGTGCGCAATATAGCTGCGTTTCTACACCCTATGAAGTGCCCAACTATGGGTAGCATCCTAAGAATTGATTACCTGGATTGAAAAAGGGGCTCAATCTATATATGAGATTGATAGTTTAATGACGATGATGATAGGGGTAGTGGTGTTCTTGATGGTGCGAGGAGGATGGCCTGGGCATGTCCAACAGCCGAGGCTCAGTGGCCCAAGTCAATGGTTTGGTGTACCTGATAAAGATGTTAGCATCGTTTTCATCCCTTACGTCGTGGCATATAATGTATTGATGGGTAATCGCTCTTCGCGCGCGCCTAGAATCTACATGTTTGTGTTTGTTGGACGTACACCGAGCTACAAGTATATTTTGTACTACCACATTAGTCCAATATGGCACTCCCTTAACCATACCTAGGTAGGCGTTAGGAAATTGAACCGACTGTCAACGTATATTGCCTCAGTGAACAATATCATATGCAATACGAGTGTTATACCTCTTGTCTCTAAACAGTCCAGAGAGGCTATTAATATTATTAAGCATCGGTTGCGAAAATGTAAGGGTCTGACTGATTTTGTTGTTGTACCTTGGTTTCTACTACGCTCCCCTCAGAGTCTGATAGCATCGCCGTCCTTTTGTGAGCTGCACTATTCGTATGTCTCAATCCCAAAAGGCGTTACGCCTGGCTCGATCGTCATTTGATTCGCCCTATTTACGGTCTGACGCACCTAAGTATTGCTTGTCATAAGGGGAGGGTGGGTATCGTGGGGCTAGTGATATGTATACTCGTCAAATATAGCAAACCCGCGGTGGATACTCACACGATTCTGTATCAAAGTCAACCTATATGATTCAGCTATCGGAAATACGTTGCTCGCGTCCGGACCGATGCTCTTTCGGCTCTTCATCTTATTCCCGTGACTACGTAAGCGTAACCCGTCAGCATCACTAACAACATTTACCTCCGACTGTGCCGTAGCAATAGGAAGCGGGGCTAAACCTGGAAAAGTAACTGCGTGACGGGAAAATGAAACGTTTACGGGACCGAGACGGAACCGAACGGCGGGTATAGCAAGTCACAGATGAGGAATAGTCCTACTCCACATTATCCGAGAAATTGACCCTATCACGCATATTCCTATACGATTCCTATACGACGAGTGTAGGTCCTCTAGGTTTGTCGTTTTAGTATAAAGTGTAGTTGAGAAGCCACTTACGACATCGACATGACACTCAATCAGTGTGCTCAACCTCCTCTATCTCATCTACCTAATCCATAGACTTCTAATCCAACGACTACCGTCCACAAGACTTCAACCATGGCCTCTAATCAATTGATGAAAACACCGGACATCCCTGTGAATCTCGTCCGTGCCAAAGCAGGAGAGACTTTCATGTTGGGGACCGTTAGTAAGACACCCACCGGAGTCACTTTGAAGAGTCTCAACTAATGATGTTAGAAATCCGTGTTATGGAAGATGGCAGCAACACTCGTATGTGACCAACTGTGTTGAAAGGGGAAAAAGCCCGCCCTCCGATCTGGAAAATGTTCAACCTGCCATTGAAATCATGATGCTAACCACTAGAACCGCTATAGACGATCGGATTGGTAGTGCTGAGTTCACTGTCCCCCCGCATACAGAGGGACCACCAAAGCATTGGCATGAAATGGTACGTGATACCTAACCTTGATTGGATTTCATAGTGTCTGATGGCTAGTTATCGTTTAGCACGACGAGACGTTCTTAGTCCTTTCCGGAAAACTTCGGTTCCACGTCAAGGATGGGGGTATCGTGGATTGTGAAACCGGCGATTACGTGACAGTGCCAGTACGCTCACCGCACACGTTCCTCAACCCTTTTGATGAGGAGTGTAGGTTCTTCAACACCTTCACGCCTTCTTACTATATCAACTACTTCAAAGTGCTTAGCCAATTGCTAGAGCCGGGCAAGCCGATGGACCCGGAAGCTAATAAGAAGGCCATGGCGTACTTTGCGACTATCGGTGTCTCGGACGGGGCTTAATCGCCTGTTAGCTACTTGGAGGGATATCTCAATGGGTACTCATGTTCTCAACTCAGCCTCGTATAAATAGACTTATGAATCATTCGAAAGACGCTTCAATGAAAGCATAACATTAGAGATATGTACGTGACTACTGGAGGTACGATATAAGAGGGCCGTCTGAAGCGATAGTGTCAAAGCACATAATAATGGAGGTACACTAGATCGAGCGAGTTAACGTGGACTGATAAAGTGGCGAGCGGAGGCTTCCGTAATCCTTATAGAAGTCGAGAATAGTGAACTAGCGCGGGGATATCTTAGGGGTAATTAAGAATCCTCCCTTTTTGTAAGGTAGCACGGTGTATCCGAGGCAGTGGTTTCCCGGCTCAACCGGATTACATAATCACCGGACAAGGTCCTTGTCTCCGGACATTTCGTCTCTAGGCCGTGGAATGATTCTCGATCTGCTGCGGAATCGGCCAAGGAAGTTACGGAGTGGTCAACACTCTTTGCCACGTTATTTCCTTTGGGTATAGGGGAGAAATAGGGGCATCGAACGGTTTGGGAGTTCGTTGAATATGGTTGGGAGTTGAGTAAACGTGATCGTGAATTCCAATTTCGAAGTTTTCGTGAATAGTTTCGATGAGGCAGAGTAAATATGTTCAGCTGTAATACTATCAATTGACTTTGATACTTGTCTACTTTATAGCTTATAGCTGACATGAGACCAAAGATGATACAAGCAATAGTGCTTGCGCTTGCTACAATGAGACAATTAGATCCGAGGTAAAATTAATTTGATGGTGATTTCTTGAGACCTCATTAAAAAGGGGGGGCGGAATAATCGAGCGGGGTATCTTGGTATATAGCCACGTGATTTCGTGTTAAGCCACCTGTGGGCGTTTTAGCCCAGCTTTGCCGCGTTTAAGTACCTAAGTATTGTACCCAACTTAAAAAACGCGCCATTTTTTGCTTTTGGGAGGTACCTCGCTTTTCGTCTCTTGCAGATGTCAGGTGTCACTTTTTATAGGTAGCAGCCGAATCGATCTTATCCTCTGCTATTTATTTGAAATGTTTCTGGATACTTCCCGGGCTGTTAAATTAGTGGCATTTATCGTCCTTTATTTTTTGAAAATGTTTAGTTTATCTTATTGGATTCGACGTAACTCGTTTCAAACAAGCCAAGTCCCTTGATGGACGGCTTTAATGTTGGGTATTTATTTATTGCTTTGAATTTACTGACCAAATAGAGACAGTGTTACGGCTTTCAAGTATGCAAATCTTAATATTTGGATAATCAATCTGTGCCGTACTTCCTGCACGATATAGTGTCGAGGTTATGTAAACCCTAGATTTCATGGATTCGGTACCTGCCTATGGTAGAAAGGTGCAGATAGGTACACCAAGACCCCTGAAGAAATATTGCGTAAGACACTGGGATTAGGCACATACATAAAAAGGTACCTAAATTATAGGTAATCTGCATGTACGTATGCGGTAAATCTTGAGAATCTTTAGCGCACATGATCCTTCTATAGTACATATTATAGTACAGAAAAAGTGGTTTGGGGTTTAGCACGCTAGAAACCTAAAACCCCAGTAAAAGAAGAGAAAAAGAGAAGTCGCGCGCGACTTTGAACCGCGTAGTAAAGCGCCAATGATCTCGGCCCATTTCTTCCCCTCCTACCTAAAGAGCCATTCGCTACCACTTTATCACACTTAGTACCTAGACTCACCACTCACCATTCACAACTCTTTTGCTCAGGTTTGACTTGTTCATTTGAGAAATGGTTCTTGTGGCCCAAGCCATTGTTAGCCAACGTCAAACGTCAACGCCCACGTCAACCTCCCTTACCTATATTGATTTATAGGTAAACCATTGGGGGTCAAGATTCATTTGGTTTTTTCTCTGTGTCATTTGTGTCACCCTGTCACATTGTCACTATATCTTTCCTGTCGCGTCTGCTCCATTTTCAATTTGGTGGGATCTAACCGAATACTATATCTTACCTCACCTAACATTCGCACTACCTTGCATCACTACTCTGCTCCCCTGTCTTTCGGTCGTGCACTCTCATTTTGCACACTTAGTACTACGGTCGTTGCTTCGAATATTATTCTTCTCAAATTCGCTTCGATTGTTCGCTATTACCTAGACATTAGCTTAATCGACGCGATTAGACTACAGAAAATCGACCTACGTTTTCGCATCTCATGATCCCGCGAAATCGGGTGTATGGGGGCGAAGACGCAACGCGTATACCTCGCTAAGCTGCATTAGCACTCAAAGGAAATCCCTACATCTGGCTCGACGCGGAATCCTACGGCTTACAACAAAAGCCATCCTCGAAATTGATTAATTCAAAGATATCGCTCAATTCAGTTGTATTGATTGCGACCTATACTTCATTTACCTGGAGTGGTGACTACTGGCGATTATCTAACTTCAAGTCGACGCGACGATCTCGTGTCGAGATCTCGACTTCGACCTTCTTTCAGCTCTTTCAACCTAACTAAACGAACTAGACCATGTCGCAGCCTAATAACTCGAATGTCTCGGTTGGACAAGGCAATCCATTACAATCTCAAAGTCAACTTAGCAGTCAGAATCAAGTATTCAATTATTCTAGCAACAACTCCCAAGATACTACCGCCTCGAACGATACCGATCGCATCTTCACTCCACCAGAAAGCGACAGCGAAGTCAGTAATGGAATTGGAAATGGTCGTTTATCGAGTCAAGAGTTTCAACTTTTACAACTATCCCAACTTGCTGCCGCACAACAAAAAATGGATGAAATAGACGGAACATCAGCGAATGGTGGTCAGTCGAAGAAGAGGATGGCCGACGGCGTGGTTAAACACGTGAGGAACAGTTCGAGCGTGTCGCCTGTTCGTGTCGGGCACTCTAGAAATACTAGCACCGTGAGCGTGGCCTCTACAACTGGTAGTCGCATTGGAGAGGTAACACGTCAAAGCCAAATGACGCGTCGTAGTTTTTTTTTTGCTAACCCAACTATAGCTCTCGGCCGAATTGAGGACGAAATTATCGTACGCTATGGTGAAGGTTAATAATGGCTGGCAAGGACATTCTATTGACGAAGTCGAGTCACTCGCGTCGCAAGTCGCTTCTCCCACCTCGAGTACATCGACATTGTGTGGCAAATATGGTACATCGGCAAGCCCACGCGTCCCCGCTACTACTACGAGGCATAGAGCTTCAAGCAATGTCACTAGCCCTACGACACATCATCCCTTACAAAATCGCACCTACGAGTCATTCTGGCGAGAAGGAAACATGAAATCAACTGCTTCAACATCACCTATTTCTCAAGTACCAGCTTTGGCCCCGCCCGCTCCTATACAACCCCGCCAACCTGGTCATGTCCATCCCCGTCGTAGCTCCAATGCAAGATACGCACCGGCCTACTTATCGCATTCCCACCATGCTTCTCCCCACACTCCAGCTCAACCAAGTCCACTACAAACTACGCCAGGTCCAGGAAGCGCAAGGACCCCCAATGTTGACCCTATACTCTTTTCTCCACACCAAAACGTACGAGAGCAGGAGGCGCTGGAAACATTAATGTTTATGAGCAGTCCTGGAAATTCAGCTAATGTTAAGCATGCATTCCCTTCTTCTCTTCCCTCATCGCAATCATCGCAACCAGTACAGCCATTACAACCCCAGGCTCGAAGTAGTGGGCGAACAGCTCTCCCCACATCGCGATTAGGATCAGGGGCTGAAGGCGGTAATAGCCAAGGACGAAAAAGTTTACCAACAGCGCGGCCACAACATCATGGATCTCAGGGAAAGCGTGTAGGATTTGAGAAGTCTCCTGCCGGCTATGGTGGAATGGATATCGACGAGTTACACGGATCTCCACACAGTAGAGGTACCCCTCGTCGGCGAACCAACGGATCAGCTCCGAAACCATCCGTCTCTATTCCGGCGGGTTACAGCGGGTTATCCCGGCCAAGGACGGCGCTACGGGGTGACGACATAGAAAGAATGCTTGATCGAGTCGCTGCCGATGATAGTTCGGATTCCGAGGGAGAGATTCATCTACCGCAAAGCAGAAGAGCAAACGGACCAGCCATCGGGGCCTGACATGAAGTTTTTCTTGATACCAATTGAGTTTGACCATTTTCGTCAGTTATCTCACGTATATATATATTTCCTCCAAGCCTGTACCGTCTAAGGATGGATTTAATTCTTATTTTCCATTTTGCACTTACGACCATGATGCATTAACCTATCGGAGCCTTTCATGACACGATACTGGGACTTTTAGGAGCTATCGGTTGCATTTACGGGGAGATTTATGAGCATGATGACTGGGCAGATCTCTTTGAAATGTATATGTTTGAGTTGATGATATTTCTTTTCCGATCCTACCTAGGCAGACAGTCATGTATTATAGGTTATCTCCGAGCTGCTTAAGTAGTTGGATGAATGCAGGCGATGCAATATCCGCCACTCAAATGTATTGATCTATTCGTCGAGTTATGGTGTTGTCTTTACACGTGTGTAGGGACTATGACATGACAGCCTGCATACCTAGGTAGGTACCTAGTACTTAATGATGAGCTGCGTAACCCGAGAATATGGTATGTGGGCGAATCAACCAAACTCAGTTGAATTTCTAGGATCATGCCTGTATGACGAATAGTGACCTGTTTAAGCTTGGAAGAATTAGTGACTAGCAGATGAAATAATGACCTTAATTTTTATCATTGTATCATTTTGATATAGTTTCCCCACATGTTCATGCCGTCACTTCCGTCGTTACGTGCATATAAATGTTCCATACTAGAAGGAAAGGAGGGTCGGCAACGTGTACCTCCGAGAAGAAAGTCAAAGAAAATTCAGCCTCAACATCAAAACAAACGGACCTCGGAAAATGAGAGGCGCAGCTGAGAAATACCCCGCCAAATTCTACCTAGGTTTCCGCCAATGCCTCCGCCACAATGGCCATTAGGTCTTTTTCAGTTGAATTTGTACGGCGTATGATCCCTGTAAGCCACTTTCAGTCTAGCCACTCTTAACTAAATTACACCATCATCGCATCGCCTCAGCCGCCGGTCGCAAATCAACAAAATAACTAAAGCAATCTCCAATTATTCCTAGCTGCCTTAGCATGTACCTACATACACCCACACACATACACATACAACAATGCACACCGACCACCCATTTCTTCTCCCTTTCGGCTTGTTTCGCTACATAATTCCCCTTTTTGTACCTAGGTACATATGATACATACGATACATACAGTAATCACCTGCGAGGCGGAATGACTGCGACTGCGCCTGCGCCTCTCCACATTATCTAGCTCCCTCTTCCGCGACTACGGCGAGAACGAAGACCTGCGTAAGCGCTTACGGGGCCTGTGACTGGTTGGTTCTTGCAGATGACATGTGGGTCTTGTATCCTTTCTATGAAACAAGCGTTTAATAGTTTGGTACATAAAGTTCAGCTGCCTTCTCTTTGTTCTCGAAGATCTTTTTATTTTTCCCTTTCTTTTACTCTTCTACATACACAAGTCCATATTGATCTATCATACCAAATAACATCCGTCTCTAAATCGAACATCTTTAGCTACGGCCCTCAAATATCTCACAAATTCCAATTTTACAATGTCGGCAGCAGATTATTACGGTAACGGCGGAGGTGGTTACTCTCAACCCCAAAACCAAGGCTATCCTTCTCAGCCTCAGTACGCCCAATCGCCATCTCACTCTCCTTACCCTCAACAACCGAATTACGCCGGTGGCCCTCCATCACAGTCACCTTACCCCTCTCAGCCCACATACGCCCAGTCGCCAGCACCGCAATCGCAGAATTATCTTGCCCCCTATCAGCCTCAGCAACAGCAGTACTCTCGTCCAGGCTCAGCCCACTCCGATGTCGGTTACCCGCCCCCTGCATACTCGGCGGACAACCAACATTCATCAGCCGCCGGATCCCCATACCCGCGCCCTCACTCCGCCGATCCTTACGCCTCGCAAGAAGACCGTGACCCTAACCGTCAACATGCACAAGAAGGCGAAGATGGTGAGAGAGGTCTAGGCGCCACGCTTCTTGGTGGCGGTGCTGGTGGTCTCCTAGGCCACAAATTAGGCAAGGGAAAGCTAGGTACTATCCTAGGAAGTGCTGTAGGTGCGGTGGCTGCCAATATGGTTGAACACAAGTTACAAGGGCGAAATTCAAACCAGAACCAAGGGCACGGCCACGGTCATCATGGACACCACGCACCTCCGTCCGACGGAGGTTATTACTATGGCGCCCCTCAAGGACATCATCATAGCCACGGACATCACGGGCACCACCACAGCCACCATAGCCATCACAGCCAAGGATGGTAGAGTAACGAATTCTTGAATACTTCACTTTGAAGAAAGCCGGAAAATGAACAGTCTTTTTAATGGTTCTTGAAGATAGAGTTATTATAATGGCGTATTGATTGGGCTTGGTATAGGGTTTTATGAATTCAGTGACGAAATGGTGGAACGTTGGAGTGATTCACTCTAGATAGGTTCAGGATCGATACCCTGGCCTGGGTTGGCCCTTATATTCATTCATCACGAAATTCCTAGTTTGAGACGTAAAGCATGACAAATGAAATAATGATATTGTTACCACGAGCAGTTCTTGATCCCTTTTCGCATCAATATTCGCTAACCTGTGATCATAACCGGGGGCCACACTTGATCGGCTTTAGGATCCTATTCTTCTCTAAATCTTCTATTAGTTTCAATAGTACTTCGTCCTCTCCTCGAGGTGCCAACATCGAAATGGCTACTGGTAGGTATTCATCCGTCTTCGTGATCCTTGAATGAAACTTTACCTCCCCTAACGGTATCGTCGCGTCTGGACATCCCGAACAGTAACTGATTGAGTATGCAGAAAAGCCGCGCCAAAAGATATTATCCCCATCTTTCCATCTTGCAACTTCGTCCCTATAGTGAGGCACTCCCCAACTTTGAGGATATATCAATAGTGGCACAATATCTGTTTCACTTGTCGCGGAACGAGATGGTAATAGCACTTCATTAACCCAAGTCGCATACGTTTTTAGCGACTCAACAGACCGATCATAATCCTCTTTAGAAACCTTCGCGCCGTAGTCTAGACGAGCTTTAGTGATTGCCTCGATGAACGGCATCCGACCGGAGTGAGTTGCTTGGTACTCTCGTACGAACAGCTTGACTATGTTATTCCATAGTTCGTAGTACACAATATCTTGATAGATTGCGCCCGTAGCTTCGGTGAGGCTTTCGGGTGCGTTTTTGTGTCGAGTTTCCTTCCATAAATCGTATATACAAGCCTCTTGTCGCTGACATCCGAGATATTCTTCGAGTTTCCCCACAAAATCGTCCATTATAATTCCAGCTCCTGTCTTAGACTCGGAATTTCTTCTCGAAGGTGGAAAGAACTTCGGTGTCTCACAAGGGTCCGAATCATCTGATTCAACCGCGTATAGGAGTTTATATCGTATCTTCTTTGGCTTAAAAACTCCATTGTGTGACGACGGTCGGGCCATGACTCTGCTTGCCGCTCTAGCAATCGTAGCGGATCGAGCGAAAACGCCCGGAGTATCCATTAACTCCGAACATATGAGGCCTGCACTTTCGACACTCCCATGCGACGGTCGAATTCCGTAGATACCATTGACACCAGCTGGATGTCTAATTGAACCTCCGGTATCCGTACCAATCGCGAAGTCTAACCACGGATAACTCGCAACTCCGCTCGCTGAGCCCGAGCTCGAAGATGATGGTTTTTGGAAGGCATCGCCTCTCGGATTAATCGGGGAAACTTCTTCAAGTCTAGTTATCGTCAGTTAATTGTTGAAAGGCGGAGAGATGGAAATTGCTAACCGTTCTAAAGGATCTTGACCATCGCACCATTGTGTACAACGCATCTTCCCAACTAAAACAGCTCCGGCGGAGATTAATTGGTTTATGAAAGGAGCGCTGGTTTGCTTCGCTGGGTAAAATGATCGATAGCATTTGCTGCCGCATCCAGTTTCTAGACCTGCAATGTCGATTGAATCTTTGACTCCAAATCGCATACCACTCAGAGGTAGCGTGTCGCTGGGTTGTGGATAGTAGAGTCTTGATGGTACGGGTATTTTCTAGAGAAGTTGTTAGCCTAGAGGGAATGGCGAAGGGGATGAGAGAGACGACTTACGTCGATGCTGTTCAGCCATATATACTGATCTTTTCCCTCGGGAATGACCCCTTTCACAAACGCATTGCTCGTATCCTCGAATAACTTCAATAAACCATGGACTTTTCCAGTCGGCGTGTGTACTACATAAGGTCCAACTGGGATCTTCTCGCCTCCATCCACGAGTTTCACAACTCGATTTCGAATGTGCTCAGCTACTGTAAGGCTATTAGAGCGCTGTATAATGAGGACTAGACATTCTTGTCAGTAAAGCTCTCATCTTCGACAATAAGGGAATACGAACTTACGCTCAAGGAAGTCTTCCGTCCATACATCATCTTTTCCAAACTCGTCGCATACCTTTTTGAATTCGGTATCACCAAAATAAGTTGTGTCGGTGTCGTAATGTAGAATTGTTGCGGGCATATATCGCTCCGGTCCTGTTGGTGGTTTAACGACAGTGCCAATCGCGGATCGCAACATGAAATCAGAGCCTCCAATTGATACTAATGTTGTCGCATTAACAGCGCTGCCCGGGCTCGTTTGCTCTGCTGTGATCGTGTTAGCTTTCTTACCAAGATGTGTAGCCATGTCATGATATGGCTAGTATCTCCTGTCACTGCGATCGGGATATTCTAGATGAATTCGGTACTCATGTTAGTATATCAATTAAAAGTTTCACCGTAAAATTGCAAAGGCCCACGAGGGGTTAGTAAGAAATAGATATAGAATTAAAAGCAAAAGTAGAAGCTATATAGTTAGAGCAAAGTCTATGACGAGCAGTATGTCTCAGACTTTAACAGGTGAGCTCCAACTCCTCTACCAAGCTTAATCCCAGCAACTTTTTTCGCTGCCGTCTATCTCTCGTCCTGGCCTTTCGGGGCAACCCATATGCTCCTCGGCCGTACAGCAAAACCTGCCTGGCTATAACTTCCCAGACTATCGCCTCGCTGGTCATCTATCTACTGCTACCACTACCACGTAGAATAAAAAAGAAAAAGCACTGCCAAAAGGGGGGAACTCGGGTTTTTCCGGGGCGGACACGACTCCTTTCTGAGCCCAAGTTTTCCGTTGGTTTTTTCTTTTCGGGCGTCAGCAAATCCTCGGGGAAGGGTTCCGGGGGATGAAGGGTTTCAAAGGGGGGATCGACTTCCAGGCCCAGGACCCTCTATTATCTCGGCGCAAGGGTTTTTTGGTGGTCGCTAGATGCGAAGAGCTGGCATCTTCTGTCGTAGGGGAAAAAATCGGTCGAATAGTTAAGGGCATTGCAATGTCACCTTTTAGGGCGTCAGTAGCTGTTGATAAATATGAAGAGGTAGGAGTTAGGAGTTAGGAGGCTTACTTTCTGAATCACGGTTTTCGAGCGTAGAAGATGCTCAGCTGGTGGCCGCTTGGCGTTGACGAGTTCCTAGTTACCTTCAGTGACCCTATTCCCCTTTGCCCTCCATCCATTCCCGCCCCTATCTCCCGAGTTGCTGACTGCCCCTTTAGTTAGTAGTCCTCCTCTTGCTCTCACCCCGGCCCCTATTTCCCCCCTTTTGGCATGTGCTTCTGCTTTGTTAGTATGTGGTGTGGTGTGGTATGGCGTGGTACAGTAGATTTTTCCTCCCCCAGCCTTCTTTCCCTCCGCTCTCGTACTCCCACTCACCCCCACCGACGCCACCGGCGTCATCATATCTCCACATCGTCATCTCCTCTCCAACCACAGGTTCTTTTTTTTTTCTTTTTTTTTTCTTCTCCACGCAAGAAGTCCGGACCAAAGGATTCAGAAGCCGGCAGCAGAGCACCAAATGGTATGACTGGTATGCTGAACTCTACTTCTTCTCGGCAGGCTTCTGGGGCTTTTGGGGCTGTCGGTTCGGGCGCATGAAAGACGGCTGCTTATTCTGTCTAGCTTTCATAGCCGCCAGCGCCTTCTCGTTCCTCTTGCGCTTCTCCTCCTCCCACTCTGCTTCCGTCTTCTTAACCTGGTTTTTTACTGCAGGTTTCACGGGAAGGGTCAATGGCTCCTGTTGCTTGCGTGGTTTGCACGGGAGAAGCCACGACTTCGGGACTACATTTTGATTAGTCTTCAAGCCACCAGGGTTTACTACCTTGAAAAGAGAATAGTCAGTTTCCTCCGCCCAATTTTATATTGCTACCTAGGTAGACAAGGAGATGCGTTAGGTTACTTACGTGAATTGATGTCAGGTGCTCGATCTTGAAGGGGTATTTCCCCCGCTGGCTCGGCGATTTTCAATCCTCCTCTGGCTGGACCCTCATTCATTCGTGGGTTGAAAGTTGGCGTGGCCGGTGCTGTGGCTGGGGTTTCTGAGACGGCCGGGAAAGTTAGGCCAAATCTCGCCACTCCTTGAAGGTTACCCGGCGTGGGGTTGTTCGAGCGCGGGGTATGAGGAGGCGTTGGCTCTGCACTGGTAGGAGGAACCACTGGTCGCCTTGCCGGATGCGGGTACATAGGTCGAGCCGTTCGGAGGGCTTGCACAATGCCAGAGTTGGTGTTTGATGCTCTGGGCGGGGAGGACTGGGGGTTGGATGCGAATGGTATCGGTACATCTTCCATCTCTACCTCATCTTCCGGGCCAAAGACATCATCTAGGCCTATCTCAACATTAGTATTTACTTTCACAGTTGTTTCTGGGATTAACTTACTTTCGCTAGGAGACCCAAACATGTCATCCTCCTCAGTTTCGTTGACTTGTGGTTCTTGGACAGTGTTAAGCTCCATGCTGTCCACAGGTCGGTTGTCCACGTCATCAATATCCGGCGGGGAAGTAACAGGGCCGGCGACAGATTGTCCGAAGGGGACCGGGGGGTTGGCAAATGTGAGACCCGGCATGGAGTCCATCTCTTGGTCAACATGTTGCCACTCAGGTGCTTGGGCGCCGACAAAGGTCATCTCGACGTCTCCTTGACCATAAGCGTTGGAAGGTTCCAATCCCTCATCCATCATCATTTCTCCGCCAGCGTCGGAAGGCTCGGGCTGGTCGTCTATCTCCATCTCATCGGACAGAGGAACTGTGGGGGCGGGGACGTCGGGTTGTAGTTGTTGGTACTGGTCCATGAACCCAAATTGAGGCAAGTTCTGCGTCATCTGGTCAAAAGCCGCTTCGGAAAAGTCGAGAGGTAATAGATTGGAGTCGTCGGAAGGATTTTCGGGGGCGACGACGGGAGCTGGAGCAGGGGGATTCTGGATTGTCCCACCCGGAGAGATTCGACCACCTTGTGAGAAGTCTTGATCCATGAATGTCGGGTGATCTCTATCGAAGGTCTGCCAGTCATCAGATTGGACTATCTCGTTCATTTCTTCCGTAGTATATTGGCGCTCGAAGAAATCGGGCACAGGGATGGGCTCGACGGAAACAGGGCCGGCCATTGGCTCCTCTACCACTGGGTTGGTTGGCTGCTGAATCATGGCGCTGACGGCCTCCGGGGTGAAGAAGATTGGCCCCTGGGGCACAGGTTGGTACTCGACCTGTGCGAAATTGTTACCAAAAGCCGGGGCGGTCGTTGGCTCCTGGTTCACCACATCGGTTGACTCTATATTCATCGCGTCGATGTCCTCCTGGGTGAGATTGTCTGCCGCGTCGATTTGCTCCTGTGTGAGTTCCTTCTTTGTTCGTTGGATAAAGTCATCGAGAGGATCCACCTCGGTAGAAACAGGACCGGCGGTGGCGGTGGTTTCAACCTCCTCCTCTTCGCTCGATAGGCCCTCAAGCAGCGCCCAGGCCTCGTCGAGGTCTCCAGCACGTACTTCTTCCTTGATGCCATTAAAGACGGAAGTTTCAGCGGCCGACTCAGGTATTGATGGTTGAGTGGGTTGATTGTTGGCATCCGCGAAGGGGTTGTGGATGTTGGTGTTGCCCGAGTTGAAATTAAACTCCGTGGTATTTGCTAGGTTTACCGAGGGAGAGGGAAGAAGGGCAATACTCTCTTGGGGAGCTTCGGAGACACCTGCACCAAACACGAAACTCGTGGGTACCGGATTTGCTGGGACCGGGGGAAGGGATGGTGCACTCTCAAGGAAGTTTGAAGAAAAGCCGAAGTTCGACCTTACCGGGATGGGAGGTGCCACACTCGAACGGGGGACGTCTAGGCTGAATTGGGCGCCCTGTATATTCGGGTCTTCCCAGGCAGGGAACAGCATCGGCTGGGGTTGAGGAGTCACATTCTCAGCAGCAGTTATGACTTCGGGTTCTAGTTAGAAATTAGCGCATTGCTTAATGATAAATCTCATTTGCCAATTACTGATATCGGCTTGGGTGGACTTACCAGTGTCAACAACAGCGTGCGACTCCAAAGACGAGATAGGGGTAGCGGGAGCAGGGAGAGCAGCCTCGAATTGGATTTCAGAGTTCTCCACGGTAGGGGTGCGGATGTCAGCAGTGTTAACAGAAGTATCAAGAGCCGTGTCCTGCTCTTGAGGGACTTCGTCCTCAACGACGGCGACAATCTCGGAATCTATTTCAAAGTCAACATCTAAGTTATGATTTCGTCTCTTGGGTTAACTTACCGGTAATAACCTCATCCTGCGGCTCAATAGGAGTAATAGTGGGGACAGCGGGGAGGGTAGGTGTGATAGTAGTAGGGACAACGGGAAGGGTAGGAGTGGCGTCAATAGAAGTCTCAACGGGCTCTGAAGAGGGAATCTCATCCTCAACGGCAGTGATAACTTCAGCCTCTGCGTTAAGGTTAGCATATTATTCAACAGTTAAAAACTTTCGCTAATTAAGACTTGATTTCTTAGGTTAACTTACCAGTAGTTTGCGCGTCCGGGGTCTCGGTAGTAGAGGGAAGGGGGATTACAGAAACGGGAGCGGCTTCGGTGGGTTCTTGTGCGGGCTCCACGTTCTCGGAGTTTGAATCGGCCTCAGGAATAACTTTGGCCTCGTGCCCTGATTAAGAATTAGTAATCTGCTCATAGGAGAATTTTCGCTTGTTGACTAATTATCTCTTAGGTTAACTTACCACTAACGTCCTCTGCTTCGGGAAGGTCCCCAGGAGTCATGGAAGCCTCTGCTGTAGTCGCAGAGGTCTCGTCCTTTTGGGGAGCCTGTTCGATAACGGCCAAACCCAGTTCTCTCTTGTTCTTCCAGTCTTTCCACAAACCGCGAAGCATATCACGGCTGTTCTGCTTGGAGTTGCTGGTATCGGGTGCGGATTCGTCGTCGTTCTCAGCCATTTCAAGGAAAACCATCTTAGTTAAGAAGTGGGGCGGCTTCCTAAGGGCGAGTACTTGGGGTAGGGAGAGAGGGTTTGTTTGGGTGCTTCCGGTAACCATTGTCTTGGTAGGTTCTTCATTGTCGGTTTGGGTGCTCGCGTCGACCATAGAAATTTGCTTGGAAAGTCGTAGAGAAATTTTGCCGCTGAAGATATCCTCAACGAAAAAAATCGGAGCCGATAGAAGTGCTAGTAGGCGGCGAGGTAGGTCGATGACAAACATGGTAGTGGATGTGACGAGTCGGAAGAAGATAGCTAGGCGTCGTAGAGTGGTTATAGTACGTCGGGTAAAATGATCGACGAACTGAACGAGGCCGAGGAAGACATCGCCGGGTACAAGCGCGGCGAACAAGAACATAAATAATGAGAAGAAGGTGACATTGAGTTCATCACCAGGATAGATGAGGGTATGAATAAACGCCATAGCTGCGATGATGTAGGGGGCAGCAGGGAGTTCATCCAAGAAGAGACGAGACGCGCCGATTAGAGCAGCGCAGTGGAGGGTTTGGGGGATCATTGACTCGAAGACGCGACCGATTGCCAGTGCCATGAAGAGGTTCGTAAGAATGGCTGCGGCGTGCGCGGCGGCGTCGTGCTCGTTGGTAGGGAAGAGAACCATCATCAACGTACCGAGGATGAGGCCAAAGGGAGGGTAGATGGTGGCGTCTAGGGCCAGGGAGACGGGTGTGAAAACCTTGAAGGCGTACATGATGAAGATCGTGAAGATCCAGGGAGACGACAAGGTCAAAGTAGGGTATTGGTCATGGAAAATAGAACGAAGAAGTTCAGTCAGGTGTAGAGTAAAAAAAAAGGTTGGGTTGGTTACAATCGAGTGCGATGAAAGTTGAAAGTTGGTGTGAGAAAAAGTCGAGACTTGGGGTTCAGAATGCAGTCTAAAGTTGTAAAGTTGTAAGTGAGAAGAAGGGAAGATGGAATAGAGTAGGAGAGAAGTCGATGTTAAATAATTAATCCTACTGGTAGCTAATCAGTCGCAACTGGGCAACCGCGAGAATGATTCTGATGGGGACCCACAGTGCAAACGACCTTTTTTTTTCCTGGTGTTTAAATCTGCTGTACGTAATAATAATGGACTAATAATTGTACTAATCTATCGTCTAGGTACTGATCTTAATTATCTGTGGACAGTGTTACTACGCGCAACTTCCTTAGATACTAGAGACCTACCTATAGGGGTACGGATCAGTTCTTTTTAGTGGTCTACCGAGACTACCTGGTAACTGACCACTGTGCCAAATACAATATTTCCCTTACCGACCAATTAATCGTGACTGCCTATTATTCTCAAGAATCAAAGTCGAGTAATCAAAGTCGAATAATTTACCTCTCCATCAGTTATTTACCTGACAACACGTCCGAAATAGGAAAAGCCAACTAGAAAACGTACGCGCAGGCACACAACTCCCACTAGCATAATAAAATCAAGTAGTAATTATTAATTGTACTTGCTTAATTTTGCCAGTGGAAAATATTATTCTTTTTGCGCCCCTAGCTGGTCCAAATCGTGGTTTTTCCCTGCCAGCCCCCCCTTTTACCATGTACCACAGAACGCCCATGTAGGTTTAAATCAACTCCCACAAGTACACACTTGTAAGATAGGTATGCAAATGCGAACTAGATAAATATATCCATTTCATTCCGTTGATTCGGCATGGTGAGAATTGGGAATGTCGGCGTAAGAGATGGCATCGCGATATAGATTAAACAAGAAGAAAAACAAATTAAGATCGATCGAACACCGGAAATAAATATATTTGCATTCTTGATTGCTGGTACCACCACAGTGCACCACCCCCCTGCTTGATTTCGCAAATAGACATTCTGTATATCGTGCTTAAGTGATTCACTTAGCAGTAATTTGTTAGCAGCATACAGTTATTGATTCATCCCAAACAGTAAATCTAGTATGGGGAGCCGAGTTATTTGTTCCCAACACCTTTTAGGCTTAAGCACAGTTCGATCAGGGGTGTTCAATATCGTAAATACTTATTTTTCTGTTTGCTTTGTATTGTGATTCGAAAAGAGTCACAGTATTCGAGGAGTTGAAGTTGAAGTTGACTAGTTACTAGTTGTAATTCTGGATCGAAATGTGATTGGTCGAATAAGCACACACGGCTTCTCCACTTTCCAGATTAGGTGAATTTCGATCTTGCCATACTGTGGAGGTGGTCTGTGCTGTCCGATCCGATTAGATCAGATCTGCGAATCAATTAATGCATCCACTTAAAAAATGCCAAGGTGGGTAAGGTTTTTAAAATGATTAATTCGGGTGAGATGTGATTCTATATACCTAAGTACCTAGCTAATGTACTGCTGATCTCCTACACTGTATCGAAATACCTAGCTACTTTCAGTCCCTTAGGCATCTAATTAGATCACAAACATTTTGCTCGGGGCATTCAACACTGTTGAAATGGGTGGATCAGGCCTGCAAATGGTATGTGCACAATCATCCCAAGTCCTTAGGCATCTTTTTGCCAGGTAGATACATGAGGTCCATGCATCACCGAAATAAGAAGCTACATGGATATGTACCTTAGTAAATTTCCAGGCATCACTTTAAAGGTGGATGCCTAAGGAATTAAATCAACAGGAAAGTACCCACCAGCAACGAAACAGGGTACATCCATTGTATGTATCCAAGTACCCAGGTATTCAGGTATTCAGGTATTTTTAGCTGGGCAACTCCAGATGTCGTTGCCCGACCTAAATTATGTACTAAGGCGAGCAAGTACCTAGGTACCCAGATACGCAACTCGAGAAATCATGTCGTTACTTATATGTACCTATGTCCTTATGTAACCTTGGAAGTCTACCGAATTATTAGGTACGTACCTCGAATGAATTCAGAGTATCGTTGATGCTTCGATCGTATAATCTAATAGGAGAAAAGACTTTGGAATCATTATTAGAGCTTCGAGGGAAAGCGAGATGTGAGTGAAGCATCCATATTATTTCTCGACCACGGGAACTACTCAGTTTTCCATTTCCATATAGACACAATTCGATCGGTATATATCCAATTTCATTCGGCTACCCACTTGTACTTTGCGCCTGGATGGTCTTTTCTCAACCTCGGGCCGAGTCCATCCTGAAAATAATTCTCCCTAGTAGTATTCGCAGCATACTCGTCCCAAAATACTCCTCGAGCTCTTAGTTCAGGTAGAAGCCACTTGATAATATCTTCGAAGTCGCCGGGGTTAATTGCATAGGAGATATTAAATTCATCAACACCAGCTTCATCGATCCACGTCTGAAGAATATCTGCAACCGTCTTTGGCGAACCAATAGCCCGAGGATGAGCACCTCCTATAGCAAGCTCTTGAGCAATCCTTCTCTTAGTCCACTTGACATCTTGAGTCCCAGGAACCGTAGCAGTCCAGGAAGAAATCATGCTTTGAATAGCTCCAGGCCCTTTGAACGCGAAGTCTTCATCATCCTCCCATTTGTCAAGATCTACCCCGGTCCATCCTCCAAACAAAGTCATCGTTCCTTCGAGGTCAGCGTATTGCAGATAATCCTCGTACTTAGCCTGGGCCTTCTCATCCGTTTCATCGACAATAATCAATACCCCCGTAATAAGTTTAATGGTTGACGGGTCGCGACCGCTTTCGATGGCTAGCCGGCGTATGTCATCGGTGGATCTCCGGACAGATGCCGGTGTTAAGCCTGGCAGAAACATACATTCAGCATGCTTGGTCGCGAAAGTTTTACCTGCGCTGCTGGCACCGGCTTGGAAAATAAAGGGTGTCCGTTGAATCGAAGGCTCCGTCGTGATGGGACCGGTAGATTTGAAGTAATGCCTACAATATTCGGGTCGTTAGAACGAGGTCAGACGAACGTATACGATTCGACTTGCCCTTCATGATTAATCTTCCGGACTCTCCCTGGAACAGCGTATTGTTTCGTCTCATTGTCTTTCACAACAGCATCGTCTCTCCATGACCCTTCCCATAATTCATACGTTAAGTTGATAAACTCCTCGGCTATCTTGTAACGTTCATCGTGCTCAATTTGGGTTGGTAAGCCAAGGTTTCTTGCCGCCGACTCCAAATGACTTGTAACCACATTCCACTATGTGTATGAAGGTACGTTCGTCAGCCCCCTTTAACCCCACTTACTGGAAACTTCATAGTTTCGCGACAAGACAGAGAGACGAGGTAAAACAGGAAGCACATCATGGTTTTATACGTACTGCGACACGGCCTTTAGTGAAATGGTCAAGCGTTGCAAACCTCCTCGCTAACAAAAAAGGGTTCTCATAGGTAGTCGATGCTGTTACACCAAACGATATGTGCTTGGTTGCCGCTGCCATAGCCGAGACAGCTAGGCTAACTCCCGTCAACAAGAAACTGGCTGCAGCGAATATTTTTGACGAATACCTACAATGGATCATTCATGGGCAGTTGAGCAGCCCCAGGAAGGCCGGGGTCAATATTGCCATCGCCCTTGTAAACGCCATAATGACTAAGAACATCCGCGATGAATAGCCCATGGAATTTTCCATCTTCGAGGATCTTGGCCAGGTTAACCCAATAGTCAATATCCTTGTACTCAGAGGTATGATTGCGCGGATGTCTCCAAAGCCCTACGAGGTTTGACGGTTAATTTCTAATTATTCTTAGATTAAGGAGCAAAAACATACCTGCAGCAAGATGGCCAGGTGTGCTCATCGTGAACGCATTCAAAATCCATTGTTTCGGCCGAGAGATATCCGCTGGGTTACTCATGATGACAATTCGCAAGCGACATAAACACCTTGCTAATGAAAGACGCGTAGAACCATGCTCGCTTCACCAATACCTGTATTTGGAAATATGCCCAGATATAATAGCGACGCCGCGAAACCCCACTCACGATATGGCGCGATGCTGCACAACCATGCTTTTCTCCGAAAGCGGATATTATTAAACAATCGCCATTTAGGTCTAAGTCACGTCATCCAATTGCAACAGAATTATCATGGTTTCTTATCCAATGAGATGCGGTGTTTCAAGGATATGCACGAGTTTTAGGAAATCGTTCCTTATCACGAAAGGCGATCCGACTATTCGGTAACCCATTGCCGACGTAACTCTCCTGCGGCGTAGTTGATGACGCCCTGCCGGGGTATCATGGAATGTTTCCAAGGATAAGAAGGTGAAGGGCCGCAGGTTGCATTCACATGTTGAAACTTCGGGAATCTCATAGCCGACTTCGAAGACAATCTTTTGGAGTACGAATTGGTTTAGATCTCTCAATATGTCTGACCAGGTGCAGCCCCCGTTGCCTCAGGGCGCAGGTTATGGCGTCGTTGTTGGATTTGGCGTCGCTTTTGCGCTAGGTAAGAAAGTGAAGAAATACAAGCCAACATACCAGAGTCTGTTTCGCTAACTCTTGGGTATTATCTTTTAGGTATGATATGGGTTACTAGAGCCTTGAAGAAGTCTTTCAATGAGGATAATAAGACTACCGAAACGTGCGCCTTCCTATTCTTGATCGCCTCTTGATCTAATCCATTACTAATACGTTGTCGAATTAGATTCATGGTGGCCGACCGTGCCGTCGGTACTGGCTTGACAGCATCCGCTGTTATCTCTTCTTGGCTCTATAGCACGGCTCTTCTCGGGGCGTCACTTCTAACTTATAAGTATGGGTTGGCTTTGGGGGTATGGTGGGGGGCGTCAGCGAGCACCATGGTGTGTTTCTTGTCGCTCATCTCCATCGAAGCCAAACGTCGAGCACCCAATGCGCATACACTGTTGGAATTGATTAGGGTTCGATACGGCACGATCGCTCATTTGATATGGATTGTTTTTTGCCTCCTTACTAACATCTTGAACTTCTCGAGCATGTTGCTTGGAGCGAGTGCTGCTGTTACTTCTCTAACTGGAATGGATGTCATTGCTAGCACTTACCTCCTCCCGGTAAGTTGAAGAACTGCATGAGAAAAGCCTCATGCTTGGGAATGTCCGCGGAGAGAATCATCTGGCTGGGGAGTTCCTAGGACACGGGATGCTAATTACAAGTTATAGGTCGGCGTGGGGGTTTATACGTACTTCGGCGGACTTCGAGCAACTTTCCTTACCGATTACCTACACACTTTTATTATCATGATCATTCTAGTATGGATCACGATTAAAATCATTGTGGTAAAGGAAATTGGATCCATCGGGGCTCTGTATGATGCCGTAATTGCGGCAGACAAGGAAAATCCAGTCCAGGGCAATTATGGGGGTTCGCATTTGACCATGCGAAGTGAGCAATGCCTCTATTTCGGCATCCTCCATGTCATGTAGGTGCTTTGTATATCTGTTGTACCAGATACATGTGTTAATAATGTCTCAGATCGAACTTCGGGGCCGTAATTATGGATACTGGTTTCTGGCAAAAGGTAACTTACCATTCGTGAGGCGTCCAATAGGAGTATCTGTGGACTAACTAAGTCCAGGGATTCTCGGCCAACGTTGCTGCTGCTGTGCCCGGTTATGTCCTAGGAGGTGTTGCGTCTTTCTCGGTACCTTGGGCGATTGGCACTTTTGGTGGTCTTGCTGCTGTCGCTTTAGAGTCGACGTCGATTTTCCCTACGTATCCTCGAGTAAGTTTCAGTAGCACGGAGCTGTTCTACAGTCCAAACTAATAACCTCTAACTTCCACACAGGCTATGACCGCTGAAGAGGTCTCTTCGGGGTTGGTATTGCCCTATGTCGTGCAAGCTGTCGCTGGTAAAGCGGGAGCTGGAGCCTTACTGCTCACAATCTTCATGGTTCGTCAAGCCCCAAGTCTTCGGACATACAGTATTCTTACTCCGAAATGTAGGCCTGTACCTCGATCGCATCGGCACAGATGATCGCCATTAGTTCTATCATCTCGTTCGACATCTACGGGACGTATATTAACAAGAAAGCCACCGATAAGCAATTAATTACCTGGTCCCATATTGGCGTCGTAGCCACTTCACTTGTTATTCCGACACTATCGACTGCCTTCAATAAAGGGGGTGTCGATATGACTTGGCTGCTTTACGCCATTGGAAACGTCATCAATCCGGGCTGTATCCCGACCGTGTTTGCTCTTTTATGGAAAGGACAGACTAAAGCCGCTGCGATCATCTCTCCTCTTGTAGGTGTCTGCTGCGCTATATCGGTTTGGCTCGGGACTGCATATGCGTACTTTGGGGAAATTACAGTGGCGTCGACGGGCAGTACGATGCCGTGTCTATTCGGTTGTGTTACCGCATTTTTCGTTCCGCTTCCCACCACATTATTTATCTCATTTGTGCGACCGAGCTCCTTCGACTGGTCCGTGTTTAGAACGCAAATTCGAAAAGTCCGTCAATCAGAGCAGAATGTAGCTGAAGCGGATCAAGAATCGGAGGAATGGTTTAGTCCTGAAATGAAGCAGTACATGAGGAAAATGAGCCGTTGGGCCTCTTTCTGGGCTGTGTTCACTCTTATTGGACATGTATTCCTCTGGCCGCTTGCGATGTATGGTGCGAAGATTGTCTTCTCGAAGAGTGTAAGTGTTGTTTTTTTAGCCCCCTAGTTTTTGTTTCTTTCTGTGCTGTGTATTAATGCGACTCGGTAAATCTAGTTATTTACGGCATGGATTGTCGTCTCTCTCGTCTACCTCTGGTTTACCTTAATCGTCGGAAACTTCTACCCTCTTTACGATGGTGGCGCTCGAAAAATCTGGGTGGTGCTTCGCGGGAGAGTCTCTCCTAAAGCGTCGGGTGAAGTGGATACGCCACAGGATTCATCGGATGCTTCTTCCGATAGACCACCCAAACAGGCTAACGTTGAGACAAAGGTGCTCACCGACTCGTAAATGACTATCTAGATGTACTAAGTAGATATGGCATCATAGAACAGGGGCAGGATAGAAAAGAAAGGTTACAAGCTAGGCTAAGTGACAACATCATATCGAGCCAGCTTGCGTATGAATAGCGCCCTGCTGGGGACCTACTGATCAACACTGGAGACTTATGTAGACGTATAAACCCCACACTAGACTTCCGTTGACTGTCCAAGCGTTTTCCATCCTATTGCCTATTTTTCTGTGGCTGAAACAGCATCCACTTTACACCCTCTCATGTTGCTTGAGCTTGTGTTTGAATTGGCGCCGATTAACTCAACGAGAACGTCTGAGGACCCTTTTATTTCTTTTTCCTTGCGAACGGAAGCAAACTACAGTCGACGGTGTGACTCTGTCATAGTAATATCTACTCCGGGACGCATGGAATCCATTTGACGATATGGAGAAGCTTGAGCTCATTCGGTGTTCAACCACTGTTATCCACGGGGACAAAGACCGAGTATATCCATTAGAACACGATATAAAGGAACCGACCTAGGTGGCCTTGGAAGGCCAGTTGCGTTAGTTCCTAACTGAACCCCCATAGAGGCACTTATCGCGAACATAAAGAAAGGAGAAGCAACAAGAAAATAACAAGAACCTGAAACTTTGGAACACGTACCCACTTCTACAGTACGTGGGGTCTCTATTAGGGGACATGGCCCGAGTGCTAACTTGGAGGGGTCATCATCACGGTAAGCGTTTACATTTTGGATGAAGTCGAATTATTCATTAAGCATTCCTTCGTTCTACGTTACATCTACTATACAAAATAAATACAAAATCTATCGACGCCCCTGCTCTATATCCTCTATATGTATTTCGGGGCTCATAATTGTATGGGCGGTATCATCTCCAGATACAATAATTTCGGGTGTTGTATCCGTCCTTTGAGATGAGGGATAATCTTTTTCGTTTTCCAACGAAGATTGGGTATTTTTCCTCCATATTCTTCCGAAGGCGCTGCTGACTTTGGCATACACCTTAGCTAGGAAATTGTACACTACGACGACTGGTCTACCGACTGTCTCGGCGATCTTGGCAAACCAGGCATCGGGGAATAGCCGCACGAGGACCGCCCATGGGAGCGAAACCGCAGCCGCGACAATGCAGATAGCCCATTGAGGTCCGTTGAGGGCTGTGATCGAGAACGCGACACCACCGAAAAAGATGATGACTATCTGAGCTCCGACCATGATAAAATTGATGAAAATAAAGAATTTGTTGCGATGTACACCCTCGAAGACGTTGAATTTGTTATCGAGGCGCCTATTGTTGAATTCGTTGAAGATTTGCATCCACACGAAAGTGTTGAAGACGATGGTGTTGAGTTGCGTTTTTTGATCCGAGTTGTTAGAATCATATCCCAGAATTGCATACCCAGCGAAGTGCAGTACGAACGTCACTGCGAGCTGAAAGATGGCCTGTCCGATGATCATCTTCCACATGTTTGTTGTGATCAAGGGAGCGCTTTTTGGTTGAGGTTTACGATTGAGAACACTCTCAGACGGAGGATCAGTCGCCAGCGCCAAGGCCGCGAAGGTATCCATGATGAGGTTAACCCAAAGGAGTTGCACGGCAGTAAGCACAGAGTGCATTTCTGGATCGGCAACAGCGGATACGAAGGCAAGAAGAACGGCGGTAATATTGACGGTGATTTGAAACTGCGCGCGGATTAATATTCGATATCATTTACGAGTAAACGTGAGTCCAACTTACCTGAAGGAACTTCTGGACAGAGTCATTAACTGCTCGTCCCCATTTCAGAGCCGTTAGAATAGAAGTGAAGTTGTCATCCATCAGTACTATCTCCGAAGCCTCCTTTGCTACCTCAGTACCGCAAATACCCATTGAGAAACCGACATCGGCAGTCTTGAGAGCTGGAGCATCGTTGGTACCATCGCCAGTGACAGCTACTGTTTCTCCGAGAGCTTTCAATCGCGCAACGAGGATTCTCTTATCCTCGGGCGATGAGCGCGCAAGCACCTGCAACTTTGGAATTTTGGCATCCATTTCCGCCTCACTAAGTCTCCTAAAATCGGGTCCTTCCATGATCAAGCCACCGGTATAAATACCACATTCGGTAGCAATGGCTTGAGCGGTGACTGCATTATCTCCGGTCACCATACGAACCACAACACCGGCGTTTTGCGCTTTTTCAACTGCTTCAGGAACCCCAGGCCTAACTGGATCCTGAATACCAACCAAGCCAAACCAGACAAGGTTATTCAGTACCGAATCGAATCGCACATGGCCGTCTTCCATTTCGGCATGGGTAGGAGGCCATTGGGCAAAATCCTTAAAAACGATTCCTATCGTCCTTAGAGACCCTTTCGCATAAGAATCAATAACTGATATCAATCCATCACGGTCGCTATCAGTGAGCGGGGCTGTAGTGAGAGCATCAACTTCTGCTTTCTCGCTACAGTAATTCAGGAGAATCTCTGAAGCCCCTTTAACCAAAAGTCTATATCCGGTTCCGTCGCGCAGTTTTATAACCGCGCCCATACACTTCTTCGCCGAATCAAAGGGGATCATATGAATGAGCTGTTCGTTCGCTCGGGCCTCAGCCAATGATTGCATTCCAAGGTAGTCCTTAGCCAACTGGAGAAGGGCAGTTTCTGTCTTGGAACCAATAAATGTAGGCTTGCCATTTTCTTCGCCCTCGATTGCGGTTGAATTCACAGCGACTAACTGTACAATGGCCTCTTTAGTCTTCTGCGAAAGGCCACTGGCCCATTCAGAAACAGTCTGAGCGCTAGGCCTTTCATCGTTAGATTTCGCAAATTCCGACCGACCAAAAATTCCCGCTACAACAGTCATCCTATTGGTAGTCAAGGTTCCAGTCTTGTCGGAGCAAATAGCAGTGGCGTTGCCCATCGTTTCACAGGCGCGTAGTACGCGTACCAGGTTATTCTCCTTTAGTAATCGAGTGGTGGCGAAGGCCAACGCCAAGGTAACCGCCAGGGGCAATCCCTCTGGCACAGCCACGACAACGATAGTTACGGCCACGATTAGGATATCCAGGAAGGCGGAGCCCTTTTCCGAGCTAGATCGCATATCTGTTGGGAGGGCGGCGAGAAAACGAAATAGGAGGACAAAGAAAAGAAGGGCGGCTGCGGTACTCCCTAGCTTGGCGATAGCGACTGCGAGTCTTTCGAGTTTCTTCTGCAGCGGCGTGGCCTCGATTTCGGTTCGTACAGACATCATGATTTTACCGAAGCTAGAATGAACACCGACTGAAGTGCAGAGGAATGTACCGACTCCCTCGAGAACCTTGGAACCAGAAATAATAAAGGGGTCCAAGCCCTTCTGGTTTCCTCCCATTTTTAGACGCTCTATAACTATATCTCCTGGTGTTTTCTTAATGGCATCGGATTCTCCAGTAGCTGAAGATTCGTCGCACTTTAAATCGTGGCCGTCGATATAAACCCCATCAACAGGGACCAGGTCGCCGGGTTCGAGGTGTAAAACATCGCCAACGAGGATATCGTGAACATTAATCATAAAAGCTTTTCCCGATCGGACGACCTTGATCTCCCTGTCTTCTTTCTTAGCATTAAGTTTAACGAAAGCCCGTTCCTTCTGCCAATCGTTGAGTGACCCTACAAGAGTGACGATGAGGATAGCGATTATAATTGCGACACCCTCAACCCAATCCACGGATGGAGGATCTCCTGGAGCCGGTGTCGTCCCAAAGGTTTCATAAAGGCCGAGTGCTAACGAAACTACCGCAGCGACTGTTAAAACGAGAATAACCTTGTCATTATAAGCATTCCACATCAATTTCCATATTGGTGTGGGCTTTTTCGCTGGTAAAATATTCCTCCCAAAGACTCTTATTCTATCGGAAAAAGACTCGGAACCACTTTTTGATATCCGCTCCGGGGACTCTGTAAATTTATTGGATGTTCTCCTTATGGCTTCGTTAAATGTTATTGATGTCCGTGCTGTAGTTTCATCAACACTTAATCCAGTTTTGATGTCGGACTGTATACCCGCCGCTATGCCGCGGATGCCGTCTAAAGCCCGAAATGCGGATAATGATTTCGGATTCTGGAGTTTATTAAGATGTCCGGGGGTGAAAGCATACGGGTTATTCTCGGCCTGGAAATCGGCTTCCGTCCCGGGATCCGGACGAAGAGCCTCATTAGATTCTAATAATCCCACAGTTGATCCGTAATTCGATGGTTCTGGTGTTGAAGAGATAGAATGAATTGGTGTTATAAAAGGATTTGATATATTCGACACGAACGAGTCGGCCGGCGTTACGGCTCTAGTTTCATTTGTATCGCTCCTCGGACGTGTTCGTGTCTCAACAGCTAACACTGGTGGTGCGAGGCTATTGCTCGCCATGGTCATAGAGGTGATGTGCGGCTAGTCTTCTCTGTCTTAAAATATTAACAAGGTTAAGGTCATGGGAGAACAATATTGGGTGGCGTCGTTGGGTATTTGGCTAGATGATAAATTTGCATTTCTCAAGGGGAGTCTCGGTGAGGGGAGGCATCATATAGGAAGTGCCAAAAGGCTGTGTGGAAAGGCACATGCTGACGTTGAAAATCCAGAATTTCCACTTGCCGAGGACAGCCAGAATAAAAAAACGTACCTCCTTGTGTTGAGGGTTTGCCTAGAGTCTGCCCCGGCTGGGTCGCGGCTGTGCAAGCACCCTGGAGGCAAAGGTATTGTCTAGTAAATATTCCGTTAAATAAACGGTGGATCAGGATGCAAAACCCGCCGTTAGATCTTGTGTGGTAATGTGGTAGGGTTACTATCTGAACAATGCAATGCCCGCTGAGAAATAGAAAGTGAAGCACCAACTTCATAAAAGTGTTGAATGTCGCGTCACTTGAATATACGGAAAGACACATCCCGCGGGCTGTGTTGAGATATTACGTGGTAAGAGGCGAATGCTGTTGGAGGCCGCCCCTAAGTTAGGTAGACATAAAAGCCATCTTCGTCTCAACTCTTGGAAGCGCTTCGCAATTGATAGTACACCCCTACGAAGGGGCAAGACAGACCAAGGCTTGAAACTGGATCATGGCAACCAATACATGACTCTGAACAGGAAAAACACAATCCGTCCTTAGTAACCAACGACTACCAAGGAACCGGATTGAAGGATTAACCATGACGGTTGAGAAATTTCTGACGTTCCTCTTTGACGCTAAGAGGGGTGAGTGAGGCTGTGTAGATACCGCTGTATATACTTGACCAATCAGAGATGCTGGCGTATCGCACATTTTAAATAGAGCTCCTCTTCCCGACGGGTCCGAAGGTTGTAAGTCTTTCTACATAAATCTCTAATGCGACTTTGAAGTTGAGATCCGAGCTGCGATGCGAGAATTCCAAGGATAATATCGCGATTCGGTTGCGAAATTCGCTCCAGCTAGTCACGTGTTAAGAGTATACCAACTATAACGACAACTATCAAGGAATTAATACGCAAATATACAATATTCCAGCTATTATGAATGGGTCCGAATACGTTTAATTCGAGAATTCAACGTTTTGATCGTTATTGGATCATCACAAATGTATCGTTCTTGGCCGAATACGATCTCACGAACCACGTCGGCTTACCTAATAATCCCGGTATAACTAACCTCAAATTGTGAACGAAACTTATCATCTATAATACAGAAGCATATCTGGCTTTTTGCGAAGGGATCCTTAGACTGCACTATACGCAAGGATTATCCTATGATGATACAACTTTCATCGCACGATTTCGAAACCCATCATGGCTATGCTCTTGGTCTAATTAGTACCTTGGCAAGATCACACAATACGTCCGAATTACACATGTCTTATAGTCACTAGTCTAGTTATATCCACAGGATTTCATGTGAGTTTGTACATCAAAAGGGATGAGAAGTTGACGTTTACTATAAGTAGGAACTATAATCAAAAGAAGAAATCACATTACCAACAAGCTATTATACCCCAAAGTCACAGCAGAGAAATTCATAAATATCATTACGAGGCAATCATCATCGAGTGATCGTACAGGTTAAATTTGCTTATATTCCTATAAACCTACCTAGTCACAAAGGTAGGAACAATTACTCTCTCCAAGCGTTGACCTGATACACAACCAAGCAGCCCTAATAATAGGCTAACAACTATATAGGGGTTACACTACCTAGGTAGGTATGGTTCAGAGATTAAAATGAGACATGGAGTTGTATCCCTTCTTGTAAGGCTGACTTGAGTGCCTTGGGCTGTTCGAAGTGCGAGTCGCTCATGATTCAAAAAAGCCCCTTTATTTCAGTCTACCTTAGGTACAATTGTCCTAAGGGCTACCTAGGTATTCAAGCAAACACATTTGAAATCATTACTGAAGTTGTAAAAATATGCCTCCCTATGTCAATGAAATATCATAGGCACAAAGGTTGACTATTCACTCCCAAAGCAACCACAGGGGGCCTTTGTTAATACTGTGCCCTATATTTCAAGTAAATAACTCAGACGTGGGTTTCGACTGCCTAGGCATCTATAATACCTAGGTATCAATTAGGTGTGGATCCAGATGTATCAACGGTCGTTTAATACTGACGTGATCTATCCGATATTCCTATAAAATCTCTCCGAATAATACTAGCGCATCAGGTCCCAATAATTGATTCCAAATTCTTCATGGTAGCAAGCTCTCGGAGGTTTGGACCGGGCGAACCACGTTTTGCACTACGGTACACTGCCTCATTCGATGATCAAATTAGTATTCCGAGGAGATATACTGGAGGAGGGATGTAGTAAGTCCCATATGGTACAATGTAACGCTAATACAAATGTAATAAAATTACTTACAAAGTGTTTAGTATTTGCGGAATTTTCGTGCTTTAATGACAAATTTGAGTTGAACAGAACGAAGTCTCTTGTGTCCGTGAAATGAGTTTGTAGAGGCTCGCGAATTCCTTCCATGTAGAACTAATGAAATGCAGCCTAGAGAAAAATAGCTCTTAGGGGTTCAACAGCATGTGGCTATGCTCTCCTTCTCCGCAACATTCAAAGATGACTATGTCGTGTTCGCTACCTAGGTGCATATTCTAGCTTTGTGGACAGCTAGCAAATTTACTATGTGCACCTACCTGAAGGTAGACCGAATTCTATATAAGAAAAGTGCTAAATTGCGATACGCTGTCTCTGCTGTTGGAAGTCACCTTGTCTATACTTTACGTAGACAAGAATACATATCAAAGTCCTTCAAATCCCTACTTCTAATCATTACTCAATCTGTAGTACATAAAAGCTAATAAGCAGCCACCAAATCATCAAATGACCACTATTTGCTTCTCTATAACTTACGACCATAGGCAAATCCATCTCTCAGCTAGGGATTTGTAATTGTATCTCATGGCCTAGAAAGTGGAATATTACCCGTGCCGTGATAGGAACACGTAAGCAGTTTGCTTCAGCCTCGAAACCCGCATGGAAACATGACAGCTTGATTTACGGGAGAAACTTTCATACATCGATATATGATTTCTAAGCCATCGTCACTCTAGAGTACAATATTTGGGAGTTGACAGTGGATTTAAATCTTCCGAATGCGAATCCAAGTCAACATGGCGCAGCACTTGAATTCTTAATCAAAGTGAACCAGAAAACACAAAACAAAACCTCACCTCTACATTATCGTGATGATTTGGATGCCCACTTGGGTGGCATCCGTACATGTATCCCCGACAATTAAAACGGAGGACCAAGTAGTGCATATTGGGAACCATATACGGCTAATCGATCCTCCATGTGTAAGGCAGATTTGCTATGCAGTAAGGATCACCGGATTAGGGGCTATTAACCGAATTAACATCACAGGCGAAGCAGTTATAGATAGAGGTATCAAACAATATAGAATCGAATTTAATTAGGAGTTCCACAATTTGAGATCTTCTAGATCTCTGATTACTTTTAACTATGAACCGAGGCAAGGGATTAATCATATTCTTCTCCTCTAGGGCTATGTGAAATTTGATGAATCGGAAGTTATCAGCGAAAATCGCACTTCATAGGGAAATGACCATAATGCTCAGCCACGATAACTCATGTTGTAAGCGGCACCGAGGTTTTGGTGCTTGGGCTTCACCTTATCCACATGATATCCACACCTCCCTTGCGCAGTGGCTCACGAAGCTCAAAGCGCAAACTAGGTGTGACGAAGGAGGCGAATGATGTGGAGAGGGCGACTGAATTGATACAGGAGACCAACAACGGCGACTAAAACATGATCTTCCATTACGGCTCGTAATAGGTGCATTTTACCTAAGGGATTTAGTAAATTTCAGATTAGGTGTAGTTGTTATGTGGTTAGATTCATTAGTACTCTAGAAACTCGCGATAGCCTCATTGCAGCGACAGGATACCTTCAATACTGTGTTGTTATTGGCTCATGCTTCGATCAGTATTTTGTCCCCTTCTTGGTGGATGCAACGTTCATTTCTACCAAGGTAGATATAGCCGACGACTGATAGATGGCCAGGCACGGAGCGGCCCAGATCTGCAACAAGTTGAGGCTAAATACCAACGATACGAGATATGCAGATGTTGTTCAACGGAGGAGCTCCGAACCGAGTGCGGCGGGCGAGAATACGAATTAAATTGAGGTGATGGTCGAATGTTGAACTTTCAATCTCAAATTCTAGATAAGTATCGCGATAAATGTACTAGAGTCAGGAGAAAGTATGCGTATGAACACGATGAAGGGAACAAAACTACTCACAGCGCTCCTCTTCTTACACTTCACATCATCCACCCCCCTCCAAACCGAACCCTCCCCCTCAGAAACCTACGCGCCCTGCATCCGAAGCGCATACAACCACTTCCTAGTCCGAAACTGGCGCAGCATAACGCACAACGACAGCAGCGAAACCTTCCACTTCACGCTCTCCGCCAACTTCACGTCGTACTCCTCCTCATGTAGCGGAATCCGCTACGGCGAGGATAACAGCGGGTGGTTAGCCTGCGATGACTCTGATGCCACATTTGACTTCTCATCAAACGATTACATCAATATCAATTTATCCTACATATGCGACCGCGGCCCAGAAGAAACCGATCCGAGGAATAAGTACGCGATTGCGAAAGCGACGGGGGATAGCAGATTAACAATTGGACTTGTAGATACGCCGGAGGGGCATTTCACGGGTACCGAGGGGGATAACATAACAATCCCGGCGTATAGCGAGATCGCGCATCGTCTGCCTAGCCTAGACTGCGCCGTCGTGTCGCGAAGAACGGAGTGGGAGGTTCGGAATTTCGAGTACCGCGCGAATGTCCATGCGACTAGCCCTTGGATCATTCCCGGTACGACAGTTACTATTAACTATGATCTGTATAATCCGGCGAACGATTACTTGATTAATTGCCAAGCCGTCAATACTACGCTCGCGGATACGCCAGATAACCCGGAACTCATCAGCCCGGACGCGCGGTGGCCGTGTCCGATTGATTACCGCGATGATTTGATGCCGCCTGAGGCATATCCGACGACGGGTTTCTGGTTCAATAAGAGTTCGAACGAGATCACTATCAAGCAAGAGTGGGACTGCACCGACGAAGACGACGAGGATGAAGAGTAAGTGGCGCCGAACACTCAGCTTTCCCCCTTGGGGGCGTTGATTTGCTAACACGGGCAAACTGGCTCAGAATCACATTTTCCGAAACAGGCAGCACAATCTTACCGCTGCAATGCCATGATATTTTCTTGGCGCCTGATAGTACGATTCTTAAGGCCGTGGAATGTGATGCTCTCAATGCGACGGTGAAGGCAAGTCTCGTATCGTAACCAGGAGGATTCACTGCGCACTGAGTCCAGAATAGGGGCATTTCGGTATGCCCGTCCGAAGCATCTAGGGGATGTGGAGCTGGAGATATGATAGGCTACGTCGCTTCAGTAATACATCAATTGCATCAGTTTTAATAAGGAGGCGCAGAGGATGGGATTTGCTTACGTTAAGTAGGATACTCCTGGGGGCGGGATTACTTGGGTATCCTGACGCCTCGAAAATTGACACTAATTTGGATTGATGATAATCATCCTGAGAATAGGTTCATTCCTAATAGCCTAGGCGTCAGTTATTTTAAAATGGAATTTGTGATAGATCATGAAAACTTACATACGAACGAATCCAGTAATAACCCCCAAAAGGATGTGCTTTTCGGGTAATAACTGAAGAATAGAAAACAACATGAGCAGGAGTAATATAGTAACACTTGTTAAGTGGACATCCATCGCCGTAAAAAAAAAACTTTGGGAAGATCAAACAGAATTCTTGCTATGCTACTTCTATGAATTTGAATATTCAGAACGCCGTTTTTGAATGCCCCTAGTACTTGCTATGCTATGCGTGTCATTAAATGATTTTTGTCCAAATTGAATATCCGCCTGTAGCTGGGGTAAGAAGCCGCTGAAAACAATTGACGAGCGGCAATCTCTCATACCATAATTGATGTGTTTTTTTCTGGGCTTAAAGCTGCGGCGCCTTAGTCGCTGGGGGTTGATTGTCTGTCGTCTTTCTGATGGTCTCATGCTGGCATCGTCGTAACTTCTCTCGCAACGCTCCGCGTTTAGTGAGTCAATGCCTCACAGATCAGTTCTGTAATGGCAGTGAAAATCGATCGTAAGGCAATACCAGCTTTAGTTTCATCTCTCAACTTGCAATTCTCCCGATTGAGAAAGGTCATCACTCGCGGCCGCGCAAGCTCCGGTCTCCTCGAAGTCTTCAACCTCCGTCATACGTAGAGCATCTTTCACATCATCAACAAAGCGATGTCTGCCTCCTACTAGTTCAACAATTCCACTTCGCTCCATCAATTCCCATACCTTGTTTTGTCGACTCACGGGTCTGCTAAAGAAAACCCTGACGCCTCGGTCGCGATAGTTACGCACGATCTCTTCGAGAACCTGGGTACCAGAGCCATCCATCGATGTTACGCCATGAATATCAAAAATGACGTTCCTATTGCTGGTTTGCGGGCGGAGACGTGGCAAGGCTGGGTGCGCATTGGCTGTGCCGTACAATTCAAGGCGACGTAATCTGTTCTTTAATTCGCCTGTATTCGCAAATGTTAAAGGCTCGGGTATTTTCACAATTAAGCAACCCTCCACAAATTCGAGATCCTCGGGGTGTTCTTCGGCGTTAGCGAAGCGATCACTGTTGGGAACTCGTCCTAAAATCTGTATGCGAGGACGTGTGGCATGACGAATAACTTGTAGAAGCGACAAGCCAATACCAATCGCGATACCTAGATTGAGGGAAAAGAAAACGGTAACAGCCAAGATGACGGCCATCAAAGAAAGCTCAGTCCAACCCTTAATTCGGATGAAAAAGGAGACATCATGTGGTGCTTCTTCGATTAGCGACCAGGCGACTGCCATGATGAGGGCGGATAGAACAGGTTTCTGCTATAATTAGCCCTCCTGCTCAAGACCATATGTGGATACTGGTAGAAGAACTTACTGGTAGGTAGTAGAAAGCCGGTAATAGGAATAGGATGCATATGACGGTGATGAGACTAAGTAAAAGAGAACTCATGGGACTCTTTCCGCCTGTGCTCTTATTGACCTTGCTTCGACCATATCCACCAAAGGCCGGAATTGCCATGAAGCATGCGCCGACAAGATTGGCTGCTCCAAGTGCGACAAGTTCTCGGTTAGGACTCAATTGCATCCCTTCAACGATTTCCTCTCCGCCTAAACTCTTGGCAGCAACTGAAGATTCAAAGAATCCCAGCATGCCAATCAAAAAGGAAGTACCCATAGCATCTCGAATATGGTTCATGTGCGACAGTTGGAAGGGATTGCGGAAAGTGAAAATATGACCTGATGCTGCTTCGACTTTGCCAAGTACCGGAACACCGTTCCCCTCCCAGTCCAAAGACCATGCTAATACAGCAGAGAGCACAACGACGATAAGTCGATCAGGAAAGTATGCCACTCCAGGATATCGTGGCTGTAATCGTCTCTTGATCTCCCTATGCAAGGCATTAGTTATGCTCTTTCTTGGTATGATGTAATTTCCCACTTACCGAAGTACCATAATAACCACAAACCCCACAACGCCCACGAGTGCTGTGAGTTCATGTCTGTCAGCGAGGTGGGTCAATACAAACTCGAGTTTCTTAACGGTACTGCCGTGCGCGACGCCCGGCGCAGTTTTCGCAGCACGATTAAGCCCCAAAACAGGAATCAACTGATCGATGAAGATGACGACACCAATAGCGGATATGAAGCCACGTAAGAATGGTCGGCTTAGAACACTGTCGAGGAAACCTAGACGAAATACGCCCATGAGAAAGACAGTAGCACCAGCAATACCAACAGCCACACCAGCCACTTTCGCTTGTAAGACGGCATTATCGTCTTCACCGTGACCTAGGTCGATGCTGTTCTTCACAATAGATCCAATCAGAAGGGAGCCAGCTGCTTCGGGTCCCACCACCATCAACGGGCAACTGCCTAATAGTGCATACATGAAGGGGTTGATGGCGAAAGCATAAAGACCGTTGATTGGAGGAACGTGGGCCAGGTTATCGGCGTACGACAGCGCCATGGGGAGGTACATAGATGCGATGGTAATAGCGGCCGTAAAGTCGCCCTTAAGCCACGACCACTTGTACTGCTTGATCCATATTAGGAATGGTATGTAGTAGGACAAGTACATGCCCCACGAATCCTTAACACCATGTTGTTGTGCGAGTGTACTCGAGTCTGTCATTCTCTTGCTCTTGACCTTACTGGAAAATGTCTTCCTCCAATTACCCTTCAGTTGTGTTTCGCTAGACGGCGCAGACCCGTCTGAATCCGCTACTGACCCTCCTTCACCATCCAGAATGCCAGCTCTGGGTGGTGGACTAGAAGCGCGAGGAGAAAATGTACCATGATCGCAAGGGCCGTCGTGTGCGTGATCGTTACGAAGAAGGGATGTAGTCTCGCTGGTTTCATTCGTATCATCGTGGGTAGAATCGTATTGGGTGCTGGGGCCAGCAGGATTTCTCGTCGCTTCGTCGCCACTCATTGAGGAAGAAGAAACTGTGCGACTCTGTCGAAGGCCGCTCGGGGTTAATGGAGCATGATCGTGAGGATAAGGCCGAGATCCGGTAGTGATGGAGGGAGGTCTAGACGGCGACATGTTTCTTTTGAGCTTTCATTAATTTAAAAAGGATAATTAAGTGTCGCGTAAAACTTTATGTAAGCTTGAAAGTATGTAATTGTGACAGAAGTTGAATTTCCATTCGTAAGCAGCCGTCGAGATTATCGTGGAGTCGTAGGAAAAAAAAGAGGTTATCGGGAAAAGGCTGTCGGCACAATGATGCCGATTGAATCGAGACTAACAAGAAAACCGGCTCGTACAGCGTTGCAAAGGAAAGTCGAAACCAGTTAGAATAACATTGATTAAGGCTGGGCAATCCACATTGCTTACTTGCACCAATGTAACTAATGCATGGATTTGGAGATTGACGATATGTGTGTATGTACGAAGCATGGAGTATGGAGTATGGAGATAATATACAGATGTAGTATGTAGTAGTAGTAAATGATATGCAAGATGAGGTACGAAATAGAGAAAGAGAAAAAAGAATATCCTTCATTTTATTGGTCGATCCATGAAGAAAAGGATAGCTCCAAAGGTTACTTTGTATCCCCTGATCCCTACCAAGGGTTCATGAGACACGATATAAAGGTGGGTACTATGGGTACAGCGGACAGGGCGGGGGTGGTTGGTTCCATAGGACTGGCACCGCTTAGGTACCATTGTCGCTTTTTTGACTTTCAACTTTATATGTACTTTAAACATCAACTTCTTTATCGCTGACGTAACTTTAAATGCTATGTAATTCATCCAAAACATTGGAGAGGAGTTATGAAAACTAAAATACTCTACTTTAAATAGTAAAGAAGATTTAAGGGACTTATGAATAACAAAATGGATAAATGATCAGTGATAAAAGATGAGCAAGACTTGAAATCTAAACCCCGCACCGGTGGAGACCATTCTCCGTACATACCCGATAGACAGCTGCATATTAGTACATACTGGAAGCAGTAAAGGTACATAAAAGTAGTGGAGGCTAACTAAATTCATGTACCTAAGCACGCACAGGTGCAGTACATCAATAGTGCTTGTACCCTTGAGCATGAACTTCTTCAGAACAACTACGTTTCAATAATAGCTTCAAACAGATAATGACCTTGGTTTGGAGGCCTCAAACATTTTCAATCATGAGTCACAATCAAGAAAAACAGAAGAAAAGAGATAAAATTTACGAAACGCGAAGTATGGATTGACTATGGTCAGTTATGAATTGACATATTTAGATGTAGTTCCCGAGGAACCAATCATTTTCCATAACGCCGGCAGCATTCTGGTATCGATCCTAGTAATAAAAATCCACCACGCAATCGTATGCAGACCATGTCAAATCCTCCATATCGAACTCAATCGAAATTCGATTATTTTGTGAAACTGGGGAAGAAATTCGTCAACGATAATTTGTAAGGGTAAGGCAAGTGTATGTGCTACTCCGATTGCAAACCTCAAAATAAATGATATATCCCGAAGAATCGTGACATCTCTCGCGAATAGTCTAGTAAGGAAAGACGACGCGTTGTTAGATGTTGTTGATTGAAGAGTAATTTTAGGCTTCATCTTCATCCCCGGTATCGAGACTAAGCGAGTCCTTCTCATTCTCAGGAGTCGCAACTTCAGTCTTGACCTCAACCTTGGGCTTGACCTCGTCGTCATCTTCCTCATCACTAGTGAGGGCCTTTCTAGACGACTTGGCCTTCTTGCTGGAATGAGGTGTCTTGGGCGTGGCAACCTTGCGCTTGGTGGCAGACTTGGACGGAGTATGGTTCGACTTGTCATCATCCTCGGCTCCAGCCTTGGTACCAGAAATGCCAAGCTTCTTCCTGATGGGGCCAAAGCAGGCACAAGCGGTCGAAGCATTCTTGAATCCAGCCACATCAGCAAGTTTCTGCCAGTTGATCTAAAAATATCGGTCAGTCAACAATATAAACTTGCAGTTTAAGGTAAATGGGTATAAATAGGAAGAAAAAGAGAAAGAATGCGAATAATGGTAATTTATGTATTAGTATCTGTCTATGTGGGCTTACCTTGGGGTTGGTGTCGAAACACTGCCAAGCTAGAGAGAGAATCTCTACATCACGAGCAGTGAGGTGAACTCCCGTGGATCCTTGGGAGGTCATGGTGCTGACAGTAGTACTACAGATTGTCAGTATGGAGGAAAATGCAGCGGCATGGATATATATTAGGCGACAAGGAAACTCACAACAGTGTCTAGTATCAAATGACAGTTGTCTTATTGATGATGGACTGTCTAGAGTAGAAGAGTAGATGTAGGGCTACAACTAGATGGCTTGGTGAAGTAGATGCGAAGATGGTAAAATTCCCGGGTGAAGAGAACTGTGTGCTATGTAAAGTATGCAAGGGCAGAAACTGTTTGGAGGGGAGAAAACGCAATAAGATGTGAAAAACGAGGACTGTTCTTGATGGCAGGCAGATGGAAAGGCGAAAGATGCGATAGTTGAAGAAGGCAAGAGGTAGGCATCTCCATGAAGGAAATCACGATTGAGAAAACCATAGTAAGGTCCCTACAGGCATAGCAAACATACTAAAGACTGGAAAGAACGATATACCTATTGTGGTGATGTGCCCTGGTCGTGATGGACTCATATTCACATTCACAGGCATGAAGTGTAGTCGTTGTTTCTAGACCTACATATTTGTCGGTCGTGATAACCCCGGTATTTGTTGTTAACCATCCGGGCAACCTCGCAACTTCTTATCAACCTCTCGTATCCCCATGTCCACACATTTTAGTATGCATGTGCATCTGCATCCCCGGTGTGTGTGTGTGTAACATTTCTAGCCTTATATACCAAGAAAGCATGCACACTTTATAGATATTGCCAATATTATTAGTCAAGAACATATCGTAACAAATGAAATTTAGCAACTCTAGGCAACAATGAAGCAACAGGGGCGGGAAAAAGAGGTACCTACACTATAGAAAATCTACGCTAGACCTTTATTTCCTACATACCCACATGGTGGCGTCCGTGCAACTCTCTAGGGTCGTAAATACTTTGGTATGTGCAGGCATATTTTGCTTTTTCCAATATGCCCGCTTCAGCTTCCCCGTATGTACCTACTAGGATCTGTTCCGATACAGATTACCCCTACATGTACAGTACCTCCTGACGCCATCAAAGCTATCAAAGTGCACATTACGTACTGACATAAAATATCAAAAAAATATATGTCAATTAAGTCGGTGACCGTTGAAATACGATAGCTCACAGATGCTAAAGTCATAAGTGCGTAAGTCAGGAATGAAGGTGGGAGTGGCAACTATCTCAAATCCATTTGTTCGAATAATATACCCGTCCTTCCATTCGCATTATTTTATGAAATCAAATCCAATACCACTGATTGGCAAAGCCATTATCATTCTGATTTTACCTACATAGAGGTACATAGTTGGGTACAAGTTCACAGTAAACTCTCATATGTACCTACTGCGTGTCTTACACACATTGTTGACGATTTAATCATTCAGTATGACAAGATGAAATGATGTATGTCTATAAAACCTATGTCAACCGCAATTTCCAAATATTTTCAGGTCTACCTTTCATTTACACATTCCTCTTGGTCACGCCCATGCGCCCTGCTGCCTCGCTTCTCTTCTGGCCAGGTCCAGCCCATGTAGGAATGATATCTGCCGAAGTAGGTACCTAGATTGTCAGCCCTAGAGATACGGAGGCGTTTGGCGAGAACAAAGAGGCTCCATGCCACATACGTCGAGGAATCGACCCGGGATAGAATAAACAAAAGCCATTACATTACTCCATTATACATACAATCCAGTTACCCAGACCCTATCATTTCTACAATGCCGTGGTGATCTTCCTCGGCTACCTACCATTGTGGTACCTACCCTCGGTCACATACCAAAAAATTGCTTTTGACTGCTTGAGGTACTCCCCTTAACAGTCAATTTCGGCGCCACTTGATCATGCAAGGATGACAGGCTACACCGAAGGTCGAGCTTAGGTTAGTCAGACATCTCCGGCGATGCGGTTGTCAACGGATATGGTGTAACAACAGGTAGTTCTTACCTTACCAGAGAATAGGATCCGGTGTGTTACACGAACCAACGATTCTGTCAGAATCCTATTTTTGATAGGCAACATACATGTTGGGAAAACCTTCATATTTTATTCAATAATGGATCAGAATATACCCTCTCGTGACGTTACACCAACTGTACTGGCCTTTGTCAGAATCCTAATTTTAGAAGTAATTTGTATTATAAGTTCACCGCCTTATGTGGGAGGAGAAAGATACAGTATAGCGGGATATCGCAAAAGGGAATATCCAGGTAGGTGAGAAGGAAAAAGCAAACACGATTACCGGGCGAACGGACGGACTTCGTAATATCATTATAGACCGCGCTAGTTATTCCATGGGGTATGAACTCTCTCCAACAAACCCCCATGTCCGGACACATGATGAAAAAGCAAATAAGGAACTAACCTGCTGGTTTTGTGTAACGACTCGCTACTCAATGCTTTGTACGAGCGACCTATTAGCTTATTGGGGATGACGTTAAGGCAAGATCATGATTTCAAGCCACCTGACTGGGTCGCGCGGCTGTAGGGAACCGGCCGAGCTGAAAACTCGACAAAGGAAATGTTGAATTCGAGGTAGGGTTGGTCTATTTAACATAAGGTATTCATATGGTACGTGAAATTCCAATCCCCCTTCCGTAGAGCTTACTCCTATACTCCCTCGTCTACAATACCAAACCAGTCTTACATCCCTTCGCAATATGCCTACTCGTATGTCCTTATTAGGTAGCAAGTTTCAAGTCGATCATGTTGGCTAATAGCTTATGTACTTAGGCACTGAGACTTCCCTTTTGAATGAGGAATACCCTCGGAGAGCTGATTTACGGAAAGAGCTTCGCCGACCCCTTCCATTTATCCCCCCTGGGACTGTGGATCCAGCAGTGCTAAGTGGCGAGGAAATCAACAGGCAGGCACTCGCTGTTGTTGAGGCGTTCGACAATGCCTTGAGTACGAATGATACAAAAGGGTTAGCATCATGCTTCCTCGATGGCCAGCCGTATTGGCGAGACATCTTAGCGTTGACATCTCATCTGCGCACCTTCACCAAACCTGGTGTCATTGTGCCGGCGTTATTGGAAACCAAGAATCTCAGAGGGGTAAAGGGTGGATTGAAGTTTGAGAGAGCCGACTTCGTCCCGGCTACTCCGGTCCTTGTACGTACATCAATTCCTTGGCTCGCCGATTCATGTATGTGATGTCAACTACTAATATGAAACATAGCAATTCATTGATTGTAGGGTTACCTTCAAAACCACCGCCCCCGCGGCAACCTGCAGCGGGAGGCTGATTCTCCTACCTATCAAAGTCGAGGGGCGGCCCGACAAGGAGATTCTTTCGTGGAAAATATGGATCCTATCTACCTGGATCGACAACTTGGACGTACAAGCGGAAGACGAAAACCTACTCCGATCCCCAGGTAGGAATCTGGATGACCTCACAACTATTGAGACCGATGTCCTTATTGTCGGAGGAGGCAATTCGTAAGTCAGGGACCATGATGAATATTGTATTGAAGTTTCCGTCTAATTTGTGGCTTTCTTGGCCATAAAGCGGCACTAGCATTGCAGCGCGACTAAAAGCCTTGGGCGTTGAGAGTGTGATTCTTGACAGAAATCCTCGTGTTGGTGACAATTGGGCTTTCCGTTATGACTGCGTACGGTTTCACCTACCTGCGGCGGCTTGTGCCATGCCGTATCTCCGTGAGTACAGAGCATTTCCCCTCCTTCGGTAGGACAACACGGCTAACTCCAACACGGAAAGCCTTCAAGAAAGAGTGGCAGACGCCCCATCTACTGAAGAGGGATGAATTGGCAGATCACTTAATACGGTACGCAGCAGAGTTTGACCTCAATTACATCAACTCTATGAAAATACAGACAACTACATACGACCAAGTTAAAAAACGATGGACCATTCAATTCGAAACCCCCAATGGCGTTGTGAAAGCCATTGGCAAACAACTTGTTCAGTCCACAGGTTTTAGCGCCTCAAAACCGTACCGACCGCCAATGCTGGACGTTCAGCGGTATAGGGGTATCAACATACACTCAGCAGAATTCAAAAACGCCCAACTATTGAAAAACCACGGCGCGAAGGCAAGTCAATTACCTCTGAATACCTTCCGAACCCTTCGTCTAACATATTTTCAGTCCGTCGTGGTAATCGGCTCCGCGAATACCGCTTTTGACGTAATAGAGGATTGCAATCGCACCGGGCTTAAGACAACTATAGTTGCGAGATCGCCGACCTATATCCTCCCAGTCGACTATGTTCGTAATGCCCAAGCTATGGGCCTCTACGACCATGTGCCAATTGAAAATGCCGACAAACACTTCCTCACCCTACCGAATGCAGTTGAAAGCCAGATAACTCACGGTCTCCTAGCTCGATTGGCATCAGAAGAACCGTAAGTATATCCACTTCGTGTATTCATTATAGCGGATAACCCTGTCCCGCCCTCTCAACAGTTTCTCGTAAGCACACATGTTAACAGAGCCTCACCTCAATAGTAATCGCTACGAATCTGTTGCCGCCACGGGCTTTCCCGTTCTCGTTAGCAGCCACCCAGACGCATCATTACAGCACCACCTTCTCGAACGTGGAGGTGGACATTACGTAGATGTGGGTGGGGCCGTCGAACTCCTAACCGAAGGTAAAGTTGGCGTAAAAGGGGGCGTGTCTCCAGTCGCTTACACGGCTACCGGGCTACGCTTCTCAGACGGCACCACAATAGATACCGACGCCGTGATTTGGTGCACTGGGTTTGCAGACAAAGATGCCCGAAGCACCGCAGCCGACATATTTGGCGGCAGTGACGGCCAGAAGAGTGTCAAATTAGCAAATGGCAATGCCAAGGACGTGTTAGGTCCACTCGATATAGCAGATCGTCTGGACACGACCTTCGCTCTTGATGCTGAGGGCGAAGTCCGAGGCTTTTGGAAACGCCACCTACGCATGGAAAACTACTGGGCTATGGGGGGCCACATGCAGCTTCAGCGATGGTGGTCCGGAGTCCTCGCACAACAGATCAAGATGGCTGTCGAGGGAATATTGCCTCCACCGTATCTGGATACACCAGAGTCGGTGAAACAACTTTGACACGGCCCGTAACCTGTTTCATACCTGACTTGTTGGGTACGGAACGCCATCTTCTTTGTAGCGGCTGTTACTGTTCTTGGCACTTTGGTCTCCATTATATATTCAACACTCGTTATATTTTATATACCAATCATATAGTCGAATTTACGCAAACACACCCCTCAATTTTAAATGTCTTAGATTTTAATGGGCCCGGGGCTTTTATATCTGCTAGTTTTCCCTTACTTCTCAGCCAGCCCCCCTTTCTTCAACATAAAGGATATAAAACTCGTAACTCCGATACTTGCTTTTGACGGATCGGCCCGGGACCTATGGCTTGAGTTTTCAACGCGCGTATTACGATATAGAACTATGTTTTGCATAATGTAAGGTAAGAAGTTTCGTAACACAATTTTCACAGCTCTTCTCCGGGCAATCCGTAATGATTGAAAGGGTTTTTGCTTCGCCCCGACGCCACATTCATCCCAGGGGCGGGCCGACTCATCAATTCACGATTTATCGACCAGGTGGTCGTCGCTGTGTGACTCCATTTAGATATATCATGAACTATAGTCGTCATATATACTTTAAATATTTAAGTCCCCTTTTAGGACTAAAAATCATGATAAAATAGTATGGTTCCACTTTTTCCATCTCAGGGGTGCTAACGGAGGTGTATCCTATCTATTTTTCATTGGTACATATGTATGTAGCTATATCCCCCAACAGCTCGCAAAGAGTTGACAATGAATCCCACTTCCGACACAGAAAAATGTCCTTAGAGTTAATTAATCCAGCCTTGGTCACCGAGCTAGACATGTACACAAGTATGAGCTCACAATGGTGATGCAATTGTGTGGAAGTACAATATGCCTAAGGACCTAGGTAGGCAATTTACAGTACACCACCATCAAGATCACCAGGAACCCGAAGTATGGATATATTACACAACATGCCGAGAAAGGATACCGACTTAGGTATTGCTTTTCGGGCTCCAACACGGTCCAAAGGACGGACCCGAAAACCGGGGCAGTAGATTCCAATATCAATGGTTCTTTTGTCCGTACGGAGGCGTGTCTGAGGTTCCACAGCAGCGGACAAGTGGAACGCCCTTTGTTAAGCACATGCCCATCGTGTGGCTCTATATTTGAGGACCGTTATTGGACGCCATCCGATTTTCAGTTTTCGCATTACATCAGAAGACAGCGATGACGTTAGGAAAGCCCCCTCATTTCGTTCACCAACTTCGGAGAATCGAGAAAGAGTAATGATGATAGGTCACCAACGTACGCGGCAGGCTGGACTATTTGCTTATGGCTGGTTAATGCGCCGGTTGATGGCTTGCGTTGCTGCAGCTGGACTTCAACCACGGAGGGGGGTCCTCGGACGATTGGAAACCAATCAAACGCGAGACGCCATACTCAATTTGGAGATACAAAGGAGTTGTGTAACCACCGACACTGCCAGCTTCGTATAGTAATATCAGGACATGAAACTAGATTTGTTGTTGCTTCGGTTATCAGATCGTAAGCTGCAAGATACTGTGGGTTGTCTTTTTCGGGACAACAAGATGTCGATCAACGGCATTCTACCTAGGTCATTATCATGAGTTCGCCTTGAAAGTGAGTCAGCTTAAAAGGATGGGATGGTATCGTTTGAGAAGGGGTTATGAACATCAACGTGGGGGCTGTGATGTATGTTAAATTGACCGCCGAATGGAACCGGTCAAGATGAATATAGTTACTCCGTGATGTGAGATGGTGCACCCGGAGTCAGAGTTTCCGTACATGACATAAAAGCAAATATCCGTCGATGTAGATAATTACCTAAGTGAGACAAGCCATCGCGTATATAGTGCAGATGGGGGCCGCCCTCAATCCGTCTTCGTTAAGAAAGGTACAGATAGGATCGAAGATTAAAATTTAAGAAAAGGAGGGCTGAGTCAATAAGTCCAGGTACCTGGTACTAAATAGAAATCGGTGATAGAATGCCAAGACTCGGTAACCTCTTTATCGCATCATAGATCCAACTATGTACTTAGAAAATTGTTACTCAATTAAACAAGTTGGACTAACCACATTTATACATATTTATACAGTTATCATAAGTGATTAGTAAGGATTAAAGTCGGGGATTTCTTCAAGTTCGGCCGATTTAACTGACAAATACTCCGATTCTTGATTGACTCAACCATCCTCCCACCCTATTGACGCATCCCCTTCATGCAGAAAATCGGATTGATTGATTAGATTAGATCGACAAGTGAAATGTATCACTTAAGCCTTTTCCTTCATCTTTCATCGTAATATCTTAATCATTTAATAGGCTATCGTTATGGAAGAAACTCCCAATTCAAAGATCGACCGTCGCCGTCGAAGACCAGCTCTTTCATGTGTTAGCTGTAGAAGATCCAAAATTCGTTGTGATCGCAATTTACCTTGTGGCGCCTGTATTCGATCTAAACATAAGACATGTGTTTATGAGCCTCAAGGGCCGCCACTTTCCCGGCATTCGGATATATCTTCAGGCGGAGTCGGTCCCCATCACCCGACCGATGACCCATCCGGTATCGAGTCCGACACGACTCTATCCCCCGTTGTACAACATGGAGATGGCCCACATCCCGAGGATCATTCTAATGCTTCCTTGACCGGTTCGACACCAGTAGACTCAGCATCTTCTCATAGTCACGATCCATCTTTTGATGTCAGATCGTTATTAGATCGGATCAAAGATCTTGAGCGTCGCTTAGAAGAGTCTACAGATCATCGCCCGCGCAACCAGAATGTCGCACGACCTTCTACCACCAACGCCTCGGAAACGATGGCTACTTATCCAAGTTATCTCGCAGGAGAGTTACACACTATGAATAAGAGTGTCATGTCCAAGACGAGATACTTGGGTCAAAGTCATTGGATGAATCAAATCGGAAATGTATGCAATTTGCCTCACAGTTCTTTGCTAGTTCGTGGCATACATCTATATGTATTTAAGCAAATTACTTACACCTACTTAGTTCAAGTCTGTCCTAGAAGTATTCGACCAGCAGTATGGAAAGAAGACCGAACCGATAATGTATATCACCAAAGCCAAAGCGTTGGCTCGGACTGTAAAGGCCCGACGAACACCTGAACTGGGTTTCAAGTTCGGCACCAACATACCCCCACGAGAAACTGCAGATAAACTTGTCGACGCTTACCTGAGAACATTAGAAACCGTATTTCGAATAGTACATGTCCCTTCGTTCCGAAAGGAGTATGAGGATTACTGGTCTTCTCCCGATTCGGCCGAGCTTCCCTTCATTATCCAACTGCAACTCATCATGGCCATTGGCACTGCAATGTATGATGACCTTTTCAGCATGCGCAATACAGCTTCCCAATGGGTCTATGAGGCACAATGTTGGCTCATATCACCAGTTCCGAAGACGAGGTTGACGCTCGCTGGCTTACAGAATATGCTGCTCCTATGCTTGGCGCGGGAGGCAGCAGCTGTCAACCCTGACTTGGTTTGGATACCAATTGGACAATTAATGCGCACAGCTATCTTCATGGGCCTTCATAGAGACCCAAAGAAACTCCCAAAGATGAATCGTTTCCCTTCCGAAATGCGCCGCCGTCTGTGGAATACTATCCTCGAACTCGCGTTACAAACCAGTGTAGACTCTGGAGGACCACCCCTCATCTTCCTCGAACAATACGATACCGGAGCACCCGCCAATTGTGACGATGACCAACTGACGGATGACAGCGGACCGGCCGTTAATAACCCACGAGATAAGTTTACGGATATGTCCGTTGCGCTAGCCCTTCGTGGTAGTTTCTCGGCGCGCCTAGCCGTCGCACGCTTGCTCAACGAAATCAACTCTCAAAATACATATGACGACACCATTCGACTTCACGGCCAGCTTAGTAACGCGTACAAGTCGTTGTCGCAATACTTACAGCGATTCGCATTTACCGACAGACAGCCAACTTCATTCCAGCGACGTTTCTTAGACTTCCTAGTTCGTCGATATTTCATGGCATTACATCTTCCCTATTTCGGGCCAGCCATGACTGAACCAGCTTACGCTTTCTCGAGAAAGACAGTCGTTGAGATAGCTGCAAAGCTATATACGACTGTATTCCCATCAGCCGCCTTGAATCCTAGATCTCGAATCCAAGTTGGCGGACTAAGAGTAGCATCTCCTATTGAAGGGGATGACCTCACGCGAATTGCTACTTGTGGTGCGGGCTTCTTCCGTTCTATTCTTTCTCAAGTTTCAATGGCTATTGGCCTGGAGCTTCAAGTACAATTACAAGAGGATGATAGTCTAGGTCCACCAACTCCTCGAACCGATCTGCTTAATATTTTACGCGATTCTGCTTCTTGGATTCTTAGTCGCATTCATGTAGGGGAAACTGCTATCAAAGGCTTCATGTTTCATTCAGCATTGGTCGCACAAGCCGAAGGGTTAGTAAGCGGCCTAAAGGGACCAGACCTTGTTGAAGCTATGGTCGGTGCTGCTAGTGAATCCATACGCGAAGGCTTTGAAATACTCAAGCAACAAGTCGAGCCGAAGTCGAACGTAGCCAACGACATAAACGATGCGCAAACTGGATTCGATACTGTGATGACGATGGATGACGACTGGAGTTTCGATAGCACGGTTGGTTTCATTGATCATGCTTGATGTTCTCAGCTAACCTGTTTCTACAGATGCAAAGCGTGCTCTTCGACTTTACTAGTATCGAGTCCGTACTAGGAATAGGGTCGGCCTCTGATATGGCGACAGCCGACTTTTCACAATGGTAACAATGGGGATGATCGTCATCCATGCAGTGGATTATCCCCTTTTACAAAGGCCGTGCTCATGTTATACGTGCTTGGGTGAAGCCAAATCTCCTCTTAAGGTAGGTTTACTATGAGCAAGCCATCTTGTTTAACATTCAATTGACATGCCTAAGCGGAGTTAAGGAAATTATTGCGCGTACTTTACAGACGCGCCGAGGGTCTTGTCTCCTGTCTAGGTGACAGACTCACTTTGCGCAAACGAAAACTCATCTCAAGTCGTACAAACCCCACAAAATTCACTCTCCGCTCATTTATAAACCCCGGAATCCCTGCAGCTGTTACAATCTCACGCGTATTCAGGAGTCCATTATACAACAATTTTGTCATCGCATCGCGAGACTTCGCTTCGACAGAAGCCTGTGGCAGGTAGTTAGAGCAAGGTCCTGCGCCCATGTCGGATTATCGAGATGTGTTGTTAAAACTTATTCATATACCTCGTTTCCTTCTCAATTGTCGAAACGGTTTCCTAATGATGCAGCTTGTCTGAATATCCATTCATGTGCTGTAAGCTTTTCGCTTTCTTCCTCGGGAATTTGAGGAACGCCTTTTCCTTGGAGCCTCTCCATTGTACATTGGTCCTCCGGTCGGACGAAGTACACGACACTGTATCGCGGCCAACGCCCTTGTACTCCTGGAGAGGGGATCACGCGGTGGCGACCGGAGCAAAGCACGCTATTAGTAAACCTAACAGCAGCATCTCCTAGGTTAATTATAGCGCAACCTCTCTTCGGTTTGACCCATAACCATTCGCCTGGCACATCCGGCTCGTCAAGACCTATCTGCGCCTTCCTAGACGATTCTGACCAAACCTGAAGTCCGCCGAGCCAATTCATAAGAATAGTGATCCTACACAAGAGTACAAGGTCAACGAAAAGCATACAATGAGTGTTTGGTAGGGATGATGTATAACTTACGTCCCAAAGTCAGTGTGTGACGGCGTCTGGATTTCAGGTAGCTCTTCAGTCTCACGTGGTGGACCTCTTGTGATACGGATATGGTCACCAGAAGGTTCCTCAATTCTGTGGCGATTCGCGAACTCAGAGGGGTCGATACCGAGCTTTTCAGCAAGTATAGCCAGGATTGTCAAACCAACCGAATGCGCGCTCTTGATGTAATCAGCCAGGAGCGGTTTCGCGTCCAGAATCGCCGAAGGCCACGGTCGTCCCATTCGATCATTAGGAACGATCATATCATTCTTGCCGACGTTGAAAAATTCCGCCGTATCTCGAACGCCATTCTTGTCGGCTGCAGTTGCACCAGCTTGCTTGTAGCCGAACAATGTTTTGGCCATTTTATACTGCATCTTTTCTTCGAATGGCAACTTGAAGACGCGTTCACCCGTTAACGCCACTCGGCCGGCGCCATTTAGAATAGTCTCGCCAACTTCACATCCTTCTAGGGCGAGATAGAAGAAACCGCGACCGACACAAGCTTGGAAGACGCGATCTCGTTCTGCTGCATCTCCACCACTTAGTATCTTTGACAATGTGATGGTCTGTAGTTCTACTGTGGGGACATTGTCTGGAAAAGGGGGGTAAAGATCTGGGGTGAACTCGGTATAATCTTCTTCCTTGTGAGGCATGATTCCTAATTTAAAGTAAGATAGAGGACGGTATATTTTATTTATAGTAACCTAACTCACATTTTTAAGAAGGAAAATACAATACAATTATGAGGAATCGACGCCAGCTAAATACTAACGATGTAGCACCTGATGAGGAGTTGGGTCGGGAGTTGAATCGGTTGATGCGGGCAGTTGGAGGTTGAAGTATATATTTATATGGCTAGGTACCAACTACATGTAAGATAGGAACGTCGTACGCAGGGCCTTTCATGCTAACCTGCATCGTATGTCATATTGTATAGGAAATCGGAGAAGGTTACATACATACATTCCTACCGGATACCTAGGTAACTACCCGAGTAGCTCAATATTTAGGATAGGTTCGATATGTTGGTCAAGTCTTTCTGCAGCAAAACGTCACGCCGTCTATACCCGGTTCGCACTGCCGGTCAAGCTTCCCCGGCTTCTCCGCAATTATCCTTGACCATACGGCACTGTGACTCCACTTTCTTAGAATATATGCATACTATAGTGAAAGATAGTTGGGACAAAGAATCGGCATGTCAAAGAGTAGGCCAATTGTTGTATAACTAAGATAGGAGGGGTTTACAAGATCTCCATCCAATCCAATCAATGCGAAGGGAGGATGAATGTATCATAGATAATCTTCCGAATGGATGTGTAACCTTTCTTGCAATCAATCTATCGTTGCTGTTACTTATTAGCTGTAAATAACGTTACAACACCTAGAATCTAGATCTAAGCATTGATAAAGACCTTTCATATCGTATCGAGTTACCCCTTTTTCTCTGGTCTTGCCGCATATTATGCCCACCAAGGACTGTCCCACATAACCAACATGCCTTCGTCATACCAATTTTCATCAAGAGATTTTCTTGTTCATAGGGTTAGCTTTCCCCAAGCTCATCCCAACTTCTACCGAAACCTGTATCTTTTGTCTGCTAAGGTCTAGCAGATCTTGATCGAATTTGATTGCCCCTTTTTGAAAAGCCACAATGATGGATGACCCACCAAATTGAAAGTACCCAATCTCATCCCCCTTTTTGATTTCGGTACCCGGTTTCTGAAATTTCTCATTGATGCTGCGTTTATCTCGTATCAGCATTATAACTCCCACGCCCTCAAACTTATACCAGGATGAAAAGCAAAGACTCACCGCACAGTCCCAACATCCGTCGCTCCAATCGCCACAAACAACACATCACCAAAATGCCGCGTCTCAATAACAACACAACTCCTCGCATTCGACGTAAGGATATTAACATCGCTCTGCAACGCCACGGGATCAACTTGATAGTAATCCCCCGGCACACTGCGAAACATGCGCACCGTACCCGTGACTGGTGAATGGTAGCGATGGTAATCCTGCGGCGACAACCTAAAACTAGCGACCGCCGCATCGGTAAATCGCGCGCCGAGTTGGGTATCCATGACCAAGTTCGTCATCGTGAAGTCCCTGCCTTTAATCCACAGTTTCTTAGTCTCGCCTACCGATGCGTAAGTCACGACGCGCGAATCCGCGACTACGGTAGCGAGTGTGGGGTCCGAGGGGGATGTTGTGGGTCGTGAACCGGGGCGATGCGCGCGGATGAAGAAATCTTCGAATGTGGTGTAGGCTTCGATGTCGGAGGGGTGGAAGGACGACATATCGATATTGTATGTCTCGACGAACGATCGGATTTGCGCGTGTGAAGAGGGCGTGCTTTCGGCTTCACCTGCGCGGATGGATTTGTTGTGGATCCAGAGGCGCATTAGGTGTGTGGTGTCGATCCATGAGGTGAGTGGGTTGAAGAGTAGGAGGAGCTTGGCTTTTTTGAGGAGGGGTTGTTGTTCGCGGGTGAGGGTGCCGGTCTGGAGGTGGGAGGTTAGTGACTAGGGTTTGACAATGAATTGATAGGTGAGGGTAAGGTAAGGTGAGGTTTTGCTTGCCTTCCGGTCAAGTGTTTTCCACCCGTATGGCCCATTTGCGTACTACTCATCCTGCTAGTCAGCGTATATCTCGAGATCGAAGCGGCTGCCACTAGATGTTGGACTTACTAGTTGACATTTTCCTAATAGATAGTTTAGGAATGAATGTACGAAGCTAAGTAAGCTTGTCAAGAATTCGGGGAGCTCCATGCTGCCGTATTCTTGATCTCGAATCGTATAGATACCGTTGCGTTATTCTAAGACCACGGTATTCTCACATAGCTTAGTTTGGACGATAGATATTGTCTTGATTAGTTCGAGTATATGTCGATTTGTGTTCAAAATACTCGGATAACATGAACAGAGAACATCGCTTCAATTGTGAACAACCACAAACCACTGAGAATGCGCTCAGCGTTTGTATCTGAGGCTTTGATGACATCATCGTGACTTCAAAAGTGCATTGACTTTGCCTTCTGGATCTATCTATATAATTGAGGATTATGGGCATGGGGCAATAGGCTTCAATTCGATGAATTCCATCTCCTAAGTCACCATGAGCCTAGAAATACGTATGTAGGTAGCTTGAGTCTTCAATTGGCAACCAAGTACCTAAGTAGAAACCCAAGAAGAAAAAAGCAATGCTACCCGAGACAAAACATAGCCAACCATCACGTAATCAATATATTTACCGGAGCTCGGAGTATCTTCATCGGGGTGGCTGGGTCTTCATTTGCTTTTTCTCTACCATCGCTTTTCGGTGAGCGACAAAAAATCAACTTAAACCTCTATTTTATATCATACGACGCGTTTTGCTACGTCTAGTCCGTTCTTTTTGTTCCACTTTCTTTCCTACTTGACGTGAATTTCTCGTGTCTAAGCTTGCCAAGAACGTGTCGGCGTTAGTGTAGCTTGGACGTGGGTGATCATCGTGCCGAGTTTCTAACCTGATGTCCTAGTTTCCACGTGTTCCTTGTTGGTTTTAAGGAAGTCCTTGCGACTTAATCGTCGTGTTACCTCATTTTAATAAGAGTTTAGTCATTAGGTTATTCTTCTCTATTATAGTGAGAGTCAATTCCCTGGATTTTCGAAACGACCCGCTGATTTTCTCTCCGCGTCGAGATCCACAACGGAAAACTGTTTGAGGGGCAAAGTTGGAGAAAGATGGGGGTCATTTCCACTCCTCGGTCACTCATTTTCGGGATATCGTGACGGCATTGCGCATTCGAAGATAGAGTCGACTGGATACCTTGTTACCTAGGTCTATGTCTAGGTACTATGGCTCTTATTTTCATTTTAAAATAGAAAAGTATCCCAAGATGTGAAGGTCGAGGTACCATCACCACTTCGTTCAGTTATGTCTACCACGAAAACTAACGGGGACTTTTTAGGGCAGTCGGGGCCAAATTGGGGGACCGTACATAGCCGCTGTCCCCTGAAGAACGCGGTCTAGTTTACTGAACCAGGATTATTATAGTGCACGGCTCTCGCTCTGCTCTTGTAGCATGCCTCATGCAAAAAACCTTCTAGTTTTCTTTCTCGAACAAAACAAGTTCCCGGCCCTGAGAATCCGTTATTAATTCAATAAACTAGAGAATAGCTTTGTGGAGATCATGCACTCTTTTAGACCTCCCGGCTTGTTGGATGGGATTCCCGATTCTTTGGTTGGACCATTAAGATCAACCCAGTGCGGTATTTAGATCGGGACTCGGTCTTATTACGACATCTTTTTGCAGTATTTTTCGTCTTTAACATTGGTTGTTGATTTCAACCATCAGTTTAACCGGTCAGCTCTTACCTCGATGGATTCCGGCGGGCTGAGTCCCATGTTCTGATTTACTATTGACAATGTTCAAGTTGTATTTCCGAGTGCATCAACAACATTCTTCTTCCCCTATTAGGAAGACATCTAGGCGTTGTTTACCGACATCTCAACCTAGAATTCAAACTAAGTAGCAAACCATAGTAGCTTATAAGTCCGGCCCGGTATCGAGACGTTGGCTAGTTCAATTCTCCTCGATAGAACCCCCGACATCCCCATACCCCAAAATGCCAAGACACCGAAGAAGAGCCTCGTCTCCCCCAATATCATTCTTCGTCGCTATTCCTCTTACGCCCTTTTGCCCCGCATTATGGGGTTGTTGATGGATGAACGGAGATTGGGAGAGTGGCGAGTTAAGCTGCCCTCCCCTGTCTGTAAAAGCTTCTAGTTAAGCTTCTGCTGCTCACATGGTCATACTGTTCTGATGCCAGTGGTGTTACAAGGGCCGAGTCTTTACGAGACTGACCAGATAAAATCTTAATATCGCCCGAAGTTAATCTCGGCGATCGTTGTCTTTCCAGTACTCCTTCCCGGGTTATTCCTACATCTGTGTTAATAATCTTCTTATTTGAGTTTCCGTCGCGATAACCTCATAGCCAGCTCTCTCATTATTGGAATTGGAGGGCTGGAGGAATCGTCAATTAAACGGATAACTAGTAAGAATGTCCGACGAGATCACACGAGCCGAGCCGGCTCAACCTTCAACGGCGAAGCAAGATGTAGAAGCTATTGAACATACAGCAACACCCGCCGAGGCTACGACAAGCAGACTACCCGCCAGCTCAATGGATCCCGCGCATCGTGCTCGTGTAGAGAAGTCGCTGAAGCGCAAACTCGATGCACGATGTTCTCTTTTCGTTCTCATCTATATCCTCAATTATCTCGACCGTAATAACATCGCAAGCGCGCGACTTAAGGGACTTCAAACAGGTAAGCATTTGCTCTTATCCGCATGTAACCCCAGCTAGAAATAATGCTAACTTCGATCATACAGACTTAAATCTTGACGACGTATGCTTCCAACCCAGCCCCTACTTACATACCTATACTAACATACATAGACACAATATGCTACATGTCTGAGTATTCTATACGTCGGGTACATTCTAATGCAAGTGCCGTCGAACATGTTCATCAACCGAATCCAACGACCATCCATTTATATCGGTGTCGCTATGTTCCTTTGGGGTCTCATTTCGACACTTACCGGAAACACGAATAACTTCACCGACATGGTTGTAGTCCGATTCTTCCTCGGTTTTGTTGAAGCGGCTTTCCTACCAGGAGCGCTTTTGATCCAATCGAAGTGGTACACACGAAAGGAATTGACGACTAGGAACGCTATCCTATTCTGCGGTAACATCATCTCGAACGCCTTCTCGGCTCTAGTAGGAGCTGGTGTTTTGTCAAACATGCAAGGCGTCTTAGAGCATGCTGCCTGGAGATGGCTATTCTGGATTGAAGGGTCGATCACCATGGCCGTTGCAATCACTGCGGGTTTCGTCCTGCCGGATCTACCACACAATTCGCGTGGTTTCACCGCCGAAGAGCTCGAGGTTGCGCAATTGAGAATGATTGAGGATGTCGGTGAAGCCGATCTCGACGGAGAAGGTCAAGGAATATTTGATGGCTTGATAATGGCCGTTAAGGACATTAAGATTTACCTCATGATGCTCACCTTTACGGCGTATGTAGTTGGTCTGTCGTTTAACGCCTTTTTCGTAAGTATTTATCTGTCAAGATCTTTTACGGGATGCGTATTAACCATATTATAGCCAACACTTACTGGTACACTCGGATTCGACTATGTCCCGACACTGCTCATGAGCTCGCCGCCTTGGGTATTTTCGTGTATCGTTTCACTCATCAACGCTTGGCACGCAGATCGATGCCAGGAGAAGGTTTGTCACCTCTTTATTTCCCCAAACCTCTGAACCCAAGCTAACAATTGGCAGTTCTGGCATATCACTGGCCCCATAATCGGCGGTATCATCGGTTTTATCATCAGCATGTCAACATTAAATGTAGCAGCGCGATACGTAGCGCTATTCCTACAAGCCAGCGCATACGCCGGGTTCATCGTATTCTACTCATGGATCAGCTCCTCATTCCCGCGACCACCGGCCAAACGAGCTGTGGCGCTTGCCCTCGTCAACGCTTTCTCGCAACTGGGCAACGTGGCTGGTAGCTACGTGTGGAACCTTAAGGAGAACGGATACCGCAAGAGCTATGGTATTGTCACTGCTATGTTCGGAATCACTATCCTTGGATGCTGGGCGTTCCGTGCCATTCTAGCGGATCTCAATAAGAAGATCGAGAAGGGCGAGAATGCTTGGGATATTCAACCTGATGTTACGACGCGCACCGCTGAGATTGAGCATATGGACAGTCCCGATGAGGCGCTTAGGATGCAAAAAGGTTTCCGGTATTTGTTGTAAAGGAGGGAATGTTGGATGTGTATATATCGACCACACTGCTCAAAATTCTAGATACCCCTTGACTTTATGCAGATGTTAGAAGAAGTATAGAGAAATGAAATGACATGAAAGACATGCGCGGTATTCGTGATGATGGTTTGCTTGGGTCGATAAATCAGATACTGAATTGTGGATGTAAACACACCAATCTGGTACAACGAAATTATACGGATGGATCAAAAAAATATCTGATGATGAAGCTGGGACAGCTCTGTCCAAATCCGTTATATGCGACCGAATTTTCGTTGCTTAAGGGGGCAAGTGCAATCTGTAAACGTCATTACTACCCGGATGGCCGGTCGGGACGGCCGCCGATGGAATTTAACGGGGAAAGATGTCCTACCGGGTTCTCGGTAAAACAATTCGATAGCTCTTTCCTTCTTTTCATTTCAAGTCAATCCCGCTATACACCGAATTGACGGTGAATCTCAATCTTATGTTAAGCTGCGCTAGGACATAAAGGGACTATACTCACAATGGGTCGCACCGAACCTTCAGTTGGCAGGCAGCCTGCCGGTGTGCGTCGTGATATCCGCTCGAAACGGGCCAAGGCTACTGCTAATAAGACTATACCGATGGTATTAGCAGCACATCCGCGCGCCCGTCGTGGTGTCGAGGCTTCGGAACTCATTCTTGATCCGCCTCCCGCTTCTCGGCCTAAGGCAGCGCAACAGGGTCGCGCTCACAAAAACGAAGATCATAATGATCAAAAGAATGGAGAAGAGATACCGAGCTCTAAAAATCCAATCATCTCATTGCGCGTCGCGGATACATTGGAAGCAGCGTACTCGCTACTCCTCATCGGAACACCATCTTCAGAGCAACGCCGGGATCTGTCAAATACAGCGGCTAGGGTAGGTGTACTGAATATGGCTTCACCACTCTCACCAGGCGGTGGATTCTTCAACGGCGCACAGGGACAAGAGGAAGCCTCGCTATGCGCGCGCACGACATTACTACCCGCGCTGCGCGATGAATTCTACCGCCTGCCGGAGCTAGGTGTTGTGTATACGCCTGATGTAGTTGTATTCCGTGATGTGAATTGGGGTGGTAATACCTCTACAAAAAAGAAGAAAAGAAGGACAAGCTTAGACGAAGAAGATAATGAAAATGAGGCCGGTGAAGACGAAGAGCGGGGTGTGGGAGGGAAAGAAGAAGAAGCCCCCGTACTCCCGAAAACGGAACGTTGGTTCGTGGATGTTGTGTCGGCTGCTATGTTACGATTACCGGAAATTGATGTCGATGAGGGGACGGGTTGGGCGTCGTATGCTAATGCGAAGGATCGTGAATTGGCTGTGAGCAAGATGCGTGCTGTTATGCGTGTTTTCGCCGCTAAAGGTGTAAAAAGAGTTGTGCTAGGTGCTTGGGGTTGTGGTGCTTATGCTAATCCTGTTGGTGAGATTGCGAGGGCGTGGAGGAAGGTATTGCTTGGTGGGGATAAGGAGGGTGGGAAGAATGATCAGGAGAAAGGGAAGGGAAAGAAGAGTAAAAATGTAAAAGATTCGTGGGAGAATATTGAGCAGATTGTCTTTGCAATTAAAGATGCTGGTATGGCGAGGGCTTTCGCGGCGGCATTTGGTGAGGAGCTAGTGGGATTTGAGGAAGAGGGAAGCGATATAAGTGGCGACGAGGGTGATGGTATAGAAGACGCGAAAGTAAAGGAACTTCGCGATAAAATTCAAGAACTTGAGCTACGAATTGGCCAAGCAAGGACGCCGCAGCTAAGAGCAGGATTGGATGCCGTACTCGCCGGACTAAGAACTCAATTACCCGATCAAGGAGCTAGTTATGCCGAGAAGGACCATGACTCTGAAGATGCAGATCAGAGCAGTGAGAGTGAAGATGGAGAAGATAATGAGCGATCTAACAGGGAAGAGTCAGATGAAGCCGAAGACCGAAACGGGCATGATAATGAGAGATAAAGTTACCTAAATAAACGACCATATCCCGGATTTGATGTACAAATCTTGCATCATACGAACACCTACGCATGTTATAAAGTAGAATATATTGTCCCCATTATCCTCAAATGCTCATAGCTACATGAATCCGCATATCACATACGTACTCCCGCACCAGCTGCAAAGAAACAGGCTTCTAACCCAATACTAATTTTTGCAGGAATTTATTAGTACAAATTCATGTGGCATAATGCTACAATTGGATTTCATCCCATGTCTATAGACTAATCATGCCCTGACGCCCCTAGGTAACTTTTTCTCTTTCCATTTACAGAAGCAACTCTAGAGGGTTCTCAACTACCTTCTTGAACTCCTTAATCCATTCAGCACCGACCGCACCGTCTACTACCTTGTGGTCGAAGCTAGCCGTAACTGTGATTTGGTCATCCCATTCAACACTGGTGCCATCCTCACCAGCGGGAATAGCAACCTTCTTGGTGGTACCGACGGCTAGGATAGCGGCTTGCGGGGGGTTGATAACCGCGGTGAAGTTGTCGACAGCGGCGTTCATTCCCATGTTGGAGATAGAAATAGTACCACCTTGATATTCCTCGGGCTTCAACTTGTTATCACGAGCCTTCTTAGCGAGTTCCTTGACCTTGCTCGAGATAGATTCTAGACCACGAGCCTCAACACCGGTGACGATAGGAGTGATTAGACCGTTGGGGGTAGCAACAGCGACGGAAACATCGACGTTGTTGTATTGGCGGATTGCGTCACCCGTCCACGCTGAGTTAGCGGCGGGAACCTTCTTGGAAGCAACAGCAATGGCCTTTATAAAGAAGTCGTTCACAGATAGCTTGTACTTGCCCTCGGACGAGCTGTTTAGAGCTTGTCGGAGCTTTAGGAGCTTGGTAACGGAAAGCTGACTGGTGACGAAGAAGTGGGGGTTCTCTCTGACTGAATCCTGTAGACGTCTGGCGATGGTCTTGCGCATGTTAGATAGAGGGGTATCTTCGTAGGAGGTAGCAGAAGCAGCAGGACCGGCGGTTGTGCGGGCCTTCTTGACATCGTCCTCAGTAATCTTGCCGCCGGGGCCGGTACCCTTAAGGCTGGAGATGGCGACACCCTTCTCCCTAGCCAATCGCTTGGCAGCCGGAGTGGCGTTAGGTTCCCGGTCAAGAGCGGTCTCGAGCTTTCCTTCGTGCGAGTATTGTTCCGGTTCTGCTGCGGGTGTCGGGGCCGGAGCGGAACCGGCGTCGGATGGCGCGTCTGATTTCTTCTCTTCCTTACCCGACGACGCTGCGGCGTCACCTCCTGCATCGGAAATACTAAAGGATTCGAACGCGGAGACATCGGTGCCTTCTTCGACGAGGACAGCAATCGGCTGGAAACAAAATGTCAGCATTACGGAGTACGGAATGGGGAAAAGCGCAACAAATAAAAGTCACGCACATTTCCAACGGGCACATCTTTTTCACCAGCATCCTTAAGAATTTTGGCGATAACACCCTCTTCTTGAAATTCGAAGTCCATCTGAGCCTTATCCGTTTCGATCTCAACTAGGACATCACCGGGGGCGATGGTGTCTCCGGCCTTCTTTTGCCATGCGCCAATGTTGCCAGCCGTCATGGTGGGTGACAGCGCAGGCATCTTGACGACTGTGTGCGGTGGGAAGGAGGCATAGTATCTGGCGAGAGGAAGGAAACCCGATCTAAGAGAGGATGTTCGAAGAAGGCTTTGCCTTCTTAATACGGCGCCGAACATTTTTGGTATATGGGTAGAAAATAGCTCTCGCTCGGAGGAATAAAAAAAAAAGAGAAGCTATAGAATAAAAGACAAAGTCCGCCGGGCTAATTGGACAGATGGGAAGTAAAGGAAAGAGTGGAGAGGCCCAAAAATCGCAGAGTAGGTTGATCACCGGCACCTGCAATGAATTGACCGGGACCGATTGAATTGAGATGATGGGTATGAGAATTGTGAGAGTAAATGGCGGCGCGACAACGATGAGGTGAGGAAAGGGAAAAAAAAAGATTAGAGCGTCAAGAAAGTTGAGTTCCGATTGATTGGTGGCGGGTTATTTTCGTGGACTAGGGGTGATCCATCGCTCTTCCTCTTTCTCTGTTCTCTCTGTTTGGAGTACTTAATTCTATTACTTTTAACCCAGCAATTATGGAAGTACCTTACCTAGTACAGTTACATAAAAAAAGAGTCTTGCCCCAAAATTTTAGGGACGTTGGGAGAAGCTCCGCATCGCTAAAAAGCGCCCCAAGCCGCTATTGCTTACATCTACCATTTTATATTGGTAGGATGTACTTCCTACGGAGGTACTCAGCTCCGATATCTACGGTGGAAGAGTTGACAATACAATTTTAACCAAAAGACTTTGAGATTTCTTATACAATTTACTTCTTTGTTGCATTTATGTCAATGTCCAAGTTAGACCCGACGCCGTGCACCTTTCAATTCAGCATTGCTGGACCGATTTAAATAAATTATTTAAGTACGTGTACTCTTAAGAGTTACACAAATCCTCTCGGAATCCGTAGGAAGAATGGGTCCTCCCCAATGGATTCCGCTGTGCGATCCAGTTCTGATTGGTTCAATCTTGAACTAAGCTAGTAAAGCTTTAAGGTCTAGGTACTTAATAAATACTATTTTTATCGACCATAAGCAGTTTCTCATCTCCCGTGAAAGAGCTTCGTTACCATATAGCTGGGCCAAATGTCATGAACGATTCTCGAAGCATGACATTTTAAGAACATTGAATCATTTCTGATATACATTTGTATCAAGATGCATACTAATTGCTGAACAGTATTACGAAGAGTTTTAATTAAGCCGATGCGTACTCGGAAAGTCGATTTACGACAAGGGTTTGGAAATGAAAAAAAGGGTTGAGTAAGCTCTCGTCAGCTCAGTTAGAATCTTACAGGGGTTGATAAAATAGCTTTTTCCAAGAGATTCAATTCGATTATCATGATTGTGGCTAATGACACAATAAGATAAGGTCAACTTGTGGCGGTGATGTCTTAGGTGGGATGAACAATAAGCCCTGAAAATTGACGCGTCGGATCGGGGTCCCTTGATTTATCCGCCGTTACTCCATTAGTAACATTAGTAACGAAGTATTTCATCCCAACCCGCCGCTATTCAACCCCCCTGTCATACCTGTAACTGTAAGAACCTAAGAAGCCTAGCAGTGCCTTATTCCCTTGTTCCATCAATTAAATCTATAGTGGAGCAACCCTTTTTCGGGGAACGTTGCCAGCTTGGCCATACCAAACTTTCAAAAAATAAAGCTCCTATAAACTTTCAACCACCATACAACAACCGTCCAACGTTGGACATTTTGATTACTTTCGCGTCTTTTCTATTATCCCCTGGCGGCGTCGGGGGTTAGTTTGGACCCTTTGTCTGTACTCTCTGCGGCACGGCGACCGAACTACTACAGAACATCCAAGATTGCGAATGTTCAGATCCAAATAAAAAAGGACAGACTAACAGAAGAACACATACATACAATACCTATCTACCTAATTAACCCCCAAGCCACGATCGATCAGTCGCAACTCCAATCCAAACTCCCATTCACGATAACGATCCCTCCCCGAATGGCATCTATGCCTTCTCCTTAAGCTCGGCAAACCATGAGCTCCTTAGTCTTTCTGGTGTCCTCTCTTGAGGCCATCGCAGCCTCCAAGGAAGCGCAGAGGAATAAACAGCTTGCCGAACTGACCGAGAAGGCTCTCAAAGCCGTTAAAGAAGGTGGATCACAACAACCCGATCCCCAAGTCATTTTTGCGCCAATACAACTGGCCACCAAGACTGGAAGTAGCCAATTGATTAACACCGCTCTCGACTCCGTACAAAAACTTATATCTTCCTCCTATTTCTCTATAAACGTGACCGCAGGTGGTACAGAAGAAGATGGCTCCGAACAAGCCCCCATGATAGATCGTGCCATTGATACGATATGCGACTGTTTTCAAGGCGAGACCACACCTGTGGATGTTCAACGACATATCGTACAGGCACTTTTAGCTGCCGTATTGAATGACAAGATTGTTGTGCATGGAGCTGGGCTGCTAAAAGCCGTGCGCCAGGTCTACAATGTCTTTCTTCTTTCCAGAAGCGCCGAGAATCAACAAGCCGCTCAAGGAACTTTGACCCAGATGGTTGGTATGGTATTTGAACGGGTTAAGACAAGGTTGCATATGAAGGAAGCTCGTATGAACCTAGGGAAATTAAAACATAGCTCCAGCAACGTTACTTTCGATCAGTCAGAGTCTATCATAAACGGAAACGATGTTGCTACTGAAGAAGACGAAACACCCGACGAGACATCTTCCCAAACTACGCCCGAAATTGCACGTACCGAATCGACGACCGAAGTAGGGGGCAAGCTCACCCTAAAAGATCTTGAACATCGAAAGAGTTTCGATGATTCAAATTTGGGCGATGGCCCGACTATGATCACACAGTTGAAACCACCTAGGAAAACGGCGAGGCGAGTCTCTGAACAAACACAAAGTGATGCGACGGGTGATGTAGAAGACACTGCCGAAACCCTCGACGCCGAGGACGAGATCTATATTCGAGATGCTTACCTCGTTTTCCGATCATTCTGCAACTTATCAACCAAGGTCCTACCTCCCGACCAATTATACGATTACCGTGGCCAACACATGCGATCCAAGCTCATCTCTCTCCACCTCATCCGCACCCTCCTGAACAACCACATGCTCGTCTTCACTTCGCCCTTATGTACTATTACCAACACCAAAAGCAATGAGGCGACTAGCTTCCTTCAAGCGATTAAATTCTATCTATGTCTTAGCATTACTAGGAATGGGGCTAGTTCAGTTGATAAAGTATTCGAGGTGTGCTGTGAGATATTCTGGTTGATGTTCAAATTCATGCGAGCACCCTTCAAGGTACGACAGTTTTCGTTATTATATAGCACCCTCGACTTTTCTAACACCCCGGTTACAGAAAGAGATAGAAGTTTTTCTAAACGAGATATACTTGGCGCTCCTAGCTAGGCGAACAGCACCACCCTCGCAGAAACTATACTTCATCAACATTCTAACTAGGTTTTGCGGCGATCCTCGTGGACTTGTGGAAACATATCTCAACTACGATTGCGACTCACATGTCGATAACATTTTCCAGACCGTCATAGAAGACCTGTCAAAACTTGCCATCAATCCTGTGTCCGTCACGGCGGCCCAGGAGCAACTATACGAGGAAAGGAATTCGAATCCACATAGCGGTTCGGATTGGCAATTGAAGGGAATGTTGCCACCGCCATTGAATTTGAGAGATATTGTACCCCCTAGCGAACCTGAGCCCGAGATACCCCGCGAGTATGTGATTAAGAGAACAGCTTTGGACTCACTTGTCGAGGCTTTGCGATCGCTTGTTAATTGGTCTGTTGTTGGACGTCCAGATGTCAACGGTGCATCGCGTGATACCGACACCAGGGCTTCAGTAGAAGACATCCGAGAATCGATCGATCCTTCAGTTGCCGATAGCAGTTCTCGACTCGAGACACCTCTACCTCCATCTACACCCGTTGTTGATGATCCAGCTCAACTGGAAAAGGAGAAGGCTCGCAAGACGGCTTTAGCCAATGCTATCCGCCAATTCAACTTCAAGCCAAAGAAGGGAATCAAACTCCTTATCCAGGAAGGATTCGTTCCTAGCGATAAGCCTGAAGATATAGCCAAGTTCCTGATATCGGATGATCGACTCGATAAGGCACAAATTGGTGAATATCTCGGCGAAGGTGAACCAAAGAATATCGAAATTATGCATGCTTTTGTCGACACTATGGACTTCACCAGGAGGCGTTTCGTCGATGCGCTACGACAATTTTTGCAGTCGTTCCGTCTCCCTGGTGAAGCTCAGAAAATCGATCGTTTCATGTTGAAGTTTGCGAATCGTTATGTAATGGGCAATCCGAATGCTTTTGCTAATGCGGATACGGCCTATGTTCTAGCATATTCAGTCATTCTATTAAACACAGATCTACACAGCAGCAAGATTGCTAGACGTATGACTAAGGAAGATTTCATTAAGAACAATAGGGGTATCAACGATAATGCCAATTTACCAGACGAATATCTTATTGGCATTTATGACGAGATCGCTGGCAATGAAATTGTTCTCAAGAGCGAGCGTGAAGCTGCAGCTGCCACAGGCAACTTGCCTGCACAATCTTCGGGGTTTGCCGCCGGACTTGGGCAAGCTTTGTCAAATGTCGGAAGAGATCTACAGCGAGAAGCATATGTACAACAATCCGAGGAAATATCGCTCCGTTCTGAACAGCTTTTCAAGAATCTATTCAAGAACCAACGAAAAAATGCTGCGAAAGCCGGTATCAAATTCATTCCCGCGACATCTTTTAGGCATGTTGGCCCTATGTTCGACGTAACTTGGATGTCATTCTTCTCCGCCTTCTCAAACCAAATGCAAAAGGCACAAAACCTGGAAGTCAACAAGCTATGCCTAGAAGGAATGAAACAGGCCATAAAAATCGCCTGCCTTTTCGATCTATCAACGCCAAGGGAAGCATTCATGTCCGCCCTAAAGAACACCACCAACTTGAACAACCCGCAACAAATACTCGCCAAAAATGTCGAGGCCTTACGTGTCATTCTAGAATTAGGTCAAACAGAAGGGAATTATTTAAAAGAGTCATGGAAGGATATCCTCATGTGTATCAGTCAACTCGATCGATTACAGCTCATCACCGGCGGGGTTGATGAAGGTGCTATACCCGACGTATCAAAAGCCCGCTTTATGCCACCCGAGAGGACAAATACCAGCGAGTCACGCAAATCCACCGCTTCTACACGGCGGCGGCAAAGATCCAATCCAGGTGCTAGAGGCTTCTCTATGGAAATTGCCCTTGAAAGTAGATCCGACGAAGTCATAAAGAGTGTGGACCGAATTTTCAGCAATACAGCGAACCTAAATGGCGAGGCTATCGTCCACTTCGCGAAAGCCTTGACGGAAGTAAGTTGGGATGAGATCAAAGTCTCGGGTTCTAACGATTCGCCGCGCACCTATAGTTTGCAGAAGATTGTCGAGATCAGTTACTACAATATGACCCGTGTCCGTTTTGAGTGGACCAACATATGGGTAGTACTCGGCGAACATTTCAACAAAGTAGGATGTCATAATAACACGGCCATCGTGTATTTCGCGCTCGATTCTTTAAGGCAATTGTCAATGCGCTTCATGGAGATTGAGGAACTTCCCGGTTTCAAATTCCAAAAGGACTTCTTGAAACCCTTTGAGCATGTCATCGCCAACTCAAGCAATTTGACAGTCAAAGATATGGCTTTACGATGCCTAATCCAAATGATTCAGGCTCGAGGGGAGAATATCCGATCTGGTTGGAGGACCATGTTTGGCGTCTTTACCGTTGCCGCACGGGATCCCAATGAGACCATTGTGAATCTGGCATACGAGAACGTCACTCTAGTCTACAAGACGCGTTTTGGCGTAGTCATTTCTCAAGGTGCATTTACGGATTTAATTGTCTGTCTAACTGAATTCTCGAAAAACATCAAATTCCAGAAGAAGAGTTTGCAAGCAATGGAAACACTCAAGTCCATCATACCTAAGATGCTCAAGACACCAGAATGCCCACTATCGCAAAAATCGAACTCGACGCCGGCCGCAGATGCAAATGCGTTGAAGTCCCCCGATGCTCTGTCTAGACAACAGACCGGTACTTCAATCGAAGAGGGTTTCTGGTTCCCAGTCCTGTTCGCATTCCACGATGTATTAATGACAGGGGAAGACTTGGAAGTCCGGTCCAACGCTTTGAATTATTTCTTTGAAGCGCTACTTAGATACGGTGGCGATTTTCCCTCAGACTTCTGGGATATTCTATGGCGACAACAATTATACCCCATTTTCATGGTCCTACGATCAAGACCAGAAATGTCCAACGCTCTTAACCACGAGGAACTGTCCGTGTGGCTTTCTACCACCATGATCCAAGCCCTTCGCAACATGATTATTCTCTTTACGCATTATTTCGACGCTCTCGAATACATGCTGGACCGTTTCCTCGAACTGCTAGCGCTGTGCATATGTCAAGAGAATGACACGATAGCAAGGATAGGTAGTAACTGTTTGCAGCAGTTAATATTACAAAACGTAACGAAGTTTACCCACGGCCACTGGGCCCAGGTCGTTGGAGCATTTTGTGAACTATTCGAGAGGACAACAGCTTACCAGCTATTTTCGGCTGCTACCATCAACGCGCCAGCTGCGCTATCCCCGCCACCCAACGGTCTAGGATTCGAAGTCCCTCTCACGCCTACAAGTGACACAAGCCCAGATGAGAAGTCTCTAAAGATCAACGGGACGGACAGGGGCAGTATCTCATCGGGAATAGAGTCCGCTTCAGGCGTCGCTACTCAAATTCCTACGGAAGACACCGCGCACTCAACAAATGGCGCCAATTTCACTCGCCTAGAAGACTACAAACCTGCTTCTTCCCTTCAGCAACAACCCGTAGTGGTGACGGCAGCGCGACGGCGATTCTTCAATCGTATTATCTCCCGTTGTGTCCTACAACTTCTCATGATCGAAACTGTGAATGAGCTTTTTTCGAACGATGCAGTCTATGCGCAGATTCCTTCCACAGAACTGCTACGATTGATGGCACTATTGAAGAAATCATTCCTTTTTGCTAGACGATTCAACGAGGATAAGGACCTACGTATGCGCCTATGGCGAGAAGGGTTCATGAAACAACCACCCAACCTTCTCAAGCAGGAAAGTGGTTCCGCGGCGACATACATCCAAATTCTCTTCCGAATGTTCGCGGATACGTCGCCATCGCGTGCAGAGAGTCGGCCCGAGGTTGAGAAGGCTCTAGTTCCTCTCTGTAAGGATGTGATCAAAGGTTACCTCGCACTCGAGGAGGAATCGCAGCAAAGGAATATAGTGGCATGGCGACCAGTTGTGGTGGATGTTCTGGAGGGATACTCTACCTGGCCCGAAAAGGAGTTTGGCGAGCATATACCCTCGTTCTACCCCCTAGTCGTCGAGTTGTTGGGCAAGGAACTTAGCTCCGACTTGAGAAGCGCCTTGCTCGCTGTTCTAAGAAAAGTTGGCGAGGTCGGATTAGGCATTGAGGGTCTACCCAGTGCTCGACGCGAGAGCGTTACTAGTGTTAATCTTAGCACGGAGATGCCGAATGCGGAGTTAGAAGTAGGTGAAGTCGGAATGGGTGGTATGAAGGCGTGAAATAGCTAGCCGATCGATCCTATTACGACGCTAGATCCTATTATCCTGCAGTTCATATACTATATATTCAAAACACGACAGAGGCGAAGCCAGCATGAGCCTTGATTTGCTATAAAGGGGTATTGGAACAAAAATGGAAACGACTAATAGACACTTCCAGTGTCACAAGTCACATTTGGTGTTAGGTTTGGGAGGGGAGGGATCATCCATTACCTGTTAGCAAGCTGTTGTCATTGCTGTTGTTATTTGTTGTGTATGGTACACTTTTGTTTCTTGGTGTATCACCTTATGTATGCCCGCCCGCACGTCCGTACGTGCTTGAGCAGTGGGTCATACTGTACAATTGAATCATCATTTCGCTTGCAAGGGACGACGTCCAAGAGAATACTAGACGGTGACATGTTATTGGGTATATCGAGTCCTAGCTGGGGACCGCCCTGGGTGTTGTTTAGATTTGCCAAGTCCTTCTTCACACCCGTGTACGTATGGACAGCAGCCCTGGTCTCGTGTCTATAGGCCTGTAGATCCTATTTAGATCGTACGGTGGGCTATCTAAGTAAGTATCTATCTTGAACGGAGTGACTTGACGTCGCAGCGAGTTTGTCAAACAAGCTTTCCGTCTCCCAAGGTCTCGTTTCGTCTTATCTTGTTCATTCGCGTAAGCTAGGATCCGCTCTGGTTAAGGAAGCTAGTTGGATGGCTAGCTAGCCTCATGGTCTTCGTTCTCGGGAATGGGACGTCTATCTCATGTCTCATGTCTAGTCTACCGATTGGTTACCATCGATGGTGGATTTCTCTTCATAGCCATCCCCGTCAACTTGGCTCGAGACTACCTATATATACCTGGACCTAACTAACTAGGTACCTAATGCATAATTGGGTCTGTACCGTCGCAACGAACCGGAGAACAACATCCTTACCTTTACCTTAACTTGCCTCCACTTTCTTAACTTGCGTAACCCCCCTGACGGTACCACCCCGGACGCTAAACTCCTCGGGGTTATATAACTCCTGACGTTTAGGTCTGTGTGACGTGCTTCGTTTTTTCTTTTCTTCGTATTCCATGAACCGGATGCCGGAACCTTCGCTACGGTTTTTGTTTTATGCCCCCCTACACCAGTTGCTATGTTATGTATATTTAAACTCCTACCCGACCCTCCGCGGTTTCTTTTCATAGAAATAGAAATAAATGGTGTCGGTCTTATCTACGTACCTACCTACCTACTTAGTTAGTTTCTTTATATATAGAAGTCTTGTGTAACTAGAATATGGTTGTAGCGATGGTAAGTAATGAATGCACCATTCCCACTGGCTGTGTGATATCAAATTTGGAAGGAATGCGATTGTGACGGCAGACTCGACCGAGGAAGGTGAGGGCGAAGGTGAAGATGGGGAAGAATTGGGAAAGGGGGGCTTTTACATGGATGTAATGACGACATTTCCTATTTTTTTAATGTGTATTTAGTTTTTTAATATATTTCTATGTTATACTACGTGATCCTTAGGCGCGTTTAAGGCGACAAGGCGGTGAGGCGAGCTAGCACAAGGAAATTGTCTGCGTCTAATGCATACATACGTAGTAGTAGGCGGCCTAGTAAGGTGGCTCATACATCTCGCACGTGGCTCGACGGCTTCCGGTATGGCCATGGGGCCATGCCGTGTTGGGTTTGTATAATTTACTGTCCACCAATCTGGTGAGACGAGATATGTTGCGCGGGTGTAGCTTATACGGTAGAGGTACCGGCATGCTTATATCATGTTTCACGATGTCTTATTCATTGGCGTTTTTAATATGCGCCGTGATACCACTGTGCTACTTCGGCGTTTGCTTATAATCTATCCATCATGTCTGATTAATACAATATGCTATCTACTGGATGAAAAGGGGGGAAGAACGGAGAAGGAAGAGGAAAGGGGAGGAGGGGTGAGTGAAAATTAAGTGGAATGACTGCATGGTCTTGCAAGAAATTGCGATATACGTAGCTCCGTGGGTATCTTCCTTGTGTTACAGGAACTTTGGAGAAGAGAGAACGAGATAACGCTGTTCGAAATGAGGTTGTATATTATGTAAGTCGAGCATGGGAGTCCCATTCTATATCCATGGCCGTTGGTCCCGTTACGCAGTCTTCTATGGTAAGGTTGGTTACACCACATAAGGCGTTTAATCTCGTCCGAACGAATAATATTCGGCCGTGTAGGGCTGAGGGACTTCTTTCTATTCTAGAATGTTGCCATGTTCGTGTTAGAGGCTTAGTCGTGGTATGTTAAAACACAGGAGCTATACATATCCATGCCCTTGGAGATGCTAGACCATTGGTCATTGGGAATCCGGCGCATGGACTAGAAGACTAAGTAATCAGAGGACGTTTAATTTTGCTTTTCCAGGGGATAGGTTCAAGTGGGTTCGGTTGGGGTGGATGGGAATGGGATGGGATGAACTAAACTAGCCTGATATGGGACAAGAAACGAGGTTATTATTGGGTAGGATTCCGTATTGCTCCACGGCCTACTTTCTTCTTACAGCTTATCAGTGCGTTTTATCTACGCGATGTTGCGTCAAGCATGGGATATTCTGCATATGTCAGTACACCCTTGAAAGCCGATGGGGAAGAAAAAGTCAAGAGAGACAAAATAATGTACAGCACATAAGGCAGAATCAAGAATCAGGCACGTCTCGCAAGGCGTTTTCGCACGAGTCAGGTACGTTGTATTGAAACAGCGGGGAGGTTAACTATTATTCTTACACAACTTCTCTTACCGCATGGTATTGAGTTATGTAAGTGAGATTCGTAGTGTGTCACGTCCCTTGTCTCGAAAGTGGTTATCATTAATCCCCGCTTACATCGCGGTAAGATATTATAAGGAGAAGAGAGTTCATATAGCCTATTAGAAGATCTCCTAAACGCGCGGCCGTAATGGATACCTGGCCCCCTTTTTTCTCTTCTTGCACTTACTTCAGCCCTGCGAATAGCTGAGAAGGTAAGGCGGCGAGGCGAAACACAACGATTACTTATCGCTTTTGGCCCCCAGAAGGAGAAAGATAATTGACATCAAAGTGGATTCGTTCTCTCTTTAGTTCTTAGACAAGGTGAATAATGTCTGGCTTCGCTATACCTACCTAGGTAGCTAGGTAGGTATGTATCGGCATCCGATGGTGCCACATGCATAAATTGACCTTCCACAACATCTACACATATGTCGTGTTACATACCCGTGAAAGAATAGCCCAAAAATAATGTCCCCGAGGGTTCTGATAGGCTCTCGCTAGCAAATGAAAGTGTTCAGAGTGGGCTTAGGCTTTTCGACTAGGTCCATCAATACGTACTTGGATATCCATATAGTTGTGTACTTAATTTCCTCTTTTGGAAGAATGTTGCGTTCCTCTTCTGATTGGTCAATCCTAACTCTCGAAAGCATCAACATGGCCCCTCTAAATCGTCGGTAGTTCGGTAAATTGTTACCCAGATAGGAAGCGAGGGACAATTGGGGATGTAGTATCGTCAGTTTTCTAGAAATTCGCGATCACTAGAGTTACAAGGGGGATAAAATAAGTGACATAGGGGAACTGGGGTTATGATAGGTACATATCCAGATGCCTCATTGCGCCACCAAATGGGGAGTTTTATAACTTGCAGTGAGAAATTATACGTGTCATAATTTCTCAAGCCACATTACGGGTATGTCCGGATTCCTCGTTCATAGCCCAAAGACTTTTCCCATGTTTCTCAAACCGGTCAGGTTCATTGGCATGAACCCTTCAGCCTTACCACGGCACAGTTAGAAAGTATCCAAGTATTCAGCTAGCAAGGTATGTAAGGTAAGTGGACGCTGCATATAATTCTAAGTGATTATGTGAGAAAGGGGGGTGGATACTAGAAGTGTGTGTAGATCTCTTACCGGAAGTGAACTGGAAATCTCTTAAGTCAATGTCAAACCCTGCTCCGATACTCCTCTCTCTCCCATCTATCCCCTCATGGCTCAGCTTCCCCGACTAGCGAGAGACCTACCGTGTGTTGTACTAGCAGACTAGGCATGTAAAAAGTACTGAGGGTTGGGTTGTATTACTTTGCTCGTCCCATTATTATATGACTCAGCCCTACCTTTAAGCCATGGAGGAAGCAGCAGACGAACAGCATAACTTAACAATCTCGTCAAGGGGGTCCCTCTCGGTATCAAATTAGCCATCGAAAGCGAGAAACGAAGGAAACATAACTCCCTTGACATCATCAACGAAGGCTTGATTTAGGAACTACCACCTTCAGCTGGATTCCACTAAGGCTAAGTCAACTTACACGTGGGGGCGAAGGGATTTCACTCCCTGACCGCTTCAACTGCAGACAGCGTTACAGAGCCCCAACCTTAATGGGCTGTACCTTGCTTGCAACCCCTGACGACGGGTCTCGTATCGTGCGCCTGGGCTTCGGGAGTCCTAGTCGATTATCTAAGTGCTCCACCCGCCTATGAAAGATAGACGGAATAGCTACCACGACGCGGAACTCAACGTGACAACCCCTACGGACGATCCCAGATATCTTGACGTGATTAATAAATCGCATGTTTCACCGTGTTGGGAGAATTTCCTGATGTGACATCTTTTTCTCGAGAACGGCGTACCTGCAGCCAGTACCAACGCGATCGAAAAGGGAAATTGAGACGACCAACCAACATACAACGTTATTACCTCCGGTAGTTAGTTGTTCGCATATCCACATAATAATCATCAACTACAAGGAGCCAAGACCCAGTCCTCTTATTGACAATGGTGGGAATACCAAAGAGCAATCGATGCACATTCTGCAAAGTGCGGAAGACGAAGGTAAGCAATTTGAACCCCGATAACTGCTTGCCGAGCAACTCCAGCTGACATCTCTACGCAGTGTGATGAGAATTGGCCGACATGTGGTGCATGTGCCAGAGCCGGTAAAGTCTGCTCTGGAGCGCGGAGCAATTTCAAATTTGTGGTGAATGGTTGCCATAATGAGGAACCAACACCCAAATCCAGCGACTCGGATGACGCCAGCATATCCTCTAGCGACAGTGGCCAGATTCGTGATCCGGTATCGCGGCGGACAAGTCCCGGCGGCACAATCATCGTGGACATGAAAGAGTATACGGCCTCTCTTGGTCCTGGCACATTTCATCGGATGCGCTTAACGCGACCACATCGACCTAGGAATGTTAGGAGTGGCAGTAACATAACGCCATCGCCAACATCATCACCAGTTATGCGCCCGTCCGATCGATTAGCAGCCCAATTCATATCATGCCTAGAGGCAGCCTCAGGGACGGGTCATGATATGCAGATATGGGGCCCATCAATAAAATTGATACCCCAGCGATTGGGATCGGAAAGCCTAGTGCTGAGGCATACGGTGGAGTTGGTAGTCACATCTTGGTCCAACAGTCAGCGTAACATATTATGCCCAGAGACCTGGTTAGACTTGCGACTGCATATGCAAGCCTTGGGAAGTCTGCGAAAGGCACTCGAAGAACCCGAGCATGGTTTAGCGACAGACACTATCGCCGCGCAATGGTTGTTACAGAAGATTGAAGTGAGTCTGAGTGACAGTTAGGACGATAAGTTTGCAGAATCATTTGCTAACAGTTGCTCCGCGGCAAATAGCTCACCTACGATTTTGAACGGGGTGCTAACCAAGAGCACCATGCGGCAGGGCTGACTGCTGTTATTAGCAGAGGAGGTCCTTGGCAAGGCTTCAACGACTTAGCCCTTTACCTCACATTTGATAGCTTTTTCAACATGGTAAGTTGAGGCGCGAAGGAAGTCTTAATGTTTGTCTTATACCATGAAGGCTAATAGCATCGTATTTAGCTACAAGAAGACGTACGATTAGGGAGAGATAGCGTGTTCTCGAGTAACGAATGGACTACAGCGTTTAAACAGGCCATAGAAAATAGTTCGGTTCGGCCTGCCGTCAAGGCTATGTATCGTCTATGGATCGAGATGACCGTATGGCCAACATTAGTGAGACTCGTTCGAGCGCTTTGTCAGGATCGCTCAGACACCATGACAGCAGCCGAGCTTGTACTCAGGGCCGAGCCAGTTCTCGAATACCTAAAGCAAGAAGACGAGACAACTCTGAGCCAAATGATGGAATCTAGCGATATTGCCGAGGTAGATAATCTCTTGGACCCGGATTTATTCCCGACAAGCTACCAATTCCGCGACATCGACACCGCGAAGCTGTTCTATACTCACGCCATGTATAGCATCATTATCTGCCGAACCCTACAAGAAGCAAACCAAGTCCTTGAGCACTACGCCCCGAGCGTCATGAAACGCTGTAGAGAATACAGTAGGCGGATATGGATGTCTTACCCATGGATGAGGATGCAAAGGCCTCTCGCCATTGAATACACAGCCGCGCTCGCATTTTCTTATGAATCTGCAAACGAGGAAGAAAGGGAATTCTGTGTTAGAAGTCTTGATGATATGGAATACTTTAGGAGACCACCACCCATAGGCCGATGGGTGGAAGCAACTATCATGGCTAATGTGAAGGGATACACAGGTCGAATGCCGTTTATGAAGAACCAAGACGTCACCATCGAATTCTGCGGGTTAGGATGTCGGTGCTGATTGAATATACGAGTACTCGAGACATCCATGATCCATGACACAGACCTTGAAGATCTTGCCTACCATCCCAGTACAAGCGAGGAAGAAAGAAGGTCCGGAATAAGGAGTAATATGAATGGAAGGTCATATTTATTCCTTCCGACACAGATATACACGATCGCATGATGGAGTTTTTCACGAACAGGTGCTGGATATTGTATCAGGGTTTGGTTTGCACATTGTAGTAGTTGGAAGATAGGAGCTCACATGGCAAAACTAGCCTCGTAGATATATACCCAAGAGGTATTGGGAAAGTTGTCTCATTCCTCTTAAATATTAAAGTAGTAAAACACTGAACGTGCCGTCCATTGATCCTTACTGCGAATTTATGACCTCGTGGATGAACCGAGTCAGATCTTCTGCCTCTTCAGGTATTGTACGCTCGGGTAAAGTAAGGATCGCTTTTTTCAGGGTGTCGTCTTGTGTGGTAGCATCTTTTACGAGCTTCGAAAGGGTCTCCATTTTGTAAGTAGAAAATGGTGTGACCCGCTGAATACTTAGCAGCGCCTCAAAAAAGTCGATGAGATTAAGGTGCACCAGCATATCCTCTTTATCGATCATGTGCAAAGCAGCAAAATGTAATAACCCGCCATTGCCGTTAAAATTAGCATATCGCTGATTTAAATCGGTAAAATCGGTCCAGGTTACTGCGCGGAAGTTCAAGGCCGCAAGACGAGGTAAAACCCGGAGTAAACGACCCTGGGCGAGCGACTGTTGCTGAGAGCTGAGACGACCATCGGTACAATGAGATAGTATCAAATCGTATATATCTCGATCTTGGAATATCCTTCGCCATACTAACCCCTGACCAGGCGGCTTTCTTACAGCAATCTCCATTCCGTTGACAGATAAACCATCCGGGGGTCGAGTATCACAATCGACATCAAGAAGATCACCCAAGACCTTGGACCCTTTCTCGCCCACTCCGACCTGTGGGGCACTTAACCATTGTGCTAGGAAATTGGTAACCACATTGTTCATCATGGCAAGTATAGCTGCGTCGCTTGGTGATCTAGCTGCCTTCTCCAGAACAGTCATAGCAAGAATGTTTGCCGAGGGAGCCGGAGATCGTAAAGCTTGTATGATAGATTCTTCCGAAGCTAGAGACATGATCTGAGTAAAGTTTAGGGGACCAAGAAGCTTGATGGCTAAGCTACATAAGATCGATGGGTCTTGTTGATACTGTTTAAGTATCTCTGTGATTTTTGGAAGAAGTGTTGGGATGAGAGGTGGAATATTAGCGTCTGAAGTAGATTAGTACAGTGTTAAGGCTGGATACCGGGTGATAGATATCTCATACCTGTAAGTTGAAGTTCTACATCGTCAAATAGCTTAGCAGTTGGCAATAGGGTTGGATCCGCTAGAAGCTCATCAAGGTGCTTGTCTAGCTCCTGAACCCCAGTGACGGGGATCGTATCCGTATCCATCTTGACAGCTATCCGACTCATTGTGGAAGATGAGATATGTTAAAGGCTTCACGAGACTTTACTGGAGTATAATAAGAGCAGGCAAGTAATAATGTAAAGACACTTAACTTCCTTAGTAAGTCAAAGTCTAGGTAGGCAGACAAGGCAGGTAATGGACGCGTAGTATTAATAAGGTGTTCTTGGGATGGATTAGAATGGAGAATTAGGATGGAGAAAGTAGAAATGGACCCCAAAAGACATCGGGATCGGGATCTAGGAAAGCTCAGGTGGGGTGGTGGGGGCGAGACGGCACGGACTTAGCTGCGGGGTCAATCGTGGCTGAAATAGGTACAAGGTGAATGCGGGGTATTTGTGGCACAGCAAGTTGTCGCAAACCCCACCGAGTCTCCGCCAAAATTTTGAGAAAGTCAAATTCAATCTTTAATTCTAATTCTATTTCTATCTCGTCCTATTGAGTCATCTCATTTTTTACTTCTGATTCCTTCACATATTTTTTTACTAGCTTTACAGGGGCCGCCGATGCGCCTATAGTAGACGCCCGACAACATCTTCTACCCGCGTACCAAGTGCAACAATCCCAAACCAAAGGGAATAACAATCCATGTATCGCAATGTCTGGACGCGGTAGAGGAGGCCGAGGAGGCAGCCGCGGCGGCTTTGGCGCACGCAAGATAGCGCCCCAGGGCATGCCAGGTGCTGATGACCCAGGCCTACAATTTAACGAAAAGCCCCAAGAAACATACCCCGTAAGGCACCTTTTATTCCCCTACCAATTGCATAATATTCGCTAACAAAGCCTGACTCACAATAGAAATCCTACAAACCACCAACCGCACCCCCTCTTAGCGACACAGAAGCCCGCACCATCGCATCCTTCGTCGCATTCCGAAAAGCCTTCCACGCGACACCGTATTATACACACCGACACCTAACCAGCGGCGCAACGCCCGGCGTAGTCGAAAACGTCCCCGCCCCCGACCCCTCCAAAAACAGCACCAACACCACCACTACTACCACAACAGCGCGCCCCCCAGACCCCCGCCGACGAACCTACGGCCAAGCCCAAGTAAACGCACGCTTCGGTATCAAAAACCGCGCCACAATCGACCCCTTCCTAGCCGTTCCCCTCTACAGCCACAAATTCGTAGACGCAAACCGCATGCTACCAGACTTGCGTTCGCGCCCAACGGGTTACGTATCCGAGTTCTTCCCGGAAGAACTATGGGCCACGCTTGAAGGACGCGACGGCGGCGGACTACGCGGTGGTTTCCTATCCGAAGCACGAGGAACCAAGAGGGGGGTTAAACGTAAAGCCGCTGCTGTAGTCGTAGATGGTGAATCGCTCGGTAGTGACGACGATACCGACGGCTGGCGGAGAAGGCGGAAGGATGAGACGGAGGAGCAGCGAAAAGCACGGATTGAAGCTGCGATTAAAGAGGGCGAAAATGAAGACGCTGAGAATAAGGAAGATATCGATATTGATGAGGAGGAAGAAGGGATGTCGCAAGAAGACGATGATTATGATGATGAAGACGAAGGTGGTGATTACGACGCTGAGGCCTACTTCGATGCGGGAGATAATGATGACTATGGAGATGAAGAAGGGGTTGGAGAGAGTGCCATGGACTTCTAATTCAGAAAGTTCTTGGGGAAAGATGAATAATTATAAACCAAAAAGGCTACGGCTGGCTGCATTGGGATCGGCGTTTGTCAAAAAATGGGAGGTTAGATCTTTTTACTTTCTAGAATCTTTTGCTTCATACAACTATATATATAGCAAACTACTAGATGATACCAGGGAATTTTCTTCAATACCCAAAGCATTAAGTTTCCGTACTATTGGATATCTGCTTTTCAGTACATTTCTCGTTCAGAAAGAATCTAGTTCCTACAATTACGAACATGTGGTAGACGAATATATAGCGAATCGCTTTATATTAACTACCTGGGTGGGTTAGCACTTATCCATACGAACTCCCACTCGCTCCCATTCCCTTCCTTCGCTATGCCTGCGGACTGATACTACCAAAGGAGTTGACGTAGAAAATCGAAGTAGAGTGGAATTCTAAATCAGGAAACGATGGAAATAGCGTCTAACCCAAGACGCATACTATCCTGAGGCTGAACCGGGTTTACTGGTGCGTATAATCATGCTTCGTGCCCATATATCATTGCATCATAACCCGTCAATCCGTCAATGCATATAACGTAGAGAGGAGGAAATGGAAATTCTCGAGGTGCTGTCTGGTTAGGACCACCTTCCCCTGCTGTAAGTTGAATTGCGAAAGGGGGAATCGTCACTCCTAGCCGAATGCTCCTTAAAGCAACACACCAATCTTCAAGTCACAACCACGAACACACCACCTATCGTCGTCCTCCCTATTCCCTATTCCCTATCCTTTCCTTTCCTTTCCTTTATGAAATTCTCTTCTATAAGTTTTGCCGATCTAGGATTGCTTTTCCCTCTCTGATTTGCCGCATAACCTAAAAGACAAACGAAACAGTCATCGTTGATGAGGCGTTGGTGAGACACGCGAAACTACCGTTTAGAAGTAGCTGCGCATGGCATCTTGATATCCACTTCCGCCTTTCAGGTCCTGCTCGAAATTTTGTTGTACGTTTAGGACCTCACGGATGTGACGCATGCTTAGAGGTTCGCCCTTATTGACAGCAAGAGCTTGCGCGGTGCCGACAGTGTTCTTGATTTGACGACCGTTGAGATTGTGTCGCGCTAGGCTGACCAAGTCATCATCATCAAATGGCATTAAGTCGACTCCAGCTACTGCTCGCGCACGTTCAATGAATATCTTGAAAATGGCCTTCTTGGCTTTCATATCCAAGTCATCATACCGCAACGCAATATGGATTCTTGATTGGAATGCGTCGTCGAATGTCTGCAAAAGAGCGCCAGAGTCAGTTAATTTTATCCAATAATGGGCAGAGTAAGCAGAACATACCTGTACGCGATTTGTGGTTAAAAATAATATTCCTTGGAAATACTCTAGCTGTCGCAAGAATATGCTGACTAGAGCATTTCGGTGAATATCCTGCATGTTACGTTTCTCAAGGAAGACATCTGCTTCATCGAGAAGCAGGATAGCCCCCCAAGCGTGACAGATATCTAGTATCTTCTGTAACTCGGCCTCGAGGTAACGCGAGTCAGTACCTAGGTCACCGGCCGAGACCATATAAAGCGGACATTTGAGAAGTTCGCTGATTCCTTCCGCGGTCAATGTCTTTCCAGTACCAGGAGGTCCATGAAGTACGGCAACAAGCCCCTTGCCTTTGCCTTGAATGACATCATCGATGCTCTCAGCAGGGTGATACTTGTGAGATTCTACCAAAGCCTTTGAGTTGAAAGTTAGCACGAAACCATACAATTAAGAGGTTAGAACAGATCGCCGTTTCCAGGCCTCAGGGGGAGCGGATCTTGCTTACCTTGACAATCTCTTTCGTATTAGGTTGTAAAACCAAGGAGTCGTAGGCATTCTCATTCCACGAAATCTCCTTAATACCGGAGACGGTAAACTCTAACCAGAGCTTCTCGGCGAAAGCGAATCCTAGTACGACCGGTGAGGCGATTAGGTATTCTTCATCTGAGAATACCGGCGGGACGTCGTCCTTCTCGTCTTCCGCGGCGATAGTTTCGCCATCTTTAGTGGACTCGTCCTTGTCTTCCTCTCCCTTGCCTGAAACTTGATCGAGCTTTTCCTTTGGAGTCTCCGTGTTGATAAAATCCTTGGGGATGCGCATAGTGGAGACATTGCCCTTATTATCTTTGTAAACCTTTGTCACATACTTAACCTTACCTCCACCCTCTCCGTCTCCTTCGACCTGTTCGAGGCCGGCGTCCCCGGCATCGTCTTCCGACTCACAGCAACAGCCTTCGCCTTCCTCGTCACTATCTTCGTCGTCGCTAAGAACGTCGTGGTCTTTCGGGCGGACGAGAGAGACAGGATAGTTGGGATTTATACGACGGTGGATCGCGGGGTCAACCATGATCCGTCCGTTGATATTGACTTTGATGATAGCCTTCTTCTTTTTATGATAAGCCATGCCTTGGTGACTCTTATAGTGTACACCGCCGAGGCTGACGAACTTTTTACCACGATCGATAAGGTCCTTGCGCAACTGAGCTTCGTTCTTATGGTACTTCAGTGGATAGCACCCTAAGCTAGTAATCTTGCGAGCACCGCGAAATTCCGGTATCTCCTCTGACATGCTACCGAATCCGAATTGTTTCCCGTCGTATTCGAAGTACTATAATAATATTAATAACCAGGTATAGGAAGTAATATAGAGCTTTTGTGGGAGGGGAAACTTACTTTACCCTCGACGTAGTAAAACTCGCCTCTAACGATGCTGTAGTGTTTCTCTGCAACCTCGACTTTGAAGATACGGGGCTCGTCAACGGATCCGTATGTAGTAGTATATGCGAGGGTATTCGGCTTCCAAAGCGCCCACAGTAAATCAAAGGTAATGAGGCCGTTCTCTAGCATGGGATATAGACTAATAGGCATGTGAGCACGTTATGTCGCCAATTCTCAGGAAGCCTGCTAGGAGGCGTGTTCAATAGCATACCTCTTCTTGGTCTCGGCGTGATCCGTATCGAGATACTTGATAAGAACGCGAAGATGCCTTCGTTTCTCATCAATCCACTTCTGGACCTTCTTACGCTCCTTACGCGTGTCTCCCTCCGGTTCAAGTTCCTTGAGGTTAACCATGTATTCTCGCATATCCTCCAAGTACCTAATGCCATCATTGTTAGCGAATCGTGAGGTAAGGGGCCGTGGATAGAGACTGGTGACTTACAAGAATAGCATTTTGGGATCTAATTTGGGTGTCTCCTCTACCAAACTTACGCCTTTGACGCTTCCAATCACATCTTGAAGGGCTTCGCGGAGTTGCTTACTCTTGATGTCGACGAGAGTAGTCTTGTACTTTCCCTCCCAGTCAAAAGTTCTGCGCACATGGAATAGATACTCTTCGTATTGGGAGTTATTAGTATTCTCAGCAGTATCTTGAAGCTTGTAGTTATGGATCTGCGTATCCCAGACCTGATCTACACGTTTAAATTCAAGACGACGAGAGAGAGACTTTCCGCTACGTCCACTCTTAGATTTAGACGATCTATATCCGCGTCCTGTCGCGTCATCAAGTCCGAATTCGTCAGTAGGGAGTCGCCTTCCATGGCCCGTAGGTGGCAGGGCATTTGCGCGACCGCCACGAGCAGCTTTGGAAGCATTTCCCAGGGGGTCGTTAAATAGAGCATTTAAGCCACCGCCAAAATTGCCGTAAGAACCAGGGTAACTCAACCCCGGATGATTTATACCTCCAAGCCCGAGTCCCCCGGGCATTCCCAGTCCTTGATTGAGGGAGGCAGCAGGATTCATTCCAGGGGTTCCGCTAGCTAAGCTAAGTGTCGCAAGCTGGCGTTGTAGCTGGGTTACCTGCAATCTCAGCTGAGCAATTTCTTGCCCCGCAGATGCTTTACTAGCCTTTTCTTCTTCATCAGGATCTGATTCATCTTCACTTCCAACCTCAGAATCGCTAGAATCATAATCGGAAGCCTTTGTCGGTGATTTAGTCTGCTTTGAAGTTGACTTGGACGATTTTGACACCTTCTTCTTGGCCTTTCGGAGATCTTGGCGTTTCTTTTGGGGCCTTTTCTTCTTTAAATTGACCTCGGCCTCGGATGCTGACTCGGAGTGATCGTCTGAGGATGAGTTGGTAAACTCGTCCTCACTACCACCAGAAGAGCTCTCGCTAATCGCAGGAGATGCCTTCTTAGACTTACTAGACTTTGCTTTCTTTTCCTTCTTGCCAGGCTTAGCATTGGCCTTCTTATCGCCTTTTGAGCCCTTAGCCTTGTTACTTGCGTCGGGGGACGAAGTTGACGGAACGTTCTCAGTTAATTGAGTCTTTGTATCGCCGTTATCGGGAATATTTCCTTCGCGACGATCCGCGGGGCTTGCCTTGGCTTCCTGAGAATCCATATTCACGTCAACATTGGAAGCCATGCTGATTGCTCGACGCTAGTAGGAGGCGACGGATAAGCAGCCCTTGGCGAGCACGCAGCGGCGCGTAAGATATAATAATAGTAGAGAAGAGCCGCTTCGGAATATTAGACGGCAAGATGAAATGAAAACGCAGAAGAAGTTGGTCAGTTGTATAAAATAGCGACCTGGGCGAAAGGCGGGGGGAAATTCCTGTCCTTTCTGCTTTGGTAGCTGTGTGTGGGCACAATCAAACGATTTAACCCTCGTGGATGCCCATGACTGGCCTGAAAATCTGTTACCGAAGCACACCGTGTTAGTAAAAAAATAGTTGAAAGGAATATTAAAATGAAAATTAAAGGGTGGGAGATCAGCTGTGTAATCGAGAGTGACATATGTCAAATTCTCTTTGGACAGCTATTCTCCTCTAGAATTGAGACCAGATACGGTCGCCACGCTGTACACGGCAGTACAAGCGCCCGTCATCCATCCAATGGCACCAACTCGAGGATACATATTACGCACCTATTTCAAAGTATGAACTGCTACGAAACTTTGAAGAGTCGTAGAAGGAAGGAATTATAGAGAATTATTGAAATAGAAAAGAGAAGGCGGCTAGAAGAGGGAAGAGGAAGTAGGCTACCCGTGAAATCCGTCGAAGGGGGTTGATATTTATGTGTTGGACAGACTGTAATCACGTCTCGTAGTAGTCCTAGAGCCCCTCGGGAACGACCGGAGTGAGTAATGTAGAGAACGAATCACAGAGGCTGTGAAATGAAAAGAATATTTTAGAATGATGGTGAGTGAAACGGTAGTTGCCTGCTTGCCTGGCCTTGCCTTGCCCTGGGTACCTACGAAATATGTATGCACATCAGTAAGAAATTCTGGAGGATGTGAACACACAAGTAGAAATGCGGCGGAGAAGGCTAGCAGCTTAGGCAGACGAACCAGGATGTTTGTTGGTAGAGGTTAGTGCAAAACAAGAGGTAAGAAGATGGGATGACACAAGAGAGTGTGATTTCAATTTTTTTAAGAGCTATCGATAGATAGATAGGTGGACGGAAGGGTGGTCAATGATTATAATAATCCTATAAACGGCGGTCTAGCAGCAGCCTTGACCAATTAACTTTCCTACTATCTAAATATTAACTAGGAGATTGTCTCTGGCGCGCGCACAAATAAGAATAAAGGAAGCGGCTACGTTATATTCTAGAGAACTAGGGAATAGGGAAAGTGTGATAGGTCTCGGGGCGCTTATGGGCATGGCAATTATAACGGGTAGGTATAGGCTGTTAGGTAGGCACGTCCCGTATATGGGTAGGAGCCCTGTACAATACATCGTGCAGGAAACTACCTACGTAACACCTGCATGTACTGAGATCAAGCCACATGAGGTAACCAACAGATTAACATGAAAATTTATTAGCGTCGCTGTGTTTCCTCACGAATGGGCAGTGACAACCTATACAAACATCAAAAAGGTATGTGCACCCATGGATATAAGTCTATACAAATAAGGGTCCTGCCATTTAGCTGAGAAAATGAGTCAAGCGGCTTAACTTAGCGTAGATATAGTATAGTATCTTATACTGATCCATGCTTCAAGAAAAAGTTAACTTCAGGCAAACATTTGCATAGACACGGACCGCATGGGGGGTATGGGGGTATGTATATGCAGCCTGCCTATCCCTATATGGACCCCATCCTCACCGAGGGGTATGCTATCAAACCAACTACAACCCCGCCACAGCCACGCGGGCGCTTGCTTCAACAAAGAAATGCGCTCAAGTCCCTATTCTCATTCAATTCTCAACATCTAGGTATTGGATATTAGTCCCTGTCCACATTTAATATTTCGTTATTTACCTCCTTTACATCGTATTCTCGAACCTAGCGTATACTCTTCCTAAATGCGACTGTAGGTGGTATTGGCCTCCATACATACTTGTGGGTATAGTGGCCGCAGAACGTCGAATGAATTGAGGCCGTGGCTGCGTGGTTGCCTTACAAGCCTCTAGAACAGCTCGAATGCCCACTAAATCCGTTCGCCCTGTTATGCCGGTTGCTGCTGTATGAAGCGGCTCGTTCTGATGTTACCCACCGGCCTGTCTACCCTGGTGCGTAATCTACTGAACTAGCCTGCAGCGCTGCCACCTGATCAAGATGCCCGACCAATCATAACCGTGTTGGTATACTGGGTGTAGCTTCGGCTTTTATAGGATGTTAGGTAGTCCTATGATATGATCGACAGGCTAACTAGATCACCATGTGCTAACCCTATACGCAATAGAGAAAACACTTTGGTGTGTTATAACATCGGCAGCCTAATGGAACAGTGACTCGAATTTGGTTTTCATATCATTCGGCTCCTCCGAGTCAAACGGCAAAAACGCCTATCGGGCAACTTGTTCCGGCATGCATATAGGTTGAGGGCAAGGCTGAATCACATCCTTCCCCGAGTTGGAATTGGTTGACCGCCAATAACTCGAACGTGCCTATATTATGACAACTTAATATCATCAATGGCTCTAAATTCGCGCGGTTCGTATGTAGCCTTATGGGTTAGGACGAGAAAGAGCCTCTACTACATATATTTCGATCATGTAGGCTTTGAATAGGATACGACCTGTGCATGCGACATTTGACTCACCGAATATAGCCCCGTTGCCTATTTATGAAGATGCCTCAGTTGGCAGGGGGGAACATTTGTTTTCGATCTAAAGTCGTGCAGATATCGACGTCCTGCGGACGGTCGGGGAAGCAACGGCCGTGACTGTCCATCGAGCATCTGCAGCGCTACACCGACACTATTCATCCAATCATTAAGCGCTCTATCAAGCCTCACCTCAACAAAAAGAATCGACTCTAGCCGGTAGAAACGTACCTAGCGACACATGCAATGGCACGCCTGTACTTGGCAGGATCAGATCCGCGACATAGAAAAGGACTTCAACGGCATATTTCATCTGGGGCTTTTTAAAGGTTCCCCGACTGGTGAAATATAACGTTGTTGAGCCGGGATTTTGCAGGAAGGAAAGCCACATTATCGGCTAAGGTTAGACCATGGTTAACATCCGGGAGGCGCAAAAAGGTGCAGCTCGTCACCCGACAGCCCAAGTACCTCATCTCAGAGCCGCAGTCCAAAGATGGAAATCCTAGCTTGTCGTATGGAACACATGCGGACTTGTTTGCAAGCAAGCAGGGTTCCGTAACCACGGATTCTGTGATAAGGGGCCGAGGCTTTCCATGCAGTAAGTACCTAAAGGAGACGCTGATTATACCTCAGGGGCGCGTCCATCATGTAAAAGTTTCTCCGTATCCCTTACTTTCATTCGTGCCGATACAAGCGACAGGAATAAGTAGGTAAAGTCCGCGGCGAAATAATAAATTCGAGTAATAGCAAATCGGAGAATTATAATATCCCACGCGCGTATGTACTTCAGGTGCTTCTCATTGCTATTGCTAAGCTGAAGCTCTTCCAATGATTGACAGCGGTATCCAGTACGGTTGGAGGGCCCCCAACATGTACCTAAGTAACCTTGGAAATCAGTGAGGTGGGTTAGGCAAATAAGAGAAATTGGATCTCACCTCACCATTTTGGTAACTTTGTTGACGTAATTATTTTTTGGTATTTATATTTATATTTATGTAAGTTAAGAAATTTGTGAATTTCAATTATCATCGTCGAATTTTATTTAACACAGCGTTCGAAGGAGCGACAAGTGACGAATTTGATCCTGCAATCTCTCCTCTAGAATCTAGGTAACAGCGATTTGAGCTAGCGCATACATCCCCCACTGCATAACGTCATGTCGATACAAGGGAAGCGACAATGGAAAGATCAATTGGATGTATCTTGTATCAAGCTCTCCAACCAAAAAGCATCGTCAACTAAACGCCGGGCAAAATCAAGAAACTTGCGCCATCTGCATATACATACGTATTCGAGCGTTAATATGTCTTAAAATATGCTGGTATGAATACCAATTTCAATGTTCTTTCCATATACCATTAACAATTATACCTCTATAATTGGAACGGGCGTTGGATCCTGAATTGAATGCTGCTTCTTTGTTTCTCCGGAGATTCTCGGTTATCACCACGAACCTACGACCTCACGACAATCCATGCTTTCCTCGCGATTAGAACCGTTACTTCCGAGACGATAGCTTCGAATCTATTACAATCACTTCTTTGAAACGAAACGACCATGGGAGGTTTCAATTGGAGGAAGCTTCTAGGATGGGACCGTCACCCATCACATAACCACCACGATTGGATTGCCCACGAATCCCGTCGTCGATGTAAGTAAATAATTGTTCAGTTCGCTGCCAATCATACACTGCTATCCGATTCCAATTGGAACCTTTCATCATCCACATTTGATCAACCATGAGCTTTTGGGCTAACCGGCATCGGACTATCCGTTATGAAGTGCTTCCAATTCATCAGGACGAGATCGAATCTGCAATCCCCCCTACCGAAGTAACCAAAGTCGCTCTCCGTTTGCGATACCTTATCGAACAATGTGTGCCGTGCGAACTCGAAGAACAGCGAATTACCCAACCTCATAGTAGGATAATTACTCCCAAAGTAATCAAGGCCGCGAAAGAAGCCGGTGGGCCAGAGAATCGCTCGTGTGTGGTTTTCTGTCTTCTAGTTGTCAATCGCTGGTTTAAACACCAAGCCTTGGTCGAGCTTTGGGACGCGTCGTTACATCAAATCCGCGCCATCGCATGCGAAGTCATCGCAAAAAGTATTATTGAGTCTGAGGACGATATACCTTATTTGCTGCAGTCGGTTTTGCTGAAGCGGTTTTCAATTATAGTCGATGGCGAAACTACTCTACCCGTCAATGTCATTGAAAAGGCCGTCGATCTTCATGCGCTTCGCGTGATCGGATCTTCCGGTTACCAGAAATGCATCAACTACCTCTGGAAGGGATGGCTAGTACAAGATGAGAACGACCCTGCGAGTTTCGTCGACTACAAGGATCGTGACAACACCACTCTCCTACCACATCTAGACCCAGATCGCATGCGAGCTCCGATGTACCAGAATGCTTTCCAGCTAATAATTTCCATCATTTATCTGGCTCTTTACACCGGCGCTATCAACACCATTAACCCTGGTGGTGATCTAGATCTAGTGGAGATTCTCCTCTACATCTTCACATTTGGCTTCCTCTTCGACGAACTTACAAAGTTCTACAAAGCCGGATATCACATCTTTAGTTTTTGGAATGCTTTCAACAATGTCCTATACTCGCTGTTAATGGTTTCGCTTGCGATGCGCCTCGTCGCCTTCAGTCATCCACCGGATGACCGTGATCACCGTCAGAAGTTTAACCAATTGTCATACAACTTTTTGGCTTTCACGGCTCCCATGTTCTGGGCTAGGTTGCTCCTTTACATGGATTCATTCCGCTTTTTTGGTGCGATGCTTGTCGTACTTAAAGTGATGATGAAGGAAAGCATCATATTCTTTGCCTTGCTGGTTGTTGTCATCATTGGGTTTCTTCAAGCGTTCATCGGCATGGACTATGCGGACGATATGGCCGGGGAAGACACGGTATTTATCTTACAAGCTATGGCTAATGCTATTATGCAAAGCCCGGATTTCTCTGGATTTGAACGATTCAGCCCACCATTCGGGATTATACTTTACTACCTCTTCACCTTCGTCGTTATGGTCATCCTCTTGAACGTACTTATCGCGCTGTACAATAGCGCCTATGAGGATATCTACGACAATGCCGACGACGAATTTCTCGCACTATTTTCTCAAAAGACCATGCAATTCGTACGCGCTCCCGACGAGAACGTTTTTATCGCCCCGTTCAACCTGATCGAAATATTCCTGCTCATCATTCCCTTCGAATGGTGGATGCCCAAGAATCAGTACGAACGCCTTAATGATATTGTAATGGGTGTAATTTACTCTCCACTACTCTTCTGTTCCGCGTTGTTTGAAGTCAGGACAGCTAAGGAGATCCGAAGAAACAGGAGAAGAGGCGAGGATGATGATGACACGGAAGAGGAATGGGAACAGATGGCTAGTGAAGTCGATTTTGAAGGCGAGGGCTGGGCAAAGAAAGTTGCCGACAGCAAAGCTAATGTCGAAGAAGATCCCGCCGTACTCGAGATCCAGAAACTGAGGGATGAAGTCGACCAATTGAAGACGCTTCTTGAGAATCTCGGCAAGAACCTCAATAGTAAAGCTGAGAGTGAAAACTTGCTCTAGTTTTGAGTCTTCCTGGTCATCTCTTTCAGGATGGGGGTTCGGTTCTATTTATTCGGAAGTTAGTTTCAGTTATCTTATACATCGGGGGCTTGTATCAGTATCAACCTCGTCTTTGGATTATATTGGAGTTGTGCTAGCTGGTTAAGCCAGGGGAGTAGCACATACATGTGTTTATGGAGAGACGACGCAATGCGATTAGGGCTCAGACCCAGTACCTTTATGACTAGGTGGTTCGGGATGACATTTACATGGTATCGCGTTTACGCTAAATTATCGAGAAGGGATGTTTATCAATGAAATAGCAGTATATATTGATGCCTCAAATTATACTGGGACGTCTAGTCTTGCCTAACGTGCTGCCATCCTGACATCCTTGACCCTATTCGCGGCCAAGCTCTCACCATGAAGCTTTTGATGAGGAATTTTTGCCTTAACCAAGTCCGCGACAGTAGCCTCTTCTCATTTGTTAGTCAGTTCATTTGTTCTCTTTATACTCGGTCTCCTTTGCTCTTGAGTTTTACAATCCAAGTAGTGAAGAACTAAGAAATCAAAGAGATTATATTTTAAAAGACTACTTACCAGGCATTTCCACACCCACCCAGCTATCACTCATTAACCAACTTTACGAACTTACCTATTGAGTCCACATAGAAATCTAGTCAACGAACGACCCCCTTTCACTGCAAAATCTTAACATCTTAAAGATACCTATCATAGGCTCGCACATTCCTCAGAATTTACATACTTCACCCATCAACCATGGCATCCAACCGTCGCTGCGCCTGCAAATACTGCCACTGCCGCAACCTCGCGGGAGAACCAGACTGCTACTACAACCCAGATCTAAGTCCGAGCTACGAGACCCCACCACCGACGTTATGCCTTGTATGCGAACACGCCGAGCTCTGGGGTAAGAATGATCCCTTTTATAGTAATTGTAGATGCACGTGTAAGTGCAAACTACAACGTGAGGATGGGTCGCTGTTGTGTGGCGATTGTGGCGAGCAGAATAGGTTGAATCCGCGACGGCATCGGCCGCATGGTGGGGTGGAGAAACGGAAGAAGATGGTTGTGTAGAGGGTTCGTAGTGGTATGGATATTTAGATAAAAATATTACCGTTTTTATGATGGTTTACACTGCATGTCCGTATCTGACTTACTGAGGGCATATTTGAGTATAAGTGTACGATGCTTCGAAGTAGACGGTTCGCTCCGATTGGTTGGTGAGAATCCCTATTTTAAGTGGTAGAAGTTCGGAATCAAAGGTCTTACAATTGTAGACAATGCCGCCCTTCTCTAGGGCTTGATAATAGCGAAGTACGTATAATAAAGCTATAATAATATTAGTAGGAAGAAATGTAAAACAATCGCAGTCTTATATGAAATGATCACTAGCCTATCGTGGTTTTTTTAAGGTATCCCTGGTTAGGGTGACGATAGCATAAGCCTCAAAATGATTAATGGCAATAGCGGATGTCGAATCCTAGGCTATTAATTCCATAATAGATAGTGCGGGTAGGTCTGTTATCTATATAACATGAGGTGAAGCGCCTTGACTTCAAGCAAGTACTTCACTATCTCTAACACGAGTTTCGGTCCTTCATTGACGGGAAACACTTGTACTGACCTGGATTACTCGACCGATTTACCACTCCAAAAATGCCGTCGTCGCATATTAAATCTTCTTCGCCCAATCACTCCTTGCTACCCAACTCCTCAGTCTCTTTCCATAGATGTAGCTAGGTATGGTAAGTAAACTAATTCCTAGGTTTAGAATCGCAATTCCCGTGAACAACGTTTGGGGCCCAAACTTGGCGAGCATTCCATTCGCTACAGTCGATGCGATAAAACTTAGGAGAGCCTTGACGAAGTTGATGGTCACGAAGGCCTGGTTGGCGTCCTTCGTATGGCAGTCGATAACGTAACTGATTGAAGCCTGCGAGGCGAAGGGCACAGCTATCGAGTGCATAGTAATCCATACCAAGCACCAAACCAACGGTAGTCCCCTAGAAGCAGATACACCGAATCCGATGAAGCCAGCTGTTGAAAGTGGTATGGCAATGACCATGAGCACAAGGCGAAACTCGGGTTCGAAAACACCACCATTGCGTTTTGCCATCCAAACCGGAATCGCGTCAGCCATCCAGCCGGAGATTGGTGAAAAGATGAGAGCGCCAATGGCTAAGGGGATGTTCGTGAGTCCGATTTGAGCAGAGTTGAGGTTATATGGCGGGGCTGAGAAAACGTTGACGGACAGCACGCCAATCATTAACAACCAGCAGAAGAAAGATGCGTAGACGAGTGTTGAAAAGATAACAGCAGGGAAGCAAATCAAGGGGAACGGCTTGATTACACCTCTCCAAAATGAGTCATCCGATAAACGACCACGGAGGAGTCGAAGTTGACTCTTATAGCTCTCCTTCTGCTCGTTGGCTGGATCGTCGCCCTTTAGTTCCTTGAAGTCTACTTCAGAGTCGCGCGAATCCGGACGCTTATCGATGATCATGCCAGCATCGCGTGGCTTCGTGTACGTGGTTTCAACAACGACGAAATATACAAGAGGCAGAATCACGCAGAAGATTATTGCACTGACGGCAAAAGTTCCCGAGATCCCCATGGACTCGATGATAAAACCAGAAATGATCTGGCCTAGTAAAACACCACTACCAAGCATAACACCCCATAGTGAGAGACGGAACCCTCGTTGATGAACGAAGAAAAGATCGGAAACCGTAGACGTAACCAGGGTTTCCAAAGGAGCGGAGGCGATACCTTGGAAGATTCGCATTGCAGCTAGTGAAGGGAAGGACTGCCATATCTATTAGTATAGGGGGCGTAGGACGTCCGTTGAGAACGCGACTTACGTCCGCAAAGGTACCCCAAATATTAGATATCAACAACATCATCGTCGAGATCACGAAGAATGGCCTCTTGCCCCAGATATTCGCACCAGAAGCCGTGAAGAAAGTGACCGATCCCGTAAAAAGAAGGATAGAACCGACCATGAAGGTCGAGACAGTGTCAGGGTCGACATTGAACTGTTGGCTGATAACTATCAAACCAGGAGAGATCATAGGACCAAGTCTGCGCATATTAGCCCCGCCACATAACCCCAATCTGTCCTGTCGAGTCAACTTACGAAGTTGTGACACCGGAGCTAAATGCCAGGATGAGCATAATCGAGTTCTTCCATGTCATTGACCACTATATCTTTTCGTCAGCCCCCTTTCTCCAATACATTGCATCCGAGACACTAACGTTGAGCGGATCGTTTGGCGAATTACTCGGTTGCGGAACTAGGATGATGTCGCCATCTTTCTTTAAATCGCCGGTGCTCGCTAAAGGCTAACATTTAGTTTCGATATAGGGCAGTTCTATTCCGTTATAGACTGACCTGAGTCGAACGAGGAACCCTGCTCCTCGCCGAGCTTCGAGGTTCCTGGCGGCCTGTCCAGGTGCCTATCTTCTAATACCCCAATACCCATTTTAAGATGACGAAAAAGGAACCGAAAAAAAGGAAATAATGTCTAAAAAACACAGAAACGAAATGAAGTAAAGAAAATGGAAGAGAAGACACTGCCGGCAGTGTCTGGTCGGAGAGTTAAAGATGAAAAGAAAGAAAGGAGATAGGTGAGAAAAGGGAAAGGAATGTATCAATCTATTGGCATCCACGAAATACTTATTTCGACGCCCTGGCGAGGATCAACTCGCGAGAATGGAGATTATCAATATCCCATCGCGCGTTCATGGTGGATGTCGTCTTGGCTGTCCTAGGTGACCCTGTGTCAAGCAGTCGATCATCGAATGGACGCTTGTCGGAAAGCTGGAAGGCGTCGCAGAACCAGGGGCATCTATTGTTGATTCGTCCATTACGAACCATGCGAATCTATGGTCCAGTAAATACAGCCACATGTTTGCGTATCCCTTTAGTAAGAACTTTGAACCGATGGGAAACGCAGAAACAGGACCATAACCCTACGATTCTGGCGGGTCATTGCGACTGATCTACATCTTGAGTGTTCCGTCTTTGTTCGTCGTCTCAAGCGCGCGGCGGGACCTCGCCGTGGATCACCAGGGTTGTAAAACAACATGCCTCCCACAACTCGGTCGGAAACCGCCAAGCCCCTGCCGATCCGGCTCGATCCAACACGGTAGTTGGTTTACTCGTAGAATTTATTCTATATTCGTTCGATAAACGCTCTATTCGGCATATCGGTCTCTAGGGATCGCGATGGGGGATCTGTTCTGTGCCTTATCCTAGCCCCAGTGACAGGGGCAACGATAATATCCGAAGACATTGTGCGTTTTGCGATTAGCACGCCCGTCGTATGTTCAATACCAACTAACCTGCTTATCAATTCCCTTATCGATGCGCTCGCACGAGAGGGACGTTTCGCGGCGCGCGAGCTCGTTGAGAAACATCCACTTCACCGTAGCTTCGACAGCACTGGAACAAATTAAGTGAGATGGCTCAGATCCCCCATAAATAGCGGACACTACTGGTAGTCTTCTATTTACACGATGCCTCTGGTGCATTCCGATTGGTTACCCCCACTTACCTACGCCCTTGCGTACGCTACTGTAAGTAATCCGTAGTGTTCTTCATCAAATCACAACTAATATGTCCAGATTGTTCTATAATCCGATAGAGCCCAAGTCAGTGTGATAATTAACCTAAATCTAACTTAAGCTTCATTGACAATGTCTAGAGAATGGCATGATAGAGTAACGGGGTGGGGATAGCCTTCTAGAGCTTTATTATGGCATTGTTGTATTTGTTTCGCCTATTCTTCCCTGCAGGGAATATACCCCCTACTACTTCGGTACCTATCTACAGGGCAATAGGGCCCCATCCGATTGCCTACCCCGGGTCTTGGCATTCTAGAAGTCACTAATATTTTGCTAAAACTTCATGATTTCTCCGGTCGAGAGTATATTCTTAAGGCTTTGGACGGAGTATAGAAGCTTAACCTCCGTGCTGCTGAGTCCTTTTCCGCCACTTCTGGTTACTTAAAAACACACTTGGAATGCCTAGCAGGAATGTAAGTACGCCTCAATAGATTTCAGTAACTTGTTGGCTATGAATTTGGTTTAATAACAGTTTGTTTCAGGCACATACAATATCTGGTTCAAGGCTTACGTGTAATACCTAATACAAACGGAACTTCATATTTTGGTCTTTTTCTAGACCATTTTTGCAGTTGTCTTTTTTGGGATAGGTTGTCTTGCCCTGAACCGTCGGTCCTCGGACAAGTCGACACACCGGTCATATCCACCAACTGTGGAATCACTGCTAGATACATGATAGGCGGAGGGCATGGCGCTGTAGGTGGCGCACTGCAAGATTCCTCGGTCCCGAAGGCTACTAGCATTAACACATTAAATTAGAGAGCTGGCTATAGAGTGCATCGCCCGGAAAAGAAACCCATAACTTCGTGGCTTGGGGAATTTCATTGCTGGTCCGCCTGCGCGTTCCCGTCTTCTACCTGTGCCTCGCTTGGCGGGGCTTGTTCGGACCCCTTGCTCTTCGATTCTTCCTCTTGCTTTTCATTACTGCCCTCTTCTGTCTTACCATTGGTATCTAGGTTTTCGGTACGTTCATTTCCATCGCTGGAGTCGTCGTCATCAACGTCGTCATTCCATTCATCTATCAAATCATTCGTCGCCTCGCCTTCATCGCCTTCGTCGTAGCCGTTCAGTACGCGCTTAGCTGCCTCCTTTCCAACAATCGGCAGTTGCTTAACTCCTTTCTCTCTGGCTTTACTCGGAACAACCTTTGGATCCAAGAGGCCAATTTGCACCAACACGCTAGCTTGGTCCCAATAGATATGCTCATGGTAGAGTCTTCCTCCACGAAGAGCCACGATGCTTACCACTAGTATCTCGACTTTCTTATTAGTGGGTGGTATTCCTGGAAGGATCCATGGCATTTCCTGGGTGTGCTTGAAAGCAATGTGCATCTCATCCACAACGCGATCGGTGCCGATAGTGCGGGAAAGTAGAGTGAGTTTCATAGATGAAGGGTTCCTATCGATGAAGAACTCGGAGTAAAACCTCTGGAGCTCATCGGGGCCAATACCACCTGTCAAAGTGGGAATATGGGTTACATGAGGGCTCTTATGAGCTGAATAAGTGGACAATGTCTGTTGCAAGTGACGCGAATAGAATTTACCTGGTATTTGTAAGTGAATGCCATTTATCACTTTCTATGACCTCAAGGGAAATGGGAATCTAGGGATATGGGCTTACTTTCGACATTCTGCTCAAGTACCTTCTCTAGATCGACGTCCTTCCGGAATGCTCTCCTGACCGTAGCCAGGCTTCGACTCCAACTTAACTCCGCGCTGACCCTGTCGAATTCATCTAGATCGTGCTCTGCGAATCCCGGGGTAGCACCATAGGTGTAACTCGGATAGGCCATTTGAAGCGTTCCTCCAGTACCCGTGCCTCGCTCGATCTTCCTTTTAGATGTTCGTTTCTTCCCCTGGATACCCACCATCTGGGTTTGCTTCACGATACCGACCTCCTCCCCACTAGCCAGGTGAACAAGGACATTGATACCCCCAGGAAACTTGGTGCGCGGATCCGGGATGCGCGTGGGATAATACGCAATAAGACAACATAGTTTGAACTCAGGGTTATTGTCCAGAATATGAAAATGCTCGAGGCAAAAACTAGCAGCATCACCATATGCTAACTTAAGGTCAGAATTTCCAAAGCAAGTCTAGAAATTGTAGGGATTTGACGAGATCGTAAACATACCAATTATACCAAAAGTCTCGCAAGGGCCCAGATCCGATTTACTTAAAAATTGAATCTTGGTTCGATAGTCGTTACCACCATCACCCATTGGAATGTATTCGACGTTGAAACCTTCATCCCTCCATTCGCCCAGTGTTACTACGTCAAAGTCATCATCTTCAGCGGTGATATATAGTTTTGGTGGTGAACGAGGAAAGTCATTGGATAAGAAACCCGGGTCATTGTGGTTGGAACCGCCGTTGTATGAGACGATTCCAACGTTACGGTCGCCGCGATTCGGCATGGCGGCGTTGACGAGATTTGGTAGGTTGATATCCATAATTACTACAACAAAAATGGAAAAGTAGAAAATAGCTTTAAAGGAAAAACAGTTAATTTCAAGCTCGAATAGTCTGATATAATAATTATTTAAGAATAATCATTTTGGATGGCTTCAAAACAGGTTCGGGGTTGAAAGTCGACTCCGGATGACGTCAACGTCAAATACGAAAACTTGCCTCCTTCAACTCTTAATGCGGTACCTAGGTTATACCACCCAGTCGGGACTACACTCGCGACCAATCATAAGAAAGAAGGCGAATTTGAAGAAAAGTCACATTATTATCCATAATCATTTGTGTGGATTTAGTAACAATCGTCACCTAAGGGCTCGGTGTTCCTCATGATTGCTAGAAGTACGATGCTCCACGAACATGAGCAAATCACACAAACAGCTCTGTATCTTCGACTTCAACTCATATTCGACAGGATGGATATCGAAAGCTCGAATTATTAACGTCGGATGTCTTTCAGCTCCAAGCCCGCCACTGTAGAATTCATTTTTTCGTCAAACAATCCCGAAAGATTGCAGCCGTGCGCGTATGATCTACGGTGGGTGGGAGTAGACCATTCTGGTGACTTGAAGCCCCGAACCAACTCCATTACAGATTTGATGCCGTATCCAGAGTACGGAGGTTGCGGCTGCGGATCAAGAATACCGTGTGAATGCATCTGCATCGTTAAAGCCCCCAGCATCATCGATGAACACTCGAATGAGCACCCCGCCTCGCCATCACGCAGTAGTCCAAGCAGACCATGCATGTGAGTGAACACGCGGTGGACGAATTCCTGCCTTTGCTCGTCAATCTCATCTATTGGCCTGGTTAGCTTGTCGTGTTGGGTAGGCACGTCAACCTTACCAGCTACAACCGCGATTGGCAATCCCAGCGTAGGTAATCCCCCTTGGCCATGCTCCAGTGCGGTCTTTGTTACGTCTCTAAACAGTGCCTTCTTATCAAATACCAAGGAGATAAGGATCCATAGGATGAGATTTCTATTCAAAGTCGTTGGGATGGAATCCTTGAGCTTGTCAATATACAAGTCTGACCAGACTTCAACGGCCTCGTGACATTGATAGTAGTCGACAAGAACGGCAATTTTCGCAAGCATTTCCAGACTCACAGTCCGAGGCACTTCGCGATTCCGGCAATGTATTATTCGCATCAAGATCAGCAGAGCATTCAGATCCCAATCCTCGGTTTCCACGGAGCGGTAACCATCCGAAGCCACTAATGCGTTTTCCTTCCAGGGTCCAGTCAAAGTGTGCTTGAAATATTCGGATCCCAATATCAGGTGTCTTGAAGAGAGCCGAAATTGCGGCTCGGGGTCTGAGTTTTGTATGTGATGATCATTAGGCGGATCAGCGGGTTCGGTCTTATCAGCTTCTATGACGATAGGTTCGTCGCTGGGTCCAGAATGAGTTATGAAGTCGCCTGCATATTCGTCTTCATAGTCAGCGTATTTCGTCTCTTCATAGTCGGGCTCGGTCGGCTGTTCATTTGGAGCAGGGGGAGGGGGAGGTTCTGGTCCGTCCCACACTGCAAATAGAGCATTCGGGTTGCGAAGGGTAAGTACAACATCGCCTTGGGGGTCTATTTCGTACATGTTCGTTCTTGAAATGAAAATTCCACGAAGGTAATTTACTAAGGACTCAATAGGTATCTATTCGGCTGGGTTATGAGATGCTCGAGCCTGATTTCAACCTAATCAACACGATGCATAGTTTTTGGGGGGTCTGTACAGCCCGCATAGGCAGGCTGCATGAATACGACGTGATATATGATAGATGCAACAGTAAGTACTCTTCTTTCTAGCCCAAGCTTTGAAAATAAATTCGCTTGAAAGTCATACTGAATACAAGGGGAAAACTTACACCGATACTTGCCACTAAGATGAAATTGAGAACCGTCCAGAGACGGCAAGCTGTTTCAAGTACTTGTTCAAAATAAAGACGGTCGCATATGATGTCTTAGGGCTACATTATACACAATTATGCGACATAACTGTACACATCTAGGTATATAAACCCCTTCGCCTCAACGCATTTACTCTATGTTCGACATCATTATACAATAGAAGACTTACAAGTTTATTATATCATGGGTGTTACAACCGTCGCAGGGCTTTCTCGCCGCTTCGCTGGCTTAAGTCTTTCTAATAGTATTTTTACTTTTATCCAATGGAAATGGAGTTGGCTTGTCGGAAATAATCTTGACAAGGCACGAAGTATTTTATCGAAATTAGCATGGTTCAATGCTCTCGGGAATGACATACGCCATAGACTATATAAGGTAATATCCGGAGCCAAATACGCAGGCATTCTACGTTTAATGGCGCTATTAGTCGGAATAGATGGATTTCGTAGTGCTTCCTCATCCACGATCACGCCCATTTTGTTTGGTATCATGCAATTTATGTTGTCTCAGGGTGCACACAACTGGTCCGGGTTGACGCGAGAAGTTAAAGATTATATATCCAATCCTTCTGCCCAGCGAAAATACACCTTCATACAGAGTCAGCCGACTTTAGTTTACGGTGTTCAAGCCGCCCCATTCCGGGTGATCATCATCGGGGGAGGCTTGACTGGTCTTACTGCAGCAATAACACTAGCTGAGAAGGCTAACTTTGGCGTTGAGATCCACGTATATGAAGGACGATATCAGAAAACCGGACGCAATTCGATGTTTTCCTTTGCTGACTGCTCTGGAGAGGAATGGCGTCGAGGTCAAGTTGTGACGTTGCGGGACGATGTCATGGCTTTACTACACCCACGAACACAACGTGCTCTTTCAGGGAAACATCAAGACCAGGTTTGGCCCAATTCAATTAGCCTTCGGATAGGAAATATCGAGGATCGCCTGCTTCACCGGATTCAAGATACTGATTTTCAAGATATTGTCTATCTTCACCCAGAAAGCCTAGATGAGGAAGGACTCAACAACAACATCGGCGACTTTCACTTGGTGCTTGGCGCAGATGGAGCTGACTCTTGGGTACGAGAAGCATACTTCCCGAACGACGATGTCAAACGTGGGAGCAGCGTAATATTTGCCATTGAAATCTCTCGTAAGGATCCACTACCATTGTCCCAATCTATGAATGTCATTTTGTCCATGTCACAGTCACGCTACCTACTCAACGTGAGTAACCAGAACGAAGACAGCAGTTTTAGCAAAGGGTATCTTACGATTCATCTAACAAAAGATGAGTTAAGTCAACAATGTACCGAATGCGGTGAGTACTGTATGTACTTTGGAAATCCGTGCTCTTCTTCCGACTTGGGCTGCGGCCTGGATTGCGACTGGGACTTGCCATCCATAGATCCGGAGAACCTGCAACTTCCGCGCCTGATCCAAGACGGGCTTACACTATACGGGTTAAATGAAGATGATAAGGCTTCCGACATATTTCCAATATCAATCGATGTAAGAGGAGTGAGCAATGCAGCCAAAGCGGTGCTAAGGAGTGGGGAGTTAAGTCACTATCGACCACATTTCCTAGTTGCACTGGCTGGTGATGCTGCAATGACTAGCCATTTCAGGAAGGGACGAGGCGTGAATAATAGTATCAAAACTGCGATCGCGTGGGCAGACGAAGTTACCCATTCACTGCGCTACGGAGAACTCGCCGATTTACATCCACAGGCTCTTCAAGGCTACAATAGCTTTCTACAAAGCCTCATGCGCCGAGAACATAACCACAGCCTAAATATCATCGAGCGCTCAGCCGACCTTAACTCTCAAAGTAAGCAGATAGGGATAACTAAACTCAGCCACGATTTGTCGATGGCAGAGATGATGCACAATGTTGAGGAAGCTTATGAAACATTACGACGGAAGACGGCGGACCCGTTGCCGCCAAAAGAAGACGTGCTAAAAGATTCACACTCTATTCTTTCGAAACTGTCGCAACCGACTTTACTCGAGATGATGGTAACAGGGATGTGGCCGAAAGATCTGACGGAAGAATTGCTCCCTCCACATTCTGCTTTAGCACAGCGAACTAGGAAGAGAAACCGTGAAGCTGAGGAGTCCGAGATCAGATCTAGTAAATACCCTAGATACATAAGAGAATTGGGTATTCGGACGGATCTATAATGTATAGGAGCTGTTTGTTCTCGAAGTTTTTGGTCCCAATAACATACGTGTCTAGGAGGATGTTGGCTTAGAGGGTAGGTAGAAAGCCGAATTAGAAATAATCATAAATGGGAATTGAAATATTTTTTCGATATAAATCCTAAAAAGTAGGTGCTACGAATCTAGTCGAGCCTACATCTACCTATTTTATGCGACGCGCATCAATCATCGTGTCTTCAAGTATGTTGTCTTGGCTGGTGAAACCGGAACAACAAACGCCAACCACACCTAGGCGCTATTACCCTCATGCTAAGAAAGCCAAGACGAATATTTTGACGGCTTGGTCTTGTGAAAGGCTAGACTACCTACCTATGCGTCTTCGAGATGGATTGTCGGTCTATAAATAATACCTGTCATTTGACAATCGGGACGTCCGGCATCCGCAGCCAAGGAATCTCTGGTCGTACAATTATCTCTACAAACTCATTATCCAAGGCATAGCCGTCACACCGGTGACGAAGGATAGCGGTCATGTATCGCATATGCGACCCTGTCTCGCATAGTGTAAATGATCGGATGTTGTTCTGATCCACTTGTAGCACATCGAAAAAACATACAAAGAGGGGTTTTCTACCTCTGGGATGGTAAAGGTCATGTTCTTGTGGACTGATGAAATTGAAAATGTTTTCCTCCTTATTCAAAATATCTTAATTGATCGTCATCGTTAGGACGTAGCCAAAAACGAGGACTTGCGCTGTTGCCATCCTATGTTATTTGGCTGTGGTATCAACTGAATTTCCTATCCTCCCATTTGCCCGTATGGGATACATAAAGCTATGCGACCTTATAATTCAGGGTAATCAAAAACCTATTTAGAAAGAATAAAAAGGTGTCTATCATCTCTCATCAGCGACATCAGAGGTATGGATGAGGGGACTTCGTTGGTGATTCCTCAACGTAGTCACCTTGCGGCTTCTTCGACAGTCGCTTGTCGCTGCTCGGCTTCAAACCTCGCCTCTCAAACTCGACTCAACCGTTGCTAATCAAAATCTAGGAAGCGTGGGTAGCGGTCCCTTTCTCCGCATCACCATCCTCACTAGCAGAAGCGTCGCGCCCCGGCACAGCGTGTTCTACCGCCTTGGTAACCGTGTCTATACCCGCAGCCTCGACCGCATCCGCATCGTGACCGACATCCATATTTCTGTTCAGATGTTCGGGTCCTAGAAGAGTTAGGACAATCACGTATGCGTACACGCAACCCATGAAGATGCAGATAACGATGCCGTAGTTGTATCGCTTCGTTTCGCCCTTGGGTGAGAGGGGGAACCGCTCTCCGATGGTTGCTTCGATCGTCGAGCTAGCAGACGAGACGAGATTACCGAGTTGGTAACTGGTACCGACTACGAAGGTTCGGAATGCACCAGGGGATAATTCCATTAGATGCACGGGAATAACACCCCAGGCACCCTGAACGCAGAATTGTTCGAAAAAGGCGGCGGCGATGATCCTTTCGTTGGAAACGAAAGTGTATGGGTACAATAATGCACCGCCGATGATGCACATGACGATAATGCTAAGACGACGGCCAAATATTTGCGAGCAGAAACCTACGGCGGTACCTCCGACCATGGCACCTAAATTCGCGACAACTTGAGTTACAGTAACTTGGTCGGCATTGAAATTGAACTGGTTCTTCAACATTGTCGGGTACAGATCCTGAGATCCGTGAGACATGAAGTTGAAACCAGCCATAAGAAGGACGAGGTAGACAAGCAGTAACCAGTGGTGCTTGAGAGCGATCTTGCCCTCGGTCAAGAAGGTCTTGCCAATGCTTCCGTTAACACGTCGCATTTCCTGGTGTTGTAGGTACGTGTCGGTTTCGGGCAAAATGAGACGCCAGAGGATGAAAAGTACTGGTGGCCCAGCACCGAACCAGAACAAGGGACGCCATTCGTGAGAGGTAGTATCGACGAGAGCGCGAGAAAAGGCGGCAGCGAGGAGGTAGCCGAATGCGTAGCCTTGTTGGAGCAAACCACTCAACAAACCTCTCGCCTCGTTGGGAAGATCTTCAAGAGCCGTTGCGGCGGCGTTTCCATAAAGACCACCCATAGCGATTCCGAAAAGCGCACGACATGCCAGAAATTGACCGTAAGTCTGGCAGAAACCGGTTCCCTACGATTTACATCAGTTAGCGACCGCTAATAACCACGACATGAAGTGAACGCGAAGCTTTTGCCAACGCTGCGCCAAGTGCCGCCAAGCTGTGGGAGGATGTGCATGATTGGCATCCCAATTTCTAGCAGCAGCGCCACGCGATGTGGTAGCCTTCTAAGAGTGGAATACCCAATTTATGCGGGAAATATGTGATGTGATGGGGATCGGCGACACGACTTACCAATTCAAGTATGATGAAGAGAATGTTATTGACGATGAAGGGCCATTTCCGACCATAGCGATCAGCTGCGATACCGAAGAGAACGGAGCCGACGGATCGGAACATCAAAACGAGTGTAATTCCCCAAGTGATGTCCGTGTTGGATTTACCGAATGTCTCAGACAAATTGTCGACAGTAAGCGATACGGTGAAGAAATCGAAAGAATCCCATGTCTATCGAATCCGATTAGTAACGCGTATACATTGAGATCGCGCAAGAACAAATTGGAGAAGATGGGAGATAGAAATTCATGAAGCATACCCAAGCCCAGAATGCGACTCCAAAGAAAGCCCATTGGTGACGATTCAACATCCTAATGAGGCTAATCGGGTTGGGCGCCTTCGTCATAGGAGGCTTCAAAGTCGAGATACGTGTGGCCAAGTACTCCCTAGCCGACATGCCATGATGCGGAGGATAGATGTTGGAGTCATCCTCGATCACATTTCTTCTATAGGCATTGTGAGACGCCGGTGCGCCTTCATCCTTAGTGGTTGTCGCCATTGTTCGGCTGTATATTTCAGCAAGCTTGAGGATAAGCAATGAAGCTTCTGTGTGGTGTTCGCCGTACTAAAGGAACAACACAATGGACACAATCGGGGAGGGACCCGGTCGTATATAAACGAGTCCGGGGGGTGCGAAAGGGAAAAAATACGACAATGGAGATGACGGCGGCACAGCATCCACCAGGTTATTATAATGTGGTTTTTTTTTTTTTCTTCCTCTACTACCTACTACCTACATGGTATAAGTTACATACTACGTACCCGGGTATGTACCTCCTACCGCTATGTAATCCTTAATGACCGATCCTAGTCGAGTTAGTCAGTCATGAGAGAGAGGACCATGACCCCAACCTCGAAGTCTTTCTGGGCAATCTGGGCGGTCTAGGAATATTCTGGGTGGTGCGGGGGAAAGGGAACGGGATCCTGGAAGCTAACCAGGATCAAGTATGCAAGCTATGGGGAAGCTGATTGGATAGGGGGTCGGAGTAGATACTGACGTTATGGTGGTTAGCTGTCATGAGAAGAAAGAAAATCCCCCGAGTGCGGTGCCACGCCAATTACGCTACTGGTTTTCCCCAGCCTGATGGCTGTCGCATTTCTTATAAGATAATCCCCATAGCCAAGGCCAAGAGAAAGCAAAGAAAAAAAAAGGACCATGAGATCTCCTTCAGTCGACGCTAAGACCAACAAACCAAAGCCGACGATCGGTCCCTTCTGCGGAAAATGGCCCTAGGATGCCCCATCCCATCGCAACAGAGTTACAATCAAAAAGAAGAGGAGGCAAGGACTTTGGGAGCCTATCGAAGTTAGAATTCACAAGAGGTTGTGTGTGTTTTCGTCCAGCCACAGGAACACAAGGGTAGGGAAAAGAGAGAAAGAAGAAGAAAAGTGAGGGGACGCTTTGATGATTTACACAGACTTCCTTCATAATTTTATCACAACGTCCAGTTACTCCAATTTCTAAATAAACGTACCCAAATATTTCAAGCAAGGGACTTCCTGAAGCGGACCTAAATGGTTATTTCCGAATCTACATAGGTTTGCGATCTAGGTGTGACCTTGTCGTTCAACACGAAAGCCATGCATTATCACGCAGTTACATCATTGAGACCCCCAATGGATAGGGACCATAGCATACCGAAAGAAGCCGAATGGTCAACGGATACCAAACTACCTTAGCGGAACAGGGGGGTTCCCTCAAGAAGAAGACTGGTCAGCAACATTAGAAACACTAGAATAGAACGGCGTCTTCTCGAACAAAGCTAGCACGATATCTTTGTTCCCCTCAGACCGTCCCCTCATTCCCCCGCGCTGGGCGACTTTCACTATTCAGGTAAGATGTACGTGGCCACGCGTTTTTCTCCTTCCTAGTTTTGCGATGTCTACATCCATATTGCACGAGATATGGGATACGTTGGGGTAATAGGATCCTACGAAGAAAGACATACAGGTCATCTCCAAGTGAATACATATATTCACCTATACCTAGGTATCTACTGCACAGTTAGATCAAAGAGATACCTACTAACAAGTATCAGTAACTTGTTTGTTGTTTGAGATTACCCCAAAAGAGAAAAAAGCTCGTGACATCTCAATACTCACGCCAAGATGCTCGCCGTAAGAGCTGAGCTAGCCGACATTGCGCCGTACCCTCGCCCGCTTTGCTAGGGCACGAGCCTATTAAATCGCAAATATTTCGGTACTTATGACAGGGTTCAATCCCTAAAACACGAACAGGACGAGGGTATCCCGAAAACACGGAAAAGTTCGCGGGTATGATGAACATATTTCGGCTACTATCAGAATTTGTTATGAAAGAGATATCAATTCGCGAAGAGTCTAGAAACGCAAACAGCCCATAATGTGTAGGACGAGAGTTAATTTTCCTACCTATCATATGAGAAGTCCAGATTTGTCCCTGCCATGGAACTGCAATACGACATTGACGTCGTGGAATCTACGAGCTTCTTTTATTGACAGTTGCATTGGGCGCAATCCAAGAGAAACCGGATGTAACTGACGACGAAAATTCGGGAGCTCGAGGTGAGCCGCTTAACCATAGACAATTGTGGTCTAGGCCATAGGGCTTAAGACATGAGCGATTTCGTAGTATGTATGCAAAGGTTTCGTATTCTAAAGTCCCTGAATTGTCGAACGACTTGTTGTATTTCCCTCGCTGCTGTGTTCACTAGGATTTAAATGCCCGCATTTGAAACAAGGTCTTAGATACCTTGAAAGAGGCATTGCGTAGAGTAAGTTTTCCAGCCTTATTGCCAAGTAGTGAGCGCTCCCCGCGGCCGAGCACCAATTTTCTTGCCACCTGAGCGCTGTTTGCATCGTGAACAAAAGAAAGCTAGATGGGTCGAAAATACCCTCCATTCTTGCCACAGTTCACGGGACACTGTCGGAATTGTTTCGGTCCCCATTCCATATACGCCACCTATCCGACAAGCCGAGAATTTATTCATAACTGCATTATGTTCTCGGAAATTGTGTATCCATGAGTCACCGACATTAGAAGTAAATTTTTTGCTCTCGTCATTATCCTAGGGGCTTAAATTGAAGCATCTGTCTACTAGACTAGATACCATATTTTCTCCCTAGCTATTGATTCATAAGACCAAGAATTAATAGAACGAAGGGGATTGCCGGTCTCAATGCCGATAACAAGCTACTCAACTCTCCGACACTACTTGGCTTGGACTTGGTATTCCGTAATAAGTGTAGCGGGTCCGGGATTGATGATGGTGATTTACGGCTTAGAAATTTAGTTGCATCGGGCCGTTTTTTCCATAATGAAGAATGCCGGCGCTTGATGGGCTCTACCTTAGACTCCCGGTATATACGCGACAGGGGTAATATATGCGGCTGAGTTGCTTCGGTTGATATTATTAAGGCTAACCGCGATCAATTTGTAAAATTCTATCTTGACAGATGATAGATTTTATCATAGGTAAGCTTACCAAGTCGTATAGCTATATGTAAGTAAGTTGCTGCTACCTTAAAGCTGACGCCAGAGCTTGCGGTGAACTTGAATACGTAGAATCTATTATATCCTAACTCATCGCCAAGGAGAAACACGAGTCTCTTGCTTTCGAATATATAACGGAAATATCTACGTGTTGGCGCAATCCCCATAGAGGGAGCACGTTTCCCTATAATGTGTGTCAGTGATGAGTGTAGCTACACTCCTAGGTACCTATCTAAGTACTAATATCATCGAAGAAACTAAACTTGCGACTCGGTTGATTCTCTCCCGAGTCTAACCTTCAAAACCCAAGTCTTTCTTGTCCATATCCTAGAGACTTGCGTAATCAGATTTATATCCACAGATTGATTGATAAGTGTAAATCTCAGTTTGTAGAACGAAAAAAAATGAGGAAAAGAAAAAAAAGAAACCCCTGTCTCGGTCACCATGTTAGTCTATTCACATGTTACGATAATCTTTACAATTACGGTTAGTAAGAATCGTCGAAGCTGGCAGCCCCGCAAGCTACTGAACCAATCTTACCAAATCGCTCTTCTGAATCGAACGGTTATTGGGGGGCCAAGGAAACGCCAGAAAATCCAAACCATGATCGTGCCGGCTCTCCTTACCTTCTTAGGTAGCAAGATCCTTCGCGCCGGGAACGAGGAGAAAAGACCTAAGACGCGGGGTCCCCACGCAGCCTTTGCGCGCCCTACAAGGATTCTCAAAGAGGATTAATGGAATTAATGTACTCATTCTAGTCTAGCCAACACCCCTTGCTCCCCTTGCTTACCCTATCCGGGTACCTACAACTACGTACCTAGGTGTGTAGGTACATGTTGTGCCTACATACATGTATGTTAGCTTCCTAGCCATCAGTAGCTCAGCTAAAGTAGGAATAAGCAAGCCCCTGTTAGTTCGTCGTCACATATGCGCCATCCAACCCGTTTTCTTTTCTTTGTCATTTGGGGGTCACGCTGGAAGGATTCCACCGGGCCTGGTTGGTCCATGCGAGCCAGTCCGGGAAGAGTACCTATCCAGGTACATAGGTAAACAATGAAGGAATAAGATAGGATGTCGACATATTTAAGGGGCATGATGACCTCCCCTCTCTGTCGCTGTCACTATCACTTGCATTGAACTTGCATTGATATAGCTTGCTTCCCCCCTAGCTATCTCTTTCCGCACTCAGGTTACCATAGGAAGAGATAAGCACTGAGTCAAGCATCGACAATGGCAGGAGGTGTTAAGAAACCCGTCAATATCTTCAGGTTGAAAAACCTGGGCGAACCTAAGAACGTCTTTAATTGGCGTCTATGGTTCGCCGTCATCTCCTTTGGTCTTCTCGGCGCCGCCCGTGGCGTTGACGAGGGTCTCATCTCGGGTGCCTTCAACTCTAAGGATTTCCAACGGACTATCAACTATTCTTCGTACAGCGAGTCTGAGCAAACCAACATCAAGGCCAATGTGTCCGCCATGGTCCAGATCGGCTCAGTCGGCGGTGCTCTCTTTGCCTTCATTATTTGCGATCGCATCGGACGAATATGGGCTACCCGCCAGCTGTGTATCCTATGGATAGTAGGGATGGCTATCTTCATGGGAAATGGCGGCAATCTCGGCGCGGTCTACGCGGGACGTTTCATCGCAGGTCTCGGAGTTGGCCAGACTCCTGTTGTCGGGCCCGTCTATGGTATGTTGCGTGTTGCGGGAATAGCCTCTATCCAATTTTCGCTTCTAGAACTCTACCTTTATTATTCGGGTGCTACGTGTTGTTAATATAGGTTGGCTAACGTATTCACAGTATGTTGCAACGCAGTCCCATTTCATATACTCCCTTCTCCAATATTTTTAGACGAGTGTGCATTCTAGAAGGTTTTATAGTAGGATTCCGGAGTCTGCGCGGGGGTGCTGACATATAAATAGGTCGCCGAAATTGCGCCAGCCTCCATCCGAGGTCTCTGTACGTGCATCTTCACGGGTTTCGTGTATCTCGGTATCGTCCTCGCGTATTTCGCCAATTACGGTGCGCAGGTTAACATCGGTGATTCTACTCACGCTAGATGGGTATGTATAACGTCGTAGATGGTTCTTATGATTCTAATGTGGAATCCGTGGGGCTAATTGTGACGTGTTCTAGCTTGTACCTACCAGTCTGCATATTATCTTTGCTGGTCTTATTTTCTTCTTGACCTTCTTGCAGTATGAGTCGCCTCGTTACCTCATCAAGCAAGGCAAACATGAGCAAGCTACTAAGAACATGGCCCACATCCGTCACTTACCAATTGATGACCCATACGTCGTTTCGGAGATTGAAGCCATTAGAGCTGCGCATGAAGAGGAATTAGAAGCTACCATGGGCACTAGTTGGTATGGTATTGTCAAGGAGATGTTCTGCATCCCTAGCAACCTGTATCGCTTGTATCTCAGTTCGATGGTGCAATTCCTATCTCAATGGTCTGGTGCTGGTTCTATCACTTTATATGCACCTGATCTCTTCAAGATTCTCGGCATCACAGGTCAGAATGAGTCTTTACTTGTCACGGGAGTGTTTGGTATCGTTAAATTCGTTTCTGCTGTGATATGCGCCCTTTTTCTTGTCGACGTTATCGGGCGTAAACGCGCCCTACTTCTCGGTATCTCGCTTCAAGCACTCTCCATGCTCTACGTCGCGGGCTTCTTGACGGCGGTACCAGAGCTAGGCGTCGACGACAGCTACGTGCTCCCAGCAGCCGAGAGGGGCGCTAGTCGTGGCGCGATTGCGATGATATATATTTCAGGTTGCGGATGGGCGTTGGGGTGGAACTCAATGCAGTATCTGCTCACTGCTGAGTTATTCCCCCTACGTATCCGTGCCCTGTCTACGTCCATCGTAATGACACTACATTTTGCCAATCAGTATGGCAATTCGCGTGCCGTGCCCAACATGTTGTTACCAACTGGCCAGGGTGGAATCTCGCCTTTAGGTACCTTTTGGTTCTTCGCTGCCGTGACTATTGTCGGTGGAGTCTGGGTCTGGTTCTTCGTTCCTGAAACAGCGGGACGCTCCCTCGAGAGTATGGATCGCCTATTCGAGCTACCGTGGTATAAGATCGGATTACGCGGAAACGAAGACGCTGAACGAAAAGACGAGGTATTTAACGAGAAGGTGGCCGTGGCAGGGGAAGTAGAGCACGTTGACGTGGTCGACGAGAAAAGACCTCGTGGAGACAATCTCGCTTGAAGCAGCGTGGTGTAGGGATCAATTTTCGATTAGCGGAATGGATTTGGATACCTTACATGAATTTGTACGTAAAAAATCAAATAACCGAATTCTTCAGCGTGCGATACGCCACGTTCTGATATACGATGACAGCACCGTGGATGTCTTTCCTTTAACACAAGTCTGCCTAACGTTTACCTTTCAAAACTTGTACAGGCTATCTTCGGGTTACAAAATAGGTACTTCTGTGGGGGGTCTCAAATAGAGATGGCCCGGACTTACGGTAAGCCCTCGGAGTAGTAGTCAACCCGATTCTTCAAGCCACTTCATAATTTATCCCCCTATTAGACATCCTAAATAACGCCACTAAGCATAAACACCTCACCAGAAGTGTCACTCGTCATATACAGTCGCCCCATCGCGTCGAAAACTAATCCCACAGGCCGCGCACAGCTCGACGATGAACACCGACCTTCATCTGGTGGATAGAAAACGTCGATATATCCCGATTTGCTATTCGAAGGTGCAACGGGGGCATAAGAACCATCGTTAGCAACACGCGCAAATGGTACCGCGACTAGTTTATACCCCGTGGGGGATAACGATCCCAGCTACCATGCAAAGTAGCGAATAGGTTCTCGTACTTTGGCGCATCAAATTTCGCATCTAGAGGTGCGGAATGCGCCCGAAAGGTGAGTCGTGGCGGCATCGACATATGCGCGCAAGTGTCATCGGTAAATGTCTCGTTGGGCGATTGAACGAACTGCTGGCCAACATCAAGCCCGTGCGTGGCGTTGGTTTCCCAAATCGTGAAACATGTTGGATAGCCGTACCAGGCATTATTTGGCGTTGAAACATCGCCGAGGAAATTCAACTCTTCTGCCGGATTGTCATTGTGGATGTCTACTGAGGTGCCATTAACATCACGGACTAGTTGATCAGCGCTGTTTTCCACACCCCAGAGCCTAGTTTCGCGTAGTTAGTTGGTTCTATGTTCTCTTCTTTCTCTTGTTATGAACAACCTAGGGGTTGAACATACATATTGTTTCCATCAAAAACCAATCCTACTTCGTTCCTGAGTCCATATCCGGCATTCCAACCATCTCGAGCATAGTTGTATCCGACCTTTGGTACATTCGAAATGTCGAAGACTTTCACGATAGCTCGAGCAGTTGTCGGATCAGTGGCAGCGTAGTCAAGGTTGCTATTGGAGCCATGGGAAACAACGAGCAAGTTTGGATGATTTGGTGGAATGATCAGAGTCCTCGTGGGGTGGCCATCTGTAGCCATTCCCGAAACGATAGTAGTTGGTGGTTCGCTAACGTTGCCGGTGTTTGCATCATATTCCCATCTATACACTGTAGATGCTGAGCTTGCGTACAGTGAGCGGTTATTGAGTTCGAAGTAGATGCCATGATTTAAAATGGGCATGGAGACAAGTTTGCGCGAGGACACGATACACCCATTGATATCGATTGTATGTTGACTGATTCCCATGCCTTCTTCTACGATTAGCAGACGACCGCTCTCGTCTACGACTATGCCACGAGGCGAGGATAATCCATCTGCTACCTTGACTGCAGCCCATCCTTGGGCAAGCTCATATGGATAAAGGGGGCGTGGTACGTTGGGACAAGATGATGGGATAGAATACCCTCCTATAGCTATTTCAGTATTAGTAGGTACCTAGGTATGCGGATATTCCTAGACGTCTGCTTACCGATAGGGAGCAGCGCTATCACGGCAGCGCCAAAGATAGTAAATAGCATGATGACTCTTTCGATCCCAACATTCATATGTACTCTGTTAGGGACGGTGAGCTCAATTTGCGAGTTATCTGTCTTAGGTTAACTAAGAAATGTTAGAATGACTAATGAATCTTCACACATTGAAGGTAGTCACGACGGCAAGCACTCAAATCAAAGTCTTACGCAAAGTTAAGGGGACAGGAAGGGAAGGAAAAGCGACAGTGAACTTATTTACGCTCTACGTGTCCTTATTCAGTGAGTACATCGAGCATCTATTCACCGTATTTCTACTTAAATGAGAATTCTGATATTGTATGTCTTTGGGAGGAATATAAAGGAAACTTGAGTGCTTTAAAATTTCAAAATATGATGCGATGAGTCCTCGCTCTGAGACTTCCAGTCTATGATAGCTGTAATTATACCAGCAATCACTGTAAATTTAGTGGATGACTGGCCTAAAGACGATGCGAGTAGTCGCTAACCTACCGTTAGTCATAGCGCTTGACAGACACTAACCCCTCATCAAACTTGGACAGTGCAATACCAACAAGGTGGCCGCTACGAGCCCTATGCTAGAAGCCCTAAAAAAAATTATATAGGCACTATTGGAACTCCACCTAACACTGCTAGTTAGCACACGGAAATCCCTAAAACGAAGTACCTAAATCCTTGGAATATTTCTTCCAGGGCCAATACTTCTATTTAACACCAGCCCTCACTTCTCGCCTCCCATTCCTTTCTTCTCTATTCATTTTTTTCATAATGATTTTGCTTGATTTTTTAATTATTATTGTTAAAACATCATATTTTTCTATTTTATAACCTTGGTTCTCGTCCGAAGAATACAAATACATTCGGAAGAAAAATCACCAAAGCACATCCACTCTTCTACCTATTCGCAGGAATCGACTCGAGCATCCTTTATGGGAATCATCCTATTCATTGAATCGACCTTTTCACACCTACGGACGAAAGATAAAACTCTAATTCAACCATGGCGTATTCCGACAATGCCAGATCTGCTTTCCATCGCGCAATTCAAAAAACCCACTCGGGTTCAATTGAATGGTCTGCCCATGATGAAAATCGAATTCTCTTCGCCGAAGCTGCGTCCAAAGATTTTCTGAAAATTTACCCTCCCGAGCAGACAGCTGGTCTGCGCAGATTTGCTAGCGAGATAGGTAGATCAAACGACCAGGAATTCCAAGACACCCTCACCAACTACCTTATCTCTTTGGTGGCTACCATATGCGGCGTGGCTAAACTTGGCCGTGCGAAATTCGAGATGTGGCGGGGTCTCCTCGAGGAAACATTTATGATTCTGGATAGAGAGTACAGTGACGAAGTTTCGCGTGATGTGATGATCACACTCCATTGGGCCATCTCTGTGTTGCGAGATCGTGTCTAGGAAAACACGATAGAAGCGCACGAGAGATGTTGCTACTTCGAGCTTCAGGGCTTCTGTTACCAAGCATTTGTTCGAACTCTGAAGTTCGATGAGGAGGATTCTGAAGTCGACTACATATCGATGGAGTACATATTCGTCTACACTATCTGCTGTCAGGTTCTATGGAACCGTATCGGCCATAGCAGATTCTTAGACAATCTGAGAGACGAAGAGGTTGTGGAAAAATTAGTCGACAAACTCGTTGACCAAGCAGTCGCTTCTCTTACTGACGACGCGAATAAGACTCCGGATGCGACTTCGAATGATCCGGACATGAAACCGGATGAAGATTTATGTGATGAATCAGACGAGGATTTAGAGCACAAGCAGAAGCACGTCACCGGATTTTGTGATATAGCGAGGGACTGCAAGTGTCTAGAAGCAGTTTGGATGCGCAAAATTGGACCTTCGAAGTTCCATAAGGAAGAGGAGGCACGAAGGAAGGCGAAGGCCCTTCGGGTTTGGCGTGGACGCGTACAAGGGCTCACAAAGTTGGGAAAATCGCCCCTCGGTCGTACACCTCTGATATGCGATCCGGAACTTGACTTGGATATTCGTCTAACTAACTAGAAATGGGGCTGCCTTGAGAGGAAAGGGAGGGAGGCAGTTGGCGGCTCTTTATTGAGCGTTGGGTAAAGGATTTAGACGACCCGAGAGAGGATGCGGGACGATACCTCACCTGCTACACAATGTGCATTTGGTATCGTTCCCGCGGGATGAAATCTACGAATAACCACGAGAATCTGAATCTATGAATAAGACTGGGCCCTGGATTTTCTCGACTCTAAATATCAGCGTTAAGTTGAATAGTTGGAGGAATAATCAAGTAAGTGATCCCTCCTCCATTCGCGTGGCGGCGATGGCGACGCATTGGAAATATGGGGAAATTGATGAGAAATCCTTCCAAGCACATATATAACATCGCAGAGAGAAAGCCATTCCCAGGGTTATCAATATCTTATTATACAAATCTATCAGAAATTAAACTACCTACTTTCAATCCATCATCATAGGTACGTCAGGGCAACGATCTCTGATCCGAGCGCCGTTGACGTCATGGACTGGCCATATGTATTCTCATCTCTAGAAATAAGATACTTAACAAGCGAACATACATTCTTATTCATTTAGTAAGACAAAGTAAACATTACCGTTCCCCCATAGCAACTTACCTTTTAAAATGAAGGAATACATAGCTGAGGAATGGCTGCCATCAAAGTCGGGGTTAGGAGAAAGTCCACTCTACCGCGAAAGCGATGACACATTCTTCTTCGTCGATATAAAAAACAAGCTAGTTCATTCAGTACCGTTATCTCAGGGATGGAGCGCGAAACACACAATCGAATCAGACGAGCCTGTGACTAGACTTGACATCGTCGAAAATAGGTCGGACGTACTAGCAGCTCAGACGAAGTTGGGCTTTGCTTTACTAGATCCGATGAAAGAAACTCTAGATCGTATCGTCGACATTCACCATATACACGATGCAAGCCTCGATGAAAAGGTGCGCATGAATGACGGCGCGATAGACGCTCGCGGTCGATGGTGGGCCGGCACGATGGCGTTGAATGAAGAGGATACCATCGGCCGATTATGGTGTATGCAAGGCGGGAGAGTGTGTGATGCCTCCACCGAGGATCGAGCTGCGGTTCTCAACGGCCCAGTTTGGTCTCCTGACGATAAGACTATGTACGTCTGCGATACGCCTCAAGGCAAAATTTATCAATACGACTACGATATTGAAAACGGGAAGGCCACAAATAAACGACTATTCGCAAAGTTGGAGGACGGAGGTATGCCGGACGGTCTAGCGGTTGATGTGGAGGGACATATTTGGGCGGCGGCAAACTCCCAGGGCAAGTTAATTCGATTTTCACCTGAAGGTGTAGCGACGGCAACATGTGTGGTTCCAGAGGCAAAGATGTGTTCATGTCCAACTTTCGGTGGTGTGGATTGGAAATCGCTCTTCATTACCTCTATTTCGGATGAAGGGTCTACGGGTAATGTTTATCGCGCACGAGTTGGCGTACCAGGGCTCCAAAGACATCCCCATAGAGGATGAATGAATATTTGGTTTATTAAACCTCAAGCCATTCCGAATTGGACGAATTGATCAATCGGGCAAGGTGCTATCAGAACTTTGGGACGACTTCAATCAAGCCTCCTTGTATTCCCCTCGTTTGACTCTTGTACACAGCTCAAGAAGTGTCCGACCAGCCCATTCAAAATCGTCGATATCCAAATATACTTGCGCGCTTATTCTAGCCCAGGGGCGACCATTGTGTATGAATAACGGGATAAATGTCCCGTATTCAGACATCATCGTCTCCATCATCCAATCCGAAGCCTGTGATGCCTCCTCAACCTCCAAAGGCAGAGCAACATTGGTAGTCGCACACCTCGACATCGTGCCAGATTTATTATCCAAAACTTCAGTCCCAAGAACTTGAGCTGCTTTCTTACCTCCATCCTTAGCTAGGGCATGTATATACTCCAATATTCTAGCCTCGCCACCAAGGACCTGTTCCCGCCACTCAATTGCGTCCTTCACACAGAGATAAGCGGCTGAATCCGTGCTACCGACGAATTGAAAATTATTGACGAAAGGAGACTCATTTTTCTTAGGCAACGGATTGAACCGTTCCCCCGAGTTGGAAATATACCCATGCGAGGTTGGTATGGTTGAACGTATCAATGCTTGGTTTCGTACCGGAACGTAGAGTAGAGCGCAGCTTCTAGGCACATAAAACCATTTATGAAAGTTCGAAACGAAGAAATCAGGGTCAAGTGCCCTAAGGTCCAGATCGATCATTCCAATTCCTTGCGCGCCGTCGATAAGACTCAAGACCCCCTTTTCCTTACAGAGTTTAGTGACTTCTTCGAAAGGGAATCGGACGGCTGGTAGACTAGACACTATGTCGAAGATGCAAATTCTTGCGCGTTTCCCGTCTTTTACACAGTCCTCGATCGTGTTTTTGAGCGTCGTTACGATCTCCTCGTCTTCTTGGGGATAGTCAATCTGGATCGCGCGTGCAGAAACTCGGCCAAGACCCGAATCAACGATATAATCAACGGTCTTTCCACATGCTCCGTATATGGTCTTAAAATAGATAATCTCATCCTTACAGTCGTCATTCCAGGCGATGTTACGTAGGATGGTGTTCACACCGGTTGTGGCGTTCACCACAAACACTACTGTTTCTGTTGGAACATTGAGTAGTTTCGCGGTAGCTTCCCGACATTCGTTCAGTATGTCAGGAGTATCATAGCGGATGAATTGATCTGGCTTTGCTTCGGCAAGGTCCTGATATTCGCGAAGCTTTTTTCTGATGGCGCGTGGACTTGCGCCGAAGGAACCTGTCGGTGATTAGATATACCTATACGTTAATTGGTTAAGATATACGGCGCACCATGGTTAAGGTTGCGATGACCCGGATCAAACTCGAAATGTTGAAGTATCCTTTGGCCAAATAAAGGCGAAGCTGTATCCCTTTTGACTGAAGACTCATTCCCATTTACGGCTGAGCTCGAAGTTTTATCGGAGGAACTCATATTGAGGTTAACCTAGTGAACCAGAGTAGTATGTGAAGTAGATGTAAATGGTAGATCTTAGTAGTTGGCAAGATCTCAGTAGCTTAGAATGATTCAAAGTCAAGTGCGCGCCCAACCCCGAAGGATAAGGTTAGATATATACTATAAAGATCGATGTTTGTAGGTTTGTTCCCGATGAGTCTTGAATATAAACTGTCACGCTACACCCTAGTGTGTATGTAAAAGTAAGGGCGTGCACATCTATATTCCGATGTCGAAAGGATTATAGGCCGGTCACGGACAAGCGTGTTGAAGGGGGAGTCACTCTACCGCGGTTCTATACGGCTTCTATACGGGAAGTTCCCCACCACCGCCCGCCAAGTCCTGTATCCATGGATATCGATCCTTTCCCCTTGAAGAATGATAAATGAAAAATATATTTGTGGCTTACTCTATAATGATAGCAACGTGGATATAGCCCTTAGGCTGTTGCGTGAGGGTGGGCGTGTGATAACACAGCTGTCCATTTTGACTTTGAAGTAAAGTGTACATGGTGAATATCTGAGTATAGTTTTAAATGACTAACAATATGAATATACTTCTATAGTATCTTCTGCTTGTGTTATGAGGTTCTACTACTTTTCGTCGTGGTACTCATAAGATAAGAGACGTCGAATCGGATTTACACATTGGGGGCTTTGATATACTTATGAGTAATTCCAATCATGTTATTCTGTCAGGGCCTATAAATTCATGACGCAGCTTCAATTCTTCGTGACATGTGTCTGCGTCCCCTCAATATATTATGGATCTAAACCCACCACCCACATAATTTCTTGGCGTACTCATAAGATATCCATGGTTACAACTCGAGACTGTTGGATAGGTTGCTGTGTTACCGCACATAGAGGCCAATGCTTATTCTTCTTCTGTGTAGACTTAACTAAGCTCATCCTGAGTCTAGACTTGAAGCGAAAATATCCTAAGTACTAGCAGAGCATTATCATGCTAGACCCCTACTACTAGTGGTACCACCCCGCTCGGCATCTGTTGTTACCCCGGGTGTAGCAATGCATACGATGAACCTCCGTCTGAACCCCAGAGTTGTGCGGGGAGACGTAATGCCGACTCCAGTGTGGTATCAACATTGGGTACCCAAGTATATTAGCCATAAATTACCCCATCATTGATCTAGGGTATATAAAGACAACTGCAAAGTAGAGAGGAAACCTCGAATTCTGATCTGTTCGCTTCTAATAGCTCGTCACCCCAACGCTAAAGGGGCCTTCGAGATGGCGGGTCAAGAAAAACCACGTATAATATTAGGCCTTATGGTCATTGGGCCTGAGGGAAGCCCTGGAACGCGCATGACAGGTTTAGACAACTTGAAGCAAGCCTTCGATATATTTCAAGCACGTGGTTATAAGGAGCTCGACACTGCCCGTATTTACATCGGGGGAGAACAAGAAGGATATACGAGACAAGCAGGATGGAAGGAAAGAGGCTTCACTATAGGTACGAAAATATGGCCGCTCCCTCCAGGTTCGCACAAACCGGAGGCGTTGATAGAAGCTTTCGAGACTTCTCTTAAGGAGCTTGGGACGGATTCAATTGACGTACGTACCGGAACTTGAAGGCAGAATCAAGACTGCGACTCGAGTGGTGATTAAGACTAATGCGAACATAGATCTTCTACCTCCATGCTCCTGTAATAAGGCCCTCTCGCAATGTGTTGTAAAGCACTTCGCAGGGAACAATAAGTAACTAAACAACTTTCGTAGGACCGTTCAGTCCCATTCGCATCCACGCTCGCCGCGGTAGATAAACTGCACAAGGCAGGCAAATTCTCGCGGTTCGGGTTAAGCAACTATGCTTCCTTCGAAGTAGCCGAAATAGTCATGACGTGTAAACAGAACAACTGGGTGCGCCCGACAGTTTATCAAGCGCTCTATAATTGCCTTTTCCGGAACATCGAAGACGAGCTTATCCCTACTTGTCGCCGGTACGGCATCGCCATCGATGTTTACAGCCCGACCGGTGGCGGGTTCTTACTCGGCCGTATTACGTCTAAGGATGACGACCCGAAGGAAGGACGGTATGCAGCCGGGCCGTATCAACATCTAACAAGAGGTCGATATTTCCGCGACGGAATTATCGAGGGAGCACGCTTAATCCGCGAAGCCGCCGAGGCGCGGGGGCTTAATCCGCTCGAGATAGCAATGCGCTGGCTTGTTCATCACTCAAAGCTTCAAGTTAGGGATGGAGGCGACGGAGTCGTGGTCGGCTTCTCCAACTTGCAGCAGTTGAAGGATAATCTTGACTATCTCGAAAAGGGACCGTTAGACTCTGAGTTGCTTGAAGTTTTGACCCAGGCATGGAGAGCTTCTAAAGGAGATATGGACGTTTATTGGCAAATGCCAATGGTGTACACCTACGATACGAAGGAAGTGCTCTTCGGGCACACAGACAAATAAAGGGACCTCACGAGTTTAATGCACCATTAGGTGCCATTATGTACTCAAATTATGATATTTTACTCTTGTCATGATGAGACTCCGATGCCTTTATATCATATTCCTAGGCTGCTTCGTGTTTTCTGGTTTGGAGTGGGCGGCGGAGGTAATGCTATAAGACATCTTAGATATTCGGAGGAAGGTTATGAAGTATTTCGAGGCTGAAAGTATAAGTGTTTAGCGAGTAACGTGTCAAGTCGCGGAGTGTCTAGACACCACTGAGGGTATCTAAGTCGTTTGACCTGACTTGGGTTGTGTTGAAGTAGACTTACACAGGAGAGTAGGCCATCAACTAAAAAGCGAATAACCCCAGCCTCGAAGAACCGGAACGGCTTAGATGCCTATCCGTTTTTTTTCTATTAAGAATTCACGTTGCCACTATGGTCTCGACAATATGAGTCGAACCTTTGTGGGATATCTCGCCCGTGCCGTACGCCTAGCGCTAATCAAACTCATCCGTTGCCCGAACCAGTCCAATCTCCACCCTATGCAGTGTAACAAACCCTCACTTTACCGCGATGTAATTGCCAGCTCTCCGATAAGGGCCTTACTTCTTATCACCCTGCTTCTGCTTCTTCAATGCATGTTCTGGGTCGGCCGGATCTGTGGAGGGTACGTTGGGTAACTGACTAGCCCTAGCCTCAGCTTCGGCATTCTGCTCTTTGGTGAGTTGATCGTGATCGTTCGTACTCGGGGTACTCGGGGGGAAATGCCGGCTAGATAAAAGAGTTTCCATTAGTACAATTCGCATTGAAAGTCGGTAAGGGAATAAAAGAACCGTTCAACAATAGAAAGGGGGATGCCTTACGGTAGCAGATGGTTGTAAGCGCGGACGTCCTTCTCTTCGAATGTGACGAATATGACCTTGTCTAACGCCTCGCCATCACCAGTGCCGAGATATTTCCTGACGGTATCACAAGCAACGTGAGCGGCGTCTAAACTGGGGTAGCCGTAGACGCCGGTGCTGATAGCGCTAAAAGCGATGGTCTTTAACCCAGATTTCACGGCGAGCTCCAAGCTAGACCGATAACAGTCTCGGAGCGCAGCTTCACTCACAGCGGGATGAGTGTCGTCGTAGACAGGACCGACGGTGTGTATAACCTTCTTGCAAGGGAGTTTGTAGGCATCGGTGATCTTGGAAGCGCCGGTAGGACAACCGCCTAGAGTGCGGCACTCAGCAAGCAGCTTAGGGCCGGCAGCTCGGTGTATAGCACCATCAACACCACCGCCACCAAGAAGGGAGGTATTGGCAGCATTAACGATAGCATCGACGGACAAGGTGGTTATGTCTCCACGAAAAAGGCCGATCCGATCGTTGTATGCCGGAGACGCACCCTTGAGAGGACCAAGCCTTGAGACGTCTAATCTGTCAAGCTTATAGAGAAGATTAAGAGAGGGAATTTCGGACGCAGAGATGGGAGCCATTCTGATGGCGGTGCGGAACATTCGATTGGTTTGATGTGCTTAATGCGTGGTGATTCCGATATAGTAGTAATGGGGGGGCGTTGGATGAAAAGTCGAAAGTTGAAAGTTGAAAGTTGAGAGATGAGAGTTCCTCAATTGACTCTACCTAGGTACTGTAGGTAGGTACGTAATTGAGTTTCCAAGATTACCTAATGAGGGGCTTATCGATAGCTACCCGCTTGGACACCTAGGTACCTAGTCTATAGGTATAGGTAGGGATACCTAGGCATCTACTAGACTTCCGCTAAACCCCGCCCACAGCGCTATAATCACAACCTTATTTATTATTTAGGGGTTCACCTAGGTCATTTTATTTTTGTCACTTACATCGGCGTCCGTGACAGCGTCTCGTCTTCTTCTTCTTCTTCTTCTTCCAAATATCGATTGATTGGTAATTATTGATTCCGGATGCGATATACTATCTCAGCCACTTTTCTTTTTCTTCCTCACTAATAGATATACTAAATACCTATTTACCTTTGTAATTACCTCTTTGTCGTTAAATATAACCAACCGAAAGCGACTTATTCTACTATTACACCACATCATAAGTAATCATAGACGTTTTTCTACATACGATGGCGATGACCCTTGTGTTCAGACCCCCTGCATTTAGACGCCACTTTCAGGGCAATCACATTTTCTAACAGCTTAGCTTATTCATTTCTTGTTCTTGAAAAATCTTCTCCAGCTTGATTTTCTCGATTCATCATAGCCATGTCATCGTCCTCTTCATCGTCCTCTTCGTCGTCTCAGGATCCCCTCGAGCTGCCGCCAATACCACATGTACTGCCTAACACGGTCCCCGGCTATTATGACCCCGAGGTATTTCCCGACGAACCCGTACGGCCCGATCCTCAGAGACCTTTATCGCCCTATAGTCAGAAATATGGAATCTCAGATATCCCTTTCTGGCGTCGATATCATCCCGACGGCCAAGCCCATTCTAGTTTAGCTCCGCTATACCCGGACGACCGTACTATCGCTCTCCCCCCAACCGGTGCTCATCGCAGCGAAAGGGTACGTCCCCTTGACGAACTACCCCAGCCAACAAACCAAGGCCTGGATGAACTCTTCTATAGCGAAATGGGACAGAAGTCTGGGATCCTTCCCGGCTTTAAAACTTGGCAAACACCCGCTTTTGACCTGGACCTATATGATAAGCCTCCGACTTTATCAAATACATGGGGCCATGGTAAATTGTACGAAATATATAGATGGGACGAGTGGCTAGACTACACTAAAAAGTTTGTGAAAGTAGACGAGTCAAAATGGCTTCCCTGTTTTCAGAAAGATCGTTGGTTCGACTTAAGAACAAATCCTTTAAATTCCCTGATAAACCCGGTCCCAGGATTCGCCGAAAGCAATCCCATGACGTGGAGCGTCGACAATGAGATGATATGGGATATTGTAAAAATCCAGCTAGAAGTCGTCAATCGTATTCTTCTTAGATTAATACACACGCAGAGTGAATGGTGTGTTGGTCAAATTTCGTTTCCCTACCCGTTCCAGTTCCCGTTTCCGTTTTTTGTCTTCGTTGTCATTTTCATAATCACGTACACTTAATTAAGTATCGCAGCCTGGCTGACTCTTTCTCCTTTTTTTCTCTCCCCCTCTTCAGGCTTGATGCACTACTATTCGGCGAACGAATATATTTGCGTAACGAACCTCGCTTCCAACAATGGGGTGACGACGTGGCAAAGAAGATATGGAGATTCCGGTCTCGCCCATTAGAGGAGAGAGCAAAGGGACCGGAGCTCCTAAATGAGGTTCGTTTTCGTTCTTACGATATATACTGCTCCTTCTTCGACGAAACACAAATGTCTCGGGAGGAAGACACGCTCGGAGTAACGAGACCGAATTTGCCGGGGTTCGACGATCACGTCAAAATGCTGCATGTAGAAGTAGCCCACAATTACCGCCCCTTGCTTGAACTTCACGCAACGCCCGCAGATAGAACCCGTGCCATGTGGGTGTGCATTGAAACGGTATGACTCCTACATCCAGCAATACTCGTAATACGTCCAACTAACGTACGGCTTGGTTCCCTTATTCCCATAGATCATACACGAGTTCGGCGTAAGTCCCCAACATACTCTCCGCTGCCCTTCGCAGTAGCTAAACGCGACAACTAGCATGCCGTAAACGACTTGAGGAGCCTCAGGGTTTTCCCCGATAAAGGCAACCCTTACTTTATGAACGAGCCAGTAAGACAATTTTCACTTTTCACACAATAAATTACCTAGGTACTTGGGTAGATTATAGCCACCGTTAGCTTACAGTCCCTAGTTTTATAATGATGAGTGGATACCCGAGCTTGGCGCGTCATTTGGTAATACTGTGTGGAACGGTTTTGGAAGATGGTATCCCTCAAATAATACCGGGTTTTTAAGGGGAGGGAGAAAGACCGGTCTTTTAACACACTCTACCGTAACGAACTATCCTACTGTTGTAGGATATCACCACGCTAGTTTGGAGCACGATCCCGAGGGGTTGGAGAAGGCGAGCCGGTATACGCCGGAGTATCTAGTCCCTACGATCTGGATGTCGTCGCTGCTCTGTGAGAAATTCTGGGCCGAGGTTGTGAACAAGCATGGAACCACTGCGTTCTTGATGCCCCGGCTTATAATCATTCCTCAAGTTGCTCCAGGGATTTCAGGGTATGCAGACGCCCGCGTAATGGAGACACCAGAAATCCACGTTCCCGAATCTACCGAGTCGTTGAAGCAGGTAGCCCGCCAATTTGTAGAAAGAAGTCAACTATGGCAATCAATGAGGCAGCCGTGGTACCAGAGGGAATATAAAAATTGGAAGCAACTCCCATGGTCGAATATGTGGACCAGGAACTGTATAGATCAATTCTCTTACTTTCACGCTCAACGGGACCTATACAATTGCCGAGAAGTGGCATACCGGATGTGGGGACATGTAGACGCCTTTGACAACCGGCCGGGCGAACCCCGAGACCCGGTAATGGTGCTCCAGAGGTCTATATTCGAACTTATGATGATTTCCAGTATGTTGGTTCCCTATACCGTTAAGATATTATCATATTCTACGCACCAATGATTGACTCGCAAACTTCTAGTGCCTATTACACCAGATTTCGGGCATCAGGAGTACGTATCAAAAATGACGAGATATTATTCCCACTGGCCGAGCCTTGAGGCGAGAGCACCGTTTAACGCGCGTCGCGGCATCGATCCCAATGAGGATAGAGCCCTTGGCCCATCAAATAGTGGGGAGGATCATGATTTATATCGATCCCTCCCATACCCTTTTAAAAACTATGGTGACTACTTAGACACTACCCGGGAGGCCCTCATATGCCACGAATTCGAAACTGGCGGTCCACGGTGAGTTATAACCCACTCTTTGATTGAAACGACCATCCGGCCATTTTGTAATCTAACTAATCCTGTTAAACTATAGTACTTGGTTGGAGCCTGTGATACACTGTCTCGTTGAGCTAACGAGGGAGCGAGAGCAAGATATGAGGCTGAATACTTGGGCTAGCTTCACGTTCACAGTTCCACCCTACGAACCGGGCTGGGTTTTCGCCGGAGAAAAGGAGCAGAGCCTTTCCGTAAACGGACACGCGAGATATCAGGCTATCGTCCCTTGGCAAGAAGGACTACCCTACTGGCCGGATGACCCTGAATCAGCAGGGGATGTCGGTCAACTCGCCAAGGACCTCAAGATGGTAGATATCAGCGATGAGGAGGAACCCCATACTACATATTATCATATTGGCACCGTGGCAAATCACAGGAGCCTTCATGACGCATGGATAGTACAGCAGGACAATGAAAATGGCATAGGGTTCGACGTTTTTGATATCACAGGCAGGGTTTCTCTCTTTCAAAACGTACCTTTTTTTTACTAACCACTCCTTTAGACGTGTTACAAAAGCTTGGGGCTAAGGGAGAACACTATCGTGAATGTGTAGAAATTGGGCCTTACGGTCCAACATTGCGGGACGGGGCAGCCGCGGCGGGTGTGGTCCGCAGCCACCTACAACTCAACAACATTCAACCAATTGGCAAGTTAATACTACTTCGGCGTGCAGAGGAGGTCGCGGAGTGTAATGGTAAAGATGGACGGTTGTCTTGGACCACATGGGGTACTCGCATTTATAATATAACAAGTACGTATTTCGCCTTAAGACCTAAACTTGGGTACAACCACTGATTTTACTCTAGACTTTACCCCTGAATCCCCGAATGAGCGCAAAGCGCTCAGGGAAAGTGCTGGCCGACCGTTATCCGGACCCCTACAACGGATGTCGAATATGTCCAGACTCTTAGCGCGCCTTGAACCATTTACCGTCGCGCGTCTCGAAACACCACCTCCACAAGGACGAACGATGAGGCCATTCACGCCGCGAATACTTCGATGGTACGATAATCCCAGCCTTGGGCTCTACATGGCCGTGGACAACAAAGTTTTCGACGTCTCGAGTTAGTTTCTCCGTGCCATGGAACGCGATATCAAACGAGATTACTAACGTTATCCGCCTAGACTACATGTTATTTCATCCGGGTGGCACCCAACTCCTTCGTGGGTGCCTTGGGCGTAACGCTAGCACGGAATTCGAACAATATCACAACTTTGACTTACTCCAAGTGAGTAGGAATAATATCCTCGTTTTGTCTATAAAACCTAAACCTACCCAAGGCAAATATGAACTCTGAGTAGCTCTAGAGCTAATTCTTTCTTACTACAGTCTTACGAGCACCTACAAGTGGGTCATCTCGTCCCAGAAATTGAGATGGAGCAGATGTCGTCGCATCATGTCTTAGTCCACCAATGGATATTTGATATATCTAGTATGATATCCCCTGAGCTCCTTGTCATGGCCTAGCCCAAGCGCTAACCCACTGTTCACTTGAAGGTCTTCAAAACGATAACCCTTATATCTATGATATCCTTATTCAATGTACTGCCAAAGATACGAATACATTTATAAGAGGTATAGATAAACCTATAGGAGGTACGAAAGCTGCGGGTGAGTATGCGAATGCCCTAGGTATATTATATAACCAGTATAAGCCCCTTATTGTTGCAGGGTTGGCTCCGGATGTACCGCTTATCCCTCAGGGCGAATTCATTAAGCACAATAACCCCTCGAAGACAGCAGGAGCTTTCATCCTTATTGGTGGTGAATGGGTCTACAATGTTACACGTATGTTCACTTGCGAACCTCCTTATGAATCGAACGACTAACTCTACTGTAGATATCATGCGGCACCCGGGCTACTTTGAACATAAAATAGATCGTTTCTTGGCAGGCAAAGAGCTGAAGGATCCAGCTATAGCCAGTTGGCTAGAACAAAACTTCAAAGCTCGTTGCGTAGGAAAACTTAGTCCAGGGCCAGCGTGGACCTTCCCAGACCGAGTTGATTGAGAAAACGACAATTCAGAATGAGAGGGTTTAGGTCTTTCAAGCCGGAATTATTAATGGCAGGGCTTGTGTATGTCGGGATGTTGCTAATTTTAAGACTGGGTTTTGGATGACATTACAAGATACTGGGATGCGATTCCAAGCCTCGAAATTTTTTGATAGACTACCTAGGTAGGTATATAGGCTACTACCTCTGTATTACTAGCCATAAAAAGTATTCTTTTTTTAAAGGCGTGGCTTCACATTAAAATTTTATACGTTTGAAAGTGCTACTAATTAGCAACCTCGCTCGATAATTTCATCCTTAAAATTCCGTGAGTCTTCGACTGTCAATACTTCATTTTTTGCTCCAAGTGTTCGAAAGCCCCTCCTGAATCTCGGAACCAGTAGCAACGTATGCTCGGTTGAGAATTTTCCCAACCATCATATCGTGCACGCCCTCTGCCGGATCAGCACAAGCGTCGGAGATGACGGATACCACGTACTCGGCGTCAGTGGCTGCGACGGCGGTTCTCATGACGCAACCCGATGTGCTCAGACCGGCAAGAATCAGCGACTTGATACCCTTTTTCTGTAGGAAGTCTTCTAAACCAGGCGACTTGAGCGCGGAGACGTAGCCCGGTCTTCTTAAGAAGGTGATGTCATCGCCTTCGCCGACAAGCTCAGCCGGTTCTTCGGCACCGCCTGATTGCATAGCCGCGAGGACGTTTTTGAACATCTCGGGATCCTTGCAAGTGGGGAAGGGTGGAAGGTTGACGTCTATCACGCCGTGTACTACTTGGACACCTAATGACTTTGCCCAAGTCCTCATTTTAACTGCGACGTCTAAGGCTGCTGGTGCCTGTGGACCACCGGCCTTTTGGACAAACATGGTGTGGAAGTCCAGCAGAAGCAAAGCTGTCTGTGAGGGCGAATAGTGGCCCGGTTTGGTTATATCTGCCGTGTCGAACATGGTGGCGTTGACAGATAAGAAAGTGCGTGAGTAGGTATCAAAAGACTAGGCTGTATGATGATTTTTACCGTATTTCTAACAAGATTTTAAATTAAATTTGTCATTCCAGAGGATTAATGTCAATGAGAATACTTGTGTCGCTTGAGTAATTTATCTATCTGGGGTATCTACATTTTCGGTAGCCTTAGCCGGCGTCGGCTCCGGTAAGGGGGCCCACATCCGAACTCGCCTCCGAAAAGGTTTCAATGATACGGGAATAGGGGTTACCAGCAATTATCCGCATCGCAATATAGATCAGTATGTTATTATCTCCGTATTGCTTTGCGATATCGAGTATTCGGAAAACTACCTAAGTAGAATCGAATGAAGAGTCGGCCTGCCAGCAAGCGGGATACTGGATATTTCAATAAACCTTTGTTATCGACATAGTATGATATACTGCGATATTGTCTCGGGGTTATGTATAGATCAAACCATTTGTAGATATCAAGCGTCAATACGTCATTAAGAATCTCTTCCAGTCATGTGATTTCTCTGTAGAGGAAAAGGGAAGAAAAAGAAAAAGGAAGAGGAAAAGGAGGGGGTTGGGGATGTTGTACGACCCTGTACAAGCTAAATTTTCACATAAAAAGAAGAATGTCTATTTCCTCGATATCATATACCGAACGAAGCGTCTCGAGCAAAGAGTAAAGATCCGAAAGCGTATAAGGAGGCCGATCTCCAATTCTCGACCATATGTTGACAACCATGATACAGCATGGTAGACCCCCCCTCCGAAGATATCGCTCGTCGAAATCCTACTACCGTAACTACCGACAAAGCTTTATCTGTTAGCGAAGAGATACTGCCCTATAATATGTGCGGAACCTTGACCGACGGGTTAAGAACCCTCTAGACAAGTACCGTCGCCCTCGAGCTCGTCGCGTGATACGTTGCAGAAATGGGCTCCCAAATAAACCAGACAATTTGCAGCCCATGTAAGCATGAAAATGCAAAGACCCTTGGAAGTAGCTTGGTTCTAGTTCAACTCAGTGCTCCGAAGTCTAGCCTATCGTCACTGAAGAGGTTTGAGGAAAAGACTCGACCTAAGCCAAGGTAAACAAGGTGTATGTATACCAAGGACCCTTATGCAAGCTAGCTTCAGACCAAGAGTGCAATAGCACTGTTCCTGCTTTTGCGATCGGCCTCGTGATAATCCCTACCAACGGCAAGTGCTGTAATGGGTGATAAAAACAGACAGCCGCATGATAGCACGTGGAATTAGTTACCTTCTCGAAACACCTGCAAATTCGACATTTCTCATAGCTCTTAATAACCTTAGCCGCCGGCGTATGAAGAGCAGGGATGTATAGGGAAGAAACCTCAAAGTGTTGAAAATATCATAGTAAGTTTCCAGTCATTTTTGTTACGTCCACCTATCTCTTCGACCGTTCTCCAACCACACAACTTCTTTTGATATGGTCTCGTTTGATTCGCAGTAATCCGAAGCTCCTAGAGTAAGTTAGGAAGCATTGAAAAACGTTCGTTTCCCTAAAAGAGTAAATCGCATAAAAGGACATAATAGTCTAGATGACTTGGGTGGTAAATTGAGGGGCGAAATAACGGAACAGGTTTAGAACGCTCTCCAAACAACGGGAAGCAGTACTAATATCGCTTAGCATAAACATAGAGCTGAAGTTCGAACAATTTACCGCCATCCCCTAATCGTACTAGGTTCTATACTTGACCTACTAACCAACTCGGCAGTTATCACAGAAATATATCAAGACGAGTTCAACTTAGTGAAAGACAATATCAAATATACAAGACTTATTTTGGGGGGATATAGTAGTCTCTTCAATAAATACAGAGCTTCAGATTAGATATAATAAGGCAAATATATTTAGCATGATAGCGCAATATCACGGCATATCACGTCTTGCTGTATCTTCGGTTTAATTCGCCTACAATCATTCTAAGATATATAACATAGGTAAAGCATAATACTATCAGATCGACTGAGTCTCATTTAGCGTACAATAAAGCCTACCTATGGTATTGTGCGTGGCGTTCGCTTTACTCCTTGTTTATACTAACACGTCTCGATCCTGGTCTCCCCCAGAAATTGGAGAAGCTCCGCAACCACAAATACCCGTATGGTCTCGGCCCCTCTCGTCCGCCATGTGGCAAGCAGTAGCACCAAATCCAAATGAGGTTGCAGTGAAATACCCGGCAATACTACATTGCCTCTGGTTATTGTGATCGTGTGGGGAAAATGGGGCCGATCAACCTTGCAGAGGTCTGGTGGACAAGGCAACAACAGGGGGACGACCGGATTGTCTACGAGATCGCCTAGCACATGTGGCTACGTATGCGACAAGATACACACATACAACGGCATATTCAAGGTAAGGGTCAACATTATGCTGGCTCCCTGTAGTAATGGGGGAAGAGCTGTCATCGTGCAGGGAGGTCGCATGGGCATTTATTTCTTAAATCGGGCAACCCAGCACTTGTTTAGGAGACACTTACTCAGACACAGAATACTTTTCTTTCTCTCGTACGAGACGCTCGTCTGGAATCAATATGTCGACAGTCCCGGATAAAGAATGGGGGGTGAAGGATCACTGGAAGGCGATGATTGCGATGACTCTGGTATCCCTGAGTTCATTCCAATATGGTCTCGACTTCGGTATTATAGGAGGTTTACAGGCTATGAGAGGATTCCTACAGGTAAATAGCATTATCCCGACTAAAAATACACTTTCGCTGACCTATGCATTTCAAGGTTTTCGGAGAGGAAGACCCGTCGATTCCCCTTGGATATAACATAGCATCCGACCGACAGCAACTAATTGCTTCTTTGATGGTCCTTGGCGCTTTCGTATCCTCCTCGTCTGCCGGGTTCACTGCCAAATATGCTGGCCGAAAGTTATCTCTGTGGATAGCATGCATTGGTGTCTTTATATCAACTGCTGTGATGCAGACTACCACTAGTATAGGGGGTCTATACGCCGGAAGATTGCTCATCGGTCTTGCTAATGGTCTACTAATGACACATTCCCAACTTTATGGTATGTTTGAAAATCCTAGCTCCTACATTTTGGCTATGTAAATGTACTGATTCAAGCTACAGTGAGTAAATTATATTGCGCTAGCCTGTTTCCCGGTCGAGTTACGAAAGGGGAGAATGGACGATGCAGAAAATCAACAGAAAGAAAAAGGAACCCCATCCACATGCATTATGCCAACGATCAGACTGTTACGAGATACTAACATAAAACAGATTCAGGTACCAACCCATAAAATTGATTGAAATCCTTCCATTACTCAACTTACTTACTCGTCGAAGGAAAGTGTTCCAAGCATATACAGAGGTCTAGGCATTTCCACCTTCTCGTATTGGATCTCGTTTGGTATGGCCCGATTTAATTGCATGTGATTTATCTCTTCTCTAACTGTCTCTTAGGATCCTTGATCGGAACCATTGTCGACAACTTCGCCGCGAAAAACCCTACTAGGGACGCCTACATAACCCCTCTGGGTATCGTCCACATCGTTCCCGGTATCTTGACAATTGGCCTCTTCTTTATCCCCGAGTCGCCTCGATGGCTTGCTGCAAGGGGTGAATTTGAAAAAGCCCAGGATTCCCTACAGTGGTTAAGGCCTCGAGGATGGGCTGTCACAAAGGAGATGGATGACATGAAGACGACACTCGAAGCCGAGGCCCAATTGCAATCTAGCATTGGGTATATAGATCTCTTTAAGAACCGGATTGACGCTCGCAGGACCACTGTTGCTGTACTTGCATTGACCAGCCAAGCTGCGTCTGGAGCTATGTTCGTTATATGTTCGTATATACCCCTTTTAGCCCTCTAACTACTATTACTAATGCAAGCTCAAGCTTACGGAACGTATTTCTTCGAAATGGCCAATGTCGGAAATGCTTTCGAAAACTCCTGCATTCTTACCGGTGTCGGCGTAGCCGCGCTCCTAGCTACCGCTCTTATAATCACGAAGTTCGGCCGTCGGCGACTCATGATGCTTACGGGATTCCTACTCTGTGGTATTTCGCAGTTAGTCATGGCCATAGTCTACACGGTTCAACCCAACACCGAAAGTTCCGGTAAAGCACTCGTCGGAATGAGCGTTCTTTACATAATTGCGTACAACTCTATGGTCGCGCCATATGCGTGGTTGTCTGGAGGAGAGCTCTCTTCGCAACGTCTACGTTCGCACACATTTGGTTTAGCTACTGGAATAGGGTTTTTCTTTGCTGTAAGTCCATCTCATATGGTATGTTGAATTTAGTGCTAACAATACCAGTGGCTTACCAGTATGTTACCGATTGATTCTTACTATTCCGCAAACTAATACCATCTAGCTTTCACTGCGCCCTACTTTATTAACCCCGACTCTCTTAACTGGGGACCCAAGTACGGATATATTGTACGTGATACCTCTTCTCTCCTCTGTGGGCGCCTTGCGGGGCCTGCCCTACAAAAACAGTTACTAACATTTGCTGTTCTAGTGGACTGGAGCTTGTGCCGCGGCCGGTATCTGGATATATTTCTTCCTACCAGAAGTTAAGGATCGCACATTGGAAGAGATTGATGAAATGGTAAGGACCAAGGCCGAAATATGAATAATTGAGAATACTAATAGTTGCGAAATAGTTCGAGGCCCGAGTCCCTGCTCGAAAGTTCCGCAAGTACCGATGCACCGGGCACCACGCAGTCCTCGCCGAGAAAGTTCAGACCGAATATGTCGAGGAGGGCGTTGGAAATAATAAAGCCATCGATGCAAAGAATTAGGGAGAATTGAGGATTTCAAAGACACTGTTGGATTGCCCCTCGTGGGTGCGAGATGACGCGGAGTGGAGGAAAGTGTGTATTGCGATTCGAAATGGTAACATCTCAAGACCAAAAGAACTTAGCAAGTTTTCATAGAGGAGGAGAGCGAGATACAATTGCTATTTACGCATTTATTAAACAATATCATGTGTCTAGACTGAGTGTCTATCTAGTTGCCTAGATGAAAAAAAAAATACATTGTAAATGTTCCACTCAATTAACAATTGATTCAATTCACACATCTACGTTCTAGGTCTATGCAGCAGCGAGTATTTCCTTGACGACATCATCGTATGTCTCTTCGGCGTTCTTCTCCGCGTCAAAGTCGAAAATCCAATCTTGCCTCGGGAACTGGATTATCTCGGGATTCTTCTTGACCTTCTCCCAGTCCGTCTTGTGCCACATGTCTCGTGTGCTTTCACCAGTCTTCTGGGTTGCGCGCACGCGCTCGTATCTAATCTTCTCATGTGCTCTAACGGCAGTTGGAATATTTTCCTTTCCGCCACGGCGCAAACATACTGCGATGACCACGCCGTCCTCAAGCGCCTGTGTAGCTCCTTGAGCGCTTGTAGGTAGGAATGGATGTGCCGAGTCTCCAAGGAGTACGATTCGCCCGGAAGGACTAACCCAGGTGGGTAACGGGTCTCTATAAACCAATTTCCAATCCACAAGCATACTCTCGGGTGTCTTGGAGATAATTCGAGTGCACATCGGATCCCAATCTTTCAAGGCCTCCTTTACTTCCGAAAGTTTCCCGGGGAAACTCCAGGATTCGTCTATGTCGTGCTCGTCGGGGTGAGTCAAGACCCAACAACAGTCAGAGCCGTCCTTTATCGTACTAAATAGGAAGTGCATATCCGGTCCGATCCAACCATTAAATGTATCGCCGTTACTACAGAATTGGGCGGTCTCCGGATCGGCGAGCATGTCCTTATTCGGGAACCTGCAACAGATTAGTTATCACCACATCGAATTAGACGAACATTCCATACCATGCTCTCCAGACAGCGTATCCGCTGCTCTTTGGCTTATCTTCGTAGCCTAGGACAGATTTTCGTGCCTTTGAACGTACTCCGTCGGATGCGATGACTACATCAGCAGCAATCTGGTCGCGCTGTTAGCTAAATGACAACTTGATTGAGAACTTTTAATTAACTAACCTTTTCGCCACTTTCCAACACGATACCAGATTGTTTATCCTCCTCGAAATATGTCTGGATCTTATGTCCTAGGTGGATCGGTATTTGTAGGTCGTCCCTTGCGTAGTTGAAAACTACTTCATGCAACTCGCCTCTGTGGCCATTGAAATTCGGGGCCTCTTGAGAATATTCCGGCGTCTTCTGGTTGATGACAATTTCACCAGTGTCGTATTTATGAATGTTGAAGCCATATTTTCTTAGGTCGATGCTTAGAGGTCGCATGCGCTTGACAACTTCTCCATCTGACCAGCGATGGAATATTCTTCCCGCGTTCGGCCCAAATGAGATAATATCACCAAGTGTTTTCAGTTCGGGAAAGGCTTCGTATATCTCGACATCGTGACCTTGTCTATGGCACTCTATTGCTGCTCCTAAGCCACCGAATCCTATAGAGTAAATGTATTAAAGTCAGAAAGGTCTAATATTGTTATAAAAAGTGTCGCATATGCGTATGACATAGCGCATGTACATACCAGCACCAACCACTATGACTTTCACGCCCGTCTTAGGTCGCTCTGCTGCGCCATTGGTGTGACCGTTAGTTGCCATCTTGATAATCAAGGCGCAGAAGAAATATCCCGAAGCGTACAAAGATGCAATGGAGAGCCCCCCTCGTTGCAGAGTAGGTATTTAGAATACCAGAATTGCGACTGGATAACCAAGGTACTTTAGGTATGTGATGATAACCAATAGGGTGTTGATACTATCGTCGTTTAAATATGCCGGTTGCATCCAAGACTAGACTACTCGATCCTCCAACACGCGATTGCGGGGGCGGGGACGCTCACATGGGGGGGGTTCCCCAAGTCAGTGGAGAGACAACTCTTTCTAGCCATGTGCCCGAGGCCTGAACCAGGGTGCTAGGGTGTTAGGGTACTTGGGGGCGAGACATTCGGCTCGATGAGACACTGATGATGGTTGCGATGCGGGTGGATCGTTGGATAGTTTGTCCGGAGTCTGTACTTGAGGGCTATAGTCTGATCATTGGATAGTGACCTTGTCAGTATACTACCTCCAGACCTTAGCCTATACTTGATTGTTGACCCTCGGCCCAGAACGGCCGATGATACGAAATTCAAGTCATGCCGATGTTCTCGACGACCCCAAGATGTGGTAGCATGGTTTAGTCCGGCGAAACGGGATTCAGGCTCGGCTAGCAAGTAATAGTAGATCAAAGCAACATACAACGGCAACTTCGCCGAAGCCTCGAGTTTTATAGTAGAAACTTGCAGGGTCCTCGTCGCGTATGTTGAACGTGCTACTACACGATCGTCATAGCCTTACAAGATGACTTCGAATCCAGAATGGGGAGAGAAGACTTCCGCCTTAGAAGTTGCTAAGACCTATGCGCAGCAAATTGAAGGCAAAAATGGTACGCTTCTAAAACTTCTATCATCGGAACTCTCTTCGAAGTCCTAGTTCTAATGGTGTTAATTAGTTCTGATCACGGGCGTCGCGCCTGAGGGTGTCGGGGAGGGAACGGCTATCGCTTTCGCGTCTCAAAAGCCGGCGATCCTCATATTGGTGTCTAGGACGAAAGAAAAGCTCGAAGCTATAGCGTCAACCGTTCGTGATCTATACCCAGGAGTTAATGTGCGAACCGTTACGATAGACCTAGCTTCCCAGGCCTCAATCCGTAAGGCGGCTGCCGAAGTCATTGGCTTGATTTCTAAGTTGGATATTTTGGTGAATAACGCCGGTGCGACTTACAACACTCGTAAGTGGACTGCGGAAAGAATTGAGATACAATTCGGCGCAAACCACATTGGTCCATTCCTATTCACAAAGTTATTGTTTCCCCTCTTGAGCGAAGCGGCTAAGCAGTCACCCGCCGGCGCAACTCGTATCATCAACCTTTCCAGCCACGGCCATCGACTCTCCCCGATACGTTTTCACGACTACAATATCGAGAACAAAGAAGTGCCTCCCGAGGAGAAGCCGTTCTCACCTTTACCGCCTACATTTTCAAAGGTGACGGAGGATGGTTATATGGGTACTATTGCGTACGCCCAAAGCAAAACCGCCAATATTCTATTTACCCTATACCTTCAGGAGCATTTGCAGGCGAAAGGCATCACGTCATATGCCGTGCATCCAGGTGGTAAGTAAAAGATATTCAATCTTAGGAAGATTCGACACTAAATCGAGAGGGTATCAGGGGTGACTAGCCATCTGGGCCGAGATCATGATGAGGAGATGGCGGATGCAATCGCCAAAACGTCGAAATTCTGGAAAAATTGCGACCAAGGAGCATCAACGACTCTTGTAGCTGCGGTTGACCCTGCGCTCAATGGTAATGTTCCCCACCTATCACCAAAGAATTAAATCTAATGTGTAACCTCAGTTCCCAGTGGCCTCTACTTGGCCGACTGCCAATTCTTTCCCAGCGCGGACCACGCAAAGGATCCATCCACTGCCGAGCGCCTGTGGCACTTGAGCGAAGATCTGATTGGAGAGAAATTCGATCTTGAATGATATTGTTTTCTGCGCGAATGTGTACTTAGTATTATGAAGTAAATAGAGGGACCGCCCGGGTTCATACCCACGTTCCTGTATGTAAGAGGAATCTAGATGGTATGCTCACTCCATATCTCATAGACGCCATCACACCATCTGATGCAAGATTTATTAGCATGGCTAGGCATGCCGAATATCAGATGTTCCGGGTCATCTAGGCGGAAGTATTTATAGGTCGAATCTCCCGGATTAATCAATATCCACGCTGGTTCCGTGCCACATTTCTGTTTCGAGCTTAGCTATAACGCAGTATTGATTAATCCCCTTAATGCGACACAGGAACAGTCTTCCTCGCAAGCCTAAAATGGCACGAAAAACATTCCGTTCATTCGCTGAATGTGTAAAGTTGTGAGACCTTTTACTCGGCTAAATCGGATGTATATCTTAGCAACACCTTTCCTAAGCGAGCTTGTGCTTGTGCTCTCGGCGTGCCATGACAAACCCAAGCAATTATGGCGACAGGAAAACATTTTCTAAATGTTTTCCCGTGGCGCTTAGGATGTTCATCTCATCTTTGTTACGGATACATTTGGGATCTGTGTTGAGCTGACTATTTCGCCGGGTATCGCTGGGTCGCAGGCACATTCATAATGAAGCTGACAACTGTGGGTGCTCTCGTTGGAGCTTGGGCTGGTTATGTGGCGGCGGAAACATTGAGCACTCGTGAAGTTGCTCATAACATACCAACAGGATGGAGATTCGAGCAAAAAGCAAAAGCAGAAGAACTCATCAGGTTGTCAATCGTCCTCAAGCAGCCGAGGATAGCCGAGCTCAAAGCTAGGCTCGACCGCATCAGCAATCCATCGAACGCTGAATATGGGCATCATCTCACGAGGGACGAAGCAAAAGCATACCAGATCCCAGATCGAAATGCGTTAAATCAAGTTCACTCATGGCTCAAATCCAATAGGATCACAAATGTGACCACGGATGGTTCGATAATCCATGTTACTTCGACGGTCGCGGAAGTAAATAGAATTTTTCACACCACCCTCGGCCAGTATTCCTTCCAAGGGTCATCGTCGTTTTTACGCACTCAAGCGTACTCGTTACCCCGAGTATTGGACGGGAATGTCGAGTTCATATATCCGATCTCCAACTTTATGGCGCCGCCTCAATCCAGACTGAAAACCAAATCTCATCGGAAATCATTCGCAATGCTAGCCAATGCCGACGATCAGCCCTGTCCATCTGGAGTTACTCCGGGATGCCTCAAGAATCTTTATAACGTGACTTACGCCAACACCACAACGCCTATCAAATCCCCTGTTCGATTTGGTATAGCCGGATTCCTTGAGCAGTGGATTAAGTACGACGATGTTTCCGAATTTCTGGGTACTTATTCGCCTGAGCTTGGGCCGTTGGACTATAACTTCACGATAGCCACGCTGAATAATGGCACGAACCCCCAGCCTAACACACCAGAATCGAAAGCTGGGCTTGAGGCCAGCTTAGACGTAGAATACGCCATGGCTCTCGGCTACCCGACTAACGTGATTTATTATTCGACTGGAGGGAGGGGTGAGAAGGTTGATCACAACGGTGATCTGCTTCCATCCAACCGGAGCGACAACGAGCCGTATTTGGAGTTCTTTCAATACCTTTTAAACCTCAGCGACGAGGAGATACCTCATGTAGTGAGTATCTCATATGCCGACGACGAACAGTCCGTACCAGCCCCTTATGCAACTCGCGTGTGCGACGTTTTGGCTCTTGTAGCAGCGCGTGGAGTAACTGTTCTTTCCGGCTCTGGGGACGGTGGTGCCAGCGGGATTGGACAAAATGAATGCTACAGTAATGACGGCGAAAGACGTAAAATGTTTCTTCCCACATTCCCCGCTAGCTGTCCGTACGTCACATCTGTAGGTGCGACGGGCAACAGTTTGCCTCTTGAGGGAGCCGACTTCAGCACAGGCGGGTTCAGCAATTACTTCGCCAGACCGGAGTGGCAGAAGGGTGTTGTTGATGACTATATAAACATTCTGAACGGGTCGCATCGGGGACTTTTCAACGAAACGGGTCGAGCGTTCCCAGATATTAGCGCCTCCGGGACGAACTACGTCATCCAGGTAGGAGGCTATCAAACCGACGTGCTTGGTACTAGTGCGAGCACACCGGTGGTCGCGGCTTTAGTGGCGCTGATCAACGATTCGAGGTTGAAGTCTGGGAAGAATAGTACTGGCTGGCTCAACCCGGTGTTATATTCCCCGGAAGTGAGAGGGGTTCTGCAAGACGTTACTACCGGGGTCAGCCAGAACTGTGTGTTTGGCACTGAAAAGGAACCCGGGTGGGAAAGTGTAGAAGGGTATGACTGTGTGACAGGTCTTGGCTCCATTGGGGACTTCACAAAGCTGTTGGGCGTATTGGGATAATTCTAGGGGCATGAGTTTTGGTTGAGGTATTAGAAATCGTGAATCGTATAGCTTCCTAGTTATTTAACACGTTATTTCGGTCCATGATCGCCGAATTTTTCTTGGGCGAATATTAATAGCTGCGGACATACTGGCCAATGATAATTGGGTTAAAAGGGTTTGTCATCGAGTGTGTGCTATAGGTGTAATTGATTCAGCTGGCATCTCTATATTCAACAAGAGGAATACTTGTGTTTTGATATAGATAACCGCCTCTAGAAAAAAGAAATTTCCACACGCTTCTTGTTGGATTAAGATGTGTGCGATTGTTAGTGGTATAGTTTTATGGTGATATCCTTGAGGTCTCGGTCGGATCACCATTTACCTACATCGGGTACGAACCCCTAGGTCAGTTATAATCTCGAGATTCCTCAAGCGTGAGTTGTCCCTATGAATTACCTTGAACAGTGGCATGAGGATTGTGTTAGCTTTTAGAAAATATTATTGAAATTTGAAGGTACGTTCCATAACTCTTCTATCGTACATAATATGATTTGATCGGTGTTCAGTGATCGTCGACGTTGGCTTTCGAGGGACCACAACTCCACGATGTGGTCCGTGAAGATATAATATCTAACAGCAGTGGCTTATAAACAATGTCTTTTCGTACTTGGATATGGAGGTTGACAGTCGTTGTTGAGAGTTACAATTTTCATCGGACAGGCGTTAATTGAACGGGCAATGGTGTTTTATCCCAGACGATATAAAGATTTTTCTGTTGGCTGAGCCAATTCTGACTATGCGGATCGTTTGTTGGTTGTATATCAAAATTGAACACCATGCGAGCGAGAATGAGACGCATCTCAATAAGGGCCAGGCTATTGTGTATCCGCATCAGCTTACGAATTTCATCGAAGGGAAGAAGAATAGGGTCGATGGGTTTGTGCGTACTTTTGACCGATGCAGTCCCGTGAGCCGGTGAAGAATGGCTTAAAAGCCTCCCGAGCATCAGTCGCGTATTTCGGATCACCGGTGAATCGTTCTGGATGAAAGTCCTCGTGGTCTCGCCACAAATTTGGAGCACGATAGAGTGCCCATGGCCAGATGCCGACGACAGTCTATATTTCAAGTTAACCGATGTGTTCAGCACGGTATTTATATAATAATCAACCAACATTCTTAGGGACGGGTGTTCCCGCAATAATTGTATCCTTATCTGTTAGCCGTAAAGAAGGTGAGCCTGTCTGCGGGAAAAGTCTTAGAGCTTCATCTAAGCAGGCTCCGAGATAGGGTAGGCGAGACACAGCGCTAGCTGTAATCTGGCTTTCATCTTGGAATGCTGAACGAACTTCGGCCTTTAACTTCTCGAATTTATCCGGGTTGTCAATTAGCAATGACGTCGCGGCTGTCAGCGTACCGGCGCTTGTTTCGGCCCCGGCGCCGACGATAACGTTTGTATTAACGATGAGTTCTGACATGGAAGATTTCTTAAAGACGTTAGAATTGGCTATGTTAAATCGTTTTCGGACGCTTGGGGTAACCTACTTTGCCATCTTGAAGGCGTACAAGAGGGTTAATCAAATCTGGTCGATCACCAACCTTGAGACGCTTCTCTACCATTGGTTTGACCATCTCATCATGAAGGCGCATAGGGCCCTTAGCAGCTATGCTTAGGACGGGATTTAAAAGTTGTGCCAGAGCAGGATACATGTTTATGGCGGTGAGAAAGCCCATGGGCTTCCCACCTTCGATCATGGCAGTGATCCAAGGGTGCAGATCATCGCTTTCAAGGCATTTGAAAGATTCTCCCACAGCTAGATCGCAGATGATATCGAAGACAACATAACGATACCACAGCTCTAGATTTAAGGGGCCTTCCTTGCACTTCTCCTTTAGCCGCCGCATCATTAAGTCCACATACTGAACTATCATCGGCTCTTGTGCCCTTAGAGAAGCATCAGAAAAGCCAGGAGCTAGCGTCCTACGAAGGGCACGGTGGTGCTCTTTGCTGATTGTGTTTTGTATGTGTGGCTGCAAGAAGGTAGGCACGCCATACATGCCAATCCTACGCAGAGATCTCGTTAGCTTTGAGATAGACGGATTGTAATCAATTGGCGTGGGAAAACGGGCCACTAACCATTTGGGGATTTCGGAGGCGCCGCCACCCATTACATCGCGCCACGCGCGAGGATCCTGAAAGGCTAGCTCATTAGGAGCGATACGAACTACAGGACCGTACTTCTTATGAATATCGGCCAAATCGAAGACGAGCCTACCGCGAAGTAGGGCGATAGTCCACGGAAGCCTACTAGCACGGTAGAAGAGAGGACCCGGGAAAGAGGCGAGCGGGTGTAAGAAGAGGTTATAGAGGACGTTGCTAGCAATGTAGAGCGCGGTCTACAGAAATGATGACAGGTCTGAGTTAGCATTTTTCTTCATCTGCTATGTACAAGTAGCGTTTCCCTGGGTATAATTAGGGAAAAAATATTGTGGAGATATAATTCTTACCCCGACAAGAATGGTTCCGGCGATGCTCATGTAATCCGCTGATTGAAGCAAACTCATTGTGTTCAAGGTTTAGATAATACTGCGACAACCATGAAGAAAAAAACAGAAAACATCTGAGGATGTATGTAATAAGTCTAGTGAGGAATTGAGAGTGACGGCGAGGATGATGAATCCCATGTTTTTGATTTGCTGACTCGCATATGTCGTGGGTCATGCCGTACATATAGCAACCTGTGCTATCCATTATAACCCGCAAAGCCAGGTGTGGACCCCCCTTGTTTAGGGTGCCGGGGATGACTATGACTGTACGTATCTGGGGCTCTAGAGCTCTAGAAGGATTGCTGCGGCGCCCTACTGCACGGTACTTACTACCCTAAGCCGCCAGGCACCCAGTCCTTAGGTTATCGTATATCACTTAGGTAGACATCGTACCGATCCTTTGTCGGCTCTGATAGGTGATTCGGATAGAATCTTGGGGTCTTGAACCATTCCATATCGGATCCAAATGGGGTAGGTACATAATATTAACGCTTACATGCGAGGATCAGTACATATTATATCCTGACGATACGTTGTATTTTACCTGGGTATGTATCTAGCAGGTAGACATTCTTGGATTCGACTTTTTCAAGTACATATTTGCTGGCATGGTCAGCTCTAAAGCTGGGCGATCTCCTGGTCGAGGATGAATGAAAAGAAAGCGTGAAAGGATGATGACGGGAATAAAGAGGAGAAAGACGAGAGAGACAAGAAATATGAGAGACTCGGGGAAGGATGGTAGGGGTATCCAGGTATCTACCTATTAATTGAGTGTACTAATATGTATAATTTATGCACATTACGTACATTTATGTACATTTAATGTTCAATGTCTCACCATCTACAAAATCTATAGTTGAAGGTAAGATTTTCGATTCCGGCACGCACTGGTAAGACCGATGTAAGTACTTAGGTACCTACTTACCAGATCTGTCATTCGTCCACCAATTCATTAACATTTAAGCTAATGTTTACCAACCCCACACCAGCTCTCAAGTAGCTAAACCAACTTGGGCAATCACCACTTCCCATTTAGTAAATTATACTTTGATAATCTATGGGTACATCCACCATCGCGCATCACAGCATCAGCATCTTCACAACTCAACTACATACAAATACTAAGTATGTATCCTAATACCTCTCTACATTTATACAACTAAATGCAATTGATACAGGTACACAATCACATACGTTTTGCACTTACAAACATATCCACATACCTTTCTCTCCGTCAGATGACATACCATATATGCGCATTGTCATATTGTCAAGGTGCTGACGGTCGCGTTGAAGTTCTTTAGACGTGTGTAACTTATTCATATTCGTCGTCATCTACCTATCTTTTACGCGACGAATAACTCCGCCTATTCATATATTCATATTTTCGTACATTCACATATCACCGCCGTTTTATCGCAAACTTGAAAAGTTGTACCATTGAAGTTCCTTCGGCGTCTCCAACTTTATATCCGACGCGTCGGCACGCGTCTTTGTTCCCCATTCCGGTCTCCCATCCATGAGGCCTGCTTCGAAGCCTATTGAATCCGAATCGCGGCAAGATTACTGACCTTGACCGTCAGTTTCACAGAGGTCGGCGGCGGAGGAAGAGGAGGAGAAGCAGTGGGAAGGCTTGACGAATAGGCGCGGTCTCGCCCTCGGCTTGGGACTCCGCCCGTATCCGAACTACCTACGCACTCGGATCTTTACAGCGCGATGACGCCTATACGAGGTCTTTGTATAACAATCCTATAGGTTAACCTCGCTTCTCACGTCACAAAATGCCGATACTTGAGGTCAAACCCACGTCTTCGGAACTCCTCCAATATGTCGCCGACTCTCTCGGGAAAGCAAGAAAAGTGGTCATAATTACCGGCGCTGGAATAAGCACCAATTCTGGCATTCCTGTACGATTCCTATTACACTATTCCCACCCAAGCATAACTAATTAATTTCATAGGACTTCCGGTCGGAAAATGGGCTCTACTCGCTCATCCAAGCCCAATTCGAGCGAGCAGAAGCCGGTCGCAGTAAGGATTCCGAGACCCAGACCGTAGATTTCCCCGCAAGCGAACGTCCTACGAAGAGAAGAAGAATATCACACGCGGAACGCAACGAGGCTCCGGAAACTCCAACGGCTTCAGATGGTTACAAGAGTCAAGATGGGATAAATATCTCGATCAACAGCGGCGATGTTGTAGATACTGTGAATCCAGCTTCAACAAATGACAATATTGCGAAGCAAGGAACCACCTCTTCAACTTCCATACTGCCATTATCACGACTTACTCGATCACAATCGTCACTACGGCCGCCTTTACCTCGACACCTCACTCAATCTTCCGCACGATCTTCTATTAGCCAAGAATCGCTATTCTCAGCTCCTCAACCCTCAAGCGCCTCAACTTCATCCCAAACGGATGACTCGTCTACCTACGTGGCAGAACGTGTCGGTGGTTTCCAAATAAAGTCCGCAACCCCAAGAGGCCTCTTAAGCGAGACATTCGCCTCCTCTCCATTATCTTCTCCACCACCCATCTTATTTGATCCTTACGAGAACGCGAATTCGACTACGGATGGCAGTTCGCATACGGGCGTTGAATGTTCCGACACGTCCGACTCTGAGGATACACAAAACTCCTTGGATTTACTTTCTTCCCAGACATCCAACTCTAGCTTACGTAATATGAAAGGCCGCGACCTCTTCGATTGTAACATCTGGGCCGATCCACTGAAGACCTCCGTGTTCTACCGATTTGCTACTACGTTAAGGCAAAAAGTAAAAGAAGTTGAACCGACCGCAACACATCGCTTCATCGCCCAGCTGCGTGACGTTGGGAAGTTGGCAAGGGTGTATACGCAGAACATAGATGAAATCGAGAAGAAGATCGGCCTTTCCACCGATTTGAAAAGCGGCGCAGGAAATCGGAGAAGAAAGTCAACTAAGCAGCAACTCATAGACTCGGAGAAAGAGTCTAAGGAAAATATGGACTTGGTTAAGAATGAAGAGGATCCCAATTGCTTAGATACTAAGCAACAACCCTCAAACTCGGAGAACTCTAGTCGAAACAATCCACGAATAATCACCACTCAGGACAGAGGCGTCGAGTGTGTATTCCTCCATGGTTCTCTACATGCCCTCCGCTGTTTTGTGTGCGGAAAACTCTGTGATTGGGATGAGGCTGGCAGGGAATCTTGTACAATGCTAGGCGAACAACCTGAATGTCCGCATTGTGCAGGAGCAACCGCCGCACGTCAAGAAAAGGGGAAGAGGGCTTTGGGAATTGGCAAGCTTCGTCCAGACATTGTCCTCTACGGCGAAGAACATCCTCAATCCGACCTTATATCCCCTATCGTTCAACATGACCTTTCCGCTGGCCCCGATCTTCTCCTAGTCCTAGGCACAAGCCTCAGGGTACACGGACTCAAGGTGATGGTGAAGGAATTTGCTAAGGCCGTACATAATAAGGGAGGCAAGGTTATCTTCATCAACCTAACAAAGCCATCTGAGAGCGTCTGGGGCGACATATTAGATTATTGGATTGAGTGGGACTGCGATGCCTGGGTTGACGACCTGAAATATAGAAAGCCTCATCTTTGGCTTTCGCCGGACGAGATTATAGAGTATGAAAAACAGAAGCGCGAAACATTAGCCGAAAAGAAGAGGGAGAATATGTCTAAGAAGCGTGAAAGTATCGCTGAGAGAAAGCGTGAGAGCCTGGGCGAGAAGAGGCGACATACCATCGAAGGGGATAAACTTCGGCCGCCACCGAAGAACCCATCCTCCATGAGAAACGATTACCAATGCGGCGCGTATGTAGTCTGGGAGATTTTTCAAGCTCTGGCTAAGATTAGTGATCGCCCTTTCGATAATCTCGGATATACACCACCTCGGATACCTCCTCCCGCTGCTCCACCTCCGGGTCCGAATCCCGCGGCGGGATCTTTGGCTCGTGTGGCCGTGAAGGCGAAGAAAGCAAGGAAATCTGCCCCAGCAGCTCTCGTTGCTTCTTCCGATCCGGGAATCAAGGCTAAATCTGCCACTCCCAGAACCAAGTTGCCTACCCTAAGCAGCCGGAGCCAGTACGCCAAAGCTGCTCAAGAGCTTGCGCGCTCCAGTAAACCGTCAACACCAGTCAGGTTAGCCGAACTAAACGGGCTTCCACGACCACACGAAAAGAGTAGAACACCCCCATACGTCGCACCTAGTTCCATTACTGCTGCCGTCAAGATCAATCCGCGTCGGCGGAAGCGGAAGATGATCGAGGGTGTCCCAGTCGGCGGTATACTTCCACGGGCCCAGAAGCCAGCGTTACCGCTTCCCCCTGTCACCAATATCAGGAAAGGAGTTAAGATCATACCTAAGAAAGAACCAGCTATATCCACTGCGAGCGATATACTTTCCCCGAAAGGTCCGATTTTACCCCCTTTTCATCCTGGATGGGAACGTTCACCCCCAGCAAGGATTGAACCACTAGAACCGAACCTAAATGTATCGCCGCCGAGCCCTCTAGCCGATATACCTCAAGTAGCACGGCCGCAGGTCTTCAGTCTACGTCAAGCTACTCATCCAATGATTTTCAGTGACCCGCTCATAAAGTTACAGTATGAAGGTACAAATTATAGAAGACCGCCTCAAGGGACGTCCATTCATGATAAAACCCCTAGCCCGTCAGACCAACTCCGATGGGAATTAGCTCAACAAGAGGCACTAGAAGGGGCCCAGGCACTTGAAGGGCTAAGGCGCTCTAGATGAGACGACGTTCTAGCTCTGGGCTAGCCTTTTTTGTTTTGATAGAATTATACTTATGTCTAGTAGAATACTTTAAATATTCAGCCCATTACTATACCCTTTTTCTACCGCCAGTAACCGTCACTCGCTAGTTCGGTGAGTGTCCAGAACGATTTCAGGGTTTATACGTCATTCTACCCGGTTCACGGCGCCCCATTTCCATAATTCGACGGTCTAATGCAGACGAGTCTCACCCACGACGTCGGTATTCGAGTTGGGGGTCTTCGTGCCAAATTCACCGGATTCGCTGGGGAGTTTAACGGTTTGGGAATTGCCGCCTAGTACGTTCCTTGAAACATTCCATTATGCTAATAACCAAATAAACGATACCTATACAAAATAACCGGGAGCTTACGGTAAACCCATTTATCTCAAATAGGCGATATAAATAGTACGTTTCCACGATATCAATGGCGATAGGGCGGTCACGAATGACACAACGACACGACATAGAGCAGAGCTAAATTACTATGCTAACTATTTAGGCCATCTAATAATATAAAATACATGAGTAGATTCGAGTCCTCACGCTTCTAAATAATAGATACGAATTAATAGATAATCTGCCTAGGGCGGATTGAACCCATCCCTTAAACGTTACGAAACCCGAGTTTGCACCTCTTCCCACATACGCCATCACCCCCTTATATTAAGTATTCATTTTATCGACCACATTCATGGACCGAGACCTAAGTTGAAATCCTCAATTTCAATAATGCTACTGCTACGAGTGTTAGCAGATCCGTCACCAGGCGCTTTGTGACTGATGGGGACAGGGTCAGTCCAAAAAACATCAGCACCCTTAAGAGCAGCGTTAATCTGAGGGTCTTGTGGGGTTTTCGTATTAATAGTCAACTTCAGGTTGACTTCTTTCCCGTCAGGACTTGGAGGAGGCTCAAGGAAGGGGGCTTTAAGTGGTGGGCTCGGGGGTGGCGTCTTGAGAGCATCGGCTAACGCCTCGCCTCGCCATGGTTCTTCCGTCAGATACAGCGGATTGCCGTAAATTCCGCTGAAGTCAGTTAAAGCCCTTGCTAGCCACATTGTTTGTTCGTGATCTGCGACCTCCGTCGACATTGTATACGGGCCGGCGAATGCGTTGCCAAGTGGTTTTTTTCCAATCATCTCCATTGTGAAGGGGAATTTCGTATTTAAAGCCTCGATACTAGAGTAGAAGGGCCCTCCGTCACCGAAAGTACTTGGAACACCTATTGTACCCAATGCCGAATCGATGGTGACAGTAGGCACCCCGATATTCTCGAGGTCAACTATGGCGCCGAATTTCGCTGAAGCTTGGACGAAGCCTGAACCCGCTTGACCTTCTACATGGTATTTTGCGAATGGGTTACTGTGATCCCGCCTGATTCCGCCCGAGGGATCCGGCCCCAACGCGGATCCACTTATGTCTTTTTCTTTCCCTTTGGAGCTGGCGCCAACTCCAGAACCTGAAGCCGGACTTGGTCTAGCATCGCCTGGTCGTCGAGGAGGATGCGCTCCTATTGTATTCGCCTGACCGAAGACGACGCCTTTCTTCTTCGCAGTTTCGCTGCTAGAAGATCCGATAACACGCCGGAATTTTCTCGAGCTCGACTGCCAAGTATTGTCGAAAATGGAGGGCTCCGTGGATGAGTTTGGGCGCGACCAGTTAAACGCGGACTGCGCATTGGGGGGTGCATCCTTACCCAGATACCTCGCCTTCTGTAACACCTTCTCCACTTCGTCGAGATCCGGTTCCGAGAGGAATATCTTCCCCAAATTCTCTCTACCGACGCGCCAACAGATGTTCATGCACTCATCTACAACCTCGCGAATGGCCGGATGCACTCTGTTATATTCTCTTTGGGCCTGACTGCGGAGACGCTCCACGCGGCTCTTCCAGTAGGAGGATGGTACGCTGGGGAAGCGCCCTTTCCACGACATGTCATCCGGATTGAATTGATTCTGTTCACCGAGCATCCCCAGCAGATCGCCATACATATTGAAACATGCCTTATAATGAGTTGCCCAGCTAGACCATTGTTCCTTGACGGCAATGAGCTGGTCTGCCTGGGATAACTTTTGGCATGATTCCCAAATGTCTCGTGCTCTTCCGCGGTAAATTAGCATGCGTTCATAGGCGCTCGAAAGGATGCCATTATCATTCGAACCGTTTCCGGAGTAGAATTGTCCGCGGGCTTCGGGGTTTATGCTGAAAAAGTCGAAGATCATGCGCTGCAGGAATCTAATCTCATGGGACATCAATCTATGAGTCTCGGCGAGGGCCTGCATCAGTAAACCCCCGTCGCGGAAATACCTGACGAAGTGGGCTTTCATAGTGTTCTTCCAGCCTACTTGATCCGCCGGGACACCCGATGCTCTGCCTGACTCTTTTCTTAAATTGAACTCCTGGACGTATAACCAGTAGTTTCTGTCTTCATCTGCCGGCTCTAATTTTGCCTTGGTTGATTGCGCCTCCCCCATAACCTCGGTCAACCTTTCCACGCTTCCCTCAAGAGGCGTCAGCATCTCGTCGTCCCAGTTTCTAATCTCGACTCGCCAGCGGTCGACGAAAGATCGGGGCATCATCAGCTCATAAACAACCGCCAATATATAGTGTCCCAATATCGCTTGATCGTTGCTCCCAAGGGTGCGATATGCGAATAGTATGAAAGAGTATGATTCCCAACCGAAGGTAGCAGCCAATCCGAGTTTATCGATCCATTGCGGATTCATGGATAGCTTATATGCATGGTTCGGCGGAAGCATCTTGAGGGCTTCAAACCCGTATAGCTTGAACTCCCCGTCCCAGAATTTCTGGGTGAAAAACCTGGCCATGTAGTCAATAGGTATCGGTGTAAAATAATCCTCTACCGCGTAATCACCACCTGCGATCGGCTCATCTCGATCTTCCCCGGCTGTATTAGGGGCGCGGGAGAAAGGCCACTGACACTGCGAGGTTATCAGCGGGGCGGATGATATTCGCGCATTGTGTCCACTCAGATTCGCCACCAGATTGAGAGCGAGGCCCCCCCATAGCGCCACCTCGATCTCGAAACCGTGTTCAGAGGTTGGATTATCCTTATAGGGGTGTTCCCCGTTGAATGAGTCATAATCATACATATGAATCCCGAGCTGAACAAGTTGAAACCAAGCGGCATCACCTTGGGGTGTTGTTCTTCCGAAACACTCCTCCGACATTATAAGCATGTGTGCGTTGGAGATAGCATGCTATAGGTCATGTTAGCAAGCTGAATTATATCTAAAGCAGGTCAGTATTGGTGTGACTTACCCCGTATTCGTGTAGTATAGTAGAAGCTATCGCGAAAGAGGCCGACAGTTTCTCACTCTGGCTGTATTGAGGCATCAGCAAGGGCCAAACCAGCTCGGCGCCTATACTCATGAGGATTTGAGAGTCCGGGCCGGCATTGGTAAAGTATGTGAACCCGTAGGACATATCGTACGCGTCTTTCGCCCCGTCGACGGTATCAGGACCATGCTCCTCTGTGGGTTCCATGAAACAGCTACCCAAGTCTATAGTCAAGCATTTTTCGAGGACTTTATTCACATGGAGTGGCCAGTCGAAACCCATAGCAGCGAGCGTGAGGATCTCATTCCACGTATCGCTCAAGTCTATTTTATCGATGTCGTCGTATTTGGTTATATGTGTCGTTTTGGGATTTATTCGTCCGTCCCTCGCCGGGTCTACCTTTGTACGAGTCCTCAGATCCATCAGGGCCTTTATGTGAGGGTGTTCACTATTAAGTACGCGCGTCACCATCTGTAGCGCTGGTTGTAGAGCCTCCCACACTTTATCGTTTCTCCTCTGCCGAAAAGGTTAGTAATTGCCAATGTTCTCGTCCATTCAGCCTCTCTTCAGCGTGCTTCATGATGGGAAGGTAACTTACAACATCCCATTCCCCTCTCTCCCCGTTGAGGTTATACACAAGTCGCGGCTGCCAAGCAACTGCCCCCTTTGCGTCGCTATCCATCCAATGATTTCTATCAAAATGCCTAGCAATGGGAGAATAGAACATGGTTAGCCAAAGGAGCATGAACAACATAATATCCTCCACGCGGAAGGTTGGAACTTACGGGTGAATTGGGCCTTTTAAATCGCAGTACACATCGTTGCTCTGAGTATAGATGTTGTCGTATAGCATCTCGTCACTCGTCAAGTCTTGAAACAGGGTTCGTTGGTAATTCTGGTCATCCAAGGCTTTTGCAAGAAACGTCCTGTGCGCGTCCAATATGTTCGGTTGTTTCGCATTCAGTGTATCAACAAACTTGTCGAGATTCATGCTTTTCTCGCCCGGAGCGAGCGTCACTTCCAGCAGCTTTTTCAACTGAGCACCCGTAAGCGCGCCTTCTTTCCTCAGTATAGCATCCATCACTTGGGGGTGAATGTAGTTAGACTGTTCGGGGGGTATATTGCCTTCTTGCGCCCTCAGCCTGTTTGACTCATCGATTGCCGCTTGCCTAACCTCCTCGGGGAGAGAATTGACCTGGTTGGCATAATCATCAAACGGGTCCCGAGTTGAAGATATCGTGGGACTCAACCGACTTCGACCGCCTTGTTCGTCCGGATGAATTCCGAAGCGTTGGGCATAAGCTGTTGGCCGTCTGACTTGATCCACATTCCGTAGCGCCGGGAACAGCTTGTGGTAAGGGGCCCTATTCGTAGCACTGAACGAAGCCTTCCCCGTATAGGTTATATCTATATCCGGTTCGAAGTTGGGATGGGACCACTCCGGAATGTACCATGCATACTGCCATGACCCACTCCCTGCCGGCTTTCGTATCACTTTTCTGCGGCCAAGACTATCAGTGGCCCTCACCGCGTTTCCCGGGGCGATCTCTCCCTCCGGATCGGGCCGCCGAATCGTGCTCGGCCCGCCTGCAAGGACGTTCCCTTCGCATATCGCCCTGAGAAATGGACGCCAATCCCACTTATATTTTGGAAAATCGCGACCCCAATTACTATAAAATATATCCACCTCCTCCTCGATTTTTTTGAGATATGGCGTGGACATATTCGCCTAATCTAGAATATTTGTCATGTACTTCGTCTCACCTTTTTTATTTGGCACTCGATATAACACAGTCGGACATCCAGAGGGTAATATAACCAACGCAAAACTGGTGGCTTGTTGTCGCTACTATCGACACAATAAATCCCTAGAAAACTGTATAAACATATCACAAAGGATCAACACCACGGCCATTACTCTAGTGAAACTCTGGATACCTCGTCAAAGCTCTTGTCGTCGTACTATAAACAACACCATTCTCGGGATTTCGCCCTGGGTTGTAGGCGACAAAGATGCGACAAAGGCCTTCATTGAAGTTTTCGATATCCCAACCAGATGCGAAAGCACCTGTTCTATATTGCGCTAGCTACGGTGAAATAAGGGGAAGGTATAGGTTACGACCTATATCTCTAACAGAAAATAGTCGCCAATTCTGAAGAGCAACCACCCATCAGTTCATAAAAGGGGGCGCAGTGAGGTTTGTAAAATGAGGTCTACTTACCAGGCAGGTATGTTTGTATAATCTATCTGATGGGACTGTCATATTCTCATGAACATCTATTGTCATTGGTCATAAAAAGATACGTAGTTCTGATTGTCGTCATACCCGATCAGCAATGCACCCACGAAATATTCCATCAATCATTATAGGGATTGTAAAGCACGCCTAGGTCAAACCTCAGCGAGTATCTCGAAATTCATGATATCAAATCTATTCAGCGACTAGCTCGTCTATCTATGGTATCCTCGCAGTTAAGGACTCGAGAGGCCAATACCCCTGGGTCTCCAATCCAGAGGAATTGTGCCTTTCCTAAATCATCCTGCTCGACCACGCGATAAAGCACCGCTCTTAGTTGCAATGACTGTTAGGCAACCCATCGGCACTCCAGAAACGCAGAAACAATGCCTAACCATGCAAGCCCGAACTTTTCTGTTCATATTAAACAAAGGAAATCATGTAATTATGTTCGTAATTCGGTATTAATTCGTGGGGCTACGTAACACGGCAGCACAGGCGAGATAATTTAGTCGTCCTCGTCCGAGAAGACCTCCTCTCCACGCTTTCGGCGGGCCATACGTTCTATATGCCATGTTAGTTACGGAGTCATATTCAGTAGTTGGGGCAAAATCAGTAAACTTACCCTTCTTCTTCTTTCTGGCTTCGGAGCTAGTCAACTTAGCCTTCTTCTTCGTCGTCACGATCTTATTACCCATGGCGTCGAACTTATCCTCCTCATCATCGTCGCCCTGCTTTAGTCTAGGGCCGGAACCTTGACCTTGAACCCAGTTGTGTCCTGAAGGTGTCATCTTGCCGTCCATGACAGCCCAGACTTCCTCAGTCAAGTCCTTGGTGAACTCGGCACTGTGAGTGATGATAATGACACCACCCTCAAACTTCTTCAGGGCCTTGGACAAGGCACCGAGAGAATCACGGTCAAGATAGTTGGTCGGCTCATCTAGGACGATCAAATGGGGTCGTTGCCATGAGCAAGCAGAGAGGACAACCTTGACACGCTGGCCACCGGAGAGACCACGCATACGCGAGTGCGAAACCAGTTCGGCATCGAGACCAAAATTGGCACAGTGGGACTCAATCTCTTTTCGTACCAAGGGGCGGAATTGACCCGAAGCAAGTGCTTCCCTCATATCAACTTCAGCAACCATCTTCTGGTGAGAACCCAAGAGTTCGGTTCGAGGAAGCCAAGCGTTGTCAGCTGTCATCATAGGAACCCAGCGCTCGTTCTTCATGCCAACGTTCTCACCAAGGGCAAAAGAGCATTCGTACTCGTAACTGTTCTTGAACTTTCTGCGACTGTGGATACCAATGATACGTCGCTGAGAGCCTTCAACTTTGAAGATCTTGTCCATGGCCTTCTCGTCATCTTCGGTGATGATCTTGTTGGCACGGTCCATGGTCTCACGATCCTCACCGGTCTGGAATCGCCATTGAATGTACTCGGAGGGAGTCTTGTCAAGGTGGTTATCGATGTGTGCGAAGGCATGCTGCTTGATGTAGGCGATACGGATGTTCTCGTGCTGGTAAATCTCACCACCGGTTGGGATGAGTTCACCGGTGAGGACGTTGATGAGCGTCGACTTGCCGGCACCGTTGGGTCCAATGACAGCAATACGAGATCCGAGAGAGCACTGGAAGGAGATATCGGTAAGTTGGGGCTTGGGGGTACCCGGGTACTGGAAGCTCATCCTGCTCGCACGCAGGATGGCCTTAGCCTTTGTCTTAACACCCTCAAGGAAACCAGGTTCTGGGAATTGGAATTCGATTTCGGATTCTCCGAGTTCGTAGTACGACTTAGCATGAGGGTTCTTGCGAACAAATTCCTTCAGGTTACCCTTGTACTTCTTGAGCTTGAATCGCTCGTAGTGGATGATGTATTGGGTAACGTTGTCGAGGAATCCACTATCGTGAGACACAATGATAGAAGTGCAAGGAGAGTTGATCAAGTAATCCTCGAGCCACTTAACGTTCTTCACATCCAAATGGTTAGTGGGCTCATCGAGAAGCAAGATATCCGGGGCTTCGAAGACGGCACGGCACAAGGCGAGCTTCATCTTCCAACCACCAGAAAGAGAAGTAATGGGGCCCGCAGTCATCGCTGGAGTGAAGCCGAACTCATCAAGACCCTTTTCGACGTCCGCTTGGCTGGTGGTGACACCTGCCTCGCTGAGCTTCTTCATGGTCCAATCAATGGTAGTCATTTCGGTATCAGCAGAGTCCAAGTCGTGCTCGACGAAAACAGTCTTGACTTCGCTCTGCTTGGGGAAACCCTCAACTTGTTCGTTGTTGATAGCGCGCATAAGGGTAGATTTGCCGGAACCGTTGGGACCACAGAGACCATAGCGGCGACCACGCTTCAAACGAAGGTGAGTCTGGTTAAGAAGAATCTTGGCACCGTACGCAAGGGAGAAAGTACAGTTGCATAGATCTTCACCCTCGTCATCTTCCTCCTCTTCCTGAGCCTCATCCTCGGCGCCAGGAGAGGCACGCTTTCGGAGACCTTCAACAACCTTCTCAGCATCGACGTCACCAACGACGACAGTGACAAAAGGCTTCACCGCGGTAGCCCATGTAGAAGGCTCAGACTCCTTCTCGTCAATAAGCTGTCCACCGATCGCAGAGATGTATTCCAAGACGGGTTCAAGCTTCTCGGCGGTCTTGGCGTGCTTGCTAGGGATAGTAGCCTTCAAGTGGCCAAGGACGGTAGAAATGTCACCGTCGTGGCGAACCTCAGGAATCTTGCCATCCTTGACGTCACCGACGCGGATAAGAGTGTCAAGTGCCTGCTTGGTCTTCTCTCGAGCTTCGGGATCAGCCAAGTTGTCGTAGTTCTTCTGAAGACCCGGCATCATCTTAGGTAAGAAAGGAGCGACGATGTTGGGGTCGTCGACAAGTTTACACATGTTGTCGACAATGACAGCAGCCTTTCGCTTGATGGCAGTATCTCGCTCAGCAAGACCACGATCAAGTAGAGGAACCATGAGGGCAAGTGTAGGCTCCTGTACCTCAGTAACGAAAGTCGTGGCACCCAATAGATGGACGGTCTCGGGGACGTTCTCAGGCTTGGCGATACACTTGATGAGCTCGGGAATGAATCGCTCAATATCCTTGTTGACGATCAACTCGCAAAGCTTCTCCATCGTCTTGTAGGCACGGTCCTTGACTTCCTTCTTGGTGTCCCACATGGACTCGGAGACAACAGGAATGAGTTCGGGGACGCGGAAGGCTAGTTGGGCGGGGGCGGTTCTGACAAGGATATCGATGCACTCGAGAGCAGTAATCTTCTCGGGCCATTTCTGAGCTTCCAATATGGACTTGACAAGAGCAGGTAGGACGGCCTTGACAGCATTGGGGTTGACAGCCTCGACGATGGCAGTGGTCGCGGCAATGGCGGCATTCTTTACAGAAGTAATCTTGTCGCCAATTGCAGCTAGAGTAAGAGGTAATAGAACCACTAGGTAGGGCTCGACGTTAGGGGCGATCTCGGAATGCTGAGCAATTGCCTGGATAGCATTGGCTGCCTTTTCACGGGCTGCAGCATCTTTCTTGTTGGAAATTTGCTTCTTCAAGGCCTCGACAGTCCTATAAAAATGAATTAAAAGATTAGTAAGTGTATTTTTTGAATAAAGCAAGTTGTGATAATAGTGATAAATTGTCCAAAAATGGCATTAGCCGCCAAAAAAAAAAAAATTTACATCCAATATGTATGTGCATTTTTTTAGGGGACACCAATGCGACTTGAAAGCATAGGCACGTGCAATTCATGGTGGGGGGGAGAGAGGGGGGGAGAGACGTGGGAGCGTGTGAATTAAAAATGGAACTTGGTTGGTGCAGATGAAGGAAAAAAAAAAAAAAAAAAGATAAAAAAAATAAAAGTGAACTGCGTAAATCAAAATGTGATGCAATATGTACGTAGATAAGTGATGAAAACGAAAAAAAATAGTGACAAGACTATAAAATCCGACTGAAATGACAGAAAAGGGTCAAGAAGGTATAATGGAAGGAATCTTACTTGGTTGGTGCTTCTTGGTCCTCGATGCGGCCGTTGATGAAGGAGGCCAAAGAATGCGAAGCATCCTTAATAGCAGCAGCGTCCTTAGAAACGGTAAGTTTCTGCATCAAATCCTCCAGTACCTTGACGGACTGGGCATTCTCTTGAGCCTGAGACATGATGAAGGATTTTGTGATGATTTTTCCGTTATTTTAGTTTTCTTGTTTGGTAACGATTAGGGCGACTCGACGGAGGTGAATCGAAGGCCTCTCTTGCTTTGGTATTGGACTCGGTCGAGTGCAAGCCGGAAGGTGGGAGGATGAGAGTACGATTAGTCTAGAATGATGCTGAAAAAGAAATCTAGATGATTTGCCTTTTGCCTTTTGCGTCTTGAGCCCGTAGACTTGCTGACGAAAGAGTTCAGAAGTCTACTCTATACTGGCTCGCCTGTCTATTCTTAGTCTAAGCCGTACCGTGGCGAAGAACTAGAAACTCTTTTTTTAATCGCAAGAGGAATCTGAGTTGGAGTGTCTCAGATATTCGCTCTTTCGCAAAAAAAGAGGGAAGAAATGGAAAGAAAGGATGAGTTTAGAGGAAGGGAAAGAAAAAAAAGGGAGGATTTGGGAAAGGTGGGAAATTTGTGTTCAGGGAAGGCTTTGGTCAAGATTTTATGCTCCCTTGTGGAAGAAATGCCAAATCCTAGAGGGGAAAAAAATATTTGGCGGACTAAAATTTTTTTTTTCTTTCTGCCCGCCGAGGGGCAACATTGATAGGGTGGGCTGCCGAGGGGGCGGGGGGGGGAAGAGATTCACAGGGTTCTCCCACTGTAATCGATTAGCGGTGGGGCTAGGGCTTCCAATCAGTTGTTGAAACGTTCAAACGCCACTACTACATGTACCCTTGTACATAGTATATCTACCTTGAAAACATTACAATCCCATATGAACATGCAGGTACCACCTACCTTCCTTAGGCACATCTGTTTTTTTTTTCTCTTTCCTCTCTTAATCAGAGCCATCCGTAGTGTCCGTTTAGACAAGGGATGTTCAATATTCAACTTTTGATTGGATGGGTACAGGCTGATCAGGGTCAGCACGATTCATGCTTATCGTACTTTATCATACTTTATCCTTCTTGGGTAACTACACTAATCCAAAGTAGGAATTAGAAAGGAATTTAAGAGGCGAGGGGCAAGAAGGCGGTGAAGACGAATTCTTTTTCTCTTTTCTGTTTTCTCTTTTCTCCAGGGCTCTTTTCTCAACTTCCCCACCAAAAAAATCGTTTCCCATCAACCTTGCCATCCATGGATGCCGTCTTATTCTAGGATGACACTTTTTTATTAGGTATTCTTGATTAAATTGCCTAGATTTTATAGTCCCAGCTTATCGTCACACCTAACGTTATTAAATATCAATCAAAATAACATCACTGCCGCCTTCAATCTATCTATCGAAATTACCTATCAATGAACATAGGTACCTATAATTGTCATCGTTGTCACAATAAGATTGCACAGGAATAATCCACATAAGCGCTGACATTTCAGCTGATAAGTATAGCCTAGTACACAAAATAATACAATCACCTGAATTAAAGAATCGCGACATTCTACAGACATGTTTGCCCGTCTGGGGAATGCTGGTCCGGATCTACTTCCGCCCCTTTTGTGCCCATGGGGGCTTACATACCCGCCTAGGTACTCACGCCTATTTATATCCCGTCTCAACTGATCCACAGGTTGTAACCTAGACTTCGAGGTTGCTCGTCAGCCTATCAAACCTGATTCGGTACGGTACCTAGACCCTTGAGGACCCTGACTTGGTCTAGTCGCAGATACGGCATTCCCGAGTTGGTCCCTTTCATAAATATCTAATACAACAAAGCTATCATATTCCGCTCTAGACGCTATGTTATTTTCCTATTGACCAATACAACTCAGATGTCCGAGTCTTATTCTATTCCATGATCTATTCGGACTTGATGGACAAAATGGTCAAGTATCAAATATACTTTACAGAAATGAAGATCTAATAGTACCCCTTCGCATCAATGGCAACAATCTTTCCTGGCTCGGTAATCGTACCATTAACAGGAGAAGCAACCGCCCCACAGGTAGTCACGTATACAATGTCCTTATCCGCCGCCGTTCTTCCAAATGCCACAGCGGTATCACCAGCAACAGTCAGTTCAGTTGGCGATCCTACGACAACCTCCCGACGGCCGTCTGGCTTGATGGTGACCACTGTGTTGTCCAGGTTTGTCGCGGCCCATATGTTTCCTTGCCTGTCAAAGTTGAAATCGTCCACGCCAGATGCGCCCTCGATAGTGACTACCTTTTCAACTTTAGCACCTCGGATCGGGTATCCCTTACTGTCTATCAAGGTGCGGTAAATTGACACCGCATCCGTGTTAGACCAATACACATATCCATCCCGTATCTTGATCCCATTGGCACCGAGGCCAAGTTGGCTTCCTGGGACGGGCTTGAGTTCGGTGGCATCCAGTACAACCTGGTTGACTCCAGTTATGACGTTGACTCGATAAATCAGGCCAAGGGCACCATCGACCGCTAGTACGGCGGACTTGAGACCCGGGATAGAGGTGATGCCATTAACAAGGCTTGCCTTTGGAGCATGGTCGATCCTACGGACAGTAGCTGGCAGTCCTTTACCACCCCACTGAAGTTCCCAAAATGATGTCGTATTTGCTACGGGTGTTGCTAGCCCCTGATAAAAAGCAGTAGCTACGACGAATATACCGGGATTAATCTCGACAATACCGGTTGTGCCGTTGGCGTCTTGGAACGTATGGAGGAGAGACATAATCGGAGAATCTGAAAGCGGCTTCTCCACGGCGTAGACTGACGCTGTTGGATGGAAGAGGGTTACAACAAGGTCCCCACTACCACTAACAGCAATATTCTCGACAAAATCGACGGTTTGATTCATCTGAACAATAGTTCTTGCTGGCAACGGTAGGGAAACTTGGTGACTATTGTTCGTGGGAACCGCGAACGCAGGAGCAAGAGCTCCCATGAGTCCAACCAGGCGGGCAAATTTCGAGGCCATCGTTATCTTGCCTAGTTATGAAATCCCGGGAGGTTGAGAGGTGAGCGCTGTTCTGTGTGGAGGCTTGTAAGGCAGGAAGGACAGTAGTCGGCGGGCGGCTGCCGAGCTCTCATATTCGGGAGGCATGAGACCCTTATATTTATCATCGAGACCATAGCAGCTATCATAACTGCGTACCTAGGTACGTTACCCGACAATTTACTAGGAGGCGCGTCACCTCCGCTGTTGGTCGCTAGCGGCGTAATTGATGACCCACAGCGCCCTTGGCCTCAAGCATTGAAGACGACGTTGCTGTTGATTATCAATCAACGAATCGCTAGTCAAAAACGTTGAAGATTTCTCCTTAATTATTAGACTTGACCAAGATGTTACGCAACTATCTCCGTTAACACCCAAATTATATATATCATCGAGCTACACGTTTCCATGCCTAGTCCTGTTATAGGCAAGCCAGTTAGAACAACAATGCCCGCCCAGTATACATTAGTAATATCCCCTTCCTCGATTGATTTGTAAGTAGCCCAACTCAACATCCTTCGTAGGTTGGACACCTAGTGTCAGACTGCCATGGACGTGATCATTCGTGTTGAAATAGGGACATGGATGATGAAGTAAATCTTCAACAATCCTTTCTCGCCCCTAAGATTAATATTGGAGTTGTAACACCTATCACCGTAGAGTCTACGTATATCGCCTAACGCCGAATAATTATGAGACAACTATTTAACCAGACCCGTCGCAATTCAATAGATGGCCTATACGTACAAGTGCCTATAGAAAAAGAGAATAAACATGATTTATTTTCTATATTGAAAGCAGCACTCAAACTCAGAAGTGAATCAGTTGCTTTGCTTACTGACCTACTTGCGACTTTGCTGACCTTACCATGAGCTGAATTGACGTTGTTCTAACGCAAGTATTCCAAGCCTCTGAAGCACGGTCTTTTTTTCGGCAATAATTATGTTTTAGCGGTTTTAGGGTCAATTAGAGAATCCTTCGACCTACCCAGGTACCTGTAACTGGTGCTATAACCCCTGGCGCTACAGGGAATCACAGCATACATACCCAGGCCAGGCGGTAAAGTCTTCCCGAAAATTGGATAATACAATCCACCTCATAGAAACTATTACACAACAATAATAACAAACAGGTATAAACAAAGAACAGAATGGCTAATTCGGTGATACTATTAGACATCTTATGGTAGTGTATGACCTCGGAAGAACTCCATAATGCGCGTACTGGCATTGAACGCCGCCAATACTTTCCCATCGTTGTCACCATTCTCTACCGTGGACGGCCAATCATGAGCAATATTGTTACCGTCATATACCAAGGTGACCAAACCACCACCATAGCTCATGACCACACCATTGTCTGAATCTGCGATCGACGAATTGGCCGGTGTTCCACTCAAGTCATCTCTCAGCGCCCACTGCCGGGCCCAAGAACTCACATCGGGCAAGCAAGCTCCAGATCGGAAGTCCCCGTGGTATCTAATAGTGGTATCAGCACCACCATGGAACGCCATGATGGGAATATCGGTGCGTGAGGCGTCGCAGGGGACGTTCACTGTTTCCGGGTGGCATTCCGACGACTTGTTAATTTGTTTTATGTAGTACGCTCCAGATACAGGGGCAAAGGCCGCAATTCGGCTTGACAAGCCGTGATCGCACGCGAGCCGCCCGACAAATCCTCCTCCTTGCGATTTTCCCGTTGCGAATATGCGCGTCTCATCTACGCATAGGTCCTTTGACACGGCGTCGAGTACGTCGTTTGTGAATTTTATGTCGTTCGACTTGGCGCCTGGAGCCCCTTCCCATTCCGTGTGGCCAGATGATTCTCCCTTTTAAGTGTGAGCAATTCAAGGGCTTATTTAACGATGGCATTGCGCAACACTTACCACTAGGCCCTGTAAATATACCACGATGTGATCCTTGTTGAAGAATGGGTCGGTTAGTTCATCCAGGCTGATTTGATACGTTATGTCCTTATTGGCACCATGATAGCTGAGAATAAGTGGCGTCGCTGTATCGGAGTCGTAGTTCGCCGGCAGCCAAACTCGATATTCACGATCTTCCGACGTAGTAAAATTCTTGAAATCTCCTCGTGTGATGGACGGGTCTTGACCGCAACCAGCAGTTCGTTTTAGGGGTTGTGATAACCCGAGCGAGCTGGTAAGAGAGACGAGGGCAAGCGAACGAAGCGATAGGGAAACCATCTTGGAATGCGAAAGAAATTCCCTAATCTTGAAGAAAAGTTCGTTGATCTCACCCAGAACAGCCGAGGGGAGTCAGCCGCTAATTATATACCTAGGTGTGTTTACGAAAGAAGTACAAAGGTCTCACCGACCATGACGCCAGTGCTGACGCTTGCAATGCGGACTCATTCCGTGGAGCAAAGCACCCCTTTCCTAACTCTATAAGCTTACAAGGTTGCAGCCGCCTTCATCGTATTTGCTATGTTTCCTATTGTGGACAGTGGAAAGGGAAAATAGCTGGCTGACCAAGGTATTAATTTTCTATTTTGAGACATAATCAACATAATCCTAGTATGTTCCACATATATCTCCAGTCAAATCGCCCACCAAATTTCGTCGGCATAAGGTCTACTCTTAGGTAAAGATGGTATTCTGAGCACGGATCTGGCGACAAATTCACGATTTCATTTGCTATTGTCGGCACACGTTCCGATTATCGCATATGCCGCCGACCTATACCAAGAACCCATATAGAAAAGGAGAAGTGAACAGACCTTACACCTAGACGTGAGACGTAGCCTTAAATGCGGAATTGTCCAACTTTACTCTTCCGTCGATTTTACCTAGATAGCTACGTAGGTATAATGTAATACGCGTTGCTCGAAGGATATTGTTCGCCATATATTCGATGCTCGACGACTCGCATACGATGATCGCTTCTCAGTGGAATGTTCGGAATCCGACTCGGTCAAGTATCGTTGGAAACTTTTCGGACAAGTCTATAGTCGCGCTCTCCTATTCGGTCTTGGAGCTTTTCGCCGGTACTCATTTTATCAAATATGTAGGATGAGGTAGGTATTGTGTTAATCGTTGCCTGTCGGCTATAATATTCGGCAGGTTTGAACGTTTCGTTTCGCAATCGACTTGGAATCGGTATTATCGAGCTGGCCTTCGTTACACACGGTCGCAATTCGAATATATCGCTAGCAGGTCGAATGAACGTTGTTTAGCGTATAGAGGAATGACGGGAATGGGGGCAAGTCAAGGCGGTTTGATCATACCTCTTAAAAATATCGGCGTAAAGTTAAAAAGTCAAGATTCCGAAAACGATGTGAGGGATTTTCAGTAGATCATCGCAGGCATGTCATTTTCAGCCACCAAAACAACCGTGCGCTGGCTCTTCCTTCACTTGATCATCACATAAAAGCGGCGAATAAAATATCTCCGTACGCAGAGAAGTATCATCACAGTAAGAATTTAACTAAATTTTATATTAAATTGGGGGCATTGATATTCGACATCTAGCTGTCAAGAGCACTGGTCAGCAGTCACTATGGCTGATTTGTGTCACTTCGACGGGGCTAAATCGGCTCCTTATATACACAACGTAGTAAATGCGTTTATACAATCCTGATCACGTTTCTTCCGTGTAGCTTCTGCAGATTCATAATCGCCGTCTTCCCGCTGCCAGCTTTCGAGAAGTGACAATGTTTCATAGTAATTCTTCCCTAGAGGCCAAGCCCGCCTTTGAACATCCGCGGCTAGTTGTAAGTATTCTCTCGCTAGCTTATGATCGACACTCGTCGTAATTTCATCTCGCGTAGACCGTTGTCTGTTATGCCGGGCCGTACAATATAAGCAAACGAACTCAAGATAGTCTGAGGGTTTCGAAGACAACCGGTTCTGCTCCAATACTCTCAGTGCAATTTTTGACAACCTATCGTCACTCCAATTGCTCCGATTACCGAAAATGAGTAACAAATCCGCTCGCAAGTTCGAAGGATCCTCGTACTGGTCTAAACTCGGTATCGTTGCAGTTGGTATTGAATCAGCCTCCCAATGATTCAGACATAAATAATACCGATGATACGAATCTTTCACGGGTATGATATCCCACGGTTTAAGCATTGTGTAATCGAACGGTTTACCGTCAAATGAGCTCGCGAATCTACTCGAAGCCCATCGCAAAGCCCAGTCCAGAATATCGATATTGTGTTCTAATTCATGCTGCCGCGCAAAATGGGAGAAACATATTAATATCCGATATAACGGCTTATTCACACCCTCGATTGCAGCAGCATATCGTGATAGGTAGTTCCAAAGTTCCTTGATAATCTCTGCGTTGGGATACCGGCGGATCACCATGAGTATCTCGAAGATAGAGAGGAATGCAGATGCGTCGAGAACATGGTGTAAGAGAGCGAATGCGCCCCGGCAGAAGTTTCCTGCTTCTTGATTGCGACCGGTCGAGAAAAGCCAGCACCCATGCGTGAGTAACTGTACGGAATAGAGAGCCTTACTCGCGTGGTGAGAGTCCAGCTTCTTCAGATAGCCAGTCTCTATTGGGCGAGGTTTGATAAATTTCTGGGACGTCCATTCGAAAAACCTCTCTTTGAGACGTAGGTCGTCAGGAGGGTCCAATGGTCTAGGGACGGAAGGCGGCGTTCGACACCTCACGATTGTTGGTGGTAAATCACTGGAGTCAGCCACTTCGACAAGATCAAAGGCGCTGATCCCCCTCCTCCTCATGTACGCCTCCACGTCAATAGGCTTGCCGTTTCTATGGAAAGTACTTTCCTTGCCAATAGCCAGCCGGTGGCGCTGTAAGTAAAGTAGATTTGCTACATCAGCTTGGCGGTTATTCTTGAAGAATTTCCACTGCGTGAGCTTCGTCTTGTACATCTTTTGACTTCGAACGGTAGCTTAGCTAATGGACGGAGAAAAATGAAGGGAAAATAGTATGCTTACGATGCGCGAAAGCCCCATTGGCTTTCCATAATTTCCATTACATCCTTAAGACGTTTATTTTCGTCTAGATATAGACGGGATATTTCCGCCTTATGTGCTTCCCATACATCGGGACTGTGTGTTCTCTTGCGACGGCCACCGCGTTGAGGTGTATGCGCGGTGTCATTAGGTGACTCAGCCTCCTCGGAGGTTTGTGTAACCCGCTCGCTAACCCATGACGAAGGATGTTCTTTTGTCGCCTCAAGAGGTACGGGAGTTGTTTCTTGTTTGTATTCGATAGGAGCTGGTGTTGAATCTACAAAGTCGGGCGGGGACTTTGGGCTCTGAAATAAATGGACGAGGCCTCGGGCCATAGCCTCCGGGTCCCCTACTACCGTTCCGTGTACGCCCATAGGCTTTTTTAATTAGGCTCTTATCCCTTACCGTATGTCGATACGCACGCGGTTAAGAAGCAGGAAGCCCATGATCCTAGGTCGAAGAGTTAAGCTTAGTGGGTGCTATCCCGACCAGCGAGCACTACTCAGCAGAGTCGTTGTCGCATTAGTAATGTCAAAATGCGCTGAGAAAGCGAAAGGCATATGTGACGAAAGGTCGCGTTAAGTAGGTAGGATTAGAGGGAAGAGGGCGGTTTTTCAGTGGGTTGGCGCGCTTAAATTCGCCTTGTTAAGGCTTTAGGGTCAAGCCTACATCCAGGGGGTACGTTAGGTTAGAAAGACTCTTTCAGGGGTTTTAGAGAAGAGTAAAAAATGAAATAGGCGCTTAGAAATAGGTCTGATACATCTATGTATGCACTTCGCAATATCAACTCCATTCTAACATCTATACGCGCCGCTTCAAGCGTGAAAGCTAGGCTGTATTAAGAAATCGGATTTTATAACTTGCTATAAACCGATCCAAAATGTCCCAACGTCCCTCTTCTTCTGGTTCAGGTATGGGTGATACCGATAGCATATGCAAGGCGAATCCGCATAAAAGTAACGAAACCATGATCTCCGACGTTCTCCGAGCGATTCCGATATATCCGATGTAGAAGTGCGCCTTACGAACATGGCATGATGCAGGTTAGAACCAACACTTGTAGAAAAAGAAGAAAAGGAAGCTAGCCACTTTTAAGCGATCAGTCATTTGTGGATTATGTGGCTATAGTCCAAGTTCCAACTCGAACGAATCGAACGCGGATTTGCTTCCAGATTTACGTGTTGTAATATCTACCTCTACCGAGCGGACGTCAATAGTAAGCGTCATCGATAAAAGTCATTGATGTAAATTCTATTTACATCTTCGTGCTTTAGTTGTATTCCCCATCGACTACCTTTAAGAACATGAGGGTAGATAGACTTGTTCAAGCAGAAGCTCGTGCTAGAGCAGCCCTTTTCTTGGCCCATGCCACAACGGCCTCCTCATTATATATCCCTGTCACACTAGGATGCTTAGAAACAGCCTCGACCCACCGGTAAAAATTGGGGGCTTTGGTGGATAGATCGGTGAGGATGTGCTCAGGCACCACGCCGTGCTTCGGTAGAGTAAAGAGACGTAATGCAAACGAGCCCGTTAGGACCTATAGTTTTGTCAATAAGTGATATCTAACGGGCCGGTGGGGTAAGAAAAGGGACCTAATTACCTCGGCTTGTGTGAGCTTGTCACTACCATTGAAGAATGGAGCTGCGTTACCTAGGAGCGGCTCGAGCTCCTTCACAGCTACGTCTACGTACTCGTTTGCAAAGCTCTCCGCCTCGGCGTCCGTCTTCGCAAATTGAGCCTTGAAGAATATGCCGTTCAACTTGGAAATGAAAGTATCGGCAAAGAAAGCAATCCTGGCGCGAAGGAGAGCAGCACCGGGTTCGTTAGATGCGGGAAGAAGATGAGATGGGTAAGCGTCGGCCAAGAAGTTGGAGACTACGGAGGACTCGGTGAGGATTTCGCTGTTGAAGGACAAAGCTGGCACTAGACCCCGAGGGTTTATTTTTAGATATTCCGGAGTACGGGGAACCGTCAAGTCGATAATTTTCTCCTCGAATGGTAGCTTGAGCTCGGCCAGGGCAATGTGCGCCCGATGTGCCCCTTTCCATTCGATTTCGATTAGTTCTCTTCCTAAACATTAGGTACCTAACCTAACTAGAGTAAGGCATCACCTACATGGACAGCCATGGTTCGTGTACAGAATAATCTTTGGAGTTGCCATTGTATGGAGTTGAAGTGGTTGGATGCCAAGGTATCTCGATCGAAGTTACAGTATAAGTTAGGAATATGGACAGTTACATGTGGACATACCAGGTCTATACACACATATATATACTCCTACCTGCAAATGTAACTGAACACTATCATACCTCCCCTTTGTATTTATAAGCTACGACATACGTATCGTGTTTGATGATCCAGATTCCACGGAAACTTGCTTATCAATGCGCGGGGTCGGAAAAGTATCGAAGTCCGAATGGCCAAGAGAAAGCACGCAAGGAATTACGCCATCTAGCTTTGAGCACACCTACTCATTTGGTAGCATCAAAGGTTTCTTAGCTTACCAATAGGGAATCTAGAGAATTACGTAAAGTAGAATATGCCTAATATTGGGTATAATGTAAGATATAAAGATGGAGGATGGGATGGCATATTTAATTCTTTTATCTTCCACTCCTTCAACGGAGTTAGTGAACATGGCATGATATCTCCGGTTTCACAACCCCGCCAAGCAAGGTACACAAATATCGTGAGGAGTTGAACAGAATTATAACACCATTGCTACTCATTAATCACGATGGTCTCCGTAGATTCGCCGTTAGATCTCCGGATACTCTCCATAGAAGAGCTATCCACTTTCATCATGACGTAGAGTTGATCTCATAACCATGTTAAGGGACCCTCAAGTTTAAGAGCTCTTTAGTGACGTCAGAGACTTGTCTATCGTTGTCGTCAATTCAAATAGTCCAAACTCCTGTAATTCGTCTTCCAGTGACAAACTACTATTCTCACGATATTAGCACTTCTAAACCACATAAAACTATCTCGACAACAAACACTTCATCCAAGTCACATCCAGCACATATTCATTATGCCTCGAGACGGAAGCGGTCGAGCTCACAACACTCAGGATCTCTCATCCGAGACTGACCACCACATCATCCACGGAGCTGGTGCTGAACCTAAGGTAAGCTTCAATTATTTCAGAACTAGGAATATACCGAGCCTCGTAATATTCGGGGCGCCTGCGCTGACAATTTCACTAAAAGGACTCCCACGTCGCACGAGCGGATAAGACTGCAGAACTCCCCGAACATGAACATGGTGCTGGCATACCAGGGTTGGGCGCCAGCGGTGGACAGAGTCAAGGTTTAGCGCAAGGCCCGGATCGTGGACAAGGCGGACGCGGGAGCACGAATTAAGTCAACGGACTCGAATAATCCAGGATGGGGGAATGAAGGTGCTGAATTAGAGCATCCAAGGGCTCTGTGTTAGACAGCAGCACCTAGTGTACACACCCCATTACAACGAATTACATTAATAATACATTTTTACTGGCACCATCCGGTAATTTTGATCGCAGTATCAATCCTGGATGGACACGTCCATCCACACCGTTGTTCCAATCGGGTTGATACGGCAATTGGTTTATCGTGAAGTAGACATATCCGTCCCAGCCTACGTTCGCGCTGTCCGGCCACACTATGCGTGGGTCTCGAATGTACGGTAATGTGGTTCGGGTTGAATAGCTGTAGAACTGTAAGCAGGGGTATGCAGCGCTAAATTTCACCCGACTTCAGAATGTTCATACTTGTAGGAATATATAGCATTATGCTCCGGCATCAGCATGTAGACATTACCAAGGCTGTCGCCCGTAAAGCCATTAGCATTGCCGCCCCTCTGCCCCAGGTTCCTGACGTTGTCAGATGCGTCTTTGTTTGCCAGCGGATTGCTATTGGGGTTAATTCGCAGGTATTTAGTCTCTATCGAGTACAGATAATCCGTTGTTAGTGCTGAGTAGTACATGACCTATGAGGCGTCAGCCACCGACCCGATCTAGTTAGGGTCGGATCCCGGTCATCTATCCTACCTCGCCGTATTGGTCTAACTCAGCGCCATCAAGACCCTCTTCTTGAAACCCTAGCGGATGTCCGTTCTGTCGCAAGTAAAATGGTATTCCCTGATAACTGGGCACATCCTCAGGCACGACTTGAGTGCTGGGATGTTGGTTCAGCTGCCGCCAACTTTCTCCCGTCGCTAGGTCGATCATGATAAATCCGTTTCTCCCTTCATTACTACTATCGACGATGTATGCGATACCGCCGCCCGACTCAGTGGCGTTTGGTCTGAGATCGAATCGCAAATCATTCATATAAGAATCTGGGTAATGAACCGTCTCAGGTAATGTGTATGTCTTGCTGATGCTATTCGTAGTCAGATTTACAGCCACCAACTTTGGGCCGCCTGGTATGGCGTATGGCATACTGATTCTTTGTGACTGATTGATGGTTGGACGCCCCGTGTCGAGAACCCACAGCGTGTCATCTGGGGTTACATATAGCGCTTGTACACTAACGAAATGGCTTGCGTCGTTGGACCCAAATGTAATGCCGTTGCTAGAAGTGTAAAGTCCCTGAAGGGGCGTATTCCATTCCAAGTTGGGATAAGCAGCTTCGGCTGTTTCATTGACCACTTCGCCTAAAGTGTACGCATATGTTCCTCGCGTGTAGCAAGTGAAAATCCTGCCAGTTTTAGATACAGCAAGTCCAATCGGCCATTGGTCATAGAAGTAATGGACTTCTTCAACTGGTGGACCATACGTTCCTGTATCAATACGGATATTTCGAGATCCAGTGATCCCAAACGTGCTATTGAGTGCTACAGGGAAGTTGGCTTGCGTCACCACCAAGGCAAGCCAGCCCGCCGAAACACAGGATTGAAGCTTCATATTCAATAAATAGTCACCTCCAACTAGCCGTTCGAGGGTTACGAGGATTGAGGCCAAGTGCTGAATGGCTTTTCTCAAAATAAGGAAAATCTAGCGCGAAACAATCTACACTGCAAACAAGAGTGACTGATTGTATGATGCTGAGACTCAATTCAAAGGCAGCGTCGTGCGGGGAAATGCAGACAAACACATGGAAACTTTCTGATATTCGGTATTTCCATTCTTGTCTGAATGATCGAGTTTGCTTCCGACATAAATACGAATTACATTTAGGATAGGGATGGACAGTCAAAGCATCCATATCCCTTCACCACACTCATCTCCTGAACATCTGGTGGTTTAGTTTTAAATGTCCAACCACTTGCATCATTTCTTATAATACTGAGTCCCTTTTTCAGTGGCTCATTTCGTTGCCAAAGACATGCCCCGATGACACCCAATTCGGACACAACCGGTCCCATGTGGGTGTCAATCGGAGAAATCAATACTCCATGCACCAGTGGGGGGTTGATCATTTCCATTAAAATGAATCTGCTCCATTGTGACCTCGGAATGGTTCCAAGAAAAATAGGGATATCTTTCCCGTAAACATTGTGGCCGCCGCCTTCAAGCGACGGCTTTAAAACGTAGTTTTCAATGGCCTGTTCATCTGATATTATATCTTGAGCTCTGATCCCCATCTCAGATTCATCAACCGGGTAATGGAGCATGAATGTCTGGCGTAAGATTCTAGCCGCCGAGGGGGAGAGGAATCGCTCCAGAACTCCAGGTGCCGTTAGCTCTTGTTGAATCTTTTTGAAGCCGGCGATGTGGGATAATATCGTCGGGCATTTTATTGCTCGTGACCTTTCAAGCATGTATCGGGCCTCGATGCCATGTTGATCGTATTCATGCGAGTCATATCCGGCTCGCTGGTAAATAACTGAGATTTCGACGGCTTCACCTCCAAATGATGGGTGAAAAAGCAATTCTCGATTTGGGCCTAGGTTACACCTCTGTAATATTTCACCACTAAATTCAACACGGTAGAGTGATACGGGTGTTTCGCACTCCGATAAAGCATACTCAATAGGCCGCTCATCGCAGATGTTGGCATTATTTGGTTGTACTGTCATGAGTATAGCTGTTTGTCTCGTCGAGTTTGCTGGTGGGTCGTATGCTCTGTGAGCACAGACGAGGCCTTCTACAATGGATCGAATTGCATTATTCGTGGGGACACGAGCTGCTTTATGAATGCCCTTGCTCGCAATGTATCGATGCATGTTCGTAACGATATTGGAATGCACTCCTCCCGCACATGAATAGGTATTGAATTCAACTTGTCTAAGTTCTGAGCCCGCCCACGTTAATTGCGTCGGGGCAGCACTTCTGTCTTGGGAACCCCCATGCAGCATATAATCGCTCCTGAAGATGCCACATCTTATCTGTTGGAGCTCTCCTTCGTCTCTTACACGTTCCCATATCGACCATAATTTCGAAGCGAACTCGTCGACTTCTCCTAAATTTTGGACAATTGGTTGAAACCAAAGATCATCTTCGGCAATATTCATATACAGCTCATTGAATAGCGCCTGAATATTTAAAGCATGCTCGAATTGTTGGCGGGGAAAAGGAGTTGGAATAATGCTGATGCCAATCGGACGAGCAATGGCCATTGGTAATTCGGAGTCCGTCCACCCTCGAGGAATCTTAAGAAGCGAACCGTGGGAGATCTGATAGTCTTCCAGTTCCGACAAGATCTTTTCCAGGTAGTCTTCGCTTAGATCTGGCACTTGCATAATAGCATTCAAGGTTGGCGAAAACAGATGAAAACGAACATTCCGCTGAGCAAGATTGTTCATATTAGTACTGTATCCGCTGATGAACGGATGAAACCCCGCTTCCTATGATCGACTCTAGGACCTTTGGTGCCTTTGATAGGTCAAAGCTGGGACGCCACTGTGCCACTCCTTGAGTTATTTTCTCCAAAGTGTCAAGATATTCGAGGCGCATCTACTTAGATTAAGCTTGTCTTCAGTTCATAATGTGCTGATAATCAATAGTTCGTCTTTACGTTTTTCTAAACCCAGTAGGTAAGTAGGCATGTGTGATCTATGCCCCTGCTTTGACCTATCGCTACAACGTTAAGCAGAGTATATTGACGGTAAGGCACGCTGGTACCCCCTATCAGAGTTCTCTCGCCCTGAACCAAGATACATACCATCTATTGTTAAATGAGTATATGTACAGGTAAATGAAGCCATTAGGAATGCGCACTCCTAGAGTATGCCTCAGGTATTTAATTGGAATAAGAAAAGGGTCAACCCGACCACTTTCCAGTCTATTAGCACGGATCCCATCACCACAGGAGTCATAGAACAACTAAGCTTCATCGTCCGAAGTTAAACATTTATTATCTAGAGCTTTGGCTTTTTTTCATATATTACAAGTTTTACTTCGCTCATATAATGGCCGAGTTAATATTTGTACAAACCATTAAATTTCCCTAGACTTGTCCTCCCATTTATTTTCTTCACATCCTCTCTACCCGTCTCATATTCTACTCTTCAAACCCCCCTTTCTCAATACTCTTTCACCCACATTATCCTTGTATGTAGACAAGGAAATAGGTATCCCAATTATGTCGCGCCAACGTACGTCTACGTTCGGGAGGCGAGACCGGCCTGTAGCCGAGAAGGCGGGCTATCAAGCACTGTCGCAGGAGTCATCCAACACCACACTGGGATTCTGCGACCGCCTACGGTCAATATGGAAGTCCTTATTCCGGAGAAAGCAGAAATCTCAGAAGTCTTCAACGGCAGGAAAGGGAAACGCCCCATTTCAAGAGCCGTCATATTCTTACGGGAATGATACCGTGTCCACCATTGGACAACGGATAATCCCAAATCCCACCGGAAATCATGTGGAGTTCCACTACCAAGCCACGGCGGTAGTGGATCATGTTAATACTGGTAGACGGCCAGATGAGGATGAACCTTCTCACCCGGCGTCAACCCCCTCAGTGAATCTACAATCTGATAACCGGCGGCTATCTTGGCTAGAGACCAACCCGTCTCGAACCAGTGGACGTGGTGAATCTCTTCCAGTTGCTGAAACTGCACACCCACCAGTGGTTCCTATAGAGAATCAAGATCCTAGAGAGGATCCCGATCAGACGAGCGAACGGGAAAAGACTCTACGCATACTCGAGTCCAGGGATAAGCCATCAGGTAGTCGATCTTGTTCCCCAGATACAATGCGAAGGCACAGGCGATCCTACCAATTGGCAACCGATCCTCGTATTGATCTTCAACAATATATTGAATTTCAGCACTTCCTCGAACGAGAAATTGCTACAGATCTAGCCCTTCGTCTAGATGTCTGGAGAAGCCTAACTCAAGAGTTGGGTAACCGAGCTGGACTTGTTATACACCCAAAGACCGGAATGAAAACGACAGGCTTAGGAACCGGCCGCCCTAAGAGTGGGCAAATGCAGAGAGCAAGTCGAAACAGTTACCCTAACGCTATGAACCTAGGACATGAAACCTCAGTAAGGTATTCCGACATCAATCTTACTCCAACGCGCCAAGATAACAAATGGAAAAGACGTAATTGGGCAAGTTCTGGTCCAAATGAGTCGAAGTCATACATGCCTCCCGGTGGATATCAGACAGGAATCCCCCCAGCGACAGGAGACGCCAACCCAAGAAAAAGAAGCAGCACTGCGGCTCATACGATGCACGAACAATCACCACATCTCGAGGCCGACGAGGAAACCTCTTGGCAACGGAGAAACGATGCCCGGAAGAGGCAAAGTTTACCCAACAACATCGGATCGTCAAGTCTAAATGCTAGCGATAGGCGTGCATCCATTTCAAGTTTCACTCAGTTCTTCGCACAATACATCAAGCCGGATATTCCCGTTACTACCCGTGGGGACTCCGAAGGCGAAACTAGTGAGACTAACCTGCAGAATGAAGTCAATAATGAATAGTTAGGCATCTTGATGTCTAGATAGATGTTACGCGGTGTTTTACGATGACACAGACGTATCTTTTGAATTGACCTATCAGTAAAAACACACATTACCGCCGAAATAATCTCAAAAACGGCATTTTGTCCTTTGGGAACATACCTATCTCTCGAACACAACGTTAATATGTCGAGTTTGCTTCGAATCCGCTAATGTTCGCGACCCGGTGGCTTACCTGGACCCCCAATCCAAAACGCTATGTTGGGCGGCTGTTGGCTTACCGGATGCGATCACCGTGCAGCTTGGCTAGTATGATGATTGGATCGGTCGGGCTTTACTATGTAGTACGAAATACTAAGCCCCTCGCGATCTTGCAGCTTCGCGCCTCTATGATCTTCGATTCTCCTCACTCGACAAGTAGCTACACGAAATTTAATAGACTACTCGACCCCCCAAATACGCCATCGTCGCTATCCCGTTGACAATAATAGCCAATGCGTATACCGTCACTACTTCATTTTTTTCTTTTTCCAACAGCCTAACTATCATTGAGGGCCCTCGGTTAAATACAGACGCTTCGATCTCATGGCGGGCAAAAAATCCATCCCGCAGGAGCGGCTTCCAGCCCTCCAACAGATATATGACACACTTTGTTTCTACCTCGGCTTTTACGACGACGAAAAACACATGGTACGCCAGATTTTAGACAGCGAATTCGTCAAACCTTACTTCAAAGAATACCGGCGCGACTATCTTGAAATTACCACACAGCTAGAGGATATCGATTGCGATGAGTTATTTGGGTGGTGCAGATCAGTGAACGCCTTCGCATCGCCTCGATACACAAGCTCATCCCCGAACAAGGAGGGCTGGACAGCACTCGACCACGCAGCACACTTTTTAGTTCACGTGCTTCACTTCAGCTGGCAAAACGATGGAGAATGGACACATGGCAAATTTGACCCCGATAACGACCAGAATATCGAAAGTGATACAGAATTTCATCAGGTTTGGGCCGTCCTCCGATACCTACAAGCTGAATGGGAAGCAGCCAACATGGAAGGATGGGAGGTTAGTGGTTTGGATGAGACTTTTGCGAATTTGTTGTCAAGCGAGCCGTGATACCTCCATGTCACTAGGATATCCATTGTTGCGATGTTTCTTACAATGAGCCATGTATACCAGAGTTGTAGCTACTTTTGTGCGGGTTTTTAATATATAACTTGTTGGCCAATTTAACCTGAACCGCCGCTTTCGTCCATATGCGATGAACAAACCCTCTACAAGTCTTAACGTTGCTCCAACGCTTAATATATTTAACACATAGAATGGCGACATACCAATAAACCATACCGTGTAACATGGCCGGTAATAAGCTGGGGGTTACCTACGCAGGAGGGTATAACAGAATGCAGTCTTGATGTAGGTTCCCATTTCATCTGGCATAAGGCGTATTCGTGAGCTTGTGTTGAAATACAAGTATAATTTGGTCACCGGTGTTGGCTTAGGCCATCCAATCTAACCAGGCCCCATACTCCGAGTTTGGGCGTCATCCCGAACTTTACCGACATACGGGTTGACCTTCCGTCCTGTCCGAACGAGCATCTAAATTGGGGGTGAGTGGACGCCGCTCAAAAGACCAATGTCATAGCCCACATCACATTATCGTGCTTTTTACGCCCAGCCTCACTTTTCATCTATCTTACCAATGAGTTCTGGTAGCATTATTTAGTGGCGGCTGGTTGCATCTATGAGGTAGATCCGGGCGTGGGGGTCCCTTGCCCATCTTTACGATAGCTTCTAGCCCTAGTCACCGAGAAAATACTCCAGTGAACTATGTGAAATGTAAATCTCTACTGATTGTCAATAGAAGGAGGAAAATTAGGGGAAACTTTTTAAATAGTAATAAAATATGTATTCTAGAGGGTATCATCACATTCGTCTAGAAATACCGCGCCTAGCTTAAATAACAACATCTATCCAAATTCCAAATAATATACCTAATCAGAGTACCCAATCAAACATTGTGCATGTTCTCACTCCTCCGTTCCTTATCAACCGTAATATCTCTGACACTGCCTGTTGTCGATCCGAGGCGGTCGGAGTAACGGCCTGCCTGGCTACTTCTGTCCGGAACATGAAACCGTTGGTCTACCCTTGTTATGGTCATGATACAAAGTATGATGATCTCAAGGACGAAATTGAATACGTAGAACGGAGCCTTTCCATGGTACCATGCGGGATTGGTGACCGATCGCGGGGGTGACCAAGCTGTTCCCGAACGGAACCCGGCGTTCGTTATACAGAGGCAAGTGATTAGAATAGTAATGATAGCCTTCGCCTTTACGCTGCCCGCCCCAAAAGTCTCTTCTATGGGAGATCGAGGCAACAAATAGGCAGCAGCTATGATGAAAATCGGTAAAGTGGTGAAGACGAGTAGGTAAGTACCGGAAGCCAGCTGAACATCTCGACAAGCTCGTAAGGTGTATGGGACCAAAGTGTAGGTAGATAGGACGGATGCTGTGATTACCATGATGAGAGCACAGGCGATCCCAACGTAGAGGAGCCTGTATATGACACGAAGGGATTTGTGCCAGCCAAGGGTGGGTTGTTTTGCCCGTAAGATCCGTTGGGCGAAGATGAGGTTGATGACATAAACAATGAGTATGCCAGCATTGACAAGTATGTTGGCAGCGATACCAAGACGAACGTTAGTCCGTCGAGTGGCCCAGACTATTCGTAAGACGAGGGTGGTAATGCGTGCCATGCAAAAACCAAACAGAGCAACAGACGGGATGAACTTGTGGCCCCTCCGAGTGTTACTCTGAAATACGGTCATGTTGATCACAGCAAATGATATGTATAGGGCAATGAATACAGCGGAAATTGGTACATCCGGTATGACCGCCGGGAGACCTCCTACAGCTGCCGTGGTAGGGGTGTATGGCGGACCTGTTCGTGATGATTGTTGTTGAGACATGTTTTTCTGTGTTTTCTTGTTCTTTCTCTCCCCGCCTCTCGGTCTTATTCGACACTACCTATTAGGTGTAAATATAATTAGATCAGGAAGAGTGTTGACACCCTTGATATGGTAAAAGAAGATAACAGAATAAAATGTGTACTGGTGATAATTATGATGATGGTGATAATACTAATAAACAATAAGATAATGAATAAGTGTGTATATTATTATCACAAAATTAAGGTTAAAGGGTATAGATTAAGTAACAAAAGAGGTGATGATGGTGTTAGTGGTGGTGGTGGACTTGACGATGGTGGTGTGATGTCAAAATATTTAAGGAATGCCAATGAGGGAATGGGGGGAGTAGGCGAAACAAAATAAATAAAAATTATTCGCATGGAAGCTTTAGACTTGATTCAGAAGTGAAAGCTTGGCGACTCGATGTGAAGTTTATTTATAATTATATATACCCAACCATCTTCTCGTCTATTCTACTCTCATTTCCTCATCAATTAATCGGCCATCGGAGCTAGAAATGCACAAAGATGATGATCGAGTCACGATCGTGAAATGTACTTTTTTCCAAGTACCTTTATGCCTATTTAGGTAAGTTCCCCAATTTATTCAGCTGCGATGCGGAATTTAAACCCTGGAACGGAACCGATATGGCGGGTTCTTGCGTGGGTCACATACATATGTACATGTGTCGGCTCTCATCCGGGCACTCGGTATTAACAAAAAGTCGAGCTTGGTCCAATAACAAACCGTAATAAAGCAAAATCACGGCAACATTAAGCACCGATGACCGACATGTATCCATCCTATGGTCAGTCAAATGATATAATTTTTTCATTTGATACCACTTTCCTGCCATTTTCCATTGTATATGTACCCAAGTATATTATGCATGTTTATAAAGTTAAACTTTCCGTGTAGCAGATGCCCAATATATCGTGCATTACGCCAGACACTTTAAGGGTTGGGCCGAAGGTGCTGCAGAAGGGTGGCTTATGTCATATGATGGGGGGTACAAATCTATTTTGTGCACATTTAATACTTAATAGTTTACGTGTAAATACAAACCTAGAAAAAACATCAACAGTATGAATTATTTCTGGGCTTACAATGAAACCAACCCGAATGAATTAATCAATCAATCAATCAACATCATCGTCATCATCAGTTCCATCTCCACCTTGACCTTTCCCCCGCCGAATTAGAGCATTCTTTGCCTCTTGTAACACAATCGCGGCTCTATTTCGGCCGGCCACACCCATCATCGTAAGTCCCATCTGTCCTGCGTGTGGCCCAGCTCCCGTCCGATTCAATGTTTCGGGTCGATTACGTTCTACGTCGGCCGGCCCTCCTGTAACATCAGCATCCAGTATAAATCTCTGTACGTATAGCCGAATAGTCTCGTCCATCTCCAGCTCCTTATCTGCCTCGCTAAATTCGTCGTTAAAGTAGTCCTCTGGTTTCCTGTTCTTAACGGCCTGTTCGCACTTCTCCAGTAGTTCCTCCATCGACGGCACGAACATGCTATTCCTCGCCATGCACCGCACTATCAGGTCTCGTAACGTGACGTCCATGACTTCAATCTCGCAAAACTCCGGATGTGCGCCCGTTCGCATCTTCGTTTTTCCCTCTATAGGTTCTTGCAGTTCGTATATAGTGGACAAGTCGTCTTCGGCCTTTGCCATTTCCCCGTAACCCAGTCCCGGCACGGCCAACGCGATTATCATCTAGAGCGTCTGTTAGTGTATACTCCTGCATGACTCTGTAGGTATATTAGAAATAACTAACGTGTCCGAGAGCCCATACGTTGTCCAAGTAGGCCTCTTTGAAAGTTCCTTCGGCGTTACCGCGTCCGAAATCGATCAACTGCAGGTACGTTAGCGAGAAGATTCTTGTTTAATCTTTTCTAAGGTATCCTTCAAAAAGTACAGCTTACCTTGAACCTCGGGACCATGCCATGATCATCGTCACCAACCATTAATTCATCAATCATAAGATTGTTAAGGTGACTGGAATTTTGCGTCAGGGCAAACGGCTCTACCCCAGGCAAAATCCTTTCGCGAGTAACTGGCGCTCCCGCGGGGGCCTCGGGGGGATACGCCATTGCAACTACTTGCCGCACCACTAGTATAAGATGCTTAGCTTCATATTCAAGATTATGGGGTGTTTGTCTTCACACTTACAGCAGAGAAGGATTCGCCACAGGAACTGACTTTGAAGGATAACCAATCCCTCGCCTAACATCTTCTCTCGGAAATCTTGGGCGGTGCCGTGGGGGATAAATTCAAGCGCGATGGTGGGACGTTTCCCAGTTCCAGTCACATCAAGCTGAGCATCGGCCAGCGGAATTATTTGCCCAATATGCTCTGCGCCTCGTAACCTCTCCAGCCACTGGGTTTCGTTCCGCAGGTTCGCATCCACCTTCGCATGCAGCGAATACTTTACGACGATTCGTCGAACCGGTACGTCGCCGTCGTCCCATTCACGGAACAGGAGTGCACCGCCATCTGAGGTAATTAAGATTAGTTGGTTAGCTACTCCTAGGGGGTGGTAATGCCGATTCTAATTGGGGGGGGTTACTTACGCCGCCCTATTCCTGCTACACCTATGTACTGCAGTTTGGGATTTTTGGTAAAGTACACCCCAACAGCATCCACATCCGCGGCCTTCCGTATATTCTCAATATCTCGATCAGCCTGATTCGTGGACATTTTCACTAAACGCTTCTAGGAGGTATCTATAGATGCTAATAGACAATAATTGAAGTCATCAATCACACATCGCGCGATCTGAACCTACCGAGGTACTTATACTCCCAGATCAAAATAAAAAAGGGGGGATGATGGGGAAACAAAGCATCACAATAGTTAAAGATAAAAGGAACTGTCTATTGACAAATATCTATTTACTAATAAACGTGTAATTATCCTAGTTACATTGTCTTTATTATCAAAAAATGAGATCAAAGTATCATAATATTTATAACACTTCTAATAGAACCTATCTATATTAGGATAGCCGTAGGAGATATTTCATACCTAAAGCATGCCCGTTTATCGTTATAATATCGTACGTACATGATAAGAACGTGCCACCCCCTATTTTTTTAGTTGTAAGAGTATGCATATGAGTTAACTCAAATAGTTGAAAGGTAGGTACGTACGGTAATAGTTCCCGATAAGAAGCGATCCGGGAAGTTGTGACCTAGCTGAGAATTAGGATAAACTAAGATAGATGATGATATTATTTTTATCATGACAGAACTTAATTTACTACCCATCCCCCATTCTTAACTATCCACTCTTCTCTTAAAGAATACAACGACATCGAATAGCGAACATCAGATTTCTTACAACATCTATTCATACACCAAAAAGCATATACTGTCATATATTTATTCCCTCGCTTTCATCATGGCCTCCGAACCTACCTTAACTTTTGGCGTAGAGCTAGAATTTCTCATCGCTACTAACAGTAGCCACGAAAATAACAAAGAAACATATGAAACCATGGCAAGTCTCTTCCTGGAAAACTTAGCAAACCCCTTACCATGCGCCTGCATTCAGGGGAAATGGAGCAAATACAAAGGTGCCGCGTATCGATATCCGGATGGAATACCCCTTAATAAGAAAGACTAGAAAGATTACTATTGTTTCTTCGGAGATAGTTCAGTAGTAGGCTCCAAGGACAGTACTACGCTACAGGCCGAGGGCAAATCCGCTGTCGGTTTAGAAGTTTCCACTCGCGTTCTTAAATTCGACAAGCAGGGTTGTCCCGAGTTCAGGGCCGCTTTTACTGCGATAACTAAAGGCGGTCATCTCAAAAACAATAACGTCGCCGGAATCTTCAAGCCGGTACCCACACAGAACGCGGCGGTTCATGTTCATATCGGTGTCGAAAATGGGCTCGATTTAGACACCGCCAAGAAAGCTGTCGCCCTAGGATGGCTTTTGGAACCATGTCTCTTTTCTCTTTGCAGCGGGGACAGAGGAAGACTAACACATGCTCCCATCCGAAAGTATTCGGTGTTGGCCAATAAAAAAATAGCAATTGAGGAATCCGACGCGAAAAAGGAGCTCAACGGAGATGGAGTCACCCGCGGAGAAAATGGTATTGATAAAAACTTGGACGATGGCGTACCCAATGACACCCACAAAGATATTCAAGGGGACAGTAACATCTTCGAGAAAGCCGAGAATACTCCAAGACGCGAGCAAGACGGTGAGGATGTTCTCAATCAGAAGGACGAATCAAATGTTACACATGGCTACTTTAGTAAGGGGGGGAAGTCAAGGGTCACAACTCAAGAGGAAGTCCCTCAGAAGATTCCGGAGTTAGGCTCATGCAACCTCCCGATAGAATTCTCGACCATAGAAAGGAAGCGTATTTCGACTATACTCGCGGCAAAGGACATGTATGAACTTGAAATATTGATATCCAGTACCCACGCGATTTCTACGAATAGGCGGCTCTCCCTAGCCATTTACAACAGAGAAGACGATCATACAACCATCGAGTTTCGCCATTTCCAGAGTACGATGGATAATGAACTTGCTTGGAGATGGGTTCGGATCACAGCAGCCATCGTCCAAACAGCATCAAAACCGAAATCCGAATACAGCGAAACACTTCAATTCATCGCGAAAGAATACGACACTATGAAGCTCAAGTGGACAGAGCACATATGGGACCGAACATTTCGGAGGGAAACAACGGACCCCTGGCTGAACAGCTGGCAGTGGATGCTAATACTTCTGGACCTCGAAGACGACATTCCTTTTTGGCGTGATCATCTTTCCCAACTTCCAGAGAGGAACAGAACAACTTAGGGGGATATACCGCTGTGAACTTGTTCCATGCCGACCTAGCGGATAGTGAGACAAGATTTAGATTTGATAATAACCATTGTCCCTTTGTTCTTCATTCACAATGCTAGCGCATACAAGAAGCGAGTTACATGTCTAATTATTAGCGTCGCGATTCAATAGTTCATACAATTCAACTTTACTCGCAAAGAGAATGCCTGGGCGATGTGAACGAACATGTGTAAAGAACTTACGCACCTATATCTCGTTCCCTTTCATCGATTCGAATTGACAAGATATAGCCTAGATGGATTTCTCAGAAAGAAAGTGAGTGCCTTCAGGATACAATAGCGTTCAGCCAATACAATAGGCATTGCTTTCTTTGTAGATTGACAAGGGAAATTTCTCTCGGCTATTTTTATCTTTGTGCCTCTGACTGTAACAATTCCATTGAATTGTTCCAGGTTCAAGGGATAAAATCATCCGTTTGGAAGTAATCAGAAACTCATTTCAAGAAGAGCTCGCAATCCCTTTACTATAAGCCCTGCAGTGTTTAGCATCAATCGAGCAATCCTCAACTCAACCATAAGAAACGCAGATATCGGAATCTACAGAGCAAGCAGGCTTGCTAATCGAAGATGTTAATGACACCGTCATCGACCATGTTTCAAAGCAAAGTGACGAACTGTCAGACCCTCGTATTTTATCATAAATGCGGGTGTAAAAGCATTCAAGTACCTCTCAATGCTTGTAGTACTCCTTTCTGCAACCACGAAACGTCAACTCTGTTGATAGGGGCTCTGCCATCTGCATGTAATAGGCTACCGGCGCGGAAGGATGCTTGCATGGCGAAGATCTTGAAAGAAGCAGGTCTAGCCATGAAATTCCAAAATCTAATCATTCTACCGGCACGTTCTAGAGAACAGATCGATGCGTTGCCCCTCTGTATAGAATTGAAGCCTCAGGACGAGGATGATGGCTATACCTATGAGTTGAACGGACCACCGAACACCCCTGAATCTACCTTTCAAGAAGATCCGGCTAACGCTCCAAATGTTGGTCCAGATACTGCAGAGCTTGAGAAGATTACAAAACGGCTCCAACTTCAACATGAAGCACAATGTGAAGGATCGTGTGCTGACGAGGACCACGAAGAAGCCAATACCGAAACAGAGCCTAACCCAGGCCCAGGTAACGTCAGCGATGATGAACCGGACGAATTTCAAGACGCCTACTCCGTTCAAAGTCGCATTGAGAACGACGTTGAAGACGGTTTCAAAGAAGAAGTGGACGATATTTCAGCTGACCTACCTACGGTAATTAACATCAACGCCGAGGAAGTCAGCACGATAGATAATCCGGATTATTTCAGCCGTGGAGATAAATACGGTAAGCGTTTGGATTTCACTGAGGACATAGGAACGGTCGACGAGGTGGGCTATCGGGATATTGCCGATTTGGACGGGGAAACGGATGACGATAGCTGTGATATTTTTGACTTCCTTGTCTCTGAGGATGAGGATGACGAAGATGATGATTATTATAACGATCCCGTAGAGGAACTCATAGAGAGACCCGCGGTGAGAAGGCCAGAAGCCGGTAGTTTTCTGTCCTATCTTAAGGTATTCTAATTGTCAGGTTTGGTCACATATATATACGACTCTCGGTACAAGCACAAGTCTGGAATTAATAGTTGGTATTCATAGTTGAAATTCATTCGGATACTTTAATTAAGAACAATATATTACATACTCAATTGTAAGGGCATCCTGAGTGTGAAATCCCTCAAGCATATTTGCATTATCTCATAAGGCGATCGTGCAGTCTTCCGACGGTCATATTATCCTTTCCCCTTTTCTCCATCATATCTACCCATTCTTCTACACACTTGTATGCGAACTCATTATCGCAATTCTGCACTGCGCATTCGTAGTCCCTTAAGTAGACCCGGTTGCGGAATATTTCAACCCAGGTGGGGCATTTATCCGTCATCTCAGCGATGAACAGTCGGCGTAGTTGAGTCAATTGATGTTGCCTTAATTCTTTGTTATACCTAGGGAGGTCTTTATTGGCATCTAGCTGTTTTCTAGTAATAGTATAAGGGGTAAGAGGCTCGAGGAGTCGATCCTGTCCTTGCTGCAAAAACGCAGGGAATTGACAAGCTTCGTAGAGGGGAAGGCAAGAAACACAATCCCAGTCAATGACGCCACACAGAACGCCATTTTGGTCAACGAGAATATTATCGAGCGAAATATTGTCGTGCCAAAGCATGGTCGGTTCATATGGCTTCTTGGCCTCTTCAGTAATTTCTTCGTCTCCGTCAGTTGATACTTCATCTTCGTAAGGTGATTTTCCGCTGGCGCCAAACTCGGGCGTTGGAAAAAGGTAGTCTTCTAGCCCCCGGAGACGATCAATGAGCTCTAGCATATTAGCAATAGTACTGCGAGCAGCGCTCTCTGTCATGTCTTGGAGTCTCAACCGAAGGTCAGCAGAAATGAGGCGGAGACGACGCCTGGTCCACTTGATAGCAGTGCGAAAAGGAATGCCGTGACGGTGTATACTGGCGCGCTCGCCCTAAAAGAGCGCCATTGAGACCATCTCGCCTACTTGATACTGTGAATCTGTGACATGCGGTTCTGATAAATATAAGTTACCGATACCCCTAAACTGTTTTTTGAAAGAAGTAGCAGCGTATTCGGCGATCTGCTTAACGATGCGCTCTTTAGCGCCCTGAGTGACGATATTCCAACATTGAGAAAGGGGTTGACCATCGACCCGGCTCATCAAATTCCATTCAAAGCCCATAGGGTTGTCGCGTGAGGAGTGGTAGCATTCGACCTTAGGAACAGGCAAGTTGGTGTTTTCGTGGATCCACCGCAGCGTTGTGATTTCGGTTTCCGTCTTGATTTTGGGGCACACAGGTAGTGAGACACGCATAACGAAATCCTTTTGGTCGTACAAGACGGAAAACAACTTGGCATAAGTTCCGTCCCAAAGGTGTCGCACATTATATTGTTTGGATGGATCGATAGCTTGCTGGAGTGTTTTCACTATGGAATGGATCGTAGGTTCGACGGTCCATTCGGGTTTAGGGAAGCAGATGAGGTCTGTACTAGTCCATCGAAGGCCATACGTTGGATCGTTGCGATGAGAAGGCGTAGGTTCTCTAGGAGTAACAATGGCTACGGTTTCTGGATTATCATCATTGTATGAGGTGGTAGGGTCGCCGAACAAAGAATCGGTGTCTTGAGAGACACTTCGACTTCGACTTTGACTTGAAACTCCCACTCCGCCATCTAAGACATAAACCTCAAGTGGGGCACCACCGGAGGGCTTGTCGTCGTTGGATGACATAGAGAATCTCAATCGAAGCGAAAAGTTAGCGATAATTTAATGTTAGTTAATATATGCTTCTCCGTATTGGAATGTAATGTCTGCTGTCCTGTAAGTGTGACTTTGAGAAGTATGAGTTAAACATGGACAAGTTGATCATGAGATTGAACCAGAGTAAGCGCGTATGTACTGAGGGCCGAGGATTGAAAAAGAGAAGTAATAACATCTTATAAAAAACTGATATGTATTGGAAGTTTCTATCTTCGTTGTCTATTGACTATGGAAGGTCCACGGACAGTGTTGGTAGTGTAGGCTTGGGTAGGCCTTGTCCTTCGATTATTCGTACACAGGTAAGTCATGATTCCCTCATCGGTAGGAGGCAAGTCGACGATAGATGTTTGTCAAAACCAAATTCAAAGGTCTGGAGTTAATAGTTTACATAGTATGAGGTATATGTATTGGTTAAAAGTGCATCGGCTTTGACTTTGTGAATTTAACTACATTATGTACATGTATTATCTGCTTCCCTTTCACACTACGTCATGTGGAATAATTCCAAGTTATGTATTTAGGTACTTATTTGTGCAAAGGACAAAGACCGAACTTTCGCCGATTTTGTTAGGTAAGGCATGTACGATATCGATAAAATACCTCGGTCGGTGCTAATACCGGAGGTATCTGAGGTACCTAAACTTCACAATGAATGTACCTCATGCCACTACTACCTTACAACTTACTAAGGTACATACATAACTAGGTACCTAGGATTCCTTCCCTTGCCTTCCTAAAACTCTTGTAACTCACCCCCCGGCATTGCCCGGTTGTAAGGTTATTCTTTCCCCAGCGGAACGGTCGATCGGCCTTTTCTGCTTTAGTATCGCCAACAATTTCAACCCATCTATTTTTATTTTTATTATTTTTTTTTCTTTCTTGACCCACCATCATCAAACCCGATCTAATTGATATACATACACGCACATCTCCTCTTCCTCCGATCTGTGTGCTTTTGGCCTTTATAGCCTCACCCTTATTTTCTAGCATTGTTCTCTCTCTATTGCGTATTGCGCCAATCCCAATACTTTTAGAGGATAAACAAGATAGACTATTATTACAACTACTACTAAAATGGTTCCCGCACGAGCAGTTTTTGGTGCCTTTCAGCGCCGAGCGTTCTCGGCTTCGGCGCGAAATGTGAGGAAGCCCCATTTACTTTCAATTGACCTACTTGTCTACTTCTGAGCATAGTAGTGATTGTCTTCTTGACTAGGCACATCTAGACTACAAGCCTCGAGGTCGATGAGAGGGCAAAAAAAGAAGAAGAAGAAAAAAAAAAAAAAAAAAGCCCAATTGCTAACCTATTTACTGTCTATAGCTCTCTAAGGTTACCGTACTTGGTGCCGCCGGTGGCATTGGCCAGCCTTTGTCCCTTCTTCTGAAGCTCAACCCCAGAGTTACCGAACTCGCTTTATACGATATCCGCGGCGGTCCTGGTATGTCCTATTCTCCAATGGACAGTCTTGTCTGATTATGGCGCAACTACTACCCAAAATACTCCAACTAACCTGTAATTGACGCATAGGTGTTGCTGCCGATATCTCTCACATCAACACCAAGAGCACAGTCAAGGGCTCCGACCCCACACCTACTGGCCTCGCTAGCACCCTGAAGGGTAGTGACATCGTCCTCATCCCTGCCGGTGTCCCCCGAAAACCTGGTATGACCCGTGACGATCTATTCAACACCAACGCCTCTATCGTTCGCGACCTCGCCAAGGCTTGCGCCGAGTCCTGCCCCGAAGCCAACCTCCTCATCATCTCCAACCCCGTCAACTCCACTGTCCCCATCGTTGCTGAGGTCTACAAGGCCGCCGGTGTCTACAATCCCAAGCGTCTCTTCGGTGTCACCACCCTCGATGTCGTCCGCGCCAGCCGCTTCGTTAGCGAGCTAAAGGGAACCGACCCTAAGGATGAGAAGATTACCGTCGTCGGTGGTCACTCCGGTGTCACCATCGTTCCCCTCTTCAGCCAAAGTGGCCACCCCGACCTAACTTCCAATGCTGAGCTTGTCAAGCGTGTCCAGTTTGGTGGTGACGAAGTTGTTAAGGCTAAGGATGGTGCCGGTTCCGCTACTCTGTCTATGGCCATGGCTGGTGCTCGCATGGCTGAATCGCTTCTCCGCGCTGCTCAGGGAGAGAAGGGCGTTGTTGAGCCCTCTTTCGTCGACAGCCCTCTCTACAAGGACCAGGGTATCGACTTCTTCGCCTCTAAGGTTGAGCTAGGTCCCAACGGTGTTGAAAAGGTCTTCCCTGTTGGTGACATCGATGGCAACGAGGAGAAGCTCTTGGAAGCGTGCTTGGGTGACCTAAAGAAGAACATTGAGAAGGGCGTCGCCTTTGTTGCCGCGAACCCTCCCAAATAAATATGAAAAATCTAGAGCTCAACGTTAGTGAGTAGGCACACATATATAATCCTGAGGAAGAGGAAAAGCCAAACCGCTAGCTCGGATGTGATGCAAACTTCACTTGGCTATGGTGGCCCAGCGTCTCTTGGCTTGGGCTGCTTATATCTCATGGGAAAACGTAAGATTTAGTACCTTGAGAGCTGTATGATAATTGAATCCCGAAAGATATGATTTGATGATACCGATACCTCTGATTTCCACTCTAAATTTGTCCATTCTTCATGATACATGTGTGCTTATTCCTACGGGGTCAATCTCGCTCGCGCAGTTTTAACATCGGTAATATAACAAATAGTTTCCCTAATAGCATCTTGCCCCCATAGCAACCCTACGATTATATACAATACGAGCTTAATATCTCACTGTCCACTTGTGTTTCTACGACTTCTCAACATTTCCGGCTTGCCAATCACGGCTTCCAGTGCCCTTGCCAGGCCCGCCTCATCATATCTCAACATACCTTCCGCTCGTCGCCCGTAAACCCGAATACAATCTATACCTAACGCCGCCAGCTCGTCTTTATCCACTTTAGGCGCCCCTTCGCCCTCCAGGTAGATTAGGTGTGTCACGTATCTCCTCGGTTCAGCCTTACGCTTTTCATCGATAGCAAAGTCGCCCTGGCTCTCGGCAGCCGCACGTGTAATAGCCCGCACGAAATCCGTAGCCGTCAGCGGCGAAGCGCTTGGTCCTGTCTCGCGGTCTACCGAGGAGTTCAGGATTAGCACTTTATACCGCACACCTGAATCGGCAAGTGCTGCGCCCACTCCGCGCAGCACCAGGCTCGGTATGATAGATGTGTATAGACTGCCGATGCTATAAATAACGGCGCCCGCCCGCCGGACCGCGTCTAGGACTTTGGGGTTGGCTAGTGGCCAGATCTCGTGTCCGTACGGGTTTATGTACCAGATGCGTTCGATGCGCGCTGGGAGGTCCTCTTCATCTGCTTTGCTGAAGTCGATGTACTGCCTGCGGAGCGTCGGTAATGATCCGGGAAGTGTTGCGTCTTCGATTCTATCATGCTCTTCCATCTCCCGGAATCGTTGCTGTAGTTGTAACGATGAGGATTCATGATTGTTATTGCCGAGGAGTAAGTCATCATCGGGTAGTGATGTAGGTGCGGATGGGTGCGAGATGGAGTTCTGTCCTGTGATCTGGGTCCCGTTGGCGAGACCTGCTGAGATGTGATGTGTGAAGTTGGTATTTATGGCTGGCAAGGTGGAGACGGTTGGCGGGATGCAGCAGATAGTAGAGAGAAGATAAATGGCTGACTCTAGTGAACCTGTGAAGACGCGCCCTCTGAAAAGGGGATATAATCTCAATGTCAGTCGCGCAATTCATATTCCCACGTATGATATATTATAACACTCATATCATCACTGGCCTTCAGTCGTTACGTGTATATAACGGGAGGGAAAGACGAGTGAACGCAAACGTACCCAGTCAAGAATAAATTCCCGATACTAGCTTTAGCGAAGTTAAAGACGGAACTGGGCCGAGCCCTCTTCACTATCTCGAGATTGACGAGATTGAAGACAGACCGAATGAGCTCACGTTTCTCACTTGAGATGTTGGTCCATAATTTGTCTCGTCCTTCGACGATATCCAGCCATTGTAATCGCGCCTGGACTGGATCCGAGGATAGTCTGTGGTTGAACAACCCCTTGATGGATGCTCGTTCCGCATCCGTCTCCGATCCGGGAATTAAACGCACCAACCTACCTTTTCAACGGACATGATTGTCAGTAGGGAGTATCCGTAAGAACGTACTTCCAATTCATGAAGGCGGAAGGGTGAGCCTTAAAAGAACATACTGCGAACATCACCAATGCCTGTACTACCCGTCAGCTTGGCCGACAAACAGAGGTGCGAAATGAATATTCAAATACCAGGACCACCAAATACACGAATTAGCTCGGATGAACTTCCACCATTGTCACTAATGGGTATGACATAACTAAGAGAGCAATTTCGGCTCTCTCTGATATCTTCGAATACGTCTACCAGACTATTGGTTGCTGTACCACCTCCGAAGACCACAATGCCTCTAGGTCGAGGAGTGTCCATGATATAGGTGCGATGATACAAAGACAGCGTTACATATGTATGAATATAAAACGAAGGTAGTGAATAACCCGCAGGTCATCTCAATTCTAAATCATAGTATCAAGGTGTTAGAAATGTAAGTTAAAGATTAGCTGCTCGCGTGATAAGACTGTCGATTTACCATAAATACCTACCTAGGTATGCATAGATTAATGCTTTGTATAAATTGTCCGAGTCGCCTAATCGGGTTACCGTTCGCTCTAGTTAGTTAGACTACAGAACATTATTCCATAATAAAGAGAGGTGGGATTCGTAATTGAAGCTCCCGAGGTTCGCCCGGTTCTATTCATCCATATACTATTACATGTAATGTGTGCATACATAGCAATCCATAAGAGTACATAAGTTGCCATATTCCTGAATGAAAAATGGAGTGGTGAAAGGTTCCCGTCTATGAATCTCCATTTTTCTATATGTCTACAATTGTTGACGTCTATGCATCGACACCTCCTTGACTCTCATGCAGTAATTTTGGTACCTAGGTATGTACGCATCAAGATAATAGGAGAATCATCGCGCAGCACGGGTGCCTTGACCCCATTCTCGAATCTTCTCTCTTCGCTCCTCCAACTTGCGCTCAAACTCTTCCACTTTCTCTATCCGTTTCCTCTCCTCTTCGGCATCTTTTACTGCCTTCTCCGCTGCTTTCCTTGCCCTCTCGCGCTCGTTCTGTTCTGGTCGTCGGGCTGCGATGTCACGAGGACGGAAGTCGCTAAAAAGTCGCTTTAGCACCACCTCAATGAGCCAGCAACCAGCATAGTCGATAACCATGATGGACGTCATGGTAGTCTTGAACTCGTTACTGAACTTCACTAGCTTCATCTGCTGATTCAGCTCAGGGATAAACTCTGTTGAACAAGAGAAGGCGATAGCAGTAACCGAAACTATACCCCAGAACATTCCCTTGTTTTCGGAAAGAGATTCTCTGAATGGTCGGCCTTGGTAGTTGACTGCGAAGGTTGATATTTGCTGGATTAACTGCAGGAGGTACACGGCACTATTCAGTAGCGACGGCGAAAATTCAGCCTCCAGGTCAACCATTTCAGATCGACTATGACGTTCAACATTAGCAATTCATTCTGAGTAGAGAATAATGTAGAGAAACTTACGGTTCGAGTTTATCGCAGAATCGAGCGATGTAGATTAGCGTCGCTATATGAACAGCAAATTGACCCAGAATCGAACCAATGATGTAGAAATTAAAGATATTGGGTTGTGGTCTCTCTTTCGATAAGCCCTCGACAGACCTGGCTCGGGAAATGGAGAGGAAGCACACACTCATCAACATTCCGCTAATCGTGATTTGCCCATCGCCAAACTTGATACCTTCGAGGTAAAGAACGCTAAGACTGTAGGCACTAATAAGACAGTTGAGAGCTAAGATCTTGTACATCTGGATCGTCGCCACTAAAGTACAGCGACCTTGGCGAATAATGTTAGGAATGGCGATGACGTTTCGAAGCTTGCTAGTAAATGGTGCGGCAACTGAGGCATCCCCTAGTTTAAGCGTCGGCGGTTCATCGTCGCCCAATTCCTGTTCCATCATTGCGCTTGTCATCTTGTCAGCAAAACCAGCGGCCTTAGCAGCAGCTTCACGTTGCTTAACAGTTCGTGGATCATGATTCATCAATTGCTGAGCCGCAGGGCTAGTCACCGTTTCGATATTGGTACCATTTAGTCTTGCAAGCTCTTGGGTGGTGATGCCTCTCTTCTGTGCTTCTCGTTCCAATGCTTTCTCGTAGTGAGGGTTCGAGGGTCCAGGGGGGTAAAGATGGGCGATGATGGCAGGGACAGGCGGCGCAGGTTGGTTGAACCTCTTCATGAGATCAACCTGTTTCTGGTAGAGCTCCTTCATCTTTGTGTTACGCGAGTGTTCTGCAATCCTAGTTAAATCTTCCTGGGTGCCGTTGAGAAGGGCTATGCCAATATGAGCTTGCTTTAGGGCGCCAACATCGTTAGTACCATCTCCAGCCATCAAGGTAAAATAACCCATATCCTTCAAACCCAGAAGAATTTCTTCCTTTTGCTTTGGAGAGACGCGAGCATACACCCACGTATAGCGCAGAAGTGATTGCCAGGCAGCGACGTTGTCCTTGAATTTGGCCAAAGCATACCCAGTTACACAGATATCCTTTGTCTTGATAATTTCGGGGTCAATTGGCTTGGACGCGTCGACCTCAATATTGACCTTGTCGTCAACGCTACGCCAAACCAATTTCTCCCCACCATCGTTCCGCTCCGGAGCATCCAGGATGAGGACATCGCGGTCAACGATTTCGACCTCCCTTGCAACGTGTACTGCCGTAAGCGGGTTGTCTCCGGTGATCATGACGACACGGTGGCTGCTCTCATTCAACATCTGCACCGCCTGCTTGGCATCGTCTTTCAAGGGGCATTGAAGTACCAGGAAACCAGCGAAGGTAAGATCAGCCTCAACTTGTTCGCGCTTTAGGTCGTTGATCCTACTAGATCCAAGCTCGCTGTCAAAGGTAAGCTGCTTATACGCGAGAGCAAGCACTCGAGAGCCACGTCGGGTGAAATATTTAAACGTCTCTTCATAATCCTTGGGAACGGTTACAAGCATTCTCATTATGGTTTCCGGAGCACCTTTGACGGCAACGAAAGTACCGCGTATCTTATTACCAGTCTTAGGGTTCGCAGCATTCACAGTGGCGACAGAGCTCTGGCGTTTCAAAGCAGACGAAAATTGGAAGCGGCGCTTGACCTGGACGGTGCCGGAAGTACCGCCTACGGCTGTGATGGAAGGTTTCGCTGCGAGAGTGTCGTTTTTTCCTAGAGCCCAACCGAGTGCCGAGAGGGTGGCCTTTTCCATAGGATCGCCAACGATTTCGCCGTCTTCAAGCTTGACAAGAGCATGGGCACTAGCCAACACAAGGGTGGTTTCCATTCCAGCCTCCTTGACAGAGGTTAAGTGGCTGTGAGCACCATCAGATTCGCGAGGAGTGTTGGTGCCAGTGTGACCAAGGCCAAGCCCTGCAATACCTTCGACAACCAAATCCTCGCCAGTGAGTGTGCCAGTTTTATCGAAACAAGCCACATCGATACGACCAGCGAAGGGAATACGGAAGGGTTCGGTACAGAAGATGGCAAACTTGGCTAGAGCCGCCAGACTAGTGTTGACTGCAAGACTAAGCTCCATAGGAAGTTCCGGCGGCACAACACTGGTGACAATTAGAACGCAGTCAAGGAGTAGCTTTGACCTCTTGCGATCTTTCTTGACACCCTCGTCCCAGACATACCAAGAGGCAGCCAAGGCGAAAATGAGGAGGAAGAGAATGAATAGCAGGGCTTCTACATTGTTTGCCGAGACGCGCTCCGTTGAGTAGATCATAGTCCGAACAAGACTACCCTGAGATGTTTCAAATCCAGTTTTCATCACAATGGCCATAGCGCCGTTGTCAGGGGGCGGGGGGACACCAGAAGCAAGCTTAGGCTTCTCCTCGTCAGGGTTACCATGCGTAACCTGCAATACTTTGGTGCCACCCCAAAGAAAGGCATTTTTATCGAGGCCCTCGGTGTCGATAGGAGCATCGCCAGGTCTTAATTGTATAGAATCCTTCAACAACGGCGTGCTTTCACCTGAGAGCATGGCTTCATTGACGATAGCGGTACCCTCTACCAAAAGCATATCACACGCAACACCACTATCCTCTTTAGTTCGCCCAACAGAAACGAGATCGCCCGGTAGGAGTTTGTCGCTTGGAATCTCAGTCCATTTGCCCAGCCGGTAAACCCACATGTCATATGGCTTAATGCTCATGCCTCGGAATTCGTTTAGGGTTCGCTGCCTCTGCCAGACCACCGTGCTTTCGAAAGCGACGAGCATGAAGAGGGTGAATAAGGAGTAGTACCAATATTCATCCAACATCCAAAGGCCAACACAAAATACTTGAAAGACGAAGAAAGGAGCAACCGCATGTTCTCGGAAGAGTTCGGTGAATGTGGGGACCGGGATATCGAAAGTGTTGGTACCATAGTATTGCTCAATCTTTGCGAGTTCGGCTTGAGAGCTAATGCCTTTCGACTTCTGAAACTTCCCGATCGTAGGCTTCGGCTCGGCGTCGATTTCGTAGGTCAGGGGGCTGAAAGATTGCTTGACAGGGTCATAGAGGAAACGGCGCTTTTGGAACAAGAACGACAAGTTCGTTTTGTCGCCAGTCTAGGACGCGCAAAATTGTCAATCACGATGGAAACCAAAAACGAGATAAATAGAATACACAATACAAATAGTAGTCGTAACAAAGCATGGTAGGGTACAGTACGGACAGAGAAGAAAACAAGAAGTATATACCTTGTCGCGGATGAGCTTGCATATATCAGCTGAACCAGCATTGGCGATGGGGATCACCTTGATCAACTGAGCATCCTCAATCCTTTTCGCTCTGGTAGCCGTAAAGAGTGCCTTTAAATTGACGCTCCAGTTGGTACTAAGCCAGGCCAAGCTCTGTAGAGTAATAATGCTACCGCACCAAACAAAGGTCCACTCAGAAGATGCGATGTGTTTCGCGTATAATTCGGGGGTATAGAAGTATCTCGCGAATATAGGCCATATTATGGCAAACGGCGCGACATATGCGTGAAGGTAGATGGGCAGCGGCGAGAGCAACTCAGCGCCCTTGATCTGGGGATTATCGACGAGAGTCATGGTCAGCCTGGGCCCTACGGCGATCCCATAAGTCAGAGATCCCGAGGATTGATTGTGTGAACCGTTAATACTTTTCCTTATCCCGTTTGTCAATTATATTCAGACGGCGGGGGTCAAGGAGGACTGAATGGATTCATCAAACGTAGATGTACTACGTATAACAAGGGGGGGGAGCAAAAAGGTGGTTTTTTGAACCGAAAGTTGTTAGCTGTCGAAAATCATAGATAGTGGATAAGATACACCAAGTATAATAGACTAAGTGACGTGTGGCAATACTCTAACTTGGCAGTTGGCAGCAGCTGTCCCTTAGCTCCAAACCATCAAACTTAATACGTATACTGCAGCAACCTGATTTTTATCGATAAAAATTATACAATGTATAATGTACATAAAGCTTTTATGAATATTTAAAATAAGCATATCAGAAATATGCAAACCAAACATATAAATCCTACTCTTACGATCGTTCACATCACCAAACCTCGTCACCATCCGGCTCCCATAATGATAACTCTTCATTATTTTCGATAATAACATCAGTTTGATACCGATGTTTCGTTATGAATTCATTGTTCAGGCCATCCGACTCGTCGTATTGTTTCAAGGCCTCGTCCCTCGTCCTACAGATACCCTTTTTGGTCCTTCTATCGGCAACTCGCTCCCTGCATAGCTCGGGACGTACGTGAATAAACCATTTCTCATCTACTAGACTTTCAATGTTGTTCCATGGTTCTCTATCCGCCAAGAGGTATATGCCCTCGAAAATGATAGCCTCGGTATCTGCCTCGATAAGCTGGTCGTCTTGCACGGGATCGCGCCGTTCCTCGTCAAAGCTAGGAGCACGAAGTTCATGGCCCGGCCCTCTCTCGCGCAGAACCCTAAACATTCTCAATACCGCATTTCCGTCAAAGGTCTCGATTGCCCCGCGTCTCTTCATCTGCTGCTTCGAGAGCTCTGCCTTGGGTTTCATAAACCCTTCGATAGATATCACTTGGCATTTGACGTGCTGTTGTGAGACCTTTTCAGCTATCATCGCGGCAAGAGTAGATTTACCACTTCCAGGTCCTCCAGCAAGCGCAACGAGACAACGCTTCATTCGCCTCCCATTATCCTGGAAGGGTATTCGTTTGTGACGACGAACAATACGGTTGGCCTGGCGCTGTGCAAGTTCTTCCTGGTGCATTTTGATAATTCATTGATAACGAATAAGGGTCAACGAACGGAAATCCAACATACGACTTTCAATGGGCAGACATCTCTTCCAACTTATATCGATCTCGTATCTACTGATGTTCAACTGACGCGCATCAAGGTAACCGCATCAGAAACGATGACTTCAACATATTCCTAGTATCTCGGGCAAGCCTACTAAAAAAAAAAGGGAGCAGAAGTTATGAATCTCCATGGTTCTAACTTTCCACTATCAGTACCCAAGGCCGAACGAATCTTGAACCATTCCCTGGTAAGATCCCCGCGTATATCGTTACTTTACCAATAGCATCCCGGACAAAGCAAGGATTGAAGAAACCAATTCTATCATTCACCCCATCACATGTGCAGTATCTAATCTAGTTAAGTATGCATATAATTGACAAGAAGATGAAGAATGACTCAACTATGAAGATATAGGTTGTCGCAGGCCCTGGAGGACACTCAATGTCTCCAATCTAATCTCCATATCTTCCGAGCCCCCTCTCAAGCTAATATAGTTCTTCCCTTCGGCTAGAGTAACAGTAGTGGAGGCTGTGATGTACTTCCTCTTACTCGGCAGTAAATATAAGCTCCCCGAAGGCACTTGGTTGACTTCAATACTCAATTCTGCTGTCGCGTTGCCGGCATTGGAATAGCTGACGGTTAGAGTCGTCTGACCACCAATAGAAACGATCCCAGAGAAAGCCAAATTACTGTCCGCCCTCAAACCCCCAACCACAGCCCCATTGGCTGTAGCAGTTGAGATCTTATCGAACACGACGCCAGTTTCTTGTCCCGTCAAATAAGCATCAACCGCGTAGTAAGTTGGACCAAGGGTAGGCGGTGTCCAAACCTCTAGTTCACAGACACCAACATAGAGTTTATGGGATTGGCGATACAGATTGACAGCTAGGAGCTGAGTTTCAACTTGTTTGAAGTCGAACTGGTTGCGGTCATTGGATAAGAAACTGGAGGAATCATTGAACGTGGCTAATAGCCCCTTGGATCCGTAGATCTCTATACGAGCCGGCACATCTATCCCCCCTCCTCGCGTAATATCTGAATACAACGCAAGCGTAACCGAAGACACATTCCGCGGGCGAGCAAACTTGATAGTTAGAGTGTCATTCTGATTAGGGGACTGATAATTTGTCCATCTATTGTCAGGAATCGTGTCGTAGAATAGAACACCATCAATGGCTTTATACTGAAAATCTCCAGAATTGGTAAATGTCGCTTCAGCTACTGGGTATTGGCCAGGTCCCGTTGGATTCGCTGTAAAATGTCTAACATTAGCGATCAATCCACCGAATTGTGTTCTCGATGTATGATGCATTGGGGCCTGGTGCTACTAACCTGCAATATTGACCAACGCATAGGTCGGTAATATCGGGGGAGGGACGAGAATCGAAGTATCCTTCTTTACACCGTTATGCACCTTCTTACCATCAATAAAGACTGTTAGGCCCCGACCCTGATGATATCTTGAACCGTATTTATCGTATAATAGGGTCACCAAGTGGCCGTGATATGGTAAATTCTCGAGCGCGAAGTAGGTCCAATTCTTCGGGACGATAGGGGAGATTTTTAGTACATTACCTTCCTGTGGGATGACTCCGAACAACCCGGTTATAACATCGTCATTATTAGTTGAGTGATCATAGTGCTCCGAATGGTTCCAACCATCCGCACTCCAGGCGTTTAAAAATGGATAATGAGACTCGGCAACATAGGGTTGGCCGTTCTTTTGTTGGGTCAACGCATACATTCGGAGGTATTGGAAGTATTGTTCCGCCGTAACATTGGTAACTCCAGAACGGTATATCTCAGCAAGTGATTTAAGGGTATGGCTCGTCGAATACGGCCAAGACATTCCATTCCAATAGCAACCTAAGACGAATGTCAGCAAAGTACCCCAACCCCCCTTTCATACTGTTCTCGTCCTTTATCAGGGAATCTCATACAATAACTGTCTGGCCTAATGGCCATAAACCATGGGTCTCGTATCTCCAACGTTGTTGGGCCATATGGTGCCAAGAAGCCTTCCAAATCAAACATAGAATCGACGGCCGGCTGAGCATACGTCTTATTTAACCCAATGCCAAAGCGATAGGGGAACAATCCAACTTGTTCTCTTCCAGTCAATCGTGTTAAGTTGGGGTTGTTTGGCCGGATGATATCCATGAAGAACCGTTGCTCTGGAGCCCACATTCGTTTATACATGGCTATCTCGAGGTCATCTGCCAAGTTGGAAAATAGGATTTCACGGAACCCATCACGGGCAAGTTTAGCAGCCCTAGCAATGGCCCGGGAATTTGCCACCATATAAGCATTGTGACTAGGCCTAAATGTGTCAGGTCCATCCTTCCTTAGGGTCCAGTCTGTGTCGTTCGGGTCGGCAACAAACCCGGGTAAGGATAGTTCCTGGGCATCCCATACTGGCTGGTAGTAATATAACCCGGCTGCTGCATCGAAAACCTGATCCCATTCGTTCCATAAGCGAACCATATCGTCAAGCTGGGTGGCGAGGAAACGAGAATCTCCCGTGACCATAGCGCGACGGCTCATCGCGTCAAGAATCCATTGGGTGTATTGTAGCGCGTCAGCCGGCCCGCGCGTATACAGTTGAATATAATCGTCACCGTAAAACGCATCTCTTAGCCACCTTGACTCGTCAATCTGATGACCCGCGGCGGCATCAATAGACCCAAAGGCTTTAGCATAGCCGACCGGTTGGACAAATTCGGTACACATATAACCCGTCCCAGCTTTGATATAGCGAAGATTCCGCTGGATAGACGTCCACCTATAGTAGTAGACATCTTGAATGAGGGAGTCGGGGATATCTATAAAAGGTATGTTTCTTTTGAGAAATGTTTTACCGGCGAAGGCGCTGATAGGTTCGTCATGATCCAGGAATGAGGTACCCCTGACGACCTCAGGCTCAGAGGGGGAGAGGGCTTGCTGTGCAAGTGTCGCATACACAAGCACGCACAAGATGCCAATGGCCGAGATGAAAGCGGCTACTTTGAGCAAAAGGTAGTCGGCATCAGAGGGTTGGCCATCTTTTCTCTTCCTCCTACCAATAGAGTTCGGTTTACTAGAATGTCGGGGTAATGATTCAATTTGAACCTCTGACTTAGAATTCCTCAGTCCAGCTGAGACCAATGAAGCAAGCGCTTTGTATGGATTTGATGCCATTTCCTATTGAGCGTTTGAGATGTACCTACGCACCACGTCCAGGTAGCGTAGGTACCAAGGTAGGGTTACCTCCTATACAACCTATCAGATTTGCATGTATCGAAGAAATATAGAGTGTAGTATAATTTTAAATGGTTCAATGAGACACGGGAATAGGAGGGGTGGATCTCAAGATCTCCCAATGAGTCTCCCTACCTATAGTAGTTGCAGGCGTATGAACAATTGAGATGCATAAGAGATGGAGGGATGGCTAAGAAAGCTGTTGGTAAGGCGACGCTAGGTAACAGCCCGATCGACCTACGTCACTAAATTCAGGGAATATGTACCTAAATTACCCCATTGTCAGATGGAGATTGCGGGGAGAGATGGGGCAAACGTCTGACCTGTAAGGCTCAACCACCTGTACCTACATAGTAGGTTGTACCTAGAGCGTGCTCGAATACAAGGGGCTATACATATGCTGGTAGACCTACAAAAAAGGATATTAGTTGTATGTCTCAAGAAAAGGAAGAGAAAAAAAAAGACGAATCAAAGAAAGACAAGCATACCTGACACGCGTCTTTAAAACCCCCCAATCAAATATAGAAAGATCTACATGAACCAACCAGCGGTAATGTTAATTCTCCAACGACGATCTATTCTTCAATGAGGATATTGATGCCGTCTTGGTGTCTTTATAGGCAAACTTTGGGAATCATCTTTAGAGTCAAAACTCGACTATATTCAATCTTCGTAATAGGTTGTGATCTCGTATAGCTTCAGTAAGGACTGTCATGCGCGTAGCATTATAAGAATGACCTCCCCGCATGTCTCGAGAAAAAGACAAATACTTTGATAGTTAGCACGGACTTGGCTTGGAGCAACTCGTGATACTAACCCAAGGGCTTCCCGCTCTATCTCACCCCTGGTATTCCTTGCTTACTCTCCTACCCCACAGCCCAACCTCCCACTTTCCACATAGGGCTGGCTGACATGTTGACGACATTTCTCGAAGTTATGATAGTTTCTAGTGCCAGGTGGATATCATTTATTCTTTTCAACGTAACCGCCGAAGTAGTGTTTCGAAGCACAAATTCATCGAGGCTACTCATAAAGACAACCCGGTGACCTGATCACCAGCGCAGATCTGTTTGGAGCATATCCGGATTCTGAATTGACCAGGAAGAGATTAATTCTTGGTACTCCACTATTGCAACGATCGAAATGCGTCGGGTCGTCTTTAATGAATTCGTTCCGTGTACATACCTGATGATTTAATTGTGGTGCAATGAGTGCCTCTAGAAAAGCGGTAGGTACATGTAGAAAGGAAATCAATCAGAATTTCCGATGTATCCGATGCATGCTCTAGAAAATAATTTTATAATTTTCTACAGCGGGCTAGATAAAGCGGGCAGCAGCGACAGGTCTCAACTTTACAGTGATATTAGGTTATGTACATATGTATAAGCAGGTACTATGATGCATGTACCTAAGTACTACCTACATGAAATAAATTTTCTTAGTCATCAATGCAATTGAGTCATTCATATCTACAACTATACTTCATCTACTTCATCTATTCTTCATATATTTTCGCAAATGGTAGAATAATCTCACTTTTCATTAATATTTTTTCATATTAGAGAAACTTTCCGGGTATCATAAGATTTAGACAACTCCTCTAAACTAAACGGTCAATAGCCATGTCAACATCGCAACTTTCCAGATTGCTACCTCTACCTGATGATGAGCTGAAGCAAATTCTGGATTATGCCTCCAAACTATCCAAGTCGGAGGCTGCCGAGCACTTTCGCAACCTGCTCGGAGAGTCACCAGAAGCCGTTGATTTCATAGCCACCTTCAATTCTAGGAGGCAAGATCCCAATACATCTACAGCAACATCCAACACTTCCTCATATATTGAACCGGTACCCCGAACTGCGAGGGCACCCAAGAAACAAAAGTCCCAACTTCATACTCCAGCACCTCGCCAAGTCACCAACTCAGGTCCCGTCCCTGGCACAGCCTACAGTAAGGACAGAGAGAATGATTACATTGCAAGACGTTCCAGTCCTAGTACGACACCAGGCGGACCCAAAACTTCTCAAAAATCCGCTCAGAAATCCTCTACTCCCCCACCACCAAAGCCGCCTCCCTCTGCTGCTGGCCATTTAATTTCGGATATTCGAAACCCCAAACCAAAGTCCACGCCTGCCTCTCGTTCTTCCACGCCAGCTCCAAAAGCGAAGGTCCATATCTCCGGAGGGGTTGCTATGCATGGTGCATCCACAGCCTTAGCGGATTTAGACGACGCCATCCGCGCCCTGGAGATGACCACCAACCCCACACAAGGGAATGACGATGCGGCCAGGAAATGCAATTGTGTGGCCGCTCGCCATCCTCTCCTGGCCGCCGCACCGAACTGCTTGAATTGCGGCAAGGTTATATGCGTAAAGGAAGGACTCGGCCCCTGCACATTTTGTGGCACTGCCCTTTTAAGTCCAGACGAAGTTCAATTGATGATTCGAGAACTACGTGAGGAGCGAGGCCGGGAGAAGATGGCAGCTTATGGAGAAGCTCACAAGAGAGCCGAAGTATCAAAAAAGCCTGTTCCTTTCTCTAAGCCTAGAGATGTCTCGGGCGACAATAGCGAGGCGCAGGCAAAAGCATTAGAGCACAGAGACCGACTTCTAAGTTTCCAGGCTCAAAATGCACGACGAACCACAGTTAGAGATGAGGCAGCTGATTTCGACACCAGTGGAGCTACGACGGGAACCGGTGGTAATATATGGGCCACACCAGAGGAGAGGGCTCGAGAATTTAAACGTCAACAAAAGGTCTTGAGAGAGATGGAATGGAATGCTCGGCCAGACTATGAGAAACGACGACAGGTTGTCAGCATCGACTTAGTTGGTGGCAAGGTGGTTAGAAAGATGGCTGCAGTTGAGCGACCGCAGAGCCCTGAAGATGATACAGAGGCCCACCCAGTTCTAGAGGAGATCAGTGCCAACGGTGCTGGAGGGGCTTTCAGTAATAATCCCTTGCTGGGTTCGTTAATCAAACCAGTTTTTAACGTTAAAGGCAAAGGGGCCCAGTTAGAAGCCCGTAATACCACGGCAACGCGGTGGAGGAGAGTTCAAGACGACCTGGAGAATAACGAGGCGGTTATTCTCGACGGTGGAGCGTACGGTGGAAGGCCCATGCAGAACCTCGATTCCAATATGGATGAACCTATTTGCGGTTGATGAAACCCAGCTACAAAAAGTTAACAAATAAAATGCCAAGAATCCAGACGAAATTTAGCAAGTTGGTGTTTACATATTGGCACGTCTAGGTTGAATAAATCTAAGATCGTAGACCGAATCTTCATCGTCATTTCTCCATCCTTGTCAATTGGTATTCGTGAACCTGAGTACCATCTCTACGTAGGGACTAATAGACAACAATCAGTCTGAAGCACGTACCCTCCTCTCTCATCCATAGCCAGACCCAGCAGTCGCCCTGCTTCCGTAGGACGATTGTGGCGTAACGTTACAGAACATTCTGAGTAGTATTAACATTAGGGATCCTTCGTCGTAACAGGCATTATCAACAGTGTCGTCCGCATCCGAGGCATTGCATCACCACATAAAATTCGCATCAGCGTGCCAATAACAAGGACTAAGCTGCGGCAGCAGCCTCTTCCGTAGCCGTGCTCTCAGCCGTGCCATTCGCTTTTGACGCCGAAGCCTCCTCCTTTAGTTGCTTAACTTCTTTTTCAAAGGACTCGGCTTTCTCTACAGCCTCCTTCTTCTCGGCCTCTAAGCGAGCAACCGCACTCTCAGCCTCTTCAAGTTTCGCATTCAGATCAGCTTGAGCTTGCTGATCTTTCTCTTTTCCGGACTCTAGCTCGCCAACCTTTGTTTGAAGTGCTGTCTTCTCCTAGTGTTATTGTTAGCTATAACGTAACTGTTGGAGGGGGGAGGGGGGCGATTCCTTACAGTTTGCGCTACCTCTACCTCTTCTTCGGCTTTTGTTGCCTTGGCCTTGGCTGCCTCGGCCTGGCTTTGAAGGCTGGAAATCTGGCTTGCTTGTTCGTCATGTTGCGCCTGCAGTTTCTCTTGTTCGTCTTGGGTCGACTTCAACTTAGCCTGCAACTCGGTCGCTTCTCGCTTCGCCGTCTCGAGAGCAGCTATCTGTTCCTCATGTTGTTTCTGCAGCTTCTGGCGTTCCTCCTGAACAGACTCCACTTTCTCTTGCAAATCTACCACCTCCTGCTTCGCCTTCAAGAGCTCCGCCGTTTGTGTGGTATGTTGTTTCTGTAGCGTTTCGCGCTCATCCTCAGCAGACTTCACCTTCTCTTGCAGTTGTGCTACCTCTTGCTTAGCGCTCTCAAGCTCAGCCGCATGAGCAGCCTTCAGCTTGCTCTGGTCCTCTTCCAAAGCGGCCACATTCTGTTGTAATCTTTCAACATCAGCGCGGAACCGTTCCAGCTCGGCTTCGTGGGCTTGCACCAGAGCCTTCCTCTGGTCTTCACCATCAGCAGCGTTCTTCTTGGCAGCAGCTACTTCCTTGGTGAGGTCATCATGCTCCGCTTGTAGCGCTTCGAGCTTCTTCTTCCACTCAGCAACTTCCTTCTCTGCCGCTGCAATTTTCTCGTCGGACTCGGTTATTGATTGGTTGTGTGCTTGTTGTAACTCCTCGTACTTCTGCTGCGCGTCAACTAAGCTTTGCTTCGTCGAAGAAAGTCCCTCGTCGGAAGCCTTCTTCAGTTCTTCATGCTGTTGTTCGAGGGTCTTATAGTCGTTCGTCGACTTCGTCAGGGCGTCATCTTGCTCATCCCGACGCGACTTTACAGCAGCAAGTTCCTCGGCGAGTTTGCTATAGTCGATTCGTAGAGTATCGTGTTTCTTGCCCACCTCAAGCAATTGTTCTTTGACGGAGGCCAGCGATGTCTCCAGGGAATTTCGTTGCTCAAGAGCGTCGGTGAGCTCTTTCTTCGTAGCTGTTAGTTCCTGATTGAGGGAATCGCTAGCCTGTTGCAGGGCACTAAGCTTCTCCTCTAGCTGAGCCAGCTGACCACGTGCCTGCTCGAGCTCTTGGTCTCTGGCGGAGGCGGCCTCCTCGAGAGCACGAAGCTTCTCGGTAGAACCATCCGTTGCTTCCTTTAGCTCATTCTGGAGCTTTTCAAGTTCTTCCTGGTCTTCTTGCTTTGATGTTGTAGACTTCGTTTCCAGCTCGTCGACCTTCTTGCGCAAGGTGTCGACTTCCTCAGATGTCTTGGTAAGCTCTTTCTTGGCGTCGGAAAGCTCCTCTTCCTTATCGGCCAAATCTTTTTCGAGACTGGTGATATTTTCATCGCGCTCAGCAAGCTTCTTTTCTATGGCCTCTCGCTCTTCCTTGGCGAGGGCAGCGGCACCGGAGAATGCGGACAGAACGTTACCCATGATGGCGAATTGTCGTTATGTATCCTGGTCAAGTCAAAAAGGAGGGGGAAGGTGAATGGAGGTTCGAGTCGCAACGCTCTTTGTTCTTCCCGAGGTTGCTGTTTGGTGTAAATGAGGGGAATCCGAGAAAATACAGCTTCTTTTCCACCAAACGATGCTTGCTTCCTGAGGGTATCGTAGTCAAATCAAATAACAGACTTGATAACAGAGGTATCAATTAATTAATCAATCGTTCATTTACTCAATCAATCAGTTGGTGCATGCATGACATGAGAAAAGTGGAAGGAGAAGAAAGAGGAAAGAGAAGAAAAAAAAAGATACGATAGGTTCAGTGGTTGGTGAGTGAAAAGTTATTAGATAGATGCTCATTTGGGCTTCCAATTAAAAAATATTTTTTCGTCTTAGCCTTACAGGGGTCGTAGGAGGGGCTGGCCACCAAACGCTACATTAGGTATCTAGCGGTCAGGATTTTAGAGGGGTGGTTGGTCACCGTAGTGATTCCAATTGCGAAAGTGACGTGCAGCCAGGGCGGGCAGGTGGGTAGGTGACAACTCATAAGCCATAAATGGACATGTGCTTAACGGCAAGCTTATCGGATAAGGATAAAAACGCCCAGGCACCCAAAAATAAAAATGATACCCTGTTGTATAAATGCTTAGATTTTTAAGGTTATTGTAATGGACTCATGCACCATACCGAAATCTTCTTTTCTACATATTAGACTAGACAACTTCGATGTATCCAGTTAATCAGAACTTGAGAGAACAGAGATAACGAATATAAACCCTCAAAGAGCAAGTAAATGTATAAGCATCCTCGTAAAAAAACTCAGGCCTAAACAAAAGGACCAAACAAAGGCGACGTAATCATACACCAGGACTAGTCCGGTATATGTAGAAACCTATCCCTTCAAGAATGCCTTCATATCCTTTAAAACTTCCCTTTTTTTATCAATTTTATTACTATCAGATTTACTACCTAGGTAGTCAGACCATATAGAAGTAAAAGAAAAAGGTAGTAAGATTCCCTAATCAATCCAATTATAAGCCAGTACATAATCTTTGTTAAAGTCCTATATCTTAATTCATATTCAATATATGACTTATTACCATACCTTTCAAGTTCAATCTTCTTTGAAATCTACCTCTTTGTTTCTGTTAAACTTGGAACTAGAAATTTTTATTAATTCGTCGCAAATAATCTTATAAAAATCCTATATATGATCAATCCTACCAAACCACCCTTATATACTCTTTCAAGTAACTATGTCTACGAATTAATACAGTATGACCAAGCATCAGCAATATCTTAAGGACCTACCCTCTTCTCATGCAATGTCACCAGCTTCGCCTATGGCAGCATCGTATACTCGCTTTACGACGGCTCGCGACGACGCCGATGACGATACCAGACGTATATCCCCAGCGTATGAATGCATTTTCAAAGACACGACAACTCAGATAACTAAAAAGCGGCGTCGTAGCAATTCAGCCTCTAGTAGGACTTCGGTACGAAAGAAAAGGCAACGATCGTTATCTCGGCCTCCAACACCTGAGCCACCGAAAAATTATTCGTTAGATACACATGAAGATGTTAGTTCTCTTGAGCCCTATGTATAAAGCAATGCTAATAAAGATTCAACCAGAAGAAAGCAACGTCGTCGCGAACGGAAGAAGAATTAACACCATTTCAAAGGTTTATCGTTGAGTCAATCAACTTGCCCCCTGGTGTCCCTCTTCAATCTATACTAGACAAATTTCAACCCGATTGGAAGACCCCAAGCGACACAGATTCGGTCCCTAAATCAGAATCCAACGGTGAAATGGCGAAGGTATTGGGGAGTTCCTACAGAAGGGTGCTTGAAAATAATAATATTCGAATACTACGAGATGACATTCAGCCTCCCTCTTGGGTACAATCCATCGTTGATATACTTCAAACCCGTCGTGAAGATAACAAGATAGAGTACGATAAATCTGCTAAAAATTGGGATGTATTTAACGCACTCAGGTACGATCCTCTACCGGAGACCGAAAAATGCAATATGTTATGCGATACTCTTGAATTGAACCATCGGGCGCAGATGACCCACGGCTTTGGATATACAGGAAACCAACCTTTCCATAGGTCCTATACGGACCTTTTTAATACTGGCGAAGAGCTTTCTATACCTAAAACCGGACAAAATATTTGGGTATAGGGGTAAGGACTTCATTCCAGGTGCTAGATCTTACCCGTTAAGCTGGTCAGAGAATATTTTACAAGTATACCAACAATGGTGCCAGATGTCGCCGCCTGCAGATGTATTCTGCCCTTACTTCATTGCCGAAGCCGAATCTGACTACGGTGAAATCGAAGACGCCGAAAACCGAGCTGCTGGAGATTGCGGGATATCGCTGAAAGCTCTACATCATGCCTTTCCAGGCCTAGCGAATCACGCGATTGTCGCCATAGTATTCAGCGACAGAGTGGCAGGCTTTAAAATCATGTGGAAAGAAGATAAGGAAGGCCTCTGGTACTCAATGTACAGCTGGATGGATTTACACCTACACAAGAAAGACGATTTTTATGAATGTCTTGAATACATACGTAACATTCACGAATGGGGAATGAACGATAGGAAGAAATTAATTCGAAAGCACGTTGACGAAGCGTTTCAACTTCCGGAGCCGAGGCTCATCCCTCCGAAAAAAAGATATGAAGTTAGTTAAAGGTCAGTCAACTAGGCAATCAAACGATTATACTAAAAGGAAGAAGTGCATTAAATGTTCTCCAGCAGTGTCTAGTACGGTTAAAAAATCGGCGACGGAATCGGCAAGTGTTCAATCTTGTGCAGTAAGGGGTTGATGTAGCTCAAAGCGCGACCTCTAGTGAAGAGGCTCCTCAAGGAACAACATCATTTCACAAGGCACATTAAAAGTTGACGAAGCAGGCTCAGAGGGAAGCGACGAAGACGGGGGAGAGGCATACAATAGCTGGATTTTACTCGATTTGATGAGGGTTAGGCTTAAATACCTGAGTCAGGGGTGTCACTATGTTAAACAATTCACGGACCAGCAAGCCAATTTCAAAATGGCTGCGACATCCCGCCGAAAGGCGGAAGAGAGAAGGAATAGGTGGGGATTGAGGTATGCCTGAGATTTCTTTATCTCAGCGAGCTCAGACTATAAGTTCAATTGTACCCCTTAAGCCACAGGGCTTATTATGTCGTTTTTTTAAACCTATCTTTAAAGTCCCTTTTTAGTCCCTTTTTAGGAAATTTTTAATAAGAAATAAAAAAAATAATATTTCATTAATTGTGTTCATTAATTTATAGTCCATGTGTGGATTAATATTATATTAATTAAAGTTAAAAATTAATTTATAATTAATATAATATTAATGTTTATTAAATATAAAACCTTAAAAAATGGATTATTATTTTAAATTAAAATATAATTTTTTTAAAATATTATATTAAAAAATGATTGATAAGAAGTAAAATTATATTAATTAAAATTTATAATAAATTAAAAAAGGATTATTATTAAATTATATTAATTAAAATTATATAATTAATATTAAAAGATTATTATAAATTAATGATAAAAAAACCATGGTATGTATATATATGATTTATAAGATTTAATAAATTTAATTATATAAATAAATTAATTAAATTATAAAATATATATAATTTATATTATAATAATATATTAAAAGGTTAAATATATTATATGATAATAAATCTTTAAATTAAAAAGATTAAATATGATAAACTTATGTCTTAAAAAGGTATAGCTGTTATTAGATTAATTAATCTAAGTATCTTAATTTAAAAGTAATAATATTAATAATAAGTTAAATAATTAAATAAATTTTATTTATTAAAAAGGCTTAAAATTTTCTTATTATATTTAAAAGAATAATCTTAGATTAATAATTAAAAAATTATAAAAAGAGTGATTAAATTGTCACGAACCAATGTTTTATAACCAACCCTTACATTATAAAGAATAGAAAAGGACTAATCATGGTAAAACCCCAGATAGGATCTTTGTTCTTATGGGATGATAGAATAGAATAAAACAGAAAAGAATAAGATAAAGCAAGTCAGAATAGAATAAAATAAGACAAAGTAGGAGAGGAGGATATTAAATTATATGAACTATTAAAATTTCTTATATATTTAATTATTCTTTTTTATAGTTTTTTAATTATTAATTTAAGATTATTCTTTTAAGTATAATAAGAAGATTCCAAGCCTTTTTAATGAATAGAATATACTTAATCATTTAATTTATTACTAATATTATTATCTTTAAATTAAGACACCTTAAATTAATTAATCCAATAATAATTATATTTCATTAAGATATAAGTTTATTACATTTTAATAACTTTTTAATTAATATTAATATTAAGTTAAGAAGTGACATAAGTCATTTATAAGATATTTCTTTATTATTATTAATTAAACCTTTTCTTATTTTATTAATTTTTAAAAATAAAATAGAAAATTTTTATATCTTTTAAGAATTATCTTTTAAAGAATATTATAATTAGATATAGAATAAATTAATAGACCTTAATTTAAAAAATAAAGAAGAATTAAATAAAAAAGAATTTTAAAATAAAGATTTAAATGATTTATAATAACCTAATCTATCATTACTTAGAACACCTACATTTATTTATATTATTTAGGATTTATTATTAATAAAAAAGATATTTCAATTTATTAATAAAATAATGCCTTTTAAAATATACTTATAAGCTTTAAAATTGGAAATATAAAAGAAAATCAACATCAGAATAAGAGAAAATAACTAGAAGGAAAAAGAAATTCTTAATTAGTAAATTAAAATAATAGTTACCTTTAAAGAAGTCAAAAGGCTTGAAAAGGAATTGGCTTTAAAGGAGGCTAGACTAGGGAAGGCCTTTAAAAGATCCCCATCGGGAACCTTTTAATAACCGGTTCCTTTCCAATCTTCAGTACCCCCTAGACCTCCAGATGATAATAACGATAAGGATAAGGAAGATAAGAAAGAAAAAGGAAACAGAGGATCCCAACCAAAAAAGGAAAGAATAATGATCTCTTTTTTATTTATTAAAGAATATAAATTAATAAATCTATTAATTTATAATAAGATTTTAAATATTAAAAATTAATTCATATATATAAAACTTTATTTATTTTTCTATAAGGAAAACTTATTATAAGAAAAATAATAAATATTTATTATTATTTAATTCTTAAATGGAATTATTTTTATATGGTTTCAATTTATTTTAAAAAACCATTTTAATATCACCAAAGAAAAGTCAAAGAAGTTTTAATATATTTTTAAACTATATGAACATTTTAAAAGCAAAATGTGAATAATGTTTGACAAACCATTTAAAAAAGAGGAGGTATAGAAGGCCATTGTCACGAACCAACGTTCTGCAACCAACCCTTGCATTATGGAGAATGGAGAAGGACCAATTACGGTAAAACCCCGGATGGGACCTCTGCTCTTGTGG